GCAATTCGGGCTTAAACAATTTCAAAATGTCCGTTTATTAAGGTTTATAAGCTTTATATAAGCTATCACAAAGGTAAACTTGTAAGAAGGCATCTTCTAGGTCTGCCTCATAACCCATTTCCTACATCCTCCACACAAAAACCTTCACTCTTTTAATGCCATTTTGCTTTCACAGCTCTGACAGCCATCGCTAATGAGCTGCTAACTGAACAAAAAAAGCTCTAAACTGATTTTCCCATCAATTCCCAACACCACAGAAAACACACACACATGCAGACATGCAGCACCGACATGGTTGCATTATAATAAACATCATGTCAAGCCAAAAGGTCAACGGCGAAAGGAAAGTCCTCCGATATTCACACAGCCTGCGGGTCTCATCGATACGGATTCCGAATGCCATTCCTGTTTCCGAACCAGCTAACAAAAGTGGCTTAAATCAACGGATGACAATGCTAACGAAGCAGTCAGCAAACAACAAACAAACTGCGACACTCGGCAAGAGGAGCAGAAGGCAACAAAAACCAAACTCCAGTAGGATGGGGCTGAAGATGAGGAGGAGTAGCCAGGAGTCGGCACCTGGAATTGAGTGCAAAATATGGCGCAGCAAAGAGCAGAGTTCCACTTAGGGAAAATCTTAACAAGGCTTGAAGTATAAAGTCAGTATTCCAGACCATTCAAAAAAAAATTTAAAATCCTTAAAATATTTTAACATTTTCGTATGCTTTAGATTTCTGTTTCATTTTTCTAGATATTTTAAGATTCATCTTTGATTAAGAATCATGTTTCTCTACATTAAGCCACAGTTATGATCCCATTTAAAGCCTTTATTTCCCTCACTGTATCCAGTTGGAGGAGGTACTTCTTATGTCTTGTCTGGGCCATATCCATGTTACTTAGCGTCTTAGAGCAGTTGGCGCGTCATGTAGCCAATTAAAAAAAGCGAAAAACGACAAGCGCGAAGAGCAAAGACTGCGGAGCGGTTGGAGGAGAATGGTGAAAAGGGGGCTGGAGAATTCGGGGCTGAGATTCGACAATGGCGCAGGCAATGGAGGTGCGGCAACTGGCTGTCCTGGTCACGATCTCCAGCCAGAGTCGCCCAGAAATCTAAGCGAGGCAATCAAATTAGGAAAGAAACAAAGTTGAATTCTTCCTGCAGATCTGACCCACAGAGGAAAGTAAAAAAAAAAGGGGGTTGGTTGGTTGCCTTAATTGCATCTTTAATGTGGCAAGAGCACACACACTCGTATGCTAATAAAGGTCAGGCGATATGCACATCTTGATAGGCGAGTGTCAACGTACCGTTGAACAAATTTCATGCCTGATTTTTTGGTTTTTCGATTTTTTTTTTGGTTTGAACGGCAGCTGGGACATTGCAACATGACACCTCGACATGACAGCAAAATGAGCTTCTGTTGCCCGACTCCTTTTCGAGATCTCCGCCGCAGCAGCAGCAACCGGAGTGAGTGACAACTGCAACGGCATGGCTTTCAAATATTTAACACCAGCCTCCAGCAGCAGCAGCAGATTCGGTGCCCAAGTTTCGACGCACCAAATGCATGTGAAATCGATGCCAAAACGAACACTTTTCGCATTTAAACTTCGACAGGGGGACTGGACACTGGCCTTACAGTGAATATTAGCTAAGAGCTGCCAATATTCTACATATATTATTATTGGAATCATATTTTAAAGTTGTGTTTTGGTTTCTTGGGAGGCATATTTTGACACTTTTTACTTGGGGCTTTCTGGGAGCTAAATGGTTCTAAAGGTTCAATAAAGTTCCTTAATGAGGCACCTCTAATCACTGGAAAGTGGCGATTTTTAAAGACGAGAAGAATAACTTTATATCCAAGCCAAAACATAGTAATCAATTACCAATCTTAGTGTGATTTTTTCGTAAGCTACGAAAAGGATAGTGGCGTGAAAATATATTGGGAAAAATATCTGGCAGAACATAGTCAAGAAAGATGTAGAAAAAGAGCAAGAAACGTGAAACTCAAGTGCTAGGAATTCTCTATTACATATTCTTAAAATATTTTTTTTTGACAAATATATTAAAAAAAAACTAAAAAAGTTTTAAAAAGTTTTCCTAAAACCAAAAATTCAACAAACCAATTTGGCATTCATTTATTCCCATCTGTTGCCAATTTACAAAACTCGATTCCATTTTTTTTACTTTTCGTGTGATTTTCGATTTTGATTTGGTTTTTGCTGGTTTCTCGAGTTTTTTGTCAAACGTCGAGTCGCCTTAATTGATTTTGGCGCTTTAACGAGGCGCAAAGTAAACACACTCCCAGCCAAAGAGAAAAAAAAATGAAATATACGAGTATATAGAAACCCATTTGACGGCTCTGTGGGCCGAAACGAACTTGGCTATCGGAGTGTTAATTGAACGCGAAATTGTAACGAGATTGAAATTGTAATGTGTGATTAAAGTAAATGGATGGAGGGTATCAAATTGAATCAGCATTTGTATCTTAACGTTCTTATGTGACCTTAGTTAAATAAATCAGAAAATAAAGTTGGGTGGTTCATGAGTGAGTGAAGTTGTTCACCTTAAAATGGAGTTCACTTGTCCTATCATTTTATGATTGCTCACAAATGTATCTCAAAAAATGGTGTTATTATCCTTTTGAGGAATTGAGTAACTAAGAAAGTGACTAAATAGAACAAGTGAACGCATTGAGTGAACAAGTGAACGCATTGAGTGAACAAGTGAACGCATTGAGTGAACAAGTGAACGCATTGAGTGAACAAGTGAACGCATTGAGTGAACAAGTGAGCGTATTAAGTCAACAAGTGAACGAAATCAACTAGCAACTGAAGTCGTGGGTGAGGAATAAGAATGATTTAATTCACTGCTTCAAAATGAACAAGTAATCAAGTGAGTAATGTCAACCCATCCCAATCCCATGACACTTACCCAACCTTCAAAATAAAATCTCCAAATGTTTTTTTTTTAATTTTTATATTTTTTATTTCATGTCGTAATCATGCACTCGTCGTCGTTTTGCATTTAATTTTGTTTGCCTTTTTGGATACGGTCAGCTTTCAATTAGTTTTCCGCAATATTCGTAATTGTTCATCACCGCTGATATTTTAAATTTATATCGGTTTTATATGTACACCTTGAAATCGGGACACTTTTGTGGGAGGGATATGGCCCGCAATCCGTGTCCGATTAGTAATTACACATATTTTAATGAGTTTTTCAGCTCCATGCTTCTAAATGTGTAATGTGTAATGTTAAACTTCTTTGATAGCTTATGCAAGAAACAGTTAAAATCGCTTATGCTGTTTATTATTTTCATTTTAATCATAAGTATATTCAATTTTATCCATCGATATCGATCTCTACGATAATATATTGGTTTTATATTCTCATTAATCATGTGTCTTCTCTTGCCTTCTTGTGCTTTCGTTTTATATTTTATACAGTATTGCAAGTAGTCTCAATTATGTAGATTAAATATTTATTAATTAAACATACGTATTAATTGTTTTTGGTTTTTTTGGATTTCATTACTTAATTACCACAACAAGCGTTTCCAGTTTTCTTATTTGATTTACTAACAATACATTCATATACAATATTTGATAAGGGAATCAGCTCAACTGCAATATGGATTGGATTCGATTCAATGGGTCCTAAGGTCCCCGAAAATGTTAGTTAACATAATTTCAAAAAACTAATTAAACAATATTGAAAAACTGTTTTAAATTATTAAAGATTATGTAAAAAAAAACATAAAGAAACCAAAAAATGTATCCTAAACATCGTTTGAATTCCTAGTAGTTTAAGTTCTTTACAGAGAGGCTACATGCAGATTAAGCTATTAATACTCGATTGGTAAATTTCACATATTAGTTAGTTATAGAGCATTATCGATAGAGCGACGGGATGTACTGGGGGGTGGATGGGGGATCAGGATGAATTCTAGATGTGTCTTTTTGCATTCGCTGTAAACAATTTCACATGTAGTTTTGGTTAAGTTCAAATACGAATACGCAAAATGGCTGTATCGATTATATATAATACATAAATATTTGTTTTTTTTAATATATTTTATAATTTCCCTTTGTTTTTTATTTTGTTGTATGTTTACACTTCATGCAAAAGAAGAAGTTAAAAACTGTTAAGTACATATAAAAAATATGAATATTTAGCCTTGTACTGAATGCAGCTTGCAAACTATTCGGAAATCAGAAAATGAACTTAAGAACTTTTGTGGTTTTGGGTTGATGAACAATTCATTTTAAATGGAATAAGGAATGAGCAAGAAATTCATTTTTAAAGGCAATCGGAATTCAGAACAAGGCTGCTTATTATAACTATTGTTAATCATAACTATGTACAGATATTGTAAAGTACTAGACAAAAATGAGTTAAAAAACTCTTACAAAGTCAAAGCTATGATTTCATGGATTTCTTTTTTTGTTGCTTACTAAATTTCTGCCTCAAGATCGTTTAATGGAAAGATTAAAATGATTTCTCGGATATCAGACAGTCGTATTTATGTTTATATACACAACTATAATGTAGTTCATATATGTTTTGCTTACTAATTTGTTATATGTTGACTGGTTAGATAGAGTTTCGTGTTCGTGTTTACCCGTATTTGCTGTTGCAGAAGTGTCAAATCATAAAAGTTGTACGCATCACAATCGATATATATATGTATATATATATTGGTATATGTTATTTATGGAGGTTGTTGAAAGGAAGAAGGATCGAAGAAGACTGAAACTATGGCCATCGTTAGATAATATTCCGATACTACACATTCAAGGTACGAGATGCAAGATACAAAGATACATGCAATCCCCTCCAGTTGGAGTTGGGGATATGAAGAATCTGATGTGGGGATCGAGTGCTGAAACTGAAACTGAAAAATGTTTAAAACGAAAAGGAACATAATGATGATATCGCTTTCGATTTCGTTTTCTCTTTTTTTTTTGCTGAATGAATTTCGAATTTTAATCAGAGTTTTGCTCGGTTTAAGTTTGCAATTTGTTTTCCATTTTATTATCGCTCTTGCTTACGCTCTTACCAATCTACAATTTACAAGCTACGAAATTACATTGCTACATAATTATTGTTTAAATATTTTTGTTTTTTTCGTTTTGTTTTACTCGGTTTTGTTTTGGGTTTTAAAATATTATCGTTATCATTATATAGTTTATATTATATCTTTATTATTATTATTATTATTATGCCGTTGTAGCTGTTGCCATCGCTGCATAAGCATTACTTTCCTTTTTGCAATTACGAATACAATTAAAATTATTACCTTGTACAAAAATAATAATAATAATAGCATACAATAATAGTGTTCTTCTGCAACTCCCTACATATATCTCTCGACCTCACAATTTGTTGCCTCTGAAGTTGCATTCCTTAGTTAAAAAAACTAAATATAGTTTAATGTGTTTTTCGTTTAAGTTACAGGATAAGTTAATTTAATTTACGTACATTGAAAAATGTGTTTTTTGTTAATTTTTACTTTTGTTTTGTTTTTGTTTCTACGGGCTGCTCCCGTATTTGCCACGCCCCAAAGTTTTGGGATGGAGATTTGGTGCTGGGCAGGGGGACAGTGGTTCATCGGTCAAGCAGCCCGGCTAAAGCGCGTGGTTCTGAAACGGCATATGCCGGAGAGAAGTGGTCTCTTCTCCATCGTTACAACTATTCGTATCACTAAACATAGTTTCATTAATCATTAATTCTTGCTGTTATTTTGTGTGTTTTGCAATTATTATCGAATATTTACAGTTTGCTATTTAACACTTGAGTTTTTGCTGTGGTTGTTTTTGTTGTTGTTGTTGTTGTTGGTATTGGACAGGAAGGTGGATTTGAGGAGGATGGAGCTCGGATTGGATGTGGGATCGATCTCTAGCCCAAGAGAAAGAGCCAAGTTCTCGGCATGCATTTCCATATACATTGTACATATATATATATATATTTGTTTTATTAATTTAATTCTTATTATGTTTTTAGGGTTAGGCGATCTTGAAAAATAAGACCTAAATCGTTATACACACATATGCTTCTATATATAGGCTATAGAAAATCAAATTAAGCGAACTTTGTTAATGGTGGCTTTCATTTATACACTTTATTCTTATCATCCCACTTTTTAACTCTCTCTCTTGGCCCTTTCTATTCTGGCTAACAGATCTTCTAGATGCTGGCTGTTGTCTGTTTGCTGCTACAGATTATGAAAAGCTTTTTTAGGAAATCTTTTTGTAGTCACACCAAATAGTTGGAAGGGTTTTTTTCGGTTTGTCTGCCTGGATGTTTGCATATGAAATTCTGAAAAACCTACTAACTGTTTGGCTTCAGACCAGCTCGCTTTTGTTAACCAAACAGAGGGTGCAGCAGCAGTGGGCCTGCTGCAGGAGTTGGCCCACAGCCACTGGGCAGTCCACCAGAGGCAGGGATGTGGCCAACGCCTGGGTTTCCGCCTCCGTTTGCGACGATGCCAGACTGAGCGAAGTACCGCTGGGCAGTTGCAAGGGTTGCACTCGATGTTAGCTGCTGCAGCCGCTGCCGCACGCGTCTCATCTATTGATGGTGGACGTCACACCAGCTCCCCCGGCTCCTGTACTGGCGGCACCTGCTCCTCCTCCGCCGCTGCCCGCTCCAGTGGCATTCACACTCAAAGTTCCTCCATTTCCTCCCGCTCCACTTCCATTGTTGTTATTGTTGTTGTTGTTGCTCGTGGGCAGCACCACTCCTCCATTGTTGGCACTGGCTATCACCTGTTCTACGGTTAGGGCTTTGCCTACTTCCTTGGCACTCATCAGGTTTCCATCCTGTGTGCTCACATTGTTCGCATTTGTGGTAACCAATTGCCTGATGGTGGTAGTGGTCGGTCCAACAGCACCACCTGTACTATTCACAGTGGTTCCCAACGGCAGAGTCCTTGTTATGATGGCCGAATTGTTAAGGCGTCCACGGAGCACTTGCTGTAATCCACCCGGACCAAGTTGCATCTGCATCTGACCACTGTTGTTCTTCTGTAGCGGTTTCACATTTAGCAGGCTGGTATACAGCACGCGCTTGTCTCCCTGTCCAGTTTGTGAATTACCCGTAGTGGTCAGCGTTTTTAGCTTCTGATGCTGCTGTTGTTGTTGCTGATGTTGTTGGGATTTGTTCAGTAGCACCGTTGTAGTCCCCACCTGTTGCCCTTGTTCACCCCCACCGGCACTGCTCACAAAATTCAGCTTTAGGTTGGAGTTGGGCAGCTCCTTGTAATGGATCTTTTGAGTGGCTGCCGCAGCTTGCAGTTCGCTTGCTGTAGCGATGGTAAAGTTGCCAGTTGTTCCGCCGCCTCCGCTATTGCTGCTTGTCAGGAAGATCTTGTTTGCCTGCTGAGGTGTCGCCTGTGCAGTGATGATTGCCGTTGAGGCAGGGTGCAAACTGTAGTTATGATTAGCTGCTATCGCTGCCGCAGAGTTCGGCTTCAATTGCTGCTGCTGGTTTTGACCAGACACCGACTGTTGCTGCTGAAGATTCACATCTGTCACGAGCAGAGGAAACTGTGACATCTTGATCACCTTGCTAAGCTTCTGCTGCAACTGATGTTGCTGCTGCTGCTGCTGTTGTTGTTGTTGACCGTCGCTCGTGTCCATCTGATCGCCGCTGTTGCCCGTCGACGTGCCCACCAGTTCATCTATTTCTTCATGCTGCACCAATTGCTGGAGTTGCTGTTTCGTCAGTTGGATTTGCTGGTGCTGTTGCTGTATATGTTGCTTGCGCGGCAACTTTCGATTGAGCAGGAGTTTGTTAATGTCTGTAATGAATGCGTTTATTGTAGTTAATATAGTTAATATTAAATTGTTAAATTGTAATCTTTTACAAAATACTTAAGATTCGAAAAAAATTACTTAAGTATATAACATTAAATCAGATAGAAAAATCAGAATTGAGATTAGATTATGGTATAGCATTCAATAAAGTCCAAAATTTTGAAAGGTTCGAGAAATTCAATCATATTTGTTAAATATTTATCAATGTTTTTACCTGTATTCTCCGGTCCGTTGAGCTGCCGTTTTTGAGTGGCCCTGCTGGTCCAGAGGATTTGATTGGTTACCGCCTTCGGCGACGAGTCCACCGTAGTTGAGAGCACGGCTGTTGTCGCCACTGCCGTGTTTGTACCGCTCACCTGACGCCACACAATCGGTTGCTGCTGCACCAGCTGTTGCTGTTGCTGCTGGACATTGTTACGGGTGGGCGTGGCGACAAGTAAGGGCGTACTGGTGGTCACCTGTTGAACCTGCTGTTGACCCTGTTGCTGCATTCCGGCAATGCTGTGCACAGCTAGCTGCTGGACATTGGCAGTGTTGATGATGTTCACACTAGATCCTGAGTTTCCACTGCCACCCGAGGAGATATCATCATTCTGCACCTTCACATTAGAGAGAGTGATGACCGTGTTGGGTCCAATCGAAGCAGTAGTTGCTCCTCCACTTGTTACTCCCGATTTTTGGATGGCATATGTAACCTTTTGGGAGGCTGCCGCCGCAGCTGCTGCTGTGACAATCTCACCGCAGCTGGTTGTGTAAATCAAATGGTTGCCCGTGGCGCCAGCGCCGGCAGCTTGCAGCGGCGTCAGGGAACGCGAGGGATCCCGCTGCATCTGGAAGAGCAACTGCTGTTGGGGATTCTGATTCTGATTGGTGGTTTGAGGTGTCGCCTGTCGCTGTTGGACGGTCACGTTCCGTAGTTGAGCCTGAGCCAGCTGATGCTGCAACTGCTGCTGAGCGGTGAGTGTTGGCAGCGGACTGCTTCCCGTATGGGGAGTGATAGTCACAATATCGCCAACGGCTGCTCCTCCGCCATATTCCGTGCGTGCGATGATCTGCGGTCCAGCGTTGGCAAATTGATTAAGCAATTGCGTCACCTGTGGCTGTTGTTGCTGCTTCTGCGTGGTTATCTGGGCGGGTATGTTAATTAGCTGCGTTGTGGGCAGAGCAATAGCTTGTGGTTGCGCAGGTTGCGCCTGTGGGACTACAGGAACAACTTCCGCCTGGGGCTTCTCAACAGCCTCAACCTTCACAGGCAACACCGCTACTTCTTTGGGCACCACTTCTGGCTGCTCAACTTCCGCCGGCGGTTCCTCTTTCGGCGTGACAATCACTGGCGATGCTTGGCTAAAGAAGGTCTCACGCTCCTTGAGAGTCTCGGCTGTAGGGCACACGGTAAACGTGGAACTTCCCACTGGGTTTTGAACCAATTTCGGTTTGCGGTTGCGACCTGCGCGTTTAGAGGAATCGGCAGCACCCACCTTGGGTTTCTTTTCATCTATACAATCCAGCAGCTGATCAGCAATTTCCACTTCGTCCACGGCTGCCTCGCCATCCAGAATGCCATTCCAGAAGCTCGTGGCTTGGTTCAATGTCTTGGGATCATCCATTGCACACTCTTGTAGGATATTATCTAGCATATGTTCGTGGTTATCCTCGTCATCATCACCCAACAGATTGTTGATATCGTTCAGAGAGTCACCGCCACTCAGGTTGAACTCCAGGGCTGATCCTGAACCCGATCCCGAGCAGTTTGGACTCTTGCTACTGCCGCGGGCGTAGTCCTGAGTTTGCACCGTCTGCAACAGCTGGGCATCCGACTCGAGATCCGTGTATTTAAAGCCGCTACTTAGGAAATACGAACAAGAATCGTTTTCCTCCGCTTCTCGCTTGCCTAACCTATTAAGTTCCACACTTATGGGCGTGTCCTGGGTCCAGCCAACAACGTGACTATCACAGGTCTTACCCACTTCGTAATCTTGGCTATCGGACAACTCATCCGTGGGTGTTTTGGGCCGGAAGTGCAGCCAATCACGACGGATCTCCGAGAGCAGTTCATTGCAGATGTCTAACCGCTGACTGGACGTGGGCGAAAGTCCACCCATGTAGTCGGCATTGAATTCATCATCAACAGGAGGTTGGATATATAGGTCCTTGGGCCTCGTATGCATTTGGCTGTTGCGCAGATTTCGCAGACGAATCACATCCGGCAGCTGGTTTAGGCATGGAGTGGCTTCATCTTCTTCCATCCGCCTGGCGGCCTGCATCTGTTCATGCTCAACCTGTTGCTGATGCTGCTGTGCCTCCAGCTCCTTCTTAACAGCCGTATGACGGATGATGCTGCTCAGTTGGGCGAGATTGACATCGTCCTCCGCTTCATCGTCCATGAGTTCGGGAACGGATTGCGTGGACTGCAGGACTGCCGCTGTGCGAATGCTGCTTAGAGGCTCGTTGGAATCGTCGGCATCGATTAGCTCGCGCTTTATCGTCTTGGCCACATCCTCTAGTGAGGGTTCCGGATTCGTTGCCGCAAGCGTGCTCGCCGAAGCTGCTGCCTCCGCTGCAGCTGCTGCTTCTACAGCACGAGCGGCGGCCGCTGCTGCCGAGGTAGAGGCCACCGGCTGATCCTCGCCGTCGCCACCAACGATCTCCTCCGCCTCCTGCTTTATCACATTGATTTTTTCGCTAATGCTAACATCCTTATTCATAACGTTATTACTATTACTATTGTTGTTGTTCAACACGGTATTGTTGTTGTTGTTGGAACGGTGGTTGGGCTGCTGATGATTGGCTCGCGGAGGTTGCAACTGCTCCTGATCATTATTATCCAGCAGCTCTGGTGCCAGATTCTCACTAACTTCCTTATCCTCTTCCTTTTTGAGTTTTTGGCCCAAAACCAATGCCAAACGCTGAAGATAAGACCTGGGCAGTGGACCCAGTGCTGGTTTAGTGTCCTCCTCCTCCAGTTGAACCTCTCCAGCTATCGCTACCGCCTCCGAAGATCTCTTTAGACGCTTGGCTGCATTTAATTCTCGCATTTGTTCCTTCTTGCGACGCAGGCGGCGACGTTTCTGACGAAGATCTATCCAATTTTGGGGTAACGTTACTGCCGAGCTGTAGATTCCAAGTCGTGACACATTCTCATCGTCGCTGGCTGGGTATTCATCATCCACTTCCATTTCATATCGCTCCTCGAGCTCAAGTTCTTTGCTCTCCTGACCAGATTCAGTTCCAGCAGCAGGTTTTTCTATATCGCTGGGCGGTTCCACCTTGATCAGATCTGAAGCTGGCTGATCATCCTCGACAGATTTTCCGGCGGGAACCAGATCTACCACCGTGGGCGGTGAACTAGGCTTGCTCAACTGTTCTGGATCCTCCTGTTTGTGTTTATCGCTACATTTATCGACAACAACACTTTCCATCACCGTATAGTCGAGTTGCGACCAGAAATCGTCGAAATTCGTTGTGGCCCGGTCCAGAAGGATACGACCTCCACGACCCATTCGACGCCGTGCGAAGCCGATGCAACGTGGCCTGTAAGATTAGCCCGATTCGGAGTGAGTATGGGCATGGAAATGAGCCAAATATAATGGCAAACAAACCTTGGATAATTGAGGGAGGTCAGTGTGTAACGGTATTTCGCATCCGAGCCAGCTCCACTGGGCGCCATCTCCTCGTCGGCTGAGTCCCACGGATAGCGACCATCTCGTTGTCGAGTCTGTAGAAATATAGGATCAATTAAATTCTGGCTTAAAGCTCATATCCAAAACACTTACCGGCAGGTAAATACAGCTCAACTTGCGCCTAAATGCAAACGACGTCTCCTCCTCGCTCTCGGAGCCCATTTTGTTGCCATTCTGGGCACCGGTGCCGAAGTAATCCTCCTCCTCGCTGTCTGCGATCGAGTCGTTGGCTGCCGGCGAGGCACTCTGTTGTCTGCTGAGGTGATGCAGATGGTGGGGCAGGTGGTGCGCGGGCGATACCCCGGCGCCTCCAGACGCCGGCAAATACTGTTGTTGCTGCTGCTGTTGGTGCTGCTGAGGCGGCTGCTGTTGGTGTTGCTGCTTGTCTCGGGGCAGTTTGTGCTTGCGCTTCTTGTAGGGTCGCTTCTCCTTGCGACTGCTGCTCCCGTTGCCGCTGCCACTGTTGATGGCATCTGAAAAAGGAGGATAAAATTACGATTTTAAAAAACTATGAAAGGGGAATTTTTTCCTGTTATATAAAAGTGTTTAAGCTATTGTGCATTTAATGAACTTAAAACTATGTAGGTATTCGATAAAATGTTGATTGTTATTTTACGAAGTTCTATAAGCAATATAACCAATTTATTATATCATAAGCATATAGTCTTGCAAACAGAGCTATATCAAATAAGTTTAGTTAAGTTATCCCTAAACCTATTTTGCATAAAATTCTTGTGAAATTCCTAATTAGTATAAGAAATATACACCCACCCTTACCCATTGTCAGATTCGACGTGTTCAGGTACTGCGACGCTGAGCCGTAGACATTCGCATTGCCCGCCGCTCCAACGCCGCCCGGCAGCAGACCCGTGGGCAGGGCGGCCAGAATGGCACCAGCCGTTCCCACCGCCGCCGCCCCTTGTGAGTATTGGTTCGTATACAATGGATTATACGCGGGTCTGCAAATAAACAAGGATTATTTCAGTACCTTTCTGCATAAGTAAAAGGCATCTGGAAACGCACCTTGTGTTCTTGTACTGAGAATTCAGCTCCGAGTAGACAGCACCATTGAAGTCGCGCATCTCAACGCGCTTCTCAAAGATGTTCACGGTCATCTTTAGATGATCCCGCTTCGTCTCCTCGCGTCGCCGCACCATCTCCAGTATAGTGGTGGCGCGCTGCAGGTCACGTCTACAGTACAGGCAAAGAAAAAGATGGATTAGTTTAGGGTCAGGTATAGAAAGCTGGGTAATAAAATATGCTGGGTTACGGAAACTACCTGGTACGGAATAAATGGAAATTTAATGGGAAAATTCCAGGTTAAAAGACACCTTGGACAAAAGGATTCTGTATGTAAAATAATATGACTAGGGTGAAATTTTAGATTTCAAGCAATAGCCATCGAATCAAAACATTCAATTAATAAGAAGGAATTTAAAAATAAATCTTTAAAATAACACCCATGGGCTACATTTGTTCCATAGATTAAGTAGAATATGATAAGCCAGCATTAACATAATTTCTCAACCGACATTAGGCAAACGTCACTCAATTCTTACCGCAGCTTGAGCATCTTCTCGTAGGAGGCCTCATCGTTCTTCCGATTCTTGCGGGTTTGCATTTTTTCGGTCCGCCGCCGGAAGGCCAAGTACGGATTGTTGGAGCTGGCGCCGGGTCGACTCTCTGTTTTCACCGTGAGAATCAGCGGGTGTTGCTAGAAGGTGATAGAAGACATTAATTAGTATAAACGTTATTTTCATAACAAATCGAAGGTATTATTACCATTTTGAGGCGTTTGTTCAGCCAGTAGTCGTAGACGGATATGCTGGTCTCGTCGTCCTGGTTGAGCAGGGACTTGGCCTCGTTTAGAGTTACCACGGTTTGGCCGGAGCTCTTTTCCAGCCGGTCCATCATCTGCTCGAACTTGAGCTCGGTGAGCTCCAGACGCTGCTGCTGACTAAGCCAGTCCTCATCGGCACTGTCCATGTCATAGTCAGGGACCTCGGTATCCAGCCCAAGAGCTAATAAATAAGAAAATCATTTATTAGTATTCCGTCATATCCTGAATATCATTAAACTATTTTAAGATCCTTACGTTGCATGTGTATCATTTGGCGGGGCATCTTGTAGTCCGGCGGATAGTAGGCATCGTAGAAGGGCTGGTCCGTCTGCAGAACCTCGGGCGTGGGGATGATCAGGCCCGTGCATATAGCGCGTTGCAGATGGTGTTCCTACAAGAGGGGTCAGGGTCAAAATTAGTATCCGTTCTGCAAGTGTCTCAAAAATGACCACTTACCGACTCTTCCTCCTTCTCCATGCCACTGGGCATCTGCGGTACCGCCCGGTTGATGGCTGAGTACTCGGGCAGGTCCGGCAGCTCCTCCGCCAAGTAGATGGGCATCTGCTTGGACGGATCCAAATGGCGGGCTCTGAACGACAGCTTGGACATCTTGCTGGCTTTTGTTTAGATTTTGGGTAGTGGTTGTTGTGGGTGTTTTGTGGGTTGTTGTGGTGTGTGGAACGTTTTTATTTGCTGTTGCTGTGGCTGTTTTGAGTGCGTTTGCCTAGTGGAATTGGCTGCTTAGGTGGCTATGGATGCTATGGAGGCAACGATTGCTCCGGCTGTCCAACTGCAGTGGGCAGATTTTGTGCTGCTACTGCTACTTTGGATTCTGGAGGATCTACTCCGATGCGTGACCGGCGTTGTGTTGGTTCCTCTACTCGCTGATGAGGGGGCTGTTTTCGTTAGCTGGACCTGGAGTTGGACCTTCTTGGGGCTCAACAGGTGCTCCTGCTTCTGAACCTGACACCGATCCCGATCCTGAGCACCGGGGCTGCGGTGGCTGTGGCTGCTCTGCCAGCTGGTTAACGCAGCCCCTGTGCCCGTTGCCCTGGCCGAAGACGTAGTGCCACTGCTGGTAAGGTTTGGATGTGGATTGGCGACTATATAGGGCGTGTCCTCCTCCCCCTGGACACCGTCCACCACCTTCTCCTCGTCCTTCTTCTTCTCCTTATCCTCCTCCCGGTCCTCCTCCCTCGGCTGTCGTCTTTGATCCTCGCGAACTCTAGCTGACTGCGCCGACAGCAGGATAATGGCCAAGGGAATGAACTGGTGGCAATTACGACGACAACGCAGTGGTAGCAACAACAGTGACAGTAAATGCAGCAGATGTGTCGACGACATTTTTCACGTTGAAATCGAAGGTTCTGTGTGAATTGGCATAATTACGTTCATCAAATTTGCACATTTCAGTTCATCATCGTTTTAGGCTAAATCGGAATTGTGTTCTTGTTTTTGTTTTCTTCCTCTTCTTGTTATTATTTATTATTATTTCGCCTTGGCTTTCGTGTTATCGGTTGGCTGATAAAAAATCTAGAATCGAGAACAACAACAGAAAACTAGTAAGTAAACAATCGAACACACACACGTAAGCATTTAAATGTGATGGATAGCGCGCGCGGGAAAAATATCACAAATAAACGCAGACCCACACATATGTATCATGTATTTTTCTTTACTTTTGCTTTAGATTAATAAAAACACGCACAAAAACATGCTCACTATGAATCATTTGCTTCTGCTTATTACGTTCTGTTTTTGTCTGTTATTAAAATGCGAAAAAATGCAAAATCATACAGACGACGAAGAAAAAGGCGGCATAAACAAACACACGCGCGCAAACACACATCTCAAACAAATGCGGCGAATTTAATACTGCTTTTTCCGCGAGGTATTTCACTTTGCAGTACCCTGTTAGCTAACATTTTGTTTGTACAGAACTCTGTTATGTGAGAAAAAAAAACGCAAACTCCGCCTCATGTGGGTTTTGTTTTTTGCTTTTATCCACCAAATTAGTAATTAGCCGCCAAGTGCGTGTATTTTTTTAGGCCAGCGCTATTTTTTCACACACTTTACCGCACTTTTCATGCATCAGCGAGCTCAATCTGGTTGATAAATCGGTCGAAAAATTTACACATATAAACCCGATTTTGCGTATAGCGTGGTTTCGCTGGAAAGCAATAATGGCGGCCAGAGAGCCGAACACCGACGACGCCGAGGACTGCTGGGCCGCGAATAATTTGATCCGTCGGCGGCGATAACGATAAGCGGTTGCCGATATATTATCCTTATTTTCATTTCCCTATATCATTAACTGTTTGTTTAAAATGTAATATTCACATTTGGAATTTATCGTTTTGCTTAATATTCTTTTTTCTTGTAAAATATACAATTTATTTTTGCAATTGTTATCGATAGATCGCCGTTGGCCACACTTAATTGCCGGCCTCTCACTGCGGTTACACTCCGAACGTTACATTAGCGCCTCCTAGCGAGCTCCTCGCACACTAGATGCAACGCTGCATGATTTTTTTTTTCACAAACAAAAAAATCGATTTAGATTTTTTCATGCACATTTTTCACTTTATTTGCGAGGCATTTATGCCAATAATATGATCAAACGATCTGATTTTCAGCGTATTTACCACTGCCACACCGTTTACAGCTAAATTTAAGCAGTTAGGCTAACGCAAACGTTCGATTTTGTTCTTCAGCAGCGGGACACGTTTTTACTTATGGGCGGCCATTACGAATGAAATTTCGGAGTTGTCGGAGTCGAACGAAATCGTCGCCAGAGTGGCGAAATTATTTTGGCTAGGCCTCTAGGCGAAGTAGGTAACCGTTTTCAGTGCGGTTTTCGGCTAAATCTGTGGAATTTTGAGATGGGTCGGATGCATACATTGGGACAGCTGGGACCTAGCTGCATTTATTTAATTTGTTGTTAATTTACGCAGCCCAAATAGACCAGCTGCCCAGCTAGTGGTGGACGAATTATTCGGAGTCGCAAGGCTTTAGGGTATTTTGTTTTGTTATCGAAAGTACTCACCCTTGCGTTGACAACTGAAATAAACTAACGCGTAGGTTTTTAAATTTGAAGTTTTGAATTTGTTGAATGCATTTATTCTTAACGGTTATTGCGAATATTGAGACTGATATCTTACCCAACAATATTCCATATATTAAAATTTTTAAATCTTTTAGAAATGTTATTTTATTTGAATTGTCTATTTTATTTGGGAACACATGAAAATTGAAAACTGATTTTACCTTAAAAAAGTTCACTTTATTTATTCGTTTAAATGCTTTTGTTTTATTATAATCTCTTACAAGGCTTTTCGTACTCGCTGTTTTGCTTAACTTTGTTTATTTGCTAGTTACAATGTCTTGATAGTTTTAAGGTGCTCGTTGACTTTTCATCTCTTTTCATTTTTGGTTTTGGAATACAATTAAAATATTGTCGACATTCTTTAACAATTTCTGGGAGTAATGCTGATTTGGCCAAGCGATTTTGAATGGTAATTTATGTTGGTATATATATTTGTCCAGCAAAGCGAGTTGGAAGCACCTGCTTAGTAAAAGTTAAGCCTCAAAGCTTTGTTTTTAAAGCCCCAAGCAGAAGAAGCTTGATTTGATTAGATCCCGCGCCGATCCTCCAACGGGTTTTCAGCTGCTTTAGTATCCTTAGTTTTCTTCGGATTATTTTGTATCTTTTTTTTTGTATTTTTATTTTTGGTTAATGGCCGCACGGACGTTCACAATTACAGTTGGGGCGGCGACCGCCTGTGGCCAAGAGCGATTTTTGGGGGGAATATTCGCCGGTTACAGGCGGCGCCCGATTTTTTCATTTCTACCCTCGAAGTTTCAGCTGCTCGGCAATGCACGCGCTCCTGCCGTCCACAAAATGCAAGAATTTAATTTTATAAAAAAATTATATAATATTCGGTTGTATTTGTGGAACGGCTGTCGCGGCATTGCGACCACTGTGGCATGGATTGCGATGGCGTACATGATGAAAAACATAGTCAGACAGTGGTGTCGTATGTGAAAAAGCACCATTTTCGTGGGTGGCTGTGGGTGGTGGGGCGTGTCGCAGCTGTGAGAGAGAGATCAAGAGCTCTCTGTCGCACCTGCGCAATCTTGTTGGTGGTGGAAAACAGTGGCGTACAAAGGTGAAGAGGTTTTCTTTAAACTGAAATAGCCCCTTTTGACATTTTCCATTGTACGCCACTGGTGGAACATATGTGAACGCCATCTGCGCAGGCGCCACCTGGCGAGGTGGGCGAAGAAAAGGTGAGTTGAGGTGAGTGAGTGAGTGAGCGAGTGGTGGGGAATACCAGATGTGAGCGTGGTGAGCTGAAGTGTTAACTGAATTTAAAATCTGAATTATCTGCTATTATCAAGATGGATAATCGAACTAAAGAGCCAACCAATAAATCAACTTAAAACATAAAAGCGACTGCTGATTCTTCTAGAGAGTTGGTTTTGTGGGCTTTTTGTGTCTCTTTGGTTTTATCTCTTTTCTTTTGCAATATTCATCAACCAATACCAATAATCAGTTTAGTTAGCATTGCGCTATATTGGTAAGATCTTTGATATTAATTTAGTGCTTTTTGTATTGTGAGGAATCTATGGATTTGAAGCTAAGGCCCACCATTGTCGGGCTCTGCGAACGGTTTTAATATTCATGTTTTTGTCTGAAAAAACGCGCCTACAAGTAGTAAAAATTTACCATTTGTTTTATAGTATATTCATGAGTTGGTTGATCGTTTTCTCTAAGTGCATCGCTAATTCTGTAACTGTATCGTATTTTCTGTATATATTTCGCTAACATTCAGTGAGTGTTTTTGTGTTTTTGCGTGTACTTCAATTGTTGCTGTTTTTTTTTTTAGTTTAGTTTAGTTTATATGCTACAGGTGTGGCTCTAGTGAAAGAGTTCTATGTGGTTTCTGTTTTGGAAGAAAGTTAGTAAAAATAGTCTTAAGATCAAACAGAGTTGTTAGGATAGTGTGAGATAGTTAAACAGATAGAAAGATATACAGAGAGATATAGAGGAGATACAGAGAAAGAGAAATATAGAGTATGTTGGCGCTGAGATAGTTGATGTTGAAACTACAAAAAGTACTAAATTAAAATATGTTATTTTTGCACTACATAATCCGTGTGTATTTTATTTTTGTTTTTTGTTTTGTTTTTAACTTCATTGCCTTTTTTCGATTAATGTTTATTGTTTTTGTTTTTGTTTTTGTTTAAACTTTGAAACGCATTAACCGTCAATCAATCAATCAAATACTGGTTATAAGAATATTGTCAACATTCACAAACCAAAATCGGTTAGATATTTGTGGTTAAAATATATAAGTTTATCTGTTATCGAACAAACCAACATACCAGGAAAGCAAGAAACCATACAAATCGAACAGAAAAACGAATGGTGTAAACATTGCATTGGGGATTTTCGCTAAGTGTAGGGGGCTTCTTTTCGTGGAGGGGGGCTAGGAGGCGGGAAGGGTGCTGGATCGAGGGAGGAGTGAAAGTGTGTGTTTGTGTGTGTGTACCACCAAGATAGGCCGGCTAAAATCCGATATCCCATCCATCTACGAGCGAGGCAAGATCGAACTAAGAAAACGGTGCGCAACTGTACTTGAATTTTTTGGATTTAATTTGTTTTTTTTTTTCATTTTTGGGTTGTTTTGGCTTGTGACTTACCTGTGCCCAAGCAACGAAATTAATTCACATGCTTCCCGGTTGGACGGATATGGATATTCTATTGTTTTCTTTTTTTTAGTTAGTTTTTTTTTCGTTAAGCATTTTTGAACTAAAGCCAAGTCTAGGGGTAAGTATTATACAAATGCGTGGGCAAAAGTGCACGAATGTTGAAAAGTTGGTTAAGTGAGTAGCAAGTAGATAAAGCAAATATAATAGCTAAAAGTTAACGGCAAAAGTTGAGAGTAAATTTTGCTAGAGATATATACGTATGGTAAAAATGGTTGTTTATTAGCCAATCTTCAATTATACAAATGAAAAGTTTTACGCTTAGAATACAAAACTTCAAGTCGAATACTCTAGTCGAGATGATAATAATCATAACTATTAATTCATAATATTAAGTCAAATTCCAAAAATGTAAATCATAAACTATGTAAGCTATAAGTTCCGATTCGATTCGATTCGTTTTAAAACTATCACTAGCATGAATGAGAATTGATTCAATTTCAATTTCATAATGAGGGATACGGGCTGTTAACGGATCTTGGGTACGGGATCGGAATTTGGGATCGGGTATCATCTACTTACAATCTAATTATCACTTGTTGAACATAAACCAAAAGGGACCAGGGTGATCGGTACTTTATACAGTTTTGGTGCTGGTGGCAGGTTCTATGAGGTTAACTACACTAAGATCGATAGGTCACCAAAGTTCGGTCTCATTGTTGCTTCGTTACGTGATATGATGCGTGGGGATTATTTGTGTTCTTTTTTTTTTTTTTTTTTTGGATTTTTTAAGGTCCAAGCGAGAACCGAGAGTACAGCTTAATGGCTAAGATCTAGGATACAGAGTATTAACAACAAAGTAACGTTTTATGCATTATGGAGTTCACTTCCGACTTTGGAATAAACAAGATGAGCAAATGTTCCACTTGGTCACTGCAAATACTTTTTGGATGATATTTGATATTTCTTTTTTGGGTTTTCGCTTTTGGTTTTTGGGGCTGACTATATATACAGTGTGTCTCTGGGGTGTCGAGTTATTCCAAGTTTACATATGATTTAGACAAATGTTTAAAAGTAAGTCTATAAACGTATTAAGGTGTGAATCGATTACTGGCTTCGGTTTTTTCTTTTTGGTTTGGCCCTCTGGTCGGGGGCATTTACAAATGTAAGTAACAACGAAATCAAAATGTAATAATCACTACAATTCCTACTTAAGCGCTACATGCTTCAGCTTTAGCATCAACAACATGCAATTCAAATACCGACTACGAGTTCGGATTCAGATTCGATTTCGATTGGAATCGATAACTCGCATCTCAAGAACTCTGTGCATCCAAAGCTCGCTATATATAGTGTCTGTGTTTACTGTGTGTGTGTGTGTGTGATAGTCAAAATTGAGAAAGCCTTCTGTCTTTGGAAGCTTTGGTATGCATTCACATTCCTTGGATCGGTAACTCGAGCTTTCGCTAGGTGCTGATCAAAAACTACTCGAAGTCCGTTCTTCTCAGGACTGTGCTCCAAAATCAAATCAATCGTAAACTGTTATCGTAATGAAATCAAATCAAGCTACAAATCAAACGCTTAGATAGAGATAGGAAGAGAGATAGTGAGTTCGTGTAGGGTATTTATCTATGTGTGTTGTATGTTCTATATGTTCTGAGAGTGTCTGTATGTGTGTGTGTGGATATCTGTGGGTGAGCCTAACACTTTCTATCTGCTGAGCAATCGAGAAATTAGCCATGACACTGCCACTGCGATGGGTATGAGATGCAGCTGGCAACCGTTAGTGTGTAAATTTTTACTAGAATTGCACATATCTTCCTCACAAAAGCACATATGTCCATTGCCTGAACTTTCCATCATGCACACGTGATCGACCATGAATAAATTGATCTGTAACTGTGACGTACACATGCGTCGCACCACCTCGTACGCTGCAAGATAAAGAGAGAGAGAGAGAGAGAGAGCAAGAGAAGAGAGAGAGAGAGATGGGGACACGGACACACAGAGGTGTTGATCAATCAGTCAATGGGTAATCAATTCGCAAATAGGGGACATGCAAGTACAGTCGCGTACAATGTCCTGGGTACAGTAGTGTTGGGGTTGCAAAGTACTCACGTGATCTCTGATGCCGCACCATTTTTACGCAGCAACCGTTGCAGGTCATCAAGGGCGGTTGGTCCCTTGGCAGGGCAGTATAGTTGAAAGGATCCTGGATGAAAACGTAAGTATTAATCTATTTCGAACATTTCGATAACTATTTTCCAACCTTGCAGCGGGCATCTGTCCAGGAATCGCACTCATAGCAGTAAATCGATCGCGCTATATCAAAGAATATATTGTTATTATCAACTTCTTAATACTTTATGCTTCTCTGCTGAACTTCGGATTAGTTTGAGGTTAGGTTAGCTTGGGTACAGGAACGCCAGTAACACGTGCAACAGACAAAAGCATGCCAAGTGTTGCCAACACAAAACAAACAGCAGGCAGAAAACATTTATCGATACCAATTTGGAAATCAACAGGTGGTTTTGCTTTCTCTTGAATAGTTTTTTTGTGATATTTAAGCAGGTGTTTCGTAACATATCTAAAGACAAACCTACGTTTGCAAAGAATAATTGAAAAAACCGAAAAACACATTTATGTAGAAGGATTTACTGGGGGATGCCTTTGATGGAAAAGTGTCTTTTCAAAGCATGCAACCGCACTCACATACTGGTACACCACATACAGACACACACAGATAACTAGGATAAAGTAACGGTTTTTCTGGATATAGTTGGCTTCAGAGCTTTGTTCTTGATCTTTGCTTTTTTCGACTTAAAATGTGAATTCGAATAATATGTTAAATAAAAAAAGGCAATGCTTAACTGAATATAAATCATCTTTAGGTTTTGACTTTATTTAATTCCGAAACTCACTTTACCACAGATTGAACACCTCATTCAATGAATTCTTGAAGGATAGTTGAAAGGAAATAAAACTTAAAATGGCAGGAAAGTCTAAAAAGCCTTAGTGCAAAACAAACTAGAGTAAGAAGAGAGTGCAACCGAAAGAAATGTGAATTTAGGAAAGACTTAGAGAGGGGATGCCCCAAAGAACTGAATGGATATTGGTGGCAAAGCTTTAGGTATGAGCGAAATATAGCTCCGATCTATCGGTCGATCGGGCATTGAATATACGAAAACGAAAACAGATCTTAAGTAACACTGATAATCCAAAAATATTCCTTATTCAATGGCGAACTCGAAGTAAACCGATTCGAGTTAGTTAGAAATAGATTGATAATACATATACTTATGCATGACTCATATTTTCTTATATTTTGGCAAAAAGGTAATCGATAGGTTTAAGCAAATGGTTTCTGCTTTGGAATGGCAATGGACTCATACTTTGACATTCGGCTGAGGTCTGCGGAATCCATATGAAAGTTAGAAATCCGATAACGGCTGCAAATAAATAATGGAAGAGAGAGAGCAAAGTAGAAGTGGGCAGTAGAAGGAGCACGAACCAAAGATACAAAATCAAGGGGGGTTTCGTTTTAAGGAAGTTGAGGATCAGACAATGCCCCGTGACAGGTACAGTTGAGTCTTAAGCCTGTTTCAGTTCCAAAATTTCCCTAAAGCAAGCCAAACTGTACCTACCATTGAGTTATTAGCTGAAGTTTTAAGGTTTTGAGGAGAAAATAGAGTTGGTTGGGTGAAATGTTTGACAATCTACACATGTTGAGGGTGACTAATCTCGATATTCACAGTGTTCCAATGCCATTCGTTTCCACCGCCTACTTGAAAACATTACCAAGGTGACAGTGTTGTAAAAGGCACAGAGGAAAGACAATTTTTATACAAATTACGTTTACATTTTTTTTAGTGTGAACTTCACTGCAATTCAAGACGCATACGTGTTGTTGTTATTATTATTATTATTGTTGTTGTTGTTGTTGGATGTGACCAGGAATATGCAATATATATGGGTAGATAGAATGTATATAGAGTACAGACAGCTGCTTACAGTCGATATACGAGTATAACGGCATTTACAATCAACGGCACGTACGAAACGAAACCAATAATCAAAATCAAACCAAACTCAAATCGAACGCAACAATTGCTTTTCACTTTTTTACAAGGGATTATTTTTCTTTTTTTTTAATACTTGTTTTGTTTTGTTTTTTATTTTAGATTAGTACAAAAACTGAAGGTAATTTTGTTTTTGAAATCGAATGGTTGGGGGGGAAATCATACGCAAAACGAAACTTACTTGGAAAACAATTATCGGTGGTAGCGAATTTTGCCAATGCCAAAAAAACTATAGATTTATCATTTTTGTTACCGATGGAAAATGAAAAATAAAAATAATGTAAAAAATGTTTTCAATCAAATTCAATTGAATTGTGAATGGCTTAGCAGCTAAAAAGGCAAAAGGAAAATCAATTATCTCGCTGCGCTATCTAAACAATTTCGATCATTTCGCACTTAAATGGAATTTCCCTAAAAACTCATTCAAATTTATGTTTATAGTCCAGCGAACATTTCACTTTCCTAATTGAATGAAATACAAAAATATAGTTCATATTTCATTTCCCTATATTTAATGATTAGTTCTCAGTGTCTCTGTTTTATTGCCGAAACGAATAAACCAATAATCTTGTGTATATAAAAATTCCTTTGATCTGTGTGAGAGACTAAGGTTATGGTCCATAAAGCAGCGGGAACTTATGCTGGCTAGCTCTTTCGGTTTATTGTTCGGCTTCTGTTTACCATTAAATTCGATGTGCTGTTGACCTTTGTTCATTAATAATTTGATGATTATTTCTATTGCTATAGCTGAGTGTTTTGCTTGATGGGTGTGGTGATGGATGAGTGAAGGGATTACCTGTTAAGACCAACAGCCAATTGCCGACTGCATTTCTCTGCGTCGACATCTTGGTCGCTTTTCCGGCTTTCCACCCACCTGAAATTATAGGTTTAATATGTTATTTTAATTTGGGTTAAGTTAGCCTAAGAACTTACTTAAAGTGGGCCTTAATTGTCTGAGGTTTTACTATCTTCTGTCTGCAATCTGCACTCAGGTCCTGTTCCTCCAGCGAAGCATTATGCTGCCGTCACTAGAATGGGTATTAAGTTTAAAAATTATTCTCTGATAATTACTCAAAATCACATCTAAATTTACAATAACAAACCTTCCTAAGACAACTAAAATATTTTCTTTATTTACCAAAAAGTTTGTAGTGCTTAAATCTGAGTTTTATAATCAACAAATTCCAGCAATTTTCCCTCCTTTAAAATCTGTCCTATTTTTAATCCCTAGAGATTTCCCACAATAGAATTTGGAGGCACAAGAAATTAACACTTTCCGGAATAACGAGCAACTCTGGTTTCCCAACTTTTATGGCGCGTTAATGGTGCACATGGGCGAGGGTTGACCGAAGAGTTGCCCCAAAAATGATTTGTGGCAACACTTAAAGTTGCCATGGAACAGCCTCAAATGTGTACGTCAATATGACAATATAAATATATGACAATCTATATATATATATGTATATATATATGGTGTATATATAAGTAGATCAAAAACGAGGCTCTAAAAATAGAGAGGCACAACCTCTAATAAGTGTTCTAGGTCAATCAGTGCGTGTGTGAGTGTGTGTATTTCGTGTGATGGCTGAGTTCAAGTCACGGCTGCTGGTGATGTCAATGGTTCTTGGCTACCCTGTGATTGACCGGCTGTTCGAATGCTAAACATCAGTATCAGCATTTCACACTCTGCTCTGCATTTTACACACATTTCTTGTTCGGTTTTGCCTGAATTTATTGTGGCATTTTTTGCATTGAACTTTGGCAAAGTGTCAAAACGATGCGAGGGCGGGCGACCAGAGAAGCGCGAGGGGAGCGACAGACGAAACTATTTATATTTATATGTATGCCAGTGCTAAAAATATTCTTAAAGCAAATGGAAATCAATGTGGGTTGATGGACTATAAGCTACTCCTTAAAAATCTTATTATTTAAGTATTTACATGGATATTATTTATCATCAACATTTCATATTACGAAGACTACAAAATTTTTAAAATTATGGTTCTTGTCTAGACTAACCCTAACCCCAATCTAAGCCATGAAACTTTACTATTTTATTGTCTGTGACAATTTATAAAAATAAGAGCTTTATAACCTAGGAATTGCTTCTATAGGAGTGATTAACCAATTATTTTTGAATTTTATATAATAAATAGAATTATTATAGTAATGTACTAATAATCTTAAATCTTATTCCTTTATCACAGCCGTAAGCTTCCCTTTTCGTTGTGCTGAGAACTCAAGTTAGGTTTTCTAAGATTTCTACTAAAATACGATAAATCACCAAGATGCCCTGCTTTATAAACCTATATACCCCATACAACCGCCAAGAAATCATTAAATTACCGCCCGGTCTATCGATCTTTTCAGGTTAAGGTTTTAGCTTGGCACTAACTAAATTTAGAGCAAAATTCCGCCAATATTGAAGACTCTTTAGTGGGGCAAGCCCGTATGTGATTAGACCGCAACACCGCTGCTGCATTTTGGCAAAGTGGATCAGAATGTGGTTCAGTATTCCGCCTGCCGTTCAACAAGTGTTTGCAATGCCACCATTTCAGCTGCCGATCGCATTTCATTGGCCATTCATCAAATTTTAATGGCACTAACAAGATAATTGCATGGTGCTTCGGGTTAAGAGCAACGCCCATGGTTTTGTTTTGGTTTATTTTCGCTCCTTTTAAAGCCATTAAGTACTTGCCTTTTGTCCTAGTTACTGACTAACTGAAATTGACTTTTCGTTCATGCCTGTCAGTGTTTTTTGTTTTTTGTATTTTCGTTGGCCCAAAACACACACGCGAGTATTGATTTTGTGTGTGGTGTTGTGTTTACGCGACGCTGCAGCTTCTCCACTTTTCCCCAGTCACTTTCCACTTTTGCTTTCCTTTTCCCGTTCCCTTCGTTTCACACTTTTCCGGGCCGTTGTTTCATAATATGTTCCCGATTCTCGGAATCGATTGACCAGCTTAACTTGGCCAACTTATGTTTTCAACCTTCTTAGGGCTATTCCACTGCAATTTGCATTTGACCCTCGCCGTGGTCTCTCGGTCGCCTTTTCCCCGTCGATTTGTGACTTTTCCTTCACTGTGTTTTCCTATTGATTTACGGCTCTCGCTCACACAACACAACACTTTAGTGCATCATTCGGCTGCCTTGATTTTCAAACTGGCTTTTCAATTAACCGTGCTCACTTGCCAATTGTTTAATTCACTAATTTCCATAATTTATCAATTGTTAAAAGATAAGTTAATGGCAATTTCTGCTCGTTGGCTTTTTATATTTGTTAATTTTGTAATTTATTTAGCAGGTCACACGCAACGACATTGACAACGACGGAGACGACTGCGGATTTTCCGATTTTCCCTTAACGCTTTTTGACAGTTTTGGCGCATGACGCTTTTGCCGTATGCTGCGAGTGAGCTTTTCGGCATAGTTAGTGTTGGAAAATGCGTCGGGGAAAAGCTTACAGCATAAGCTTTTCGTGGCGCGCATTTTTAAGGTGGGAAATGAATAGAAATTTAAATTTATTCTTGTTAAAAATGTCAATAAGAGATTAACATAATGAGGAAGTGCAAATATATTAATATTATTTTAAAAATATTTGAAAATTAATGTTTCCTGTTGTGAATATATTTATAATTTTTTTTGTTTTTTTTTCCATTTTCCTCTTAAATAATATTCAAAACTCTCCTTTTCAGTTAATGTTTTCCACTTTATTGTGAACGCTTGAGAGTACAAGTAATTTAGCTTTGTAGATTGCATTTCTTTTTTTTTTTTGGGGCAGCTTACACGTTTACATATTAGTTAATTAAAAAATGAACTTTTCATGAATAAATACATAAATACATAAATACGCACGAACGGGGAAGTACACGACATAAGTATATGATAGACACTGAAATGAATGGATTAAACGAATAAATCTCCACTCTCTCCCTCTCTCTATTTCTAGATTCGAGTCGCTTTGATATCCTTAGACTTAGGCATAGTCGCGGGCTCCCTCCAGTTTGCGCATCTGAAAGGTTTAGAAATATGATAATACCGTAATTAGTTGGGTATCTAAAGCAGGGATGCAAACCGATCGAAAGTGTGGACGGGTTCGGTTGGTAGGATCACAGATCTATATCTTAACAACGGTTCACAACAGTGGCTTAGATTAGTTTTGCGTGCAGGTAGCAATAGCTTTAGTAAACGAATATCTGCTGCTAAAGCGATAGAAATTAAATATTAAATTTAAGAATTTAAGCAAGTAAAATTTACTAACTAAGGTTATGATCAGTTTGCATCCCTGAAATCAAGTAAGTTTGGGGTATTTACAATGCAGTTAGTGAGTGTGTGAGAGGTGTTTCTATGTGTGTGTGTGTGTGTAATGAATAGATGAGATCATTGATCTGTGATCACTGATCAGTAGAATGACTCCTCGCTCCATGCGCTTATCAACCTGACTCTCACCTCACGTTCATCGGCGTGCGTTCGGTACTTCTCCGATGCCTCGTTCACCTTCGGCACTGGTTTCGCCTCCAGGACCTGTGTGTACAGCAGGGCAGCAGCCACACCTCCCAGCACTGGTCCCACCCAGTATACCCAGTGAGATGTCCAGATATCGGTGGCAAAGGCAGTGCCCACTGTACGGGCTGGATTCATGCTGGCTCCGGTGTACCGAATGGTACCCAAATGACCCAAAGTCACTGCCATGCCAATGGCCAGGGGTGCCGTGTAACGAGAGTCGGGCTTGTTGGGATCACAGGCTCCGAAGACAACGAGAACCAGCAGAAGTCCCAGGAAGAACTCGATTCCCAGGCCCTGCAGTTCCGTGATGTTGTTCGCCAACGAGGTGTGACCCAAGCCATTGTAGTAGTCGGCATCGATGAGGGTCTAAGGGAATATATTTTATGAGAAATTCTTTATTATTCTAATTAAGAAGTATGACTAATTGCTTGTTTACTAAGTTTTAAATATGGAATATTTGTTTTCTAATAAAATAGTAACAAAATTAAGTTGTTTTTGAGTCATTTTCATAGTCATTAGTCACATGAATTTTATGGCAAGTGCTTTGGATTGAATCATGGACTTAAAAGCATGTTTTTAATGTTTATAAAAACTTATTTTTTAAAAAATAAGTAAGGTTTAAGATACTTGTGTACAGTATAAATTCAAGGTTTTTATTCTTAAAATTGATAACACAAGCTTTATGGAATATGTAATTTAAAAAAGAAAAGATAAAAATAAAATGCAGCTCAAGTTTGTTTCTGCACTTAAGAATTATCAACATATTAAGAACACGAGCTGTTGACATTGCCACAGCCGATTAATTTATCTACTCAATGAAGGAAAACAATTGCCGAAACTCAAGTCACTTTTTAAGCCACAACCGGATGTGGAACAATCAAAAAATGTATCATACGAATGACACCATACCATGGCTCATGGCACTGAGATCAGTGCACTTGAAATATATTTTGATAAGTTATTGAAAGTTATTTTATATTATTATATATAAAGTGTGTAAATCTTTAAACACCTTCTCACCTTAACAGCTGCCGTTCCAGCAATGGAACCCAGACACTGGAATATGACATAGAAGAACGCTCTGATCACGCTGATTCGTCCAGCAACCAACATGCCAGCGGTAACAGCAGGATTCACATGTCCGCCACTCAAGTGGCCAACAATCTGTAAAGCAGTATTAACTTATTAAAAACTCTAAAGTATCTTGGTAAGAACATCTCACCGTTATGGCCATGAAGATGGCCAGGCCAAAAGCCAGGGCCTTAAAGGTTCCATCCTCAATTTGAGTGCATGCACCGCAGGCAAAGAAATTGAGGATCAGATTGCCCAGGAACTCTCCGATCAGGGCCTGCCACAAACGCAGCTCCTTGGACTTGAGCTGGGTTAAATAAATATTTTATTTTAGTTTCTTAATATTTTTTTATTTATAATTTAAGAAACTTTTCTTAGAGCCAAACTCACCTCATTGAGACCCAGTGAATACTCGAACTTTCCCATCTTTTCCGCTTTGCTTTCCAACTAAAACTGGCAGACTGAAAAGAAAATTGCAAAGAAAAATCAGCAATGCAAATCGCAATCAAAATCGTAAATGGAAATGTTTTTTGAAAATATATGTGGACAATTGTCGGACATGAACAGGTACTTAACCACCAATGATGGTCACTTTTTGCACTCATTTAAGGTGCGAAATTGTTTTGGCCTTTGGCGACACTTTAACTATCTGCATTTCCGCTGCAATTGCCTAGGTTTCCTAATAAGTTGACACTCATGTCTGGTCTTTAATTAAAACAGACTTAGTTTTGGTTGGGCTTAGTAAGAACAGAAGCTAGAGAAGACTTTATAGCTTAAAGTAGAGTGAAAAGTATTTTTACTGCCATAAAGCAGAGCCAAATCTTCATTTAATCATTTATTTTTCAGCTGTTTGGGCATGTTTATGTACTTTACTTAACCCTTTGTCGCTGTTAAAAAAGTGGGGCCATAAAGGATCCCTCTTAACTCTACGAATAGCCCATCTTATCAGCAATTGCAGCTGCATGTGAGAAAATATCAGAGCAAACAGAATGTATGATATTTAATTGGCAACGAGTCATAAAAGTGAGGTAAATATTTGAGCACTCGAAACTGAGCAGTTAAGGGGTTAAGGGGGATCTCAGGAGGCTAACTCACCGCGGGGGGATTAGGCCTGTTTTTCTGTTTCTACAGAGAGTGGAAACTGTTTGCTTTGCTGTTCTTATTTGGCACAATGCGGTCACGATCAGAACCAAAAATGGGCTAAGACTTGTTGACCATGCCCCCACATCAGCCTCAAGAGCTTTACAAATATATAAATATATATATAAAGATATATATATATCATATAGCATACAGCATATTCGATTTGTAATTTTTCCATGCGATCAATCAGCGTCCGTTCAATGTTAATTCCCATTTTGTATGCTCAGAAAACTCTTCAAGTTGCTCATCACTTTTTCTATTTCTATTTTTCTAATGCAATCTTAATGAATTTCGTGTCTTATTTGCGTCATCTATGGGTCCCCCCGTATCGATATCAGTCAATAGACTCAAGTGCTCTGATATGGAATCAGTTCTGAGAGTTCTGAGAGGCAAAGGAGTGTGCTGGATGAGCAGATAGTAATTGAATTGACTTAAGGTTGGTCTTGCGGATAACTTGAATGCCTTGTAATAGAGATAGAAAAAATAAAACAACCAACCCACACACAAACATTCCCATTGACTGACAAACCCAAACTGGGTGAAAAACCTGTGAGTTTTAAATATTTGTCATAGCCCGGGGTTAATCATCAGCATTGTGATTTCAGTAATTTCAGCATGTAATTATAAACTCAATTACGTTCCATGAAAAGTTATTATAATTGGCCAGCTACTAACTAACATTCCATAGTTCAGATTCACACTATTTTCACTATACTCTTCTTTCAGGCTTATTAACGTCCCTATCGCTGAACTAAAAGGTGTAAAACAAAAACGTTATGAGGGGGCCATGAAGAAAATCTAAACAATTAATCGGCTTTGATTAAAGTTTGTTTTGCGATTACTTTGGCTAGCAATTTCCAAAACGATAAGCTGACTTTATAATTGGAAACCTAATACCTCCAAACCCATTTTTCGCCTATTTGTGGAATTTTCAATAGCCAGCTAATAAGCGAGTCGAGTCCGTGCCAATTCGTTGAATATCCGAAACAATAATAAAGTAAAAGTTTGCTCAACAAATTGGCACAAACGGCGAGAACAATTCACACATATTTTCGCAGAGCCAACAAAGTCGAAATGCATTTCAACGCATTTCAAGTTGATTCCCCATCATTTGTGGTATTTTTGTTACTTTCGAAACGTGTATTAACGTCGGGTTCATGAACTTGAACTCAAACCGAAATGAACCGAAAAGGCGGCTGCTTAAAATGTGTGTTCCAATAAAATTTAATTACATGCAAAAATAATGAAGAATGTCGTTAAGAAATGTTCAAACAGCACACACAAAAAGACATTCGTCATTAATTAAAGGAAAATATCTAGATAACAGGCTTATAAATCTTCTGATGAGGTCATGTCTTTGGTTTTGGTTTCGTTATTGATATTGGTATGTATCTGTATATACATTTTTATTGACCATAAAAGTAGGTAAACAAATTATGTGGCCATTTTGAGGTTATTTTGTCTCTAAGGCTGTTTTAAGTAGGATTTATTGGCTTTAAAGTTATGGCTATTAGGGAATGTAGTGTGTGAAAGTAGTCAATTATTTTAGAAATATTGCTCTCACATGATGTTTACATAAGTTAGAATCATCTTTTAATGTTCTAAGGCGTTTGAGTATTTTATAAAAATATATTTTATCAACTTTAATCTCTTTTGTTAATATTTTCGACTTAAAACTTAAGGTAAAAGTAGTTTTTTAGCCTCTTAACGCCAGCAAAGTAATGTTAAATAATGTTTTCCTCTATTTTAAACTTTTTTTAACCTCTTTAACTCTTCACTAAGATCTAGCCCAGTCCCAATTGCGTACGTCTGCTGATGGCATTTGGCGATATAGACGTCTATTGCAATTGTTTGCCGCAACTTTGTCACTTAAAAAGCCATAAAACTTACTTAAGCTTTGAATTTGTATGCAACGCCAGGCGTAGGAGAAGCTGGAGTGATAAAAGGGGGGAAAGTACAGCAGCAATTGCAGAGTTACAGAGTTACTACCTCCCACACACACACACGTGTTGTGTCAAGGGGGGAGGGGTAGGAGTTTACAGTGAAGCCCGCATAAAGATGGCAAGCAGGCCACTCCAATTACCAAATCACAGAGCAGAAAATTGCCGTGGTCAACCCATCAATCAGAAGTGTCAGATATGAAACGAACTGAATGGCCGTAGGCTATGTAAGTCCCATTACCATATCATCGGATCATGGCATTGCCGAGTCTAATTAACCCTACAATACCAAAACATATAGAAATCTTAAAAGCTTAAACAGATCGCACGATCGCATCGTTTCACGCAACGATGGTTTCGAAAACAAAACAATATACAAAGTTATATGTTATATATAAATGTTTTTGGCAAGATTCTTATTCCTGTATTTGTGGCTTTTAATTACTCAGAATTACGCTGGCGGACAAAAAGTAAGAATTCTACATAAATTGTTATATTTTTACGATTGACACATGCGAGAGGCCATTCTTGCTGATTTTGTTTATCTCTTTTTATAGAAGAATCCAAGCGAAAAAGTAAAATCAAGATCAAAGTGGATTTGACAAAATATAAAGAAAGTGGGTGGAACAAAATGCAAGAAAGGTATAACAGCATAAGTTACAGTGCACTGGAAGAAAGTCTACAGTTATTGTTAAGATTTAAACTGATTTAAATTATTTAAAATGAAAAATGATGACAGATTCTAAGAATAAAAGTGTGGTGTATTGATTTTTAAATTTAATATATAAATTTTTTTATTGATTTATTTTAATGATTATAAAAGAAAACTTTATTAATTTAAGTGATATTTTGGTTTAACAATAATAATCAATATTAAGAAATTGAAATAAAATGTACAAAAATATATTCACTTGGAAAATGTTCTTTCACTGCTACGTTAATAACTAAAACAAGTAAATAAACTAATAAAAATTAATTAAATTAATTAGTATACAAATTAAAGTGATTTTAGTTCACAACTTAAAGTAATGAGGTTATCAAATATTTTTTAATTTTCAAGAACATAAAATTCACAACAACAAGGACATTAAACCCCTTATGCTGCTATGTAAATTTAAAACTATCCAACTTTGTCATTTATTAATAATCACTTTCAATTAGATGTTTACCTTGTTTTGTTATTAGCTCACTTTGGCACCTTTGCACCTGCTTACGAACTTGGCAACGCGGCAACAACAACTAACACCTAAACTTGCACTTAACAAATATTTAATTGAATTTTGGCAGGAATATAGAGAGTTTCGCTCCTCGAGCGATCCGCGCACTTTGACTCGACGACAAAAACTGCGCGACCGCTTTTGGCAGCAACAAAACCAAAGCCCCCAAGACGAGAGCTACCTGAAAAGAGATTAAAAAAAAGAGCGAGAGAGCGGGAGAAACAATGAGAAGAATTCTAGAATTATGAGGAGAGCGCGGGCGCAGCGATTAAAACGGACGATTTAAAAATGTGCGATTATCTGGAAATTATTAAATGACAAAAACACGAAAAATCAAAACTCACCACACCCCTCGGCGATCAGTCGGGACACGAACCAAGTGTAAACATTAATAAATTTGAAATTGCCACCAATCGGCTATCTGAAAGCAATTTAAGCGAATATTTATGAACTGCAAATAGTTATTAAATAGAGTAATATTTTTCCCACCCATCACAAACGTCAGACATTGACGCTTGCAGAAAAATTTCCATTAGATTTTCGGTTTTCTTATCACACAAAGCGGCCCACAAAATTGTGTCTTTCACAAACAATTTCTTTAATTAATTTAGTGCTTGGCAACTTGCAGACAATATTTTTCCCATAAAATATTGACGTAGAATCAAGTTTTCTTTGTTAAACTGATAGGTAATTTCTTTACAGGTGATACAATAAATTGAAATAATTTATTAATGAGTTAAGCTAAGAAATCAAAGCACACTTTTATGAGGCTGCCATAAATTTCGTTTAGCCAAAATTTTATGGCAGTAAAATACAGTGTAAAATTGTTTCGATGTATAAAATATTTTTTTTTTAATTTTTGAACTTAAAGGATTTTATATATATATATAAAACTACAGAAATAAAATTTAAATGTAGATTTAAAATAATAAAATAAATTTTGCTATAAAAAATAATAGTATTCATAATGATTATTAAAAAGATGATTTAAAATAAATTTTGAATGAATTAAAAAATAATAAAAAAAGTATACATTTGTCACGATGTTGTTTTTAAAACTTACAAATTTAATTATTATATAAATGTTAAATTTATTTCAATGATCTTAAGATATAGAACCTTTAATAGTCCTTTTTGACCTTTAAAGGATCGTTTTGTTGTAAATCTGCAGATTTTTATTGACTTCAAATGTATCTCCTTAATAAATATATTACCCATAAAGCCGCTTAAGAACATATTATTCATGGTTAAGGTTATACCATTACTTTTCCGAGAAATATAAAGCATGACTAAAGTACTTGGATAAATTTCAATAAATGTATTTGTAGATAAATTACTGAAATGATTCATTTACATAACATAAACCATATATATATATTTTTTATATTTACCCAGAAAGGCTAAACAAACAAGCATAAATCATTGTAGTAAACTCTCCTGAAGTTATGACACACCAATCCCAGCAACTACTTTCCTTTGATAAAGATCTCTTCTGATTTACTTGGCAGCAAGTAGAATACTTCTTTGCTGAAACAAAAACGGAAAGTCAAATCCCATCCACATTTCTGTTGAATGGTAATGTATGAACCAAACCTACTCCTCTTGACACTTGGACTCCTGACTCTTGACACCTGACCAACGCCCACTTTTTAGCCACAATACAATAGTTCCAACGATGACCTTGGCCCGACATTGCGCCCATTTGCATATGAACTGTAATCCTTTGGGCAGGGCTTTTTGCTTATTTTTCCTGCCGACCAAGAAGCCTCACTGTGAAATATGGAAAAGCAAAGTAATTGTGTCCTGACTGGCGAAATAATAAATTAGAATTGTCCGGTCATGGAGGCCCCCAAGTGGGAGGCCATTAATTAAATCAGACATAGCTGGGAATTTAAAGCTGGCAGTTGGGAAGTGACGTGATCTGGGAGATTGGACTATCAAGTGCGCTTTGATTGCCGCTTGAAATCGCATTGCAAAAAATCTAAAAAAAACTTCGGAACGTCTGTGAAGGCTTATCAGCATCGGACAAAGCAAGTTCTCATCAATTGCCTCTTTTTATTTGCCCATTACTGTGCCCCAACTTAATGGGCTCTCGATATATAACACGTACGCCATAAGTCAACAGCGGCCGTGCCTAACTTCATAGAAGTAATCAAAGAGAACAAAAACAAAAAATCTTAAAAAATTGAAAACAAAACAAATCGCTAAGCTGCGACAAAATCCAAAAAATCCATTCTTGATGTATTTTTATTATAAAACAAAAGCCAGCACCGAGAACAAAACCTAAAAAACCAAAGAAGTTGAGCAAACACAAATGGCAAATTGTACGACGAGTACGGCCAAGTGCTTGTGTCAATCACTGTTCGAGTGCTGCGAACTTTTTTTGGGAAAGGAGATGTAGTGGATTTTATATATTTTTAAGCTTAATTACCTGAAATTTTTTTTTTACGGTACGGCACGCGCTTCAACATTGCTCATACGCAGTGTGTTTAATTCAGGAAATGAAGTATACGCCTCGTGCGCCAGAATTAACCTTAACATTTGGTCTTGGAGAATGTGAGTGGGGTGTATGTATGTATGTATGATCCATGACCAGAATTCGGTCGAGATGCCCGCATAAGATTTGCTTCTACGAAAGCTCTTCGAAATATATTTCCCACGGCGCATGCGTGAAGACAACATCAACAATAACTAGAGGTTAGTCATGGCTGCAAAAATATATGATGGAGTCTCGAGATGGAGATGAAGAGATGTAGAGATGTGGTTGAAGGCGAGGCAGGGCAGGGGCTGAGCGACAAGCGACTGAAAATGTGCAAAACAAATAGCTCAACAACAATTCAACATTCAACATTCAACATTTCGAATTGGACTTGGACGAGGCTTGCCAAAAAAATAGTGAAAAAAAACAATAACGAGAACTGAAAGACCAGACACAATAAAGCCAAAACGCCAACAGCTTCAAGCAGCGGCCTTATTGAAACATTATGTGTGATATGGGTTTACAGTGAATATGGGTTAAGGGGAACTCTACGTACTCTTGTAAGTACTTACATTTATATTACCGTCATATAAACTACGAGCTTAAGGCTTTTCTATTCTTTACTATTTTCTGTGATTAAATGTCATTTGTCTATCGCTATTTAGTTCTGTTTTTTACATAAAAAACTCATTTAATTTTTTATTTTTGAGAAGGTTTATCGTCTCTCTAACTATCTTGTTGACTGCCTTATGGCTCTAATAACACAGAGTTAATATTATTAATTAAATACAACAATAAATGATTAAAAAAGAACCAAATACATTGAGAAATAATGCTTATAAAAATATATAATAAAGATATAAGCAAAGTCTGAAAAACTTTTAACAAATATAAAGATTTATTATAATAAAAATAAGTTTACAAAATTAATTACCCTAAAATTAACAAAAAAACTATAAAAGTTTCAAAGTTTTTAACATGTTTCCTTCTCGAATTTTAATGACTTGTTAATATTTTTATTTATAAAATTGTTTCTAATAATCTTCCTCTTAAATAAGGCATCTCAAGCTGAAATCTTTTCTCAAAAAGATATTTCCCACAGAAACTTCTTTGAGTAGAACACCCACTGATCACTGTACTGCCCAAGTATCATATATCATATCTAGAAAAAAAAACACCTGAGCAAGCCATAATCAGAGCGCTGTCTGAATTTGCATAGACCAAAGTCTGCGACTTCGGCACTCACGCATCTTGGACGGACTCACATTCACACTTTTTACAGCGACCGCTAACCAAGATTGATGGAGTGTCAAACGCCGGAGATAGAGCATCACTGAATGGAGGAAAAAAGTTAAAGAAAAAAGAGCGAAGAGGGGGTGGCCTATGACATTGACCTTTATTTGATATTATTTTTGTGGCTCCTACTCGGGCTAAATCAATCATAAGGCGAAAATCAGGCACACGCTCCTACTTTTTTTTTCGCCACCTGATTGAACCAATTTCGGGGCTTTTAATTTTCTACCGACTCATTCGTGGTTATTGTGAATTATTGAAAATTCATTTCATTTTGTTTATTAGCCGCCCCCCCTATGGGCAGCACACAGATTATTATCGTTTCTCTCTTGTATTTATTTTGTATTATTTTGTATTATTTTTTTCCAATTTCTTCTTCTTCAATCCACTTGCCGATCGGCAGTTACAATTGCAAAAGTTTCAATGTCACTGAGGTCTGCTTACGGTTATTATAGTTAACGTTTTTCGAATTGTTTTCGAAGCATCACTAGGTCCGAGTGCAGAGAAAACAGATAATTGCATGAAAAATAAAATCAAATTCAATTTGGTTTTGGCTTTGGTTTTAAGTTTTTGCAATTGCAACTAAGATATGGGGTTATCATCTCATGGAGTTTTCATCTCTTAGCTAAATGGGTTTTATACACATTTTATGGGACTTATTTGGCTGTTTGGAAGTATTTTTTCCATGATTTTTCTACTTTCCCATATAAGCGATGCTTGAACTTACTTTGGGGCATAAAAAAGAATGCTTATAACTTATAGACCAGCTATCATTAAGTACATTAAAATACATAAATAATTTCCATACATACAAAATGACTTTTAAACAATATCAATTTATCTTCTGTACATTAAAACTTACCATAAATTACAAATAAAATTATAATAAAATAACAAAACTAACTTCCTGATGTCCCTACCCCATGCTAAAATATCTTCATAACTCATGTAACTGCTGATAATTAATAACCCCCACCACCTTCGATGAAAATCAATTTGTGTTAAGAATATAATACCAATTAATTATTACTATATCTACCCATAAAAATCATAAATTAAATAGAAATTAATGTGACTCTAATTTGATGATTTCGACTATAGTACAACCATCTAATTCCAACGATCAAATTATGAGTCTTAATTGGTTTTTTTTACTCTTTGAGGAAGCTTAGGGGAGGGTGTTACTGCCATGAATGAAAAGCCAAGATGAAAAGGAGGCGGGATCTAAAGATCTATTGGTAATTCGACGAGCGCAGACGGCGGCGGTGATTATTATCTCCCCCATTTAGCCAGAGTTCGTGCCATTTTAATGGCTAACTGGCATTAAATATAATTACTCATTAAAGCAACAAAGTCGGCATGTTCTTTTTTCTGCTTTTTTGGTAGTTTTTGGCATAAATAAATCCGTCTGAGTTTTGTTTTCATAATGGGCCAAGACGCTTGCACAAACAAAATCGCAATGCCTCCTTTTATTTTGGGTTGTCACTTGTTTTGTCAATAACTGGCAACTGTTGCTTTAGCCAAAGACAGATAAAAATAGACAAGGTAAAAGCCCTTTTCATAACAAAAAAAAAAAAACAAAAACAGAAAACCCCGCAATCAATATGGCATATTAAAGTTGTGGAAAGTTGTTTAAAAGTGAAACTGATAAGGGGCCAACCGTCCGTAACCCATAACTACCTGAAATTAAAAAGTTAAAGTTAAAAAAACGGAAAAGCTGCCATTAAAATTAAATGAAAAATGTTTGACTATAACTTACATTTTTCAAGGGTCTAATCTCAGTAACGTGTGGCCTTTGTGGATTAACTAAAGTCACAAGTATGAGGATTGATAAGATCTGAGCTGGGCGATAAGTATATGTCTGAGTTTCGGCTGCATGACCAGCGCAATTAGATTAATCAAAAATGTTTATAGCTTCTTGAGTGCTATAAACTGTACTTGTCCATATATCAAGTGCCCAAAATGGCAGTCTAAATCGGTTTTTGGCTGTGTGCAAAAGTTTGGCCCCAAAATTGGCTCTGAACTTTCCCCTTGGCCAATAACAATTAGATTAAATACGAGTATTTTTGGCACATCTTTGTTGATCTTAATTGAAATTCATTGGCTTTTAATAGGTTAATTTGCAGCAGTTCTGTATTAAAGAAGCTTAGGAAGATTAAATGTGTCATTTGACAAATATTTAATAGGAAACTGGGCTGTCTTATCAATTTTATTAATTATTTTTCATTTACCTATCTTATCTTTTTTACTTTGAATTACTTTTTAATAGAAAGATAGTGAGCGTTGAGGGGTTAGTTTAATGACTGAATTTTACTTTAGGCTGCTAACATAAACTACTGTAAGACCAATAGGTGATGGAACTTGTTTTAAAAGGAAACTAAATATTAATAACATCATTTAATGCTGGAATACTACTTCTTTCTTAAGTAAAAGTAAGCTAACAATACCTTCATACTCTACAAACATAGTAAAAGCAGTTGATGTCGTTATGGTTATCATCTAAATTTGATACCTCTGTGTACTAAATTAATCCCTTCTAGGCTAGTTTCATTTAAAGTTCCTTTTTAGAGTAAAAAATAGTTTTCCATGGGTAATCAAGGCCATCTAAATCAATCCCTTCCCCTGCTTACTTACTCACTAGATTTAAAATAGCTTAAAAAATAAACACTAATGCTTAAATTATAACAAAAACCTTACCTTCAGGTTTAGTAATGTACTTGCAACCGAGTGGTAAGCACATGAAATTGGCAAAACAGAGCCATCAAAAAGCAAACATTCATATCTCAGCCCGCCCTAAAGTCATAATAAATGTTTTTACACCCCAATTCGATTAAGTCATCAGGGCATGTATATTCCGAACCCAGATCCTTTCTGCCATAGCAGAGCTCTACTTTGGCCAAGCCCCAAAAAAGAAAAAACTTACCATCTCTGCCGCAGTCGCCAATGCTGCTAACAGCGACGCCAACGACGCCGCCAACACCAACTGCGACGGCGGCAGAGAGTATATCAGTTACAGTCGCAACGCTGGCAACGTTTATTTGCGCTCGAGCAGCGAACGTGGTAGCACAGCTTAAGGCCTCCCCCCAAAAACAATCTCCACGAAAAGAAAAGCCAGGCGGCGGTAATTTGAAAAACCGTAAAGGAAATCGACCACGGAGCGGTTAATTAAATTGAAAATAATAAAATCGAGTTATTAAATTGTACGTTGCGCTTTCCAATTTCAAACGAATCAAGAAAACTAATCAAGACCAGTGTGAAAATACAAAAAAAAAGGAAAAACTTAGGCCATACCTGGGTGAAATTAAATTAACAACAAAAGAAGATAAAAAAATAACGAACTGTGGTCAAGTGCCTGACAATTGTGCAACCTCAAGACTCTTAACCTTAACAATTATATTTTCGGCCACACAAAAAAACCAAACCTATTGGCACAATTCAGTTCGATTCGAGTGCCCGCTAACTCACTTTTACCTGCAAAAAAATAAAACTTAATAAAAATATAAAAAAAAATTTAACAAAAAGCGCGCTTTGAAAACGAAAGCAAGTTCGATTGAAAACCCCCCACGCTTTTGCCAAATAAAAATTAAAACTCAAGTGGCTGCCCCCGAGAAGATTGCAGAGCGAAGACAGTAGATTGAAGATCGCAGACAGAAGACAGCAAAATGGTTGAGAAAACAGGTGAGTGATTGGAGATTTGGCGACTGGAGAATGCGAACTATGCGTGTGCGTGTGTCCGAAGGTTAATTGCAAATCAAATGGGGGCGAAGAGTGCGCCAAATTGTTTTGATTTTTCTGCGAAAGTTAAGCCCACTCTGGCGGGAGTTTTCTCTTTTTTTCTTTAATGGAAAAATATGAAATTAAAGATGGAGAGCTTGATGTTTTGATAAATCAACGCACAGTTGTTAATTGTTTGCTTTGTCTTTGAAGTTATATAAAGTTAGAGTTTAACATAATCTTTAACAGTTATAAATTTATAATAATGTTATGATCAGGGGTGCTCAACGCTTATCCTCTGGGTGCTTTTTTGTTTTTGTAAATGCTCGCTGCGTATGGGCTTGCTCCCCCATAAGCTTTGAACTCTCGCCGTGCTACTCCACTAACAATTTTTCGTTTTCCTCTTTCCGCTTCATTTCGTCGTTAACTGTAATTCAATTTGTTCTTGTTTCTTCCTTGATCATCCTTGAACACTTACACTGGAATTCTTTCTTTTTAACTTCTGTTTGCCTTTTGAAGTTTATTTCGCAATGGACGATTTGGGGGTTAGGTAAAATGAGTGATGATTTGGTTTGCAGAAAAAAGTGTTCTTCTTTCTCTCAGTGCACAGCTGGAAACCAACACAAAAACGTCACTACATATGTGCACGTATTCTTGTATTTGTGTTAGTAAATGATGTGCCGTAAGAAGTATTTGAGCACTCCCTGGTTTAGATTATTAGGAAGAGAGTATTTGATGGAAAATAATATTTTCAAAGTATTTGTGGCCATTTAAAAGTTACATTTTTCGATTACCCCAATTAAAATCTTCTTTGACATTTTTATTTATTAATATAATTTTAAAACTATTTAATTTCTTTATTATTTAAACTTATCTCATATTTAATCAACTTAATTTTATATCTCACGCTTAATTGCCAAAGCAGCACTTGAATTTTCACTTTCTAAGGCAACTTAAATTTGCCTAAAAATTAATCATTCCCTTGTAATTAATCATGTTTAATAAGCTATCTTAAGATAATATGATAAATCATCTTTTTCTAAGACAGTCGATAGTTGATAGTTGGCCAAATCAAAGACTAGCCCGCCTGTCGATAACGATAACAAGATGATTGGTTTTCAATAATTTCTCTGGCGCAGCATGACAAAGACCGCAAATTAGCCTCAAGTTATATTTCTATAGTTAGCTGAGTAGTTTTTTTGTTGCTTTGATTTAGCTTCCGTGGCGTTTGATGATGATTTCTGTAACTGAAAGTTTGCATGACAGAAAAGCCTCTGAAAGGAAAGAAACTAAAAAGATAGATAGGAGAAAACTTTGATAGGTAAACAAAACAGCGGAAACTATAGTTGGGGGGCAATTTGAGCGATGATGATGTCGATGTTGATGACTCCCCAATGGAGGGGCAATAAAGCCAACACCGTCAAGTGAATGAACCAATGAAGTAAAAAACAAATTAAAACTCACAAAAAAAATAAATAGGAACTTTTATTTGTGCAGCCTCAACAGGCAATTAATTAAAAAAACTTAATTGCATTTTCTGTTTGCTTGGCCAAGAATTTAAAGCGATCTCTGGCGTCATTTTCACGGTTTCTCCTTCCACCGATATCGAAGTTAATATTTACCTTAGCTTTATATTTTCATTTGCCGGCTCTACATTATGGAAATTCTCTGTCCCAGCTAATTAATGTCAACGCCTGAGCTTCTATTTGATCAAGTGTTTAAACACAGGCAGCTTCCATATTTGATTTAGATATTAAATATTTTTGTTTACTACCTGGTTCAGTGGTTTTTTAATGGTTGCCATCGGTTTTTTAAGACTAGTAAGCCGTTAAAAATAGTCCGGTGAGGTGCGTGAGAAATTCGCGGCCCTTTGGCGTTGAAATTCTGCAAATTATAGTACAAACGTGTAGCTAATTTGGGTTGCCTCTTGCCTCTTAACATCTTCCCCGACTCATAATTCAATGCGTTGTCATCTAAGACCAACATCGCAATATAATATATACGCGTCAACCTGACATTAGTTAGTTGCTGTTTTTGTGTGGCGTCTGCTTGGCAGATATAAAATTACAGTAATAATCGTGAGCCAAGTTGACATGACATCACGGTGAAATTGGCATTCAAAACAGAAGCCAGGAAATTGTTTGGTTTTCCTTTTTTTTTTTTTTTTGGCTTAAACATTTAGACATTTAGCACAGTTAGTGTGCACATCTCCAGTTAATTCAGCTCAGTTTTCAATGGAAGATCAACTTGTTTGCTAATCAGAAAGCTTATAATTAAGATAATAGGCTGCCATTGAGATGCACAGCGGCGAAGATTCTCGTTTCCCAGTGGAAAGTTTTCTCAAATCGTGTAACGTGGAATTAAGTTTTAATAACTAGAATGATCTAAGATTTCCCACTTTGATTGGCAATGAAATTGACTTTGAAATATTCTTCAGAGATAAAAGATTAAGGATATAAATTAGCCATTTTGGAGTTGGCAAAAAGAAACCAAAAAGATACAGCCACTTAGAGGTTCCATTAAACAACATTAATCAATCTTCCCGTAAAGGCCCACTAAATTTCCCTATCATTTCATCTCAAATTATCGCCATTAATTGGTTAACTCCCAAACTTAGTCATAAGCCTCAAAACACCAATAAATTGCCTCTGATTTATGGAACATTGTAAACGAGTTAAAACGACATAAATTCGTTTTGGGCCCAAAGCCCATAAAGATAATAAGTGAATTTTTGTATGCCTCCCTCACTACTAGTACCTGGCTAACTGACTAATTAATTTATAACGATTTTTAATGGCCAGCGAACAGGTTTCGATCTGTATTATTAATAAAATCATCACCTTTGCCGAATGAAAAAAGAATTGCTCAAACACCGAAATGTATAATCCGATTAAATTGATTAATTGTTGTAGACGAAATGGTTTTTCGAAAACAATATGGAAGAAGCTTTTGTTTTGCACTTACTTTTATATGGGAAATTAATGCCCCTGTGCTGGGCATTATAATGCCTTCAGATCGGCGACAATAACATAATTTGCATATATGGACAGAAATAACCTCTGTAAATTTACACAATCCAATTTTACTGTTAAGACACACCTTAAGGCAAGCTTCTTTGTTGCTAAATCTTTTCTTAATACAACCCCGTAAACCACCTGTCCCTTTGAAATTTCCCTGATTTATTTTCACTTTCTTGTAAATGATAATTGCACACGTGTCAGGGTGACGTCAGTTAAGGGGGAAATTACCATTTGAAACACCTTAAAAACTATCATAAACCATAAAACTTGTTTTTTGTGAATCCCTTCTTCTGTTAGCCAGTCAATTTTGTCCTTAGCTGGGGTGATTAAGAAACATATGAGCAGAAATGGACATAAATTAGGAAACTTATGCCAAATTTGCGTGTCTAAGCGGCATTAATGAGTTGAGAAAAGCGGAAAATGCTTTCGGTATGGCAACGAGGTGAGAAAAGGCCACGGGCGATGACATTGCTCATGTTCTAATAATACGCAGATAAGTCATGGCTATAACCTAACCCAGTTTCCCCAATCAACATAACCAGAGTCCCGGGGCCAGGACATGGGAGCGGCTCTTCGAAGAAGCCAAGCCTTTGACTTGGCCTTTAGCCATGGGCACGTGTGCTACACCACGCCCCCAACACTTTGATTTCTTGCTATTACCCAAGGTTGGCCACGAGGAGCACTGAAAGAAAACAGCGATTGGGAAATGTAAAGTGTCAGAAAAGCTTAGGTTGCTCAACAAGAAAGCAGCTCTAAGAACTTTCTATATTTCTTAGAACATCTTCTTTTCTCTCAGTGCCATTTACCAAACAAGGCTTCCAGGATGTTAGCCACATTGAAAACAAGCAGAACAGGTGCAAGACCATGTCGAACGGACATCCGCGGCAACATCAAGTTTATGGCAACTGCAACACTAGCAACTATCAACTACTAACAGTTTTCCCGGGGGTCAGACCTGCACTTAGCCGTCCCGGCCAACTTGGCATAGATTCCAATACGGACAGACAGTGTGGATTACTGTATTTGGAACTGGGTGACCGGGTGACTGAGTGATTTCCAGTGCCAGGGAGTTTGCTAATAATACGATACAGTAATTATATGCAACCTGGCCAAATGGAACCGTACATGGGGATCTAAACTCCCCGACTAACTAAAGGCAGATAGCTCACCCACCTGACTCAGCTATCTTATCGTTGGGTAATTCATTCACTTTCAGCCAATGGCCATAAATCGTTGGTCAGAACGTGCCTTGGCCATATCTTCAGAGATGCTATCTCTGGCCTTATTGCAAAATAGTTGAATACTACGCGGAGTGCCACTTGAGTTTGTGGTGGAAGGTTCTATGAAAGTGAAATTTTTAACAGGAGAAAGTTAGTTTTCCCACGGGGATCGTGATTTAATAGTACTTTTCACGAATGCTGAGATTTAGTTAAGATTTTATTCAAGGGTGTTTTTTGGGGAAATGTGCAACGACCTTGACATTTTGGTCAAGGTTTGGTGGGTCTAACGACTTTTGTATACCCTAACTATAAAGCTTAACTTAATTTATAGATATTTTTTGGCTTAAGTTTAAGACAGATGAAGTTAAAGATGATTTAGGTTTAGGTTTAGCAGGTAGTTTTAGGATCTTTTATCTTTGATATTGAATCTTTCAAGAACTCATTTTTAGATTTATACATTTTTAAAATTATTTTATTATAGCTTAGTAAGGAAGTAGTTGGCTACTATCTCAACTACTACTACTACTATTCCATTTTTCTAATAAATATTTTCAGACTTTTTAACATAGTTTTGCAACTCTCAAGAAGAGTATTCACTGCTTGAAACTTTGCCGGCATGAGATCTCAATCTCAGCCAGCACGAGTAATAAAAAATTGTTTTGTTTTCTTCGAACATTGTTGTGCTTGGCTTGTTGTTGTTGTTGTTGTTTTCAAACACGGAAGCCAAAGAGAGAAAGAGTTAAGAGTTAAGCCAAGCCAAGCCCGAAACGAAGCCACTCTTTACCTGTTTTGAATTTCAAATTTCAATTTCAAACTGACCAAAAAAAAACGGCACAAAGCTATCAAAGTCAAGTGCCAGGTACAGGTACAAGTGGTACTAAAAAATATAATAAAAAACTGGTACTTTTTGGTATGTGGGTCAGGCAGTTTGAAGCCAAGTTCTTGATGGCAGAAATCCAGAATGATTTTGCAGGCGATAAATATTATTACGCATACGTCGGGAATTTTTCGATTTCAAAGAAATTAAATGTTAAAAGTAAGTTTTTTTTCAACTTCTCAGCGATAACGAAGCAAGTTTGCTTTTAATGTGCGGCCCACTAATTAATTTCATGTCGAACGTATCAAATGGCAATGGCAATGACAGTGTCGTGTACTGATTGATGGGCTGGGAAATTGATGGAGTGTGGTTCCAGGTTTTCGAAGAAATTATTATTTAGAACGCACCTTAAAGGTGCACCTTATATACCCTCTAATCAAATTAGTTGGAGTGACGAAGTTAACTTTTCCCTCAAATTAAATTAATTACGCTTCATTATGAACATTATCAAATTGTTTTCGACAAATTAAAAGGCGAAATTAACACAGATAAATCTTTATAACTGGCAAATGTATCTCGACTGGCCTTGCTGATGGATTGATTGTTTTGGTTTTTTATATATTTGATTTTTTGCTAAAAAAAAACACACAAAAAAATGAAATCAAAAGCCTCGACATCGTCACGCCCTCACCTTCCAATTGATGACTATTGTGTGTAATTGTTGTTATTATGATTTTTTCTCTCTCTTATTTTTGTTAATACGATTTTGTTAATGTGCCTCTCGGCCATAATATTTTCTTCAGACCACATCAAGATATTGGTTAGGCCAACTTCCAAGGATGTGACAAGAAGGTCTAGCAAGGTTGTTAAGGCCTAAAACAAATCGCTAGGCCAATTTAGATTAAGTTGATTGAAGATAAAGAAAGATAAGTTTTATTTTTAGGTAGCAGGCACTACTTTATCTTTATGGCTACCTTTTGAGTTAGTAAAGGCTTCCTGAAAAAAAAACTAAAAAAACAAACTCTAAGATATAAAGCCCATCAATTATAGAACTGATTGCTGGTGATTGTCGAGGTTTAGGTTAGTAAGTCCCAACAAGCCTATAAACGAAGAGCGTCGTATATTATATAATGCCAGGCAGAGTTATGGCCAATTTAAATGTCAACTAAACATGTGGCTATTAGCCAGCCAGCCAAGTGCATTTCACGCTGTAAAAAGCTTAAAAAAAATGAAAGCCACACAAATTGCTTATTAATGATACTGTGGGGTTCCATTGAACTTGAATCTCGGTTTTCAATTCAATTGCCGTGATTAATATCTGGCAGATGAAGTTATTAATCTCCCCTCTCTCTCTGGCTGTTGCCCATACTGATTGATTGGCCAAAAAGAAGAAGCTCAGTTCGGCAATAATTTGTGTTTGTTTGTCCTCTAACAATCATCGTGTAATTATGTTTGACATTCTGTTTGTCTTTAATCAACTTTAATTTACATTTTATTTTGTTTTTTTGGAAAATTAACATAGAAAGAACATCGAACGGTGTTTGAATTAAACAAATGTTCATGGCAAATAAACCATAAATTTAGCTTAGCTATGCTAATTGAGTTTTGGCCAATTGCCGATTCTTGTCAACAGGTCGTTCTGGTTTCAATTTTCCACTCTTATTTATGTGCAAGTGGGTGGTGCTTGTTCAACGCCCACTAACTTTACCAGACCAGACTATATCATATTTCATTTGATAAAATGGTTATGGCTCTTAATATTCTTTAATGGCCATTTCCTGGGCTTAAAATATTTAGATCACAAATCGCTGATAGGTGATAACTTTTACTGTCACTTTTTAAGTTGTCTTTTTTTTGTGGTTTCATGGCGATAAAAAGTGACGCCGAAAGTCAATTGAATTCGTAGAAATATCAAAAGTTAAAGGCAGGTTATTTATGGGTTTCCTGGTTTATATTTTTTTTGTGGGAATTCCTTGGGGATTTCTTCAGTTTTCCCATTCAAATCACGTTAGATATTTTCACTCCATTTACCTTAACTGAATCTTAAGAAGGCATTGCAGTTTTGTTTTGCTTTTTGACCAGCTGCCAGTGGGAAAATGTAAACACTTTTTATGATTTTCTTAAACAATTGTGTTATCTCTGACTCTGGTTTTCAGAGTCATGGGACGCCAGATAATTGCCCTGTTAAGTGTTTAAACTTAGTGATAAAATCAACTTACTTATCAGTGAGGAAAACAGGCGTGTGTGTTCATCACTTAAACTGACATTTTGGTCAAGTGACAGTCATAAATGACTATTTAAATGCGGCTTAAATAGCAAGGTGAAGCCCCAGAATTTCTCTCTCACTCTCCCTGATATGGCCTACTTAAATTCCTTAATAGCAGCAAATTAAAAGGCAGTCAACCTCATCATGTTTATAAATAGTTTTATTGGCATTGCAATAGAGGGTGTGCAAATGCATTTTTCACAAATATTTGTTAAGTTCTAAATTAATTAACACCCAACTACTACGCCTGGCACGGGCAATAATGACAAATGAAAGGCTTCTGTCAGGAAGCAAACACCGATGTGCTATTAAACAAATTAATTAATCAAACTATGCTAATTGTTTGCTCAGAATGTGCAAAGGGCAAAGCTGTTTGAGCAATAATTAAATATTTGATTTTATTTTGTGTTTTTTTTCTATATTAAGTAAGCTCTGGTATTCCAATAAACTGAAGTGTGAAAATTTCACTATAAAACTATTTGACGTAATGACCATAAACGTGCATATTAACAGGCGCCTACAACGTCACATAGCACGTTAAATACCTCTACTTTTCATCACCTTGTACAAAATAGCAATAAATAAATATGGAAATTACTAAAAAAAAACGGCAATAAATAAAATATAGAATAAATACAAAGGTTTCGCTCTAAGGTTGCTTAATGTTAATAAACCCTACGAAGTTCTAATTAATTTGTTTGTGTTTTCCCAATGGTTCCACTTAAATAAACACACCACAGTCGGGGTTTTTCATGAACTTTATTGACTAATAGCTGACAAAAAGTAATAATTAATAATGATTTGGCATGCGCTGCGCTAGTAGCAATCAACTCTGCTTATTTTTCTGATTACTAATATTTGGTTCTTTGATTCTTTGATTTCTTTTCGGTATGAAAACAACAACAAACAACAACAACAACGCATTCAGAAATGTCGAAATTCGTTGGCGTTGCCGACATTACGGAGAACAAGAAAATCTGGCGCATGCTGCTCGGCGAGCTGGTGGGCACATTTTTCTTGATCTTCGTCGGCGTTGGCAGCACGACGAGCGGAAGTGTACCACAGATCGCATTCACCTTTGGCTTAACGGTGGCCACAATCGCCCAGGTAACTATTACACGCATTGCAAGTCTATTTAAGATGGACCAAAGTTTATAAGAAAATCTAATTAATAAGTATAATGATCTTGGATGCTAGTTTAAGTTAACTTTTAGGGCGTTAAAAAGCTTGTTTATATCATATTTCGTATTTTTAGCTTTAAGTATAATTTGGTCCACCCTAGTGTACCCTAATACAGATCATACAAAGAGAACGCATCGAGCTGGAGATTTGAGATTTTGAGATTTGCCAGCCAAGTCGGAGATTTCAGGCCAGAAGTCGACGGTTTCGTGCGTTGATCGGCGGCCAGTTTCAAGGACACGCGCCACCGCCGCGTTACACTTTCGGCTCATTCACAAACGCTGAGTTTTTGGCCAAGAGACATTGGCATTTAAAAGCGACAACATCGCGGGCTAGCCATAAAAAAGCAAAAAAAAAAAAAAAACCCAACAAATGCAGTTTGCTTCGCAAAGACTCAAGACTGCGTGCGAATGTAATTTAGAAAATTGACAGATTTACAAACGCACACACACTGGAAACTCAGTGCGAATAATAAATGCTCGCTCGCAGCAAAAGCGTCTGCGATGGCAATTAACATTAATCAACACGCAAAATATGCAATTAGATTATTATGCGTTTAATTACGCTATGCTATATACGCGCTGACGACTGTTGTTGTCGTGCTTTAGCATTTAAAGCGATCGCAGATCGCAGATCGCAGAGAACCGAGATCTGTGTTCTAGCATTCGATTTATGGGCACTACAAAAGTCAAGTTCCAGCCAACCGAATCCATCACAAAACATGAAAAGGCTTCTATGATGTTCTATATTTAGCAGCTCCCCTAAGTCAGTGATTTGGTATTGGAAAAATCTTAAGAAAAGTTAACTAATTTCTCAGTCATACATGTCGTATGTGTAATGTTGATAGGTAATCAGCCAACGCTCTCTTTTCCATTACAAAAGTTTGCAATGCAATAAGCATATCGAAAGCGTTAATAATTTTCATAATGAAATCAAGTAGCTATATGTTGGCAACATAATCGATGCTTGTCTCTGTCATTTCCCCGCAGAAAACTTGCAACACATTCGCTATTAGTGGCAAATTAGCTACCCGTCGGTTGGTGAATGCATCTTGTGCTTTTCCAGCCTTTTCCATGACTTGCAGCAAGCCAACGATTGGCACCGCTCGAGCCCAAGATAAACTCCGGTATGCATTGCTAATTTCGCCAGAAACCCAGGTGTGACGCTAGTGCCTGCTCCTCGTTCGTCATCGCCATCACCCTCGTCATCGTTATCGCTATCGCCGAAAGGCGAAGCCGTTGCAATAACGGTTCATTGGAGCAAGACGCGTGGCGTCAAATTGGAAAACGTGCTAATTGCCAGCAATAGCTGGCCCTGGAATGGCTGTATTCCCCTGAAATAGTGATAGAAATAAGTCAAGTAATATGATATTACTAAGCTTGAGCTTGGGGGCATTGAATTACTCTTTCGGCACTTCAAATGCAAATCTCCCAAAAGGAAGTAAATCAAACAAATTGTTAATAAAAATTAAATGAAATTTAATGCAACTTAAACAAATGCTTGGGGAAAATGGCAAACAACAATGGGACGTGCATGGAAAATTTATATTCGCCGATCTTTATGTGGCTTGTAAATTGTCATGTCATGTTAAGCGATTGTTATCGAAAGTTCAGTCTGTGGGGTTGGGCTTTTATTAGGGCTTATTAGGTTTGAGCAAATTGTTTTCGTATAGGAAAAGTACGGAATGTTAAGTGATTTTTTTGACTTGGTGTTGATATTAAATGAGGGAGTAACATTAAGGGGGAGTAACATTTACATTTACAAAAAAAAGAAGAATATTAACTATTAGAAAATGAAGTTAGCTTAGGATTTGAAAACTTATAAGTAGACTTAGAAGTAAACAACAAAATTTTCTTCAATTATAATAGATATTTCAAAGATTTAACCACATTAGTTACAGTTTTAGTCCCCAAGTTCCAAGTAATTTTATTACCAAAAACTTAACTTAATAAAGTACATTCCAAAAGACTAATGATATTTAATCAGTTAACAGAAAGAAGCTTACTCAAAGAACTTAGTCTAAACTTAACTTTTATTAAATTTACTCATGCAAGTGCCTGAAAAAACAAAAACAAACTAAAGAAAAACCAAAAAAACTTAGTGCGTGCAGCGTTCACGTTTTTGTTTTCAATTCGCGATCGCAATCGAATCAACTTCAACTTCGACTGCAACTGCAACTGCGACTTCGACTTTGGCTTTGGCCCGATGCGAACTTGAATTGAAGCGGCCAACAGGCAAACTGGCAATAAACAACAACAACAATATTAAAATAAAAACAAACTAAACAACCACAATCGCCAAAATGCTGCTGAAAAGCAGAACGAAACAAACAAGTTAACATTCGATTTTCAGCTGAAAAGCCATAAAATATGATTTAAGCGTAAATGTCGAGCTGTGGTTTCCACTGCACATGCGTAAGCCGATCGATCTCTATATATACATATATAACTCACATATAGATATATCTCGATTGGTAGAAGAGACTTGCCAGACTTTACGTAGCCAATGAAAAACCTTGAGTTCATATAGAGTGCCAGCACTAAGAACAAAGAGAAAATGCTATATAGATGTTAGATGAGATATTTTTATTGGGAATGGGAATTTAATTTTATACAAATAATTTTTAAGAGTAAAATAAAGTGAATATTGATAAACAAATTAAATTTCTCGAATATATATTCAAAACATCTATACTTCGCCCGATTTCTCGCAAATGAAAAGCAGATTTCTGGAGCAAATATTATCGTTCATGGCGGTAATTCCACTGAGTGTTCTGATATCCAGACACTTGACATCTTTAGTGCGTTCATCCTTAGCCCAACTCAGGAAATGAGCTTTCAATCCTTTGGATCGTTCATCATAGTTGAACTGATTGGTAACGTCGATCCAGTAGCGATTAATGCCTTGAAGTTTCCCTTTAAAGACATCCAGATAGGCACCCAATTGTTGGCATTTCTTCAAAGCATCATGCCAGCTCAGCTTTTGTTCCTTTTCAACTCAGTTGCTGGAAGTTGTATTTGCTTTCCAAATTTCTAGAAGGGGTGGAAGGAGTAACTGTTATCATTTTCTATGGACATTGTCAAGGGGGTTCCATTAGTACCTTAATTTATGGCCGTTCTTGCAACAGATACAGCTGATTCACAGGCCTCTATCCGGCTTTGTGAAATTGAAAGGTTGCACTTTCAGGAATTTAGGATACCAAAACAGTATTCACCGCACTGGCTTGGCATTCATCACCCTGAGAGGGTTATAAGAGGTTATAAGAGGTTATAAAATATAGTCTAAAGTGCTTCTTTATTGTAAATAAAACTCACTTTGCAGGCTGCTGTTTGAGATGTCTTTAGGTATATTGCCAGTATGACAAAGCCTTTGTAGTATTAATAGGTGCATTTTAAATGTCATAGAAAATGCTTAATACTCCCTCTGAACTAGCATACCCCAAGCATAGGCCAAACTAACCAACGATCTTAGCCATATTTCAACGATGACTCATGGCCTAAGTTCAGCCAGTCCGTCACTCTCCGTTTTCACACGCAGCCGGTCCGTCGATCGCGATTGCTTTCGTTGCATATATTAAATTTAATTATGGGTTTCGGGCTCGACAATAAATTTGATTAATTTCACGACTCTTCGAGTGTGTGCAATTAAGACGAGTTGAGTATTGAGTTAAGTTGACTTGCTAACAATAGGCCTATGCTATTATAGATCTCAGCGATTAGGTCAGCTCAGTTAGGCGGCAAACTTTAATATTATAGACGAGAAATCGAAATCGAAATCGAAATTGCAAGGCACACGCATGAGCATAACCAAAATGTCAAGAAGTTGTTCGAGTTGCAGTCGTTGTGGCCCCAAACTCGACTCGATCTTGCTCTTGGCGGCATTTGTAATTAGCGTTGGCCAACACAGGCATTTTTTTTTTACTTTTTTTTTTGTTTTTTTCGCATTTATTAATTAAACGCAAAGCAAACGCACGACATTGGCCATGCGGCTAACTGCGAAATCCATATCGAAATCGAATTCGTATCACCAAAATGTTGAAGAAACAAAACAAAAGCAAAAAACGCAACAAAACTTGGCTAAAAAGAGATATCAAACATAGAAGCCTGCACATCGACCTTGAGCCATGCGTTTCGGCTTCATTCATAACACTTGATCTGATCTGAGATTCAGATCCAATCGAATCCGATGCGATCCGATCAATTTACCAGTTTGATTTCCATTTAAGTGGTTCCATAAGATCTCTTCTCGGGCAATGACTCAACAGAACCCCCACAGCCGTGTTTACACACTTTTACTTTCGAGCCAACTCAACCTGAACTTTGCAGACAAGCCAAAAACACAATAAATGCACTCGAGTGCATCTCAGCTCTGACAAATTGCTTGTATCCGTTGGCAGTTGGCTGTATGTTGGCGATTGTGCAACGGAAAATTCGGAAAATCTTCGAAAATCATTGAATCAGCTGACAAAGGCAAAGGGCAACGAACATTAAAAGGAAGATGCCTAAGATGTTGCGTTGTCAACTTGACATTTGAAAGATGGGAGTGATGGAGGGATAGGCTAATGACTTGGTTTTATCTTACATGTTTAGGGCTAGATTAATAATCAGAAAATTGTGACTAAGATACTACGTTTGTAGGTACAATTTAACATTAAGTTATTCATATTTAAAGTGTTATGTTAAGGTTTCATTAAGATCGTGTTAAAGGTATCAAAATTATAAGTTTAAGTTGATTTAAGGTTCAGATTCTATCTTAGTAGCAGCTTTGTTCTGTGACTTCATTTTGCTTAATATGTTAAGACTTTTTAATGAAGCTTTCCCTTTAGACATAATCCCTTAAAAATTCCAAACTTTTCTTACCTTTTCCAGGGCTTGGGTCATCTGAGTGGCTGCCACATTAATCCAGCTGTGACCCTTGGCTTCCTAATCGTCGGCGAGATCAGCATAATTAAGGCAGCCTTTTACATGATTGTGCAATGTGTTGGAGCCATCGCTGGGGCAGCTGTGATCAAGGTGGCACTGAATGGATATGCTGGAGAAGGTCTGGGTGTATCCTCCTTTGATCCCTCTCTGGATGCTGCACAGGCTGTCCTGATCGAGGCCTTGATCACGTTCATACTGGTGTTTGTGGTGAAGGCGGTTTCTGATCCAGGACGTCAGGATATCAAGGGATCGGCGCCATTGGCTGTGGGTTTGGCCATCACAGCTGGACATCTGTGTGCAGTGAGTTTGGTTAAATGGAGCAAATCTAAGATAAGAGATTATAAATATCTTACCTTACAGGTTAAACTGAGTGGTGCCAGCATGAATCCTGCCCGATCCTTTGGCCCTGCCGTGGTGCAGGGTATTTGGACCTATCACTGGGTGTACTGGGTGGGTCCCATTGCCGGTGGCTTGTTGGCCGGAATCCTCTATCGATTCATCTTCAAGGTACGCAAGGGCGACGATGAGGCCGACTCGTACGACTTCTAAAAGGTGTATCCGAAAAACCATATTCTTGTAAATGTCCGCACCCGCTTCACATCCGCATCACACATCCGCTTTCCATCTAGCCACAGGGTCACATCGAATTCGTTGCCGAAATTTCTCTTAGATTAGGTTTTACTCCAAATCCACCCCCACAAACACAACTGTATCATTTTTATTTGTTAAAAAATGAAAAAGAAAATGCAAGCAGAATGTCTCGTATTAGTTGTAACGCGAAGCTAACACTGAAAGAAAAATGTATGTACGCAATATTGTATTTGAGTAATTTTAAGCTAAATTATATGCACAACATCATTGACGCGAATCGAAGGAAAACTGTATTGAAGAAGCTTAACTAAATTGTAACTCGAAGGCACTTTTCCAAATGGAAATGACTTTCCATTCCGTTGATCACCACTTGTTGAGCACCTACGAATTGTATTATGATTATGTGTAATAAAAAAAAACTATAAAGAAAATACAAATGTACGTCTTTGTCTACTCGTCCTGGGGCTTCAATCATTGTTAACCGTCATCAATCACTATACTTAAGAAACTTTTGTATACATAAGACTAGCTAATAAGTTTAAACTGCTACTTGGGCTGACCAAAAACCGAAGATCATTCATCTGGAATCTAACATCTGGGCGAAACTTTTAACAACTTTCTCAAATCTAGATCTTATGCTGCTTTTGGAATAAAATTAACCCTTATAATGGAGTTTGAGTTTGCATGATTTGTAAGAAAACAAAGGGTAACGCTTGGATTTGTAATGGCTAAGAAGCAAGATTTTTGGGTTTCAGTTTATGTGCGGAGGCTAATGTATGAATTTCAGTTTAAGAAAGGCTGTTACCCATTACAAGGTCATGAATCATTCTGGTCACTCGATGCCCTAAGAATCCCCGTCATGGCTTGGTTTGCCTTCGGTATCCTTTGCATACTGGTGATGATGTACTGCGTCCTAACGGAAACATAACTTGGAGTCGGCAAATATGCTTTTCATTTCACGTTTAGAAATAAGGATATTAAGGTATTTGGAAGAAAATCAAAATATTGAATAGTTAAACCCCTATTCAGGTACATTTCAGGTTTTAAGTTTTATTTTTTCTAATTTCAGGTATGATTTAAGGTTTAAATCTCAATCACCTTATATAAAGGACCTTTAATGGAATGGAAATTTACATATGTAAAATACAATTCTAGCTGGTCAGCCAAATTAATAAAGAGAACGGATGCTTATGTAGGCAGCATTTTCTATAGCAATATTAACAGTTCAATTTTTTAATTTTCGTTCCTATGACAGCTATATGATATAGACGTAGACGTCCAATCTATTCGGGTTTCATACTTGGTTTGCCAATTGAACGACCAAAAGCAACTAACTACATCTTACACCATAAGTTTTACGCGCCGTTAGCCAAGAAACCAACCATTTGTGTGTATAAGATGGCAGATGTGCTCATGTATTGCACTAGATGGCGCCAAAAGTTACTTACGATTTCTAAACACTTTAGAAACTGATAAGTTATAATAATAATTAAAATTATAATATAATAAAATAATAAAAATCTAAATTGATAAGTATTATCAAAACTTTTTATTTATGTTTCGAATTTTCAGTTAACTTTTGAAATTGGAAATATTTATTTACGGATTTCGCTAATTGTTAGGACCTTTTCCTAATGATCAGTAAGTCTAAAAACATCTTTTTAGCCCTTCTTTCCGAGTCGGTGCTATTTCAATTACTCATTTTCACTTCATATACTTTGTGCCTGTAGAGTGACGATTATGTCGAAGAACAATGTGTTACAAGGTAAACGGCGCATGCGTGCCCAACCACCCGCAATAACGCGGTCCAATTTCGCTTTAAATTCTGATAAGCAATTTCGGTATTTACTGCTTGCCCACCAGCATCATGTTTTGTGTCTCTGAGCTCTCTCCCTGTTAGTATTCTGTTATCAGTCCTCAGCTTCTGCTGGAGACAAAGCTTAAGCGTGGGATTTCCGTGATAGCTATTAGTATTCAAAGTAATCAGCTCAGGACAGCGCGCTAGAAAATGAAATTTTCTGTTAAAATTTTTTTGTTTATTCTCGTTGCTGGGACTGCCATATCAAAGGAACCAACAACGGAATCCTCAACAACTGCATTAAGTCCTTCCGTACGAAATTGTTATCTGAAAAATCAGAAGGAGTACGAAAAGATTTGCTTGGGTGAGTTTAATAAGTGAATGGGAAGCTTTCATGATTCATAGTTACCTTATTTGATTTTTAATATTTAGGAGGGGACTGGCGGCTGAAGACGATCTGTTATCGCTGCTGCTTTTACGACAACACCGGACTTGCCGCATGCAGTGAAATTCATGAGGGAAGTTGTTTGTTTTCTGACTATGAACACTATATTAAACCTATTATATATGTACTTTAGGAAATTATAGTATAGTTTATTATGTTTATTTAATGGTGAATCAAATAAAATCATTAACTTGTTAACTGCGCTTTTATAATTGCTTTCCAGCAGTCAAAAATTGTAGTTAATATTTTTCTGGTGAATCTTTCTGACTAGCAGATAATAAAGTTATTGTTAAGTCATAAATAAATTCCCATTTTTTTTGGTTTCCCAGAAAAAAACATAAAATAGGAACTATGAATAGAGCAAAATATTTTGACTTAATGTCACTATAAGCTTTCTGTCATAAGTCGTCAGCTTGTGGGTATATTTCGATTTCTTCCTTTCTTTGAAGAAGAAAATTAATCTTGCAAAAACCTTTTAAAGTCGGAAAATCCATTTGCCTATTTTGCTAATATTATTTTCGTAATGCATTCGCACCAGAAGCACGTTCAAAATACATCTTTTTAGTCCCATTTTTCTGAGTCATTGCCATTTCAATTACTCTTACTCACATCATTTACTTTGTGCCTGTAGAGTGACGATTATGTCGAAGAACAATGTGTTACAAGGTAAGCGGCGCATGCGTGCTCAACCACCCGCAATAATGCGATCCAATTACGCTTTGAATTCTGATAAGCAATTTCGGCGTTTTGCTGCTTGAAACACTGCCACCAGCAGTTTGTTTTTTCCTGAGCACCTAAAGCTCTCTCCCTGTTAATATAGTGTTATCAGTCCTCAGGTTTTGCTACAAGCCAAGCTCAAATGTGGGGCTTTGGTGATAGCTATTAGTATTTAAAGTAATCAGCTCAGGACAGCACGCCAGAAAATGAATTTGTCTGTTGAAATTGTCTTAATTTTGCTATGTTTTATGATGACTGGAATTTGGACTCAAGATGTAAGGCCAGAAATACCAGAGGATATTAGGCCAACAACAACAACGACCACAACTACTACAGAGGAACCCACAACAGAGTCCACAACAACTGAAGCGAGGACAACAACCGCAACAGAACCTTCGACAACTTCAACAACAGAATCGACCACAACTACTACAGAACCCACCACAACTTCAACAACAGAACCCACCACAACTACCACTACAGAACCTTCCACCACAACATCAACTACCCAAAGGGCATCAATACCTCCGACCTATCGACCCCCCGCTTACTCTACAAAGAAACCTTTGATTATGCAACCTGTAGAAAGGTGTTTTCTGAGAAACCAACTAGAGTACAGTACCTGTAAGTGTGATGAAACGGAAATGGAATCGAAGGTGAATCACATTTAATTTGTTTGTTTTCTTAATTTGCAGGCTGGCCAACCCCACCGACGACAGCCTGTTATCGCTGCTGCTACTACTACGACAGCCATATCACCGAATGTAGTAAGCTTCACAATTTTCGTTGTTCGCCATATGATTATGAGAAATTGAAAGTACACGTGAATTGGAAACAAGTATAATAAAAACGAAATTGAAATGAATGAACTGAGAAAATAAACAGTGAATAACTTTAACAGACTTTTGTATATTCAACAGACAAGTCTTAAATGATAACAAAATAGAATTCGTATGGAAACTGTAAAACTTTTTTGTTGTTTAAATTTTAGTAAAATTAAAACAAATTTTTATACCAACTAAGCATCCTGCTTTTAATTACTTACTTAACGTTCATCATTTTTTCTGCTAGTGTTCTGTTATCAGCCCTCACTTTTCGCGTGTGGCTCTGTGTGTTTAAGTGTGTTAATGACTTTAGCTCTATAGCTGCCCAGCTCAAGCTACTCGGGAATGATGATCAGTTTCAGTATTGGATGCATACTGCGCGTGTCAACACAGCTCGCTAAAAATGAAGTCCGCGGTTATTTTTTTGTTTTTTCTCGTTGCTGGAATTGCGGCTCAAGATACAATACCAGAAGTTCCATTAGATTTTCCGACACCACCTAAAACAACAACTACGACCACAGAAGAGCCAACAACAACTACCACAACAGAGGAACCAACAACAACTACCACAACAGAGGAACCAACAACAACTACAACCACAGAGGAACCAACAACAACTACCACAACAGAGGAACCAACAACAACTACGACTACAGAGGAACCAACAACAACTACGACCACAGAGGAACCAACAACAACTACCACAACAGAGGAACCAACAACAACTACCACAACAGAGGAACCAAAAATTCCAACAACAGAATCCTCAACAACAACTACAACAGAGCCAACTACGACAACAGAAGAACCAACTACCACAGAACCCAGTACAACGTCAACAACAGAGGCAACTACCACAACAGAAGCTACCACAGCATCAACAACAGAGTCAACTACAACAACAAAACTCCCCTTAACAACAACAACGCAAAGCAAACCAATTTATCCTCCCTATGGGAAACCGACGTCATCATGGCAACCCGTTTACCCCACATCAAGTCCCTGGAGCTGGAGCTGGAGCGCTTTCTCAGGAAATTGTTACCTCAAAAATCAGAAAGAGTACAAATTGATTTGTTTTGGTGAGTTTAATAATAATATATGGGAAATTTTCATGACTCATTTAGTTATTTTTTTGTATTTTTAATATTCAGGCGAGGGCTGGCGTCAGGAGACGATCTGTTATCGCTGCTGCTTTTATGATAACAGCGGGTTCGCAGCATGCAGTAAAATTCATGAGGGAAGTTGTTCGCGGTATGACTATGAACGCTGGATTAGACCTAATATATATGTAGATTAGGAAATTGTATATAGTTTATTTAACAGTGAATCGAATAAAATCATTATGTTGTTAACTGCGTTTATGTCATTTCGGTCCAGTGCTCAGCAGTCCAAAATTTTAGTTTTGAAGAAATATTTTTTAAAGAAGAATCTTTCTGATTTGTTTAGTCATAAAAAAGTTTACAGTTCGGTTTTCTTAGAAAAAACATAAAATTGGGTTCACGGAATTCTTTAATTTATTTCAACAACAGAATGGGTTTCCTTATCAATAACATTAGTCTATACTCTCTAAGCTAAGATTGTATAGCATTTAAAATATTTCTTCTATTCTTTGAAAAAAACAACTAATCTTGTAAAAACCTTCATTTATTTTTCAGAAACATATATCTTTTTATTTGAAAATCAAAGTAAATAATATTTATATTGTTTTTCATCTTCTTTAAGACCTCCACTCTAGTCCAAAGTATAGACATTGCCCAAATTGAGGAAGCAGTCCTTGAGATTCTGCTGACTCTCGCAAAAATCAGGGAAAGGAGGAGCCAAAACTTCATACATGATCCTGATTAGATCAACAAACTTAGCCAGGGCCTTTGAGTACTCTCCGGTTTCATAGAGCCTTTTGGCTGTGCGCGTCATCATCTCGGTATCCTGCATGACCTTTAGACCTTTCAGGATGTTGGTTATCTCGCCACAGGTAACACACTTCACCATAAAGTCATTGCAGCTGGGTGGCACTTCAATTACCGCAGCACAATTATTTGGAGCATCGCAACGGAAGCGAATCACATCTCTGGGAAGATCATCGAACTTGGGCCAATTGTCAATACAGGCATCGCAGGAGCACTCGAACCAGTAGAGCTCCTTCAAACGAGCCTGTCGCTCCGAACGCTCGTCCTGGGTGTACATAGGTCCATAGTTCTCATTGATCGGTAGTCCAGCTTCGATGGGTCTAACACTGTTAATATGAATGGTTGTGCCACGGAAATATCGCACCACGCCAGGATCACAAGAGTGATTAAACAGGGCCAGAGTGGGATAGATGGCTCCGCCGATGAAGATGGACTTCTCTCGGCCAGAGGAGCTGAATTTATGAAGCTCCGCCACCTCGTGGGTATTGAACTGGATGAACTGCAGACTGCGCAATACCAGGGAGCAAATGATTGACACCTGATCTGTCTTGGGTTCCGATCCAAAGTAACCTCCAGCACGAAGGCACTGGGTCAGAAATCTGGCCATCAAGACGTGCTGAAAGAAGTTAGAGGGCTGACGTTCACCCTGATGTCTCTCCAATTGAGCCACTCTTCGGAAGTCATCTTTGGGAAGGCTGAAATAGTTAGTTAAAGTTTAGTATTCTTTTATAAACTAACTAAGAAACTTACCTTATAAGCTGCTCTGGTGTCAGAACATCATCAATAGTTGGCTTTAAGTTCAGGAAGTAATCCAACGGCTTGCTGGCAATGATTCTCAAAGCAATATGGTTGTTGATGGAGGCACCAGATCGCCAGAGAATCGGGATTATGCCACACTCGTACTTATGATACTTCTTGGAGGCCTCTTCGCGACATTGCTCAGAGCAATATAGAACATCAGCACAACGAGGACAGGCCACAGGTACTACAGTTCTTTGAGAGAAATATAAATATTAGTACTTCATAAAGTAGATAGGTATTTTCCTTTACCGAACAAAGCAGTTCTCACAGTGGGTCTTAGCAAACTTCTCCAGCAAAACGGACACAAATGGTCGCTCCACCAATAGCTCTTCACCGGGCTTTACATCTGCCGAGGCTCTGGCAAAACGACCCTCCTGTCGGTTGCTATCGATCCTCACCAAAGGACTCACGAATTCGTTCTCCAACTTCACTGGCCTGGCCTGATCCAATGCTATCTTTTGCTTTTGCTGCTTGGCCTCTTGCTTAGCTGTGCGTGGATCATGTTGCAGCATCTTGATCATGGTCATGGCATCGAGATTAAGCTTGGCCCGCTTATCAGAGGTCAAGGTAGAGTCATCCATGGCGGTGATGCATTTTCTTCAAGAGAATAATATGATTTAATATTGGCTTTGGTAACCTTGAACTTAATCTCACTTGAAAGATTCAATTGTATGGGGATAATCTTTAAGGGCCATGTAGCAACGAGCTTGTCGTTCGTACAGTTTATAGATCAAGTCCTTGGGATATCCAAGATCTAGAGCTCTCCTTATATCAATCAGGCATTCTCTGGAATGGATTAAAGTTGTTGGTTAGTATCAATATTTTCAGATATTTTCATAGGTGAGTTACTTACTGATATTTCTGCATGTGGTACAAAGTCGCTGATCGATTGGCCAAGACAATACGAATCTCTGCCACTAATAAATAACCAATAACCAATGATTACAAACAGGGAAGAGAAGTATATAATTCACTCACCATTTCCACTGGGCAGCGCCACATAGCTTCTGGTATAGAGCATCATAGCCTCCAGCCACTTTTTGGCCTTAAAGGCTGCTGTGGCCCGCTCCTTGATCTCCGCGGTCAGAGAAGCATTCTTACCGGCGAACTCTTGGTTCACCACCAGGTTGGCATCCCCCGCCTGCACCCAGGGCAACTTTTCCACATAGGCCACGCGCTCCTCATCGCTCTTGCAAGCTGATAACTTGGCTATGTCCGACTCGCAGCTAGATCCCGCTTGATCCTTAAGCTTTAGATAGTACTCGGCAAAGAATCCAGTCTTCTGGCTAAGTGGAGTTTTCATTTTAACTATATTTTTTAACTCAAAAATTATGCAAGTTTATAGAATTTTTCAAACAAATTTCTGTGCTCTGGGCAAGAAAACTGCAGATGAACTGAATGGGTATATCGGGAAAATTCGACGACAACGTGTGGTATAAAAACAGCTTTTTTGGGATTTTATTTTTAGACGAAGAGAGTGTGCCAAAGAGAAATAGAGAAAGCAATAAGAGAAAAGAACATTCTGCATTTGTTTACTAACAAAATTGCCGACACATGCTTGTGTAAGTAGGTTATATTTACCAAACACGGAAAAGCACTAGCGATTAAATAAAAACTAAAGCTAAATTTGGCAATGAAAACTACTGAGGGCGAAGTGAGATTTTTGGCAACAACGGGTTGTTCGCCTCTTTAGCTCAGTGGTAGAGCACTGGTCTTGTAAACCAGGGGTCGTGAGTTCAATCCTCACAGGAGGCAGAAGGGAATCTGCATCTTTTCAAATTCATTCCAGGACAGGATCTTTTTATTTTAATTTTTCCTGAAAATTACATTTATTTGTAATCCGATCCCAAAAGTGAAACGAACTAAGGAATTTCTTCAAGCTTATAGATGGAAGGAAGGAAATAGAATTAAAAAATATTCTTGCTATATTTAAGATTATTAATTTTTTAATTAACTCCGCTGCTAATAACATATTTGCATTAAACAAAATCTTAAAATATATAATATATGAGTAAAGCACAAAGTTTTAATGCACAAAATGTCCAACTCTGGAAATATTTCTAGGGTGATTGTATAATTTTAGCAAACAATTTATGCAAACAACATAGAACAATAATAGTAAAATCCATTTCTTCTGAAAGTCGCGTTTCTTGAAAGATAAAATAAAAACTTTTTTAATTTTCTAAATATAAAAACAAATTTATTTAAGAATATACTTAAAAAAAAGTATTAACAAAAAAATGCGGTAGGCATAGCTTTCTGCCTCCTGTGAGGATTGAACTCACGACCCCTGGTTTACAAGACCAGTGCTCTGCCACTGAGCTAAAGAGGCTTGAGCAAGGCGGCCGGCAAAAGCAATACTTGATCTGAGCGCTCATGCGCCGACAGTTGTTGCTCTCGTACCGCGGGTAGTTCAAAAAGTTGTAAATATAATTACCGGGGTACTTTGAGAAATTGGCTCCATGACAAAGGAAATTAATGTTGGCCTTATCTGGCATCGGCACTTGAGAGAACGGCAGCTGAGCGACTTCTTTGGCTAATGAAGACGAGTCGAAGTTCAAAGTGAATTGCGGGTGTTCAGGCAGCTTCGAGTGGCAATTTGTTATGGGTAAATTGTGAAGAATTGACGTGGGAAGTGGTAGATGCAACAGCTCATATATAATTGTGTCACTGGGACTACAAGCTATATACCACTGCATATTTACCCAAGACACAACTGTACATTCTGGGCTAAAAAAAAAAGAAACGTTTCCCATATCGAATTACCATTGTTAAGCCGTTTTTGGCATTTAAGCTGTATGCAAATGGTTTTAAAGAAAAGGTGAAATGCGTAAATTACAGTGTCAACATTACAACGCCCACTTTGGTAAAAATTCAAAACGCTTTTTTTCGGGGTGTCCCGCCGTGAAAATGCATTATGCACAAAAGGAAAGCGAAACCCAATACCAAAAGGTAAGGGTGCAACATAATGCTGTACAAGTATGTAAATTTCGTTAAGCTGTTGAATCGCGCCCCGCTTTTGACTTTGGGCATTTGTAACCCCTTTTTAGGGGTTTCAACGATCCATTGGCTATAGTGTTGGAAAACAACTGACGACTGGACATGACAGCAGCTTGTACATCTCGGCCCTGTCATCAATCATCAATCACGGTGGCATGAAGGGGTGTTCCATGTGTCTGTGTATGTCTATGACGCAAAACAATGTAATCATCAGGGCTTACAGCGGATCGGCAGCTGTCACTTGTACGCACAGTGACTTGTAGTACAGTAGAGCCACTCAAAGGATGCCCCGTGTGGTCCTGTGATTGAACATTGTCAATACTCGTAATCGCCAATGTTTATGGGCTGTCATCCCAGGCGCAAAATATTTATCACTCTGCGCGAGTTGCATCCTCGAGGCTGCAACAACCCCTAATTCATGCGAACAAGTGCATTTTGGGATTTTTGAATGCATTTCGAATCGCTTTTCGTCCAGTTTTTGACCCTGGTTTTTGCCTTTGAAACTGACCAATGCGAATGCAAATTCATGCGGAATAAATGATGCATTTTCCCCCATCTCCTATTATTTTTTTGCCTTCAGTTAATTACAGTGTATTTTGTTATTTCCTCTTCCCCTGCCCGTGCCCACCTTTTTTATGTTCTTTAGGGTTCTCGATTGCTCACTCACACACATACACATTCATATTTAATCAAACTTCCGTTGCATTTGCGTTTTTTGTTTGTTTTTATACCCTTCTACGGGGTTAGTGGAGGCTCAAACTCTTTTCGGAAAACTATTTGTTTGCTTCCCTTCACTTCTAACAAATTCAATATTTGTCAAATGTCTGATAATAGCATGTTATTGACTGGGAAATTGATTTTTAATTGTTGATGTTTAACATTTTTACGTCTCTTTTATTATTTTGGTTTATTTTATTATTATATTTATATTTGATTTTAAATAAAACCTCATTTATATAGAATTAGTGGTATTGTATATCATTGTATATAGTTAGTTCTAGTTATATTAGTTCAACTTGCAGTTTAGAATAATGGTTTAAAAATAGTTTATCTTTATAAAATCCACAAAAATATTTTAAAAAAATTTCTAAAAAGAGTATTAAGACACATATTTACCCAAACCCCTCCATCCATGGCCTTTTTTGCTTGCTTTAATTTGCAATATACTTAACTTCCGTTTTGCATTGTCGTTTTTTGCCAGCCATTGTCAACTCTTTTTGTTGTCTGATTTTGTTTTTCGTTTTTTTGCAGGTATTCATGTCAACTTGATTTGCACTGAAAACTCACAGCCCGTTCGCAGACAACAATCAAATAAAACCGAAATTAATTGCAGCAACTAAATTGTGTTTAAGCCAGGCTGAGCACCTTCCTGCCTTACATAGTCGGCAAAAACAGACAGAGAGAGAGAGGGAGAGACGAAAGACGGCTAAAATAATTAAAAATCATTTTTCTTTCCTAAGCCAAATGCATTTCAATTGCCGCCAAATGTCATTTGGTGGGCGACGCATTTGGCTGTTGACATTTGGAAAACGTCATAAATAATTTATAACAAAAACCAAGTTTTTTGCATTTTTTGGCCATTGTCTGAAAAGTCTTGAAAATGGATTTTATTCATCTTGTACTTGATTACCAGCCTGGGCTTATAGTTGTTTATGATACCAACTTGGTTTTTATGCAAATTAAAGTGTGCCACTTAATTAATTTTGAACGATCGGATAAGCATTTAAATAAATTAAGGTCCAAAGTGATCGGAATCAAGTTGTTTTCAGCTGATATACAAGTTTTTTTTTAGCTGATTAGTAAGCTAATGTCATCTTAATAACATTGATCGAAGGTAAATCACACGGCCATCTCATATATATGTGACAATAAATTGAGATTAAACATTGAATTAAGTTTGTTTATCTGGGAAATAAGTTTTCGTGCTTCCCATTACATCAATCAAAATAAATCTTTCAATGGTTTTTCATTTACCAAAAGTAAATTTGTAATTGACATACATTCACTCAACTTTTCAATCAACACTCTTTTCTTTGAGGTTTCATTATAATATTTCTTGAGCCGTCCATCAACGGAAGGAATCAAATTTCAATTAAATCCTCAACTTGAGTTTCCATTCAACTCTTTCCTCCGCTTTTCATTGAAGTACAAACATTTCCTTCACTAGAATTTTCCTCTCAGTGATTTCGATGCATTTCCTGATCAACTCATAACCCTCTTCACCACATGAGTTTCCTTCACTACTTTGGTTTTTCCTAAGAAACTGTCGTTGGGGTCAATGGAAGTGCACAAAAGCCTTAATTCAATTTGAGTTCCATTAGCGTTGAACGCATTGCGTGGAAAACTCTTCAGACCGAAATCAGTTCAAATTAATTAAAAACTAAAAATAATAAAAAATAGACGAAAAGAAAGCAAAACACGAACAAACAAATGTGTGTTTACAAAGCCAACAATGGAAAGTGCTTCAGCTCAAGTGGAAAACAAAAGCTAAATGAAATGAATTTTCAAGCCGATGAGGGGGTTGAAAAACAAAAATAAAAATCCAATTTTCAAGAGTGGCGGCGTCGGTGGCAGCAGCAGCAGCAGCTGGCCAAAAGGGAAAGGTAAGGGCAGAAAAGGGGAAAAGGCACGTGGCGCATGCGCAGGACCTCGCTTTGGGTCGGGGATCATAAGCTGTTACATCCAGCCATCCGTAATACAGTTACAACCTGAGATTGATTGGATGTGTGAGGGGTTCGGGATGGGAAGTGACAGACTGTGACGAATTGCCTTGGGTGGATTTCCTCTTCCTGGCTTCAAAAGCGTATATCTTTTTTTGTATCTGCGATCCCTTTTTGGGATGCTAATGACAACGAACCATTGATGTAATGTCCTTTGCCTGTCAGCGGGTATTAGCCTCATATTTCTCTCTCCTTTTTATCCTGCAATTTTACACTAAATCAGGCAATTTTTTACCCAATTCTTTGTGCTCATTGTTGTCTTTTTTGACACTTTTCGGATTGATTGGTGGCAAAAAATAAAAAACTACAGAGATTAATGCTTATAGAAAATCCTTTTTTGCGGTTTAGCTGTGCTCGTTTTAATGCGATTTAATGGCAATTTGGGCACCTCGGGTAATTTTACACAATTTATTTATCCCTCGACACATTAACGGCAGCTGTTTAACAACTCAGCACGCGTCAGTTGGTTGTCTTTTCTTAGGCCGATCCTGCTGTGCCTCTGGGCTAAAAGTCTTCGATTTTTCGGCCCAACATATGGGACCTAATCGATCGGAGTTTCTAGGGAAAATTTTCTGACCCGGACCGCAGTTGATTTTACGGCTGGTAGCGAAGCGCAAAGATCGTTGATCCATTTTGCACGCACTGCTGCCTCGAAACTGAAATCGAACTGCACTCAACACACAAACTGTAGAAAGATAGTATGTATGTATCTTGCAGATGCGTGGTAATCAAAATGATGATGTGAAAATATTTGCTCATCAAGCATGTCGTCTTGGCTTTTCATAGAAGGAGACCTAATGGCTCCATCTTGGCAACAGGTGAACACAGGCTGCCGAATTTCTTTCGTTTTGACCCTAATTGTCATGGGCCACTGAAGCGCAGCGGCCGATCTTAATGTTGATTATCCGCTGAATGTGTGTAATTTTTGTGAAATTAATATCCGGTCGGCCTGACCTTGTGTCTACTATAAAACTCCATTCCCCCTTCCACCTTTCCACTGCCATTTCTCTTAATTATGTTTGAAAGCATTTATCAGCTCGGCGACACTCAACGAAAGAAGAACGCGACCAAGTCCAACTGTGTCAACATATGTTCTTGTTCTATCTTTTGTGTTCTTGGTGCAGATACAAAGATACTGATATATCGTACGAATACAATGCAAGCCAAGCTCTCACCTAGCTGTTTAAATTATCTACTGGGACGCCCTCGAAACGTGAGCCTCTTTAGCTCAGTGGCAGAGCACTGGTCTTGTAAACCAGGGGTCGTGAGTTCAATCCTCACAGGAGGCATCTGAAATTCCCTCAACTAATTGGAGGAGATGAAGTGGGAGTTGAGGGAACACTTTTTTGGGTGCTAAGAGAATTGCAAGTGAAGATACTAAAGGTATGGGGTTTCAACATGATACCAATCATGAAAATATTAACAAGGCTTAGTTAGGAAACATGAAGAACTGCTAATGGTAATCTTTCCAGCGATCCAAATACAATTCTTTAAACATTTTCTTTGAATTCAATTACTTTTTGTCACTAGTCAGTAAGACATTCATTTAACTTTAAAGATTATTTCTATTTTCATAGATATTTATGTACATAGTTAACCTTTATAGGTTATTAAGTAGACTATTAAAGAAATTTCTGTTAATACACGAGATCCTTTATGGGAATATAATATAGCATAGTTCTTAAAGATACTAAAGGGTTCAAACCCTCATAATATATTCTTATGTAAAACAAAATAAAAAAGGCCCCACAGGGAACACCAAGTTAAGGACCTGGCGGAACAATCTTCCATATATCGTGCCTTCTTCCTCTTGTAAAATTCCTCATTTCCCTGGGCAATGGGCACCTTAAATTAGCCCAAACCCCTTAATCGAGAGCACCTGTCACCTGTCGCAGGACTTTGAGGCGATCCCAAAAACGCGATTTAGTTCCGCTCCCATTGCTTTTCTAGCCAGTTAGACAACTTATGTCGTCTCGCGATCTTGAAAATGTTCCATGGACACGCACGCCTCAGGAAACATGGAAAGCAAAAAAACAAACCAAGAGGATCAGTAGAGGAAAATGTCCAGGTAGTGGCAGTGGTGATGTTTTCTTTATGATGGCATAAATTCAGTTTTAATTGAGGTTGCAAGCGGCTACTTGTTTGGCCATTGGAATCTCATCCACTTGGCATAAATTACGGAAAAACAGGGCTCTCCCTCGATTTTCTCATTTTTCAAGTGCCACACAAAATGTTCGAGTTTATAATGTTTGGCCTGGCCTTTGGCCTCGAGCTCCGCGCCTCAATTACAGAACCGATCCCAAATTCAGACTCAAATCTTATTCTCGGAAAAGCAAGGGAAACCCAAAGCAAGTCAAGTTTTTCCAGCCACTTGCGGTCTTCTTTTTTGTGTCGTTGTTTATTTTGTTCGGGATGAAAAACCATAAAAAGTGGCCTCGCGTAACTGACAGCGTCAAGTGATTTTTCTTTGTTTTTCTTTTCGGAGAGGAAGTGTTTTTTGGGTTTTTTTTTGTGTTGTATTATTCAACAGGCAGTAAAAAATATCTTTCGATTCTCCGCATTCTCAATCTTTTGTCTTGGTTCGCTGAAGAAACGAAAGACTGAAGCCACAAACGCGTATGGAAATGAGCGGGCAGTGGCTTTCGATGGATTTGGTAATAGACTCGGTCTAACGGTAAAGCACATTTCACTAGGGGATTTTGATTTATAGACAGTGGGCCCTTCTGCCTCACATTAGCTAATCGAAACGATATCAACCCGCAAAAAGTTTTGCAATTAGGCTGGTCCTCAGAGGGTTAAAATGTAGCACACTTGAAGCGCACGAGAAGCGCATGCGTAATCCTTCTTCCTTTTTTTTATTTCCCGTTTTAATTTTTGTTTAATTTTGATTTATGCCTACTCTTGAATTTTGGCTCTGTTGTGTATCTATTTTGGGCTGCATTTAATGAAGGGAAATACAATCAACGCCAGCAACAACCCCTACGCATGCGCATTTTACCCCTAATATAGGGTAAAGGGTTCGTTTTTTCGGGATTGTTGTGATCATTTTAATTGACTTTGCGCACGAGCGGACTCATCGGACCGAAACGTAAAAGATAAAAGGCAGATAGAGGGCACTATATAATCCAAGAGCCATATGTCGATGATGATGCAACTGGAGCAGCAGGCAAATGAGCAGTTTAAGATGCACGTTGCATCGTAAAATCTCGGATGCAACGGCAGCTGTCAAAATAGGCAAAGACACCCACCGAAAAGACGAGGGAGTGGAGTTCAATGCACTGGAACTCTAATAACCATTAACCATTACGATCGCAACGGGTCGACCGCGCATACTATAACCCAATAAATCCGGAGACCAGTGCACTTCGCAAGTACTTACACTACTCTCTGTTCTATGATTGCTCTCTCTTACTCAAGGAACTACCACTAGTATTGCAGGCCTAGCTATTTTCAAGCTAAATATATTTATGGTCAAAAACACTTTGAGACCTTTTGTTAAAATAGTTCTTAAAACTAAGGTAAGATATATTTGCATAAATGAAAATATTTAAATAATATGGCTTCATTGACCAAAGTAAAAGATAATTAGGTCTTTCAACATGCATTACCTATTTTTAGCTGTTTTTAGCTAAACTTAGCTATTTTTTGATACCAAACACAGACAACACCGATCGTAAAGAGAGAGGGTGCAGCGGTGAGTGCCCAAGAGAGTAAGAGAGAACGTAACCCAGAGAGCGGCTTCATGTAATGCCCGTCTGCCGTTTAAGTCTCGATGCTCAGACTTCATCTAATAGTCGAAGCGTTCGGATGTGCGCGCGCTCTCTCTCTCTCCATATAATCCAAAGCCGAAATCGTGATTAGTTCCCTGCGCCTGCGTAAATTCGTGGACCTACTTCAATCAACCAAAAAACCTACGTGAATTTTTGTGTGTTTTGTTTACTTGTTTATCTTTCCCAAATTGAGAGTAAATTTCCTGTATCCTGCATAAACAAAGGAAACGCTCAGAGGAAATACAATAATTTATGAAGCCACTGCAAAGCGGAAATAATTAACACAAAAAATTAAAAACTAAATGTGCCGATCGCATTTTAGTAACGGTTTCGATGCGGTTTCAAGCAATCGGTTTAGCCATTGACATCATTGATTTATGTCCCAAGTGTAAATAATTCGCACAACAAACAATACACGAAAATTGAGGCTTTTCCTCCCTCCGCAAAAACAAACCAATCAAATGCAATGAAATGAAATGTTGCCATTGATTTGCGCACATTGCCATTGTTCAGAGTTATTGGTTGACTTTTAACTGGGAACCGTACTTTAAGCTGGTAAGTAGTTTTCATCGCCATTTATAACAATGGCTGCGAATGAAGAGCGAAAATCACTTGCGGAAAGCGAAAGGTTAAGCAGCGATCAATTGTTGCATTCTTAAAAAAATTGTATACAGTGCGGCCTCTTTAACGTAAACGGGGTCGTCGCAGTAAAAATAATAATGATGATGGGGCAATTTTCGCTATAGAAGGCCGCTCCTCCTAAAAATCTTCAGATGCTATTTATCTTGCATAATCCCCCACGCCAACAACAGCGGGTAAACGATTCTAATATCTGAATATTTATAGAGGAACTTTCAAACTCTTTTATAACTCTTTTCTTATCATAACAAAGGCAGCGGCGGGGGAAATTGAAACCTCGTAAATAAATTAGTCAGTCAGACGTCTATTAAAACGCGATTTGTTTTGTTGATGAGTCGCAGATAACGCTGTATATAACTATTATACATTTTGCTCATTATGAGAAGGCAAGTTCAAAGTTTCAGAAAACAAAATGAGTTTCGAATTTCTAATGGAATTCCACTAAACAGCCACAATCAATCAGTCAAATATGACTCGATCTCTGACCATATAATTACATATGAGAATTCTGCGGTTGAATCACAATCGGCGATTCAAACACATTCTAGAGAACCCCTTTTGAATCGTGTCTCAGATGCAGTGGCAAGTTCTATATATATTCTCAGTCTCCATATCATCTATCTCGCTTTTTTGTCGTTAATTTTAATTAGATATTTTCTTTTGGGAATCCGCTGGCTGCATTTGAATAACAATTGATCGGTTTCTAACCAAAATGTATTCTCCGTTTCAATTTCTTCATTGAAATGCCAAACCCTTTTCTAACGACAGGATGTCTTTGGGATCTCAAGAGTGTCATTTACATATTCTTTGGATTCTTCTAGCTGTTCGTCTTTGACTTTTGTGTGTTTTTTGTTTCTTTTTCGATTTTTTCAATGCTAACAACCTAATCAAAGTTTGTTTTTTCGAGTATTTTGTTGGGGGATATGTTAATTTTCGGAATGACTGTATTTTATTTTTATATGTGGGCTTTTTCATGTCGTGATTTCTTGTCCATGTGTGGACTGAGATGCATCAACGCATTTATGCTGACTTTTGTTTTATCTACTTCACCCATTAAGTGGGAATAGAAAGCCAAGATTCGGCCAGATAAACTTTGCATACATCGTCGACCTGTGTGTTGTATATGGTTAACTTTTCGGGCTAACTGTTTCGGTTTCGGTTGCGGTTTTCACTTTCATTCACTGTTTCGCTGTAACAATTAAAACGAGAGCTGCAAATCTCCAACTCCTCAACTCAAAAAATAAACCAAGCCAATATTGTATCTATCACTATTGATTTCGCTTTCGATTTGATCGTATTTCCTATCATCAGGGCAATTTGCACTTTCCTATATAGCGTCTAAATCGCCCAGGCCGACTTTCTAGAATTGATTTGCATAAGTGATTTGTCCAGTGCGGCGACTTTCGCGACCCCAATCTGCATCTCGATCTTAAGACAGCTGACATTCTAACTGTGAACGATAAACACACACAGAGGCTATGGAAAATATGTGTATCCAAGACTAATTGCCCACTGAAAATGATGGGCAATTATCAGCTGAAATGGCAACAGCTGCAAAGCAAACAGCCTGTACAGTGATCACTCAAACAAAAAATATTAGTTTTGGTGCAGAACCTGAGCCAATTTTAAGACTTCTTTCTGTTGTTTCACAAAAGTAGTTTCTTGACACTTCTTTTACATACAAATTTAGTTCATATAAGCAACAAATTTACTTTAATTTTTAATAACTTTAAAACAAAAGAGTATTATAACATCAAATTCTTCATAAAACACTATCTAACTCTCACTTCATTTCTACAGTTTATGATATAATACACAAATTTATTAGAACTTCTAGCCAAATAAACAAACCAATGACCTTTTCTTTGGCAATCTCTCAGAGTTGAGTTCATAAAAAGAAAGATATAAACCCCGAAAAAAAGCAAACAAAGAAATTTCCATATTTATGTCAAGTCCATTAAGCATATTCTTGGCCACTTGTCAGGCCATCTAAGCCCGGTCTTTGGTCCATTTTGTTGGCCATGTTGTCAGGCGGCAGGCAGCCTCCGAGGCGATTAAAATTATCAATGTCGGGGCTGCGCTTGTGACACTTGTGCACACACGAAATAATAATGCCCGACAAGCCGGGCCAATTGTCAAGCTGGGCTAATTTGTGTCTTGCCGCAGTGTGTGTTAGTGCCAAGAGAAATATTTCAGCTCGTAAATAACTCGAACAGACAGGGCGCAGGTGTTGGGAAACTACCAACTAGGCAGGGGTTAAGGTTTAGAGGAAAACCACATAGAAAAAAAAAAACTAAAAAACAACCTAATTTGGCGTCATGCCCGCAGGCCAAATATTTATTCATAAAGGTTATTAATGCCCCGCGATGTTACAGAAACTGAATTAAGCTAATTTTTATAATTATTTTAACCTTGCTGAATAAGAGAAACAAAATAAAATAAATTGAAGAAAAAAACGAACTTCATCCATAGACTGCCTCCTGTGAGGATTGAACTCACGACCCCTGGTTTACAAGACCAGTGCTCTGCCACTGAGCTAAAGAGGCTCTGTTAAGAAGGCGGCCAAAGCGTAATAGGCTTTACCGCTGCTAGAACGCTTCTACCAGCTGGAAAAGCTAACATAGCTCTTATCTGCTAAACTAACAGTGCAAAAGCTGTTAACTTTTCGAATTTGCATTTAACGAGGCATAACATCTAAAGCTTCGGATCAAGTTATTACGCTTCTGTATATATAAAACAAATACATATATATTAGAATCACAGGTGTCATCTCCATTTAAGTAATTGAGTAAAATATTTTTGCATTGTTCCAACAAATTGTGGGCGCGCACTGAGCTCATCTCGCAACAATTTTGTAGGCGCGTTTGAAAGAGAGAGAAAAAGGCACATAATAATAGTAAAACAAATAACAGCAGAGGGGTGGGGCGAGAAACGCCCCCTTGAGATAGACAGAAATTTGATTTGATTTTCAAGCCATTGAATTAACATATAAAACACAGCATTTGATGTGTGGGCTGATGTTTTTTTAGCATACGTCGACTGCATTTGATATATTGCTAATTGAGAATCCCAGATCGAGATCTCTGCTGATTGGAATTTATAGCGCGATTCTCAGGAGTACCCGTTCGAATTCGAGTTTAGAGCTGATCCCCTGGGACCTTGGCGACATCAATTTCATCTAAAGCCAACGAGAAATGATAAAAAGCTGCATAAACTTGTCATCATTTCGCCGTTTTTTCCTCTTTTTTTTTGGGTCATTTCGTGAGAGAACTCTAGAACATAGACCGGAAAAATAGCATCCGAACAAGTTTCACTTAGCAGCTAAGAAAAACCACCACTGGACATCGTTCCACTTGCGTGGTGATCAGCATTGAAAATGCAATTTGCAACTTGAATTTAGGAGTAACAGTAATACCGCAATTCGCAGCTTGTTCTTGTGTGGAAAACATTGTTGCGCTACCTTGAGTCAAATTGCTTAATAAACTTGGCTTTTTGTCAGTTTCACTCTTCTAACTTGACTGAAACGCCGGAAACGCGCTAAACATAAATGAAGTCCAAATGGAAATGATTACAGGGCTTACTGCTCTATTCTTTGGCTAATAGAGATGATAGCGTGAGTCGAGGTGTGGTGTGTCTTGAAGTGTCTAATTTAGTTGATGATATTTGGTAAACCTAAAAATTATTTTGGAAATATAGTGTAGGTAAGTAATCAAAATTGTTTTTAGCAAAAAACCAAACTTTGAAATGTTTTCTCTCTTCGTTGCTAAGGCAAAAAAAAAGGTTAATTAAATTAATCTAGAAATTCCCTGTAGAGCACCTTATGCATGCTGCTGACAAACACAAAGACTGGAAATTTGTTTAATTATATAGGTTTCATAGTTCCAAACTTCCCCCCGCGTCACGTAACTCTCCCTAATAACTTGATTATGGAGTACAAGTACTTGTTCTTGGTCTGGTTGCGCCTCAGTGGCTTTAGCGCCCACATGTTCAAGACCCTAGGCCTGGGAAGCACCTGAGCAAGAAGAAGCCTAGCTGTTCGGGTCTTGCTGCACTTGCTCTGGTTCCTATATTAAATATATATATATATATATAGAAAGACACAGCGACACGGGGAACCCTTCTCAGTTGGGCACGCAAATTGAAGAATAATAATTACATGCATATAAGTCGAGTCTCATATGTATATATATATATATAATATAGTTAACTATGCTGAAGAGGGTATAGTTGAACGATCTTTACGGTTGACAGACTTTTCCCACAGCCAATTGAGAATTGTAACTGACACTGTTGCAATTTGGCGAATGGCAGATACTTTGTAGATTCCTAAGAGATTCCTCTCTACCTAGTTCCCCATAATTTCAGCTCATTAGCAAAGCGTTCTAACAAAGTACAGAATCGGCCAAGAAGAGTTAGATTCAAATCCAGTCGCTAATGTGCGAGTACTCGTCGGGGTTCTCATTCAAAGCTCCCTTCTCTCTGTTTCGTAACCACAATTAGGCATTAAGGCGAAATTAGATTAATGGTAGGCCCACATTGGGCAAGGTAAAATAACCCAAAACACTAGATCCCCCTTACCTATCCTCCTCTTCATGTTTTTTCTATCTAGTTTTATGTAGTTCCTGTGCCAGCACGCAAGCCCCGCCAGTGAGATAGGCCCCAAAAGATGGGGTTAGGCCGGAGATGTAGATGGAGTTCTTAACTAAATTTTGTAGAACGTCGCTGGCGGCAGTGCCAGCATGATAATTATTCTCCAAGACTAATGACTTGCTTGGCTTATCTTGAAGGCAAAAGTCGCAAATCCAAGCCTTAAGCTAAGTAGTACAATGTCAAACAGATGTTAGAGTTACAGACTCCCAAAGTAGAGGAAGATGTATTTTTGTTTACTAAAAAGTAATAAAAAGATCTTAAGAATTAAAAATTAAACAGCCATCATTAATACCCCAAATATAAACAGCAATTAGCCTCTAATTTTCCTACACTTTCATTACAACTCCTCTAATGACTTCGAAAACGCATTTTCCCAGAGCCTTTCCATCGAAAGTTTGCCTTTCATCTTAGCAGCAGTTCATTGGTTATGGGTGGGAAATCGTTAACCAAAGTGAACTGCTTTTTCATAGAACTTGTTCTTTTCCGTGTTTTATTTTAGTGCTCAATAAAAAGCCAAGCTAACGGTACGAGTTTAAGCCCTTAGCCCTGTGAGATACATTTTGTATGTCACAAGTATCTATGACAATTGCAGTATGAATGAAGTGCTTTGTCTTTCAGATACACCGACAAAGGGAAAACAAAAACAAATAAAAGCAACAAACAAGTGAAAAGCCAGAAAAGAGGGAAATGAGCAGTCGCCGTTGTCTTTGCCGGCACATTAAGTAATGTGATCTATGCAACCTCATCCGCCAGATACAATCTCAATCTCGAGTGTGTGTATCTTGCGGCTGTGCAGATCTGCATATCGAATGCTTTTCATTGTTGTTGCTGCTTCTCAACCACCGAAAGTGCGTTGTTTTTTCTTTAGTTTTTTTCATGTAACCATCTCATTTGCATGTGATTCACATTTCTCTTCTTGCCTTATAAAAAAGATGAGTCTGAGAACTTTAAGGATATGTATTCAGAATGGGCCTAATAAAAGCCTCTTCAGCGAATCGCAAATGTAACGTGCCAAAAGCTGTTAAAACCGACGAACCGAAAATTGCAGACCAATTGTTTTTAGCCTGCCAAGCGGAACGCGAAATTAAAGTGACTTTGAAGTGAGCTGAAAACTAAAGTGGGCTATCCATTTGGGTTCAAAGTTCATCACTAGATATACTATATCACTGTCATCTTGAGGTTGTATCTTAAAGTCTATGTATCTTTTACTCCATTTCAGAGCTGCAAACGAAGGAGGAGAGGAGTTTTTTGTTTATTCCCATCATGGACACCGGAAGTGTGGTTAGTGAACCGATTTCCGCGCATCATCGCGCCTTTGCCAAACAGAAGTCCGCCTCCATGGTAAGTTCCCTTCATTGCATCCATAGGTTTATATTGTGTAAGACCCCAAACATAATTAATGCAACATCCATGGGCGGCATAACGCCCTGACACGCCTCTCTGCCGCCCCCTTTTGTCTGATTCGATTATGTAAGTGCGCGGAATACTATCTACGTTAATTAGATATTGACACGCACAGGCAAAGGCGCAGGCATTAGCCAAAGTCTGCAAGCACTCACCCCAGATACTTTGCATCGCAACACGCTAGAAAGTTGTCGAAAATGAAATTCGCAAATGGGCAAACATAAATCCCAGATACAAGCAAGCAAATTTCAGATATAAAGATACAAAGAAACTCTTTACTTAAGTTGAAGATTTATTACCCATTAATAGCTTGATAAATTTAGAGCAATAATTTAAACTAAACAAGGTTTAGTTAATCTTTAAGTTAAACCCAATGATTCGCCTTTTAAGCTTCTTTTTCACTTTTAATTACTTTCTTTTACCCATTAAAATGGTCCATAAAAATCTAGTTAAGCCTTTTCGAGACGCCTTAATCCAAATAAATACATATTAATAAAGCATTAATAAGCTAATTATAGCTTAAAACAAATTACAACAAATAATTGCAAATGCATTTTTAGGCAACACTTTCACGCAGCCAACAATGCATAGTCACTCAAGGCATTGCATTCAAACGGTTGTTAGTTCGAGTAACTAAATATTTTGAACAGATTTTATGTGTGAAATATTGCCTGGCTAAGCTGGGAAATTTCATAGGGTTTTTCACGTTTTCTGTTTATTTAGGGGAAGTGAGTGGAATATGTAAGTGTGTGAGAAAAGTGAAATTACAATTCAATGTGCGTTGAATTTCCTTTAGTAACAAGATATGAAAAAGCGCAAAGTGGAGTAATATTGCAAATTTTTTTAGTTTTCTGGTTTTTTTGATTTGAAGAAAGTTACTGGCAAGCCAAAAGCAATGATGATGGAAATGAGGTGCTTATGACCTCGCTAATCTTTAACATTCGGCTGGGCCTTTTGTGTGTACGAAATAAAAGTTTGTAGTATATATAAAAAGATTTTTTAAGATCCACACATAGCATTGCCATCATTTAGCAAATTAGTAGAAAGAAGTCAGATGGCCATTGAATGGAACTTTCACTCGCAGCGAAATGATTGAAAGCAAAAGTGAGTGACGAATATGTTTGGTTTGGGCTTAAAATCAACATTGGCATCAGCATCATCGATGCGAATCATTAACTGCTAGATAGTTTAGTCATGGTTTCGGATGGGAGCTGGGCGGTGGGTGCATCACTGATAATAGCAACTATAAATAGTTACAGTAAATTGGCCATAACCAAAAGGCTGAACAAATACGTCCCCCCAAGAGATGTGAAGTAATCACAGGCAGAGCGAAACGAAATCGATATCTTATCTTTCCCTATTAAAAAGGAAAAAAAGAAAGAAAGACCCTATGAAAACATCACCCCATAGTCGCGGCTGCTGGTTTCCTTACATCACCTCATATACGGTCAATTAATTCCTTCCACAAAATTACACCAATTACTCAACGAGAGTTTTCCATTCCAAGCTGTTAATGAATGGAAATTCAACTCCTAAGATATGCAAATTTATTTATGATCTAAAAAAAAAAGGAAAAGTCAAGAAATTTATAACGAAATCCGGCAATCCAAGAAGTTCTCACGTTCACCCTGTAATAGTGGACAATGTCCGGCCTGGCCTTACTTCCCTTACTTAATAATTTTGTACAAATTTCTCAACGAGTGCAACTTTCTTGCAGGGGTTGCAAGCCAAAAAGGGGTGCAAGGAAGCCTAAAAGTGGTTGTTGCAGTTCTTGAGGACTCCCAAGTAAATGCAGCTGAGACAGGGCTTTGTAACGGATTTCGGCTGTTGTATGTTTAGGAGTGTTTTTTTTAAGATATTTCAAAAACTATTTGAAAATGTTGCAGAATGCAACCCTGGAAAGAACCTCCTTCTTTGTTTGTTTTCTTCAGTAGCTAAAAATGCAGAAAATAGTATCTATGTTTAGTATTCAAATGAATTACGAATCGAATTACCCTAAACTACTCTTCAAAGTCAATCTAGATCATCATATTATGCAGCTGATTAAAAAATTGCAAGCTAATTCTTAGTCACAATCTACACTAATGGAGAAAAAAGTGGTCCAGCAACTATAAGTTATAGTATTTTATGATACAACAAGTAGAAAACTACAAAGTAGAGATCATAACAATGTCATCTTTAGGGTTTACCTGTATATATCTACGAGTATGACGACATTGAAACACTTTTTATGCCAATCACGTAGTCCCCTTGAAGAGCTTTACGCTACGTGAAAGCAACAGGTTCCCCAAAAGCTTAGCACCATGCACCCTAATTCACCTCACTGAAACTCAACACTTCAGCTGATGTGCCGCTGAAATATATTTCTGTGTTCACCAAACTTTTGTTTATTATTCTATAAATTTCCAACAAATGTTTATTATTTGTACATAAATTTCGTTTCGCGAGTGATATGATTTACCTCTGATCCAGTGTAATTAATGTGATAATCAAAAGACTGTAATAGAAAACAACAAAAAAATTATTGGTAATCTAATAAATCAGGAACTTTATCAGATTCCATAAGTCAGCTTAAAAGTGATTAACTATAAGTAAGACTACATACAAACAAATATTATCAAGTGGGTAAATATAAACCTAAACGAGCAAACAATTACAAACGAAGTTCAACGATAAAAAACGAACCTCTAATAGATAGAAATACGAGCACAAAATGCGTATCATCAGAACCAGTATGCTGTCAGCTATCAAACGGATCTCAACGAGAAGACCCACTACCTTGGTCAGTAATATCCGAACTTTGAGCTCCTTTGGAACGATGAGCCTGCCGGAACGTCAGCCCTTCTCGCCAGACTTTTTCTTCCGTCAAGTACGTAACTTGATCTAATATTATGAAATATAAAAGAAAAGATATCCAAAATCTTTTAACTCAGCTTTTTGATGGAGAAAGCAGTACGTATAGTTACCTTCTGGCGGATCTGAAGAATGGCGAGGCTGTGATCATTGATCCTGTTCTGGAGCAGGCCAAACGAGATGCCCAGTTGGTCAAGGATCTGGGCTTTGAGCTAAAGTATGCCAGTAAGTGATCTGTGATCTTAATCATTGGATAATTTCACCATGACACAAGCCTATTTCCTCATTTCACCAAGTCAACACCCATATGCATGCCGATCACATAACGGGCAGCGGCTGGTTGAGGAAGCTGACGGGTTGCCACTCGGTGATTGCCGCCGCCAGTGGAGCTAAAGCGGATCGTCATCTGAAGGAGGGGGATCGTATAGATTTCGGTACCCATGTAATAGATACTTTGGCCACTCCGGGTCATACCAATGGCTGTATGAGCTATGTGATCAAGGATCAGGGTTGTGTCTTTACCGGGGACACTCTCCTGATTCGAGGCTGTGGACGCACTGATTTCCAAGAAGGCTGTCCACGTAATCTATATGATAATGTACATAGCAAGATCTTTACTCTGCCGGAAAACTTCCGCATCTACCCAGCACATGACTACAAGTGAGTGGGAATCGAGAAGATATATATAATATATATATAATATATATATATAATATCTGCCTTTTACAGAGGTCAATTGGAAAGTAGTGTGTGGGAGGAAAAGCGCTATAATCCCAGGCTCACTAAGGATATAGAAGAGTTTGTGAAAATCATGGACAACCTGAATTTGCCATATCCCAAGAAAATAGGTGGGACTTAGGGAATATCTAGTACGAGTCTGTATCAGTTACTAAGTTGTATATCTTTCAGATGTCTCGGTACCCGCCAATCGAGAGTGTGGAGTCTACGATATACCCAAGGAATAAATTTAACCCCTGAAGTCACTACAAATGCAGATTTTAATATAAAGTTTCTAAGAGATTTGTAATCTTTAAAATAAATATACATTAAATATTCGTTATATCTTATCAAGATCAACCCATTACTGTGTCACTTCTCTCCCCGATTTCTTAATAAGATTAACTGACTTCATTGTTTGCCTTTCTTTTTTCTTGCAGACCATTCTCAATCCGAAGGGTTGTGGCAGTGCCGTCAAGTACAGTCTGCACTCGACTGCAGAGACGAACCAGGAGACTGCCAGTACCACCACCACCACCACCTCTACCCACTGTTCGACCACAGGAAGAAGGCGCAAGGGTGGTTCGCTGGGCGGTACTCTCTCCTCGAGATCCACGCGCAGCGAGTCCAAAGAATTGAGATCGGCTTTACAGGATCGAGAGGCTGTCATCCAGAATTTAAGGATTCAACTATGTTTGGGCAAGCTGCCTAGGCCGACAGGACCACCACTGGATGAGTCCGAGAAGCCGGCGGCTGAGCAAAAACTCAATCGACTGAAGACTGAGGCGGAGAACAAACGGATTAAGATCAAGAATCTGAAGAGCGCCCTGGAGAAGTTGGACATTACAGAGTAAGTAGAATGTCTCCTTGTTAACTGTACAGATAGTTAATATATAATCGATCCACAGTAACATCGACATCCGTATCCGTCAAGCCGAACTGGAATATGCTCTTGGCAGAGAAGAACTCCAGATGCTCTCGATTGTTGAGGAAGCACGCGCCTTGCAGGCCAGACTGGAGAAGTCCAAGCCCGAGGCGCAGACTCTTTACAACATCATTAGTTCTGGAGTCGCCGTAAGTCTACATGCCGTCCATGCCACCTCTGGAAGATGGGCAGCTCAACAGCGAACGGATCAACCGGGATTCTACGTAGAATGGGCCTTGGAGGGCGATGGCTTGTACAAGGGCGATCGCATCTTGGAGATCAATGGACGACTGGTCACAGGAAAATCCAAAGAAGAGCTGCAGAAGCAAGTGGGAAACTCGGGCAAGTGTCAGATGGTGGTACTGCGTAAGAAGTCTGCACCCATTCCACAAAAGCAACTGGACCAGGAGAAGGAGAACAATATGCGGCTGCAGCATCGCATTTCATATCTGGAAGAGCAGGTGCGAGAGCTCCAAACGGTCAAGGAACATCATCCTAACCAGCAACAGCAGCACCAGCAGCAGCATCATTCCCAGCAAACCTCCTCCCATCAATCGCAGCATGTGACCAGCATTAGCATATCCTCACCTCCTTCAACACCGCCGGAAAAGCCACTGATTTTCCAGCGTGGCAACTATATTACCACTTTGGTGGGTGGCAAACCCATAGAACTGATGGGTGACGAGTTAGCCTCCACACAAACAACACCGGGTCACGTTACCAAAACGCTGATCAAGGAGAATACCCACATCGATTTGAGGGAACGTCTGCCACACATGTACTCCATGCCCTCCAAATCGCTGTCCGCCTCGAAGATCTCGATAAATAGCGATTCTGCTTACATGCAGCACCATCGTCGCGAGAAGGAACGCCACCGAGAACGACAGCACCGCGAACGTCCCAGGGATCCACTCCAGCAACAGCAGCAGCTGCATCGCGAACATCTCATGAGCACGCATGCACGCAGTGTGGAGCATCTCAATCATTATAATGGGTAGGTTATCTTGAAAATGATACCTTTAAGGAGTCGTACTAACTTTCTCAATTCCGTTCTTCATTCCAGACTGGATCGTCGCCGTGAAACGCCCCGTCAAAGTGAAGCACACACCCTTCGGGCCCGTCTTCCCAGCGATATGAGGAGTGTCAAATCCCTGGATTTCGATAGCGAAAACGAAGCAAAGCCTGCGACGGAGACGCGTACCACTCGACCCACTCCTCCCAAGAAACCCCTTCGACTGTCACTCCAAAGAGCTCAAAGCCTTCAGACCGTTGAACTGCATCCAGGTGCGGATCTGGACAGGAAGCGGCCCATGAAAAGGCTTCACCATAACAATAACAACAACAACAACCAAAACATTAACAACAACAAGGGTAGCGGATCGACAACGGAAGAGGGCCAAACCATGCTCATCGAGAACTGCAGTCCCATGCACACGGCCTCTCTAGGCAGGCACAAGCTCATCTAGAAACCCAAAACCCAGTCCCAGTTCCAATCCCAATCCCAATTCTATCAAAACTAAGTGTTAATCGAAGTAGCTTAACCCTCGACCGTTACTAGCTGAACGAGTTGAAACCCAAAAAAAAGGCGGACATGTGCAAAATTATAATTAGCAATATAAATAATTTAAACAAACTTCCAAATGGGAGGTTTACTTAGCTTATTACTACTGTACTTACATTCTATATCCATAAGTAGGGCTTGGCTATCATTTTGTACTATTGAAAAGACCAATTATTAAGCGATGATGACTTTATTAGCACAATTTATCAATGTGAATACACGAATATTTTCACTTAATCAAATGTGTAATTTATTTTTGGAAAGCTGAAACGAGGAATGCTAGAAAAGGTTTGATTTTTAGCTCAGTTTTTTTGGAGTTTCCTAAATATTATTATTAAATATTTAAAGGTTGTAACTTAGCTTTAGTTACGAACAAGACATGAGACACTACAAAGTATTATCAAGCAATTACCATGTAAATATTCTTTAATACTAAAAGTTTGTCACCCATTCATCTAAAAGGTCTGCCCAATATTCTGAACCCGCACTGTAGGCACGAGCCTGTCACATATTTTATGACGCTACAGTGATAAGGCATTCAAATGAACAGCACGTTAGCGTGTCTCGGCAACACTTTTCGTAATTCCAAAGAATATTATTCAACAGCTAAATACTACATATAATTTAAAAATTTTAGTAAAAAGAGTAATGGATATTTTGTCAGGAAAAGTATAATTGATCAATCTGCAGTTGATTGAGATATAGATTTAGTCAGAAACAGAGAGAGACAGAGAGCGAGAGAGTCAGGTAACATAAAACCGAGATAAGCCAAAGAGCGGATCTCCAAGCCCACGCGATCGTGCTGACCACCCACTGCAATTTCCGCCGCTCTGCCAATGCCGCTCTCAATTCTCAATTCTCCAATCTCCATTCTCCGCTCTCCTTAAATCTCCCCCCGAAATAAATACTCACGGCGCGCGAGTCGATTTGCGATGGCAATGCCAGGGGCTCGAAACAGTTTCGTCGCAGTTCTCCAACGGTACAGAGGTGCAATCGCTTAAATTTCGCAAAAAACAATCACTACCCAATTATTAAATAGTTGCTAACAAGGTGAGTACGCTGCTGACAGCAGTGAAAAATCAAGAACAAGGGCTAGAAATCGGGATTAATGGGTGAAGGTTAAGCTGAAGTTAAGACTTTGTGATTAAACGGTTTTCATTATTTATTGGTTTTGCTTACTGTTTAGAACCAGATTTACATACAAACGTATATTACCTGGAGATTGCGTATTACCAAAAACAAAAACCAGTTACCCCAAAACGCAGTTTACTTTACATATTTTTCGGTTCTCTCTTTCGACAGCGTACGTTGTCCGCTTGCCCTTGAATGGTTTAAGGTAACCAGTTATAAATCCGAGTTATATATCCCCAGACGTGAGTGGGATAAAATGCACTTGAGACCAAAAATACTCTCCATACATTCCTCAGTCTAAAAACTTCAATGAAATTCTTCTTCATGAAAAGCTTGTTGTCAAACAAGTGTTTTCCCATTTTCCTATCTTTCGATATATGTAAATTATGTCTCCCTCACTCTTATCACAAAACTTAGCGTTTAAATTAGATGCCAAGTCACAGAATGAGAAATCAAATAATCTTTGCTTTATTGTTTGCAAATTCATGATGAGCTCTGTGATCATACTGTTCAGATAAGGTACGTCTCATTAGCATATAACATTCCGGCTGAAACTCAAACTTAGTTATTATTTTCAAATCAATCATATTCAATTAGAAAACACTGGCCCTAATAATCCTCTTTTGATGGACAAACGATGGCTATTAGTTGCAATTTGCCAACCATTTCGTGACAGTTTGAACCAGAATAAGCAAATAGGTTACCAAAAAAAAAAAAAACACTTCTAATCGCATTTTCCGAAAGATAGGGCCAGCCGAACTCAATCGTGAGAATCGTAAATTATGGAAACGAGTTCAAGTGCAGATAAGGATACTTGTAGACCAGGCAGTGACCGCGTTTGAAGACCGCCTTTCCAAACATGAGTTGGCAAGATCGCCAGCATATCGCCGACATATACATATATTGATAAGGCTCGGGGGAAGTCTAAGGAACTCTAGGGACCCATAAACAAATATTTCACCGATAAACTACTATATAATAATAATTTTTATTTTGCTGGCCGGCAAATATTCATTCATTTGGGACATTGGAAGCAAAGTGCGTACGAAAAAGAGATTGTTGATTGACCTTCCCCGCAGCCACACTTAACCCTGTGAAAAAGGCTGTTTGCATTAAGTTTTCGTTTGGGTATCGTTTATTCACACACATAAATAATAATGCCCGTTCGCACATCATATATGACCCACAAATCGTTTCATAAATTGAGGCTAGGCGCTTCAATTCCGCACACAACTGTCCGGCTTTTAATGGAATCAAGAGTATGTGCACCTGATGACGTCCAAGCCAGAGATGAGCTGGGGTTGGGATTGGGATTTTGGGATTACATTAAGCGGGCTTCAGAAAAATTATTCATGAAGTTATGATGGCTAATTCAAAAAGGGCTTAATATAGCTTTTAAGTTTCTGTGAAAGTTAAGATCAATATTTTTTTTATATTTTATAGTATTTTCAACTTTTATAGAGAATTTTTCTAAATTTTATTAACACCCAACGAATGACCAACCTATAGCTTCTTTGCTTTACTTAGCATTATTTTTTAAAGCTTATATATTTTAAATCTGATCTCTCATTGTAATAGTTTGCACCATCTCTAGTTTTAGTCAAGCTGAGACTTTACATGTTTGTGGCACTCAATTTAGTTAAAAATATTTATTTATAGCTTGATAAATCTTTCAGCACCCTTCACGTGCACGTGTCGCAGTTAACTATTATAACTATTTAACTAGATAATTTCCTTGCAGCTCAAAAATGTTGCAATATCTTATAGTTGCCTTGGCACTTAGTGCCACCATCTGTTCGGCTGCTCAAACGGTAAGTTTTACGATGATAATTTAAAGCCTTAACTTTATAATTAAGATACTTTACATACTCTACGGTGCAGCGTAATATGCCCATTCAAGCTATAGCCTATCTGATCGGACCTGTGCAATCAGATAATAGCCAGGTCAAGGGCAACGTGACCTTTACCCAGAACGACTGCGGTCAGAATGTCCATGTGCGCGTCCAGCTGGAGGGTTTGAAGGAGGGAAAGCATGGCTTCCACATTCATGAGAAGGGAGATCTGACCAATGGATGCACCAGCATGGGTGCCCATTACAATCCTGATAAGGTAAGCTAAGGCTATTAAGCAAGGTTTAGAGAGAAATTTGGAAAACTAATAAAGGTTTGATGAATGTTTAGGTTGACCATGGTGGTCCCGATCACGAGGTGCGTCACGTTGGTGATCTGGGCAACCTAGAGGCCAACTCCTCGGGCATCATCGACATCACATACACGGATCCGGTGATCACTCTTACTGGCAAACTGGCAGTCATTGGCAGGGGAGTTGTTGTCCACGAATTGGAGGATGATCTGGGCCTGGGCAACCACACGGATTCCAAGAAGACTGGCAATGCAGGCGGTCGCATTGGTAAGTTATTAAATTAATATACATAATTATAGTTAAAATAATGTTTTTCCTATCTTACAGCCTGCGGTGTTATTGGCATCAAGTAAATATCCCATCCAACCCGACAGCCAAAGCTATATGCTGCTCGAATATTTTATGTGTAGTTGTGTAACTCCCAGGCGCAGTAACTAATGAAATGTTTTCCCAGTTTTTCCTGTTCTTCCACCCACCCATCCACACTCATACAACCCTACACGTTTTGGCTTACACATTTCCCTCAATTAACCGTCTCAGTTCACTGACTCACTCGATTTACCCTAACGTCTGTCCTGCCATTTGTTTGTGTGTAATAAAATCAACAAAAATTAACCGAAATCTAAGCTAAACATTGCCAGCATTTGTAGGTATGAGCCACTTGTATTTTACCAACTCATTCATGGCCTAAACAAACTGCCTCTCTTTGTGGGGTTGCTTCTGTGAGTGGGTGGGTATGACAAAGGGTTTCTTACCAATCCATTCGTACTAACATCATTAGCAGCCGAAAAATAAGATGGGGGATATTGGAATAACAGCTACCACTCGGAATCGGAATGGTTTTCTAACCCAGCTTAGGCCTCTGTCATCACTGTGAACTTACATTGTGTGTTTTCCAGTGTTCCATCTGTATCTGCACCTGCACCATCAACACCACGCCCTCAACCACTGTACTATGTGCCCCATGAGGAGCCACAAGATCATGTTGTCTATCCACTACAGCGCTATCCCTATCCATATCCATATCCATATCCCCATCCATACCCCTATCCGTACCCGTTTTCGCACCAATTGTATCTGTAAGAACGCGAGACTACTACCTGTTCGCCCGTTTCCACCTTTAATTGCAGCTCGGATGTGGACGAGTGGCCATGTCGCGATGGTGGCGCCGGCGCCCTACGCTATTCCTTCTCCATCCTGACCATAATCGTTGCCATCTTTATGGCCCGCAGCCTCGACTAACCTAACAACTGCACCTGCACGGATTTTGGATCGAATGAGAGCATGTGGCATGGGAGACTATTTGGTCATCGTAGAGATCTGCATCCCCAACTTACATACTAATCACAACACCATTGGTCAGTCACACACCCACAACATACCACCCAAGTAATTATAATACTCCAGCCACGACAACAGCATTATCCACCCGAAATAGTTAAATCTGAGGAACTAACTTAGCTACTTGTATTATGTTTGAGTTGATTGATAATAAAATTTGTTATTTGTATTTTGATCTTTTTTGGGTGGCACGTTCAAAATGATAACAAAAAGTGATTGAGATGAAAACATTTCAGATAGGGCTATCTTTTAAGTTTATAAGGAGATTAGACAAAAACATTTGGGGTTGTGATATTGGAGGGACCATAAAACTGATTCGTCATTGATATGTTTATATATTAAGATTGTTCAAGCATTTTGCATCTAATTTGATAAGATTAAACAATGAAAAAAAAAAGTGGAGTTTATAGCACATATAGGCAGGGAGTTACAAAGCTCCATTAAGTCTACTTTCAACCATCAATCTTAAAAAACCAATAAAAAATCTTAAAGACTTTAATTTCTACATCATATTAAATACAATAAAAAACATTACATAACACATATTTCACAATTCTACAACTCAAATCACTATATTCCAGTGAATTTCTTACCAAATAACTTATCACCCCAAGTTATCAGGAAAACTATAATTAGAAAAGGCCAATGGAAATCCTGAAAAAGACCGAATAACGTCACCAAAGTCTTTTATTATTCCTAACCTTTCACCCACCTTTATTCTCAAAGTAATTGGGGCATATAACTTTCCCTTACATTTGAGTGCTAAATTCCAGCTTAGGGCCACAATTTTCTTTAAATTGCGAAAGCCTTCAGAAAATGTTTGCCCTTCAATCATTCAAAGAACTGCAGTTCCCAGTGATTTCCTAATGGTCAAGCAACAGTTCTTTGGGTTTTTTATATTTGCAAGATTTCTTTAGGTAGATATGGCGAAAAAAAAAGCAAAGAATGGGTCAACTCAGTGGGATTCCAGTTACTAGAAGTTAGAGCCATAATTCCCGACACGCAACATTAACATCATCTACAAAAAATGGTGGCATACTTCTGGGCGTCTTTAATTATTTCGCACAGTCCCGACGAATTTGGATTTGTTTTGCAGAGAGAGAGAGAGCGAGAAAAGGAACTTTCTTTTTTGCCTTCGCACGAAAGCACGCAATTAATTTCGCCTTGGACCCGGTCGTGTTCCAAGTGCTAAGTGCTGAATTTTAAAGGCAAACACCACAGAGAGAGGACGTCGTGAGTTGGTGGGTGTTACGGCCAGTTGAATTTTTATGGTAATAAGTGCAATGACCCAGCCGGAAAACTGAAGGTGTAGCAATTGCGGGTGTAGTGAGGTAAGCCCCGGGCGACCCACAAAACGCAACCAAATGCTCCGCCGCCTTCGCTTTGGTCAAAGTTCTTTCGTATCGAATGTTGAATCAACGAAATAGGTTATAAAGCAATAAGCCATTCCGGGGAAGTTCCAGCCCCCCGATCCCTATTCCGATTCCCGTGCCTAATCATGCCTGGCCTGAATTCGAAACGGGCCTCCAAGACTTTCACTCGCTTTTACTTTTTGTGCTCCTCCTAACTTCCTAACTTGCCACCCCATTCCGTCGTAATCCGGATCCGTTGCCCGTGCCAACCAAAGAAAGTGGCCACAACATAACCGGACCCTTCTAAAGCCCGGCCAGACCGTTGCTCTGGTCAGTTCGTGGTCTAACTTCACTTCGGTCAGTCGCATCGGGCGATCGTCCAAGCTAACTAGCATCATCATCTCTCACCAAAGTGGTCCTAAATTTTGGATTAAAGTTTGATCGAAAGTTGAAATAAGTTTGGAACTTACTGAATTCCACAGAAAATGCGTTCTTGCGGTCCGAGTTTAATCAAATATGTCTTGTTTGCCTTTAATGTTCTGTTTGCGGTAAGTGAGATATAAAGAAAAGCTAATTAACTTAATTTTCTTCAGTTAAAGTAATGTTTAGTATGAAGTGAAACACGGAAATGATCTATGGCTTTAATATATAATATAATACCTTGATCTTGTAATTCTCTGATCATAAAATGAACTCTATTTAATCTTTTAAATCTCGACAATTTGAAGGAGATCTCATTTTAGTTAACAATTCTCAAAGTATTAGATTGGATTCATTATAAAACTAATATGCCAGACTTAACAGAATATCTTTTTAAATATCACAACATCGTTTCTTCCAACTTTCAACTTATGTAACTTTTTAAGAACTTGCTAAGAAACAACCATCAAATCTTAAGACTTAAATTCCATTATTAACCCCTTAAAGATGACCTTTAAATAACAACCCTTGCAAATATTTGTTACCCAGGAAATTAGATCAATCACATAGTAATTTTCATTTAATTCGCCATAATTAACGTCACTCGAAACCCCACAACTACACTGATGCATCGAGTCCTGTTTAGGTGCCTCATTTAGATAAGTATCGCTGGAAAATGGCATTCTCATTCTCATTTTATTGACTGCCCACATGGCCAGGAACGCGATTTGCTTGTAACGACATGCGAGATATATATGCGTGCTCCAAAGGACATGGTCAGCGAGTGTCCTTCGCATTGACAAAACTGAACTGAAACGGACAACTTTCAATGACGCCATGGACTTGAACATGGAAATTCCATTGACTGAGTGTCGTGAGTGATTTTTATCGTTCAATTAGAATAGGGAATGTAAATATACAACTCGATTAAGGACAATGATTGGGTGGCCAGCCATTAACTAAATGGTTTTCCCGGAAATATTGGAAGTCGATTAATCGATTAATCAGTTGAATCAAATTTCTTACAGATCTCTGGCCTGGGAATTCTTATAGCTGGTGCCGTTGTCCTAGCCGATGTTAATGAGTTTAATCACTTTGTGGAGGGTCGAGTCCTAGCTCCACCAATAGTTCTCATAGTCACGGGTCTGGTCATATTCCTGATTGCTTCCCTGGGATGTTTTGGAGCAATCAAAGAGTCGCCAACGTTGCTAATAACGGTTAGTTTTCTTTACCTATATATATCGTTTAACTAACTTGATTTACCTAAACAGTTCGCTGTCCTTCTGGCCGTTATTTTCATCGTGGAACTGGCCGTGGGCATTGCGGCCAGCGTTTTCAAAAAGGATCTCGAATCGATGGTGAAGAACTCACTACAGGAATCCATAAAGCGTTCCAACACCGAGGACACCATGGCCTGGGACAACATCCAAATGAAGTTGATGTGCTGTGGCGTTGATTCTCCAGCAGATTGGAGAACTTTGAGTGCAAATAAAACGCTGCCGGGCAGTTGTTGTCAGCCGCAGTTCATTGACACTAACGTGGGACATTGTCTGGAATCACCGGCACTGGGCAAGGACAAGTACTTCCAGGATGGCTGTGTCGGCAAGCTGAAGGATCGTATCGATAAGAACGCCATTATCCTGATCGGTGTGGGTATTGGCATTGCGTTTATTCAAATATTGGGCATCGTTCTGGCCTGCTATTTGGCCAACTCCATTCGACAGGAGAGGGCCAAGTAATACTCTTTGTAATCATCACATTAAGTCTATCTATATCTATATATTATTGATTACTGTTTAATTTTATGTAGTTGAAATTACTTTACCTTTGAATCAAGCCCCTGCTCAATTTACTTAACCCCAGAAAGGCAAATCGAGAGGAATGTGTATGGGAAAAGCGCAACAAACCATGTCAGTTTAAATCGTCATTAACCATCTTCATGAAATCTATAACTTATTTCTATGAAAACTCTCTTAAAATATGATTTCTTTGGTAACTAAATCTTAAAATTGTTTATGTGCTTTTCTTACTTATTAAACCTTCCTTTATCATTCTCATTTTGTATTCCATTTTTGTAAAAATTAAACCATAATGTTAAAACAAAATTTGAATAGTTAATAACCCTGCGTACACATGAGAAATTGTTGCTTTCTATTGTCCAATAAATATTAACCATCTTAGGTAACCATTTCGTTGTATTGCTAAATAAATATTAACCAACAATCTGGTTAGCAAATGAATTCCCAAAACTTAAATACTTTGGTGTCCATCTAATACGCTTTATTGTTATGGATCTACGTTGGATCTACGATTATATTGGCCAGGCTCAGCGTCCACTTAAGCTTGAGTCCCGCCAAAGAAATTCATAAGGATTTAATGGGGGGGAGGGTCCAGGGATTCGTGGTATTCATCTAGAACTACGAGTGGACGTCGATATGGTGTCTCAGCGTGGTGCGTTTGCGTTTTAACGAGTGCTCGACTACGGCTACATCCTCTAGGGAGCAAATGCAATTAAATGGTCACGTTCCAAGGTGTCTGGAACTTGGTTCTCTCTACTTGCTAATCTCTCTACTTGCTCTGGAGCAGAGCTTCCGAGAGACGTTCAATGGCCGTAACTGGTGGCTTACGGCCCTCCTTCTCGCCGCTCTCAAGGATGGCAGCTGCAGCGGCTGCTTCGGCAGCTTCGGCCTCTTCGAGGACTCGGGCCTCCTCTTGTTCCCGCTGCTTTTGGAAGTGCCTGAATTCCGTGGGCGTTAGCATGCCCCTCAATACCGTTTCATAGCTAACACTAACACCCTTGGCGCCCATCTTCTGATGCAATTTCCAGCACTCGCGCTCCTTCAGACTGCGCACATACACCGGATAGTTATGATCCGGCGGCGGCTGTTGCTCCTCACAGTTGGCCGCATTATTGTTGTTCTCCTTCTTGGCCTCGTCCGGCGACAAGGTGGCAGCTGGCAGCTCACCGCTTTCCTCCTTCTTCGTCTGCTGGTCCATCTTGGCCTGGATTTCGGTTAGGAAAATGGAAACAGGCGGTGCTGTGGGCGGTCGATTGGCTCGGATTCGGGCTGCTAATGGTGCTATCGATCCACGGCGTATCATGTGAGAGTACTCCTTGGAGGCCAATTGGAAGGTGGGCGGATAGCTGTCTTGAAACGAGACTGCCAAAAAGCTTTAGTTGGGTTTCAATTGGGGGTTAAAGTTCTCAGTTAAGAGAAAATAAAATCCTAAAGATAAGATTTCCGAACTGATCTGTAGACTTACCCGATTTACCCGTCTTCCTTAGCAGCGGAGCCCTTCGCTGCGTGGCGCCCGGCTGTTGTTTTTCCGGTCCACCAGCTGGTGGCGATGTTACTGCCACTGAACTATTGTCCTCCCGCTCGGAGTCACTGCCCTCGGAACTTAGTAGTGACACCAGGGTAATGACATCGGGAGCAACAACACTTCGTGCTCGATTCAATGTCTTTTTGGTGCCATTTCCTGCGGCCGAACCGGACGACGTGGTATCCCCAATGACATCTAGAGGCACGGATACACCACCAGCCACCGAGGACGAGGGTGTTCTCGTGAAGATTTTACGACGTCGCAGCTTCTGTTGGCTACGCTTGCTGGCTGCAATGACGCCCTTGCTGCTCTCGTCCAGTCCACGGACCGGAGCGGACATAGCACGCACCAGGGGCGGACGCCTCTGAACGGTCAGGGCCGGCGAGATGCTTAACTGTGGTGGGATATCTGACGTGTCCACCGGATGACTGCCCTCAATGTCGCTAATGTGGTCGGTCTCTACATCCACTTCCGTTTCCTGTTCCCTCTCGTTGGTCGCCCGAATGGTCTGCGACAGCACAATATTGAGATTAATGCGATTCTTGTCCGCCTTGGCGCTACTGCAAAAGGATAATGAAAGTTGTTAGGGTTAGGAAAGAGGGAAAACGAAATCGAAATGGAAATCGTAATGGAAATGGAAAGTTTCGAGTGACCTACTCCCGCCACCCGGCTAAATTTAAATCAAATTATTTGGCATTAGTTGCGGGGCAATTTATGCTGTTCTCGATTCGGAATCATGCAAGGCACAGAAATAGAAATTAACTTGGGTGTTGGATTTCGCCACCGCCAGTCAGCCAGCCAGCCCGTTGAAAAAGGAAACCATGTCAATTACCATGTTGGCAATTGGCGCCCAAAACACCGACAGAAGTGAAAGTGAGTCTATGAGTCTGAGGGTCATTGAACCGCCAACTAAACGCTATCAAGCCCTAAGTTTTTCCTTCTAGCTATTTAGCTATCTTGTCAGCGATTCCGAGGCAATGATCGACTTAAGTGTGCCGCCAGGCGATGGGCGGTGTTTATACGTGGGAGTCCCCGGTCTAGCATGGTCTATACTATATACTATATACACCTTCTCGAGCATGTCTAGCGTGTGTTATGCACTGGAACATAAAACTTTGGCATTTGATTTGGGCGTGAAGCATGCAAATTGCACACAGAACTTGACGCGACGCTGATATCGAAAGTGTCACTTTCGGCATATTTATATAGATGATATCGGGACTAGCATTACGATTGGAGCTATTGAGTTTATTACGTATATATATCCGTATGTATATATGTAGATATACAGTGAGTGGAATCCAATACGCACCCTTCCTGCTGGCACCAAGGTCAAACAAAGATACTACCGTATGGGTTTCCATAGGTGCGACAATCTACCAAATGGTGGATATTCAAATTCTAGTTTAGCCCATTAGACACTTTAGGGCTAAAACAAAAATCAATCTAAATTGCTTGAAAAATTTGAAAAGACTCCAACTTAATCTTTAGTCCTATATTAAATACTTACATCTTGGCCTCTGCCGGTTCAGCTTGTGTTGCCGTTTCCGGTTCCTGATCTTTTAGCAATGATGAAGTGGAAGACCAAGCCACCAGACTCTTATCCCTCAGCCTTAAGCCCTGCACCTGAGAGACTGTAATGCGGGGTGCAATCCTTGGTGTTACCTCCTCCACGGCCAAAGATGTCTGCCTGCCCACAGGATAAAGCTTCTGGCGGATATTCTCGATGGATCGGCCCACGGAGAGACCTCTGGATAGATAGCCCCTCTGCTGGGCAGAGAACCTAGCAGTGGGCTCGATGAAAGAATGCTGCTTGCGCACGGATAATGGTAGTTGATAACGGCCACCGGAAGTCAATGAGGATGAGTTCGTGGTGGACGGTGGAGCGTTCGTCGTCTGGTGGCGACGACGGCTGGCCACAGACAGCGACATGTTGAAAGTCAGTTTATCCTTGATATCCTTGATTAGCAACGGGTGACAATGAGTGGTTATGGAGTGGAATGGAGTTGGTTTCTGGAGTGGGCCACTGAGGAGTTAAGAGGTTCTCGGGCAGGCAGCGTTGCAAAGAGCCAGCGTTGCCTTACGTTTCAATTGCCAATCAATGTGGCACATCGAATGCAAATCAATTACGAAGTCATTAAGCCAAAGGCAATAACTTTGTCAACAAAGCAGACGGACTGAAATGGAAACCCAAGGGAAGCCATAAACCGTAAACCGTGAACCGTCACGAAAGCGAAAGCCACTTTGGGTATGTGATCCCTCTCTGGCCGAGATCGAGGTGGCTTCCACGTCCACTTGGCTCGAATGCCATGCACCGACTGCGTTTTGTGAATGAAGAATTTCGGACTCCGAACCGGAATCGGTACTTTTTTCTTTCCTTTTTTCCGTTTGCAAGGAGGGGTTCGTTTATGTTGCCAACAAACAATCAACAAAATCGCAACGTTGGCAAGGAATCGCCTGTTATGCTGGCTCTGGCTCTCTTTGGAGTTCGGTTGTTTGTTCCATTTCCTGCTCACACCCACACGTCAGACAACCATCCACAGAACTACACTGAAAGAAAAGTATATTCATTTTCTAGCATTATTTTAAACAGATTCCATATGAGTGGTAAAACTGTAATTTGTAACTTTTAACTATGGAAAACTATCATTAAAGTTTATCATATTTACTAAAATTTTGTTCAGTGCACCCATCTATCCACCTGCCAGCTACGGATTCCTGTCTCCCGCCCCTCCCCAAGACACGTGCAATTTCGGTGGGTCTGGCAAGTTTTCGACTCCGACTCAATGAACCCGCACGAACTTTTGTTTTCATTTGCGAGCCACCCACCCGGACGCCTCGTAATCGAAAGGATTACAGCATTTTTGGCAATATGCAAATCCGGCCATGAATGAATGAATTTTGGCAAAAGAATATAAACAAAACGAAGTAGTAAGAGGAGAAATGCGTACAAGTCGCTCAATGTCAAGTCGAAATGTTAGATGCAAATTCAGTTGTTTGCCGCACACAGGCGGGCATAAGTATCTGTATCTGTATCTGTATCTCGGATTCGGATGGGATGGCAAGTGAAAAACTTTCACATTTGTGACAATTTCAAATTCATCAAAGACATGCAAAGTTCGTTGGAAAAGTTCCGTGCGCGGTGGCAATCAAAGGAAAGTAACGAACATAACGTTGAACGGAGCCGAGCCCGAGGCAAACACAAACACAAAATGGCATAAAAATCCAAAAAAGCAAGAAACCAAATCAAGCCCACTTCAAGGTCACAGGCACATCAACCAAACATATGTACGGCCTGCTAGCCAAAGTATTTATACGAAAGTATCCGATTTTCTGATTGCCAATAAAATGTACTTAAAACAAAGCTGAAAGGCCAATTCGATTCGGATGATGGGAATGGGCACGGGCATTAATCATTCCCAGCTCAAAAGTCAATATTTATGACTTGACTTTGATAAGACAGAGCTACGATTTTTTTTGTACTCGACTGTTTGTCTGACTTTTGCAATTCAAAATCAATTACAATCGAAATGCAGTAAATATTTGATAGATTCTTTGCCAAATACGAAGCGGTACCGTTGAAAAACTGTCAGACAAAAACTTATTTTAATTAGAAGAAGCGTCGATATCGAATTACTGTAACTGGAACGGCCTGTGTATAGGTTGATGTTGGTATAACTTTAAAAACAAATGCATTGATTCAACCGAAATTTCGAAAAGAATGGCTCAATGCAGAGCACTATTCGATTTTAAATAAGAAACAATGTTTTTAGATTAATAATAATATATTTTATTGTTTGTTTTTACTCATTATCATCGCCGGCTTGACAAATAAAATGCTGGAAATGAAAACAGCCCCTATCAAACATTAATTCATTAATAAGAACACAGTGTTCGTCGTCATTAGTTGGCTGATCCACACCCCAGTTTATATAGTTTGCTTTATTTCCAGAAGTGGAGGACACGTAAGTGTTTGTATCAGCCAGATCGTTGATGTCTATCCAGAAGTCAGCTGAAGATGGGAGTTTGTCCGTGATGGCGTTCAGCTCGTCATCATTTTGGATGCTCGCTAGGTGTCCTCCTATTCGACGACAGTATTCTCCAGCGGCAAACCAATTCATTTTTTTAATTTGTTCAATATAATAAAAGCCTGTACCGATCTTCTGAAAGATCTTTGGGATTTCTTTCGCTTTTTTAGCCGGTGCTAACATCAAGTTAGATATAGTCTGTTGCTGGGCAGCCAGTTGTTTTTCAACAGTGTCCAACCTTTGTCGTAATTCTTCTTGATTCAAATCGCTGCCGTTGGACCCTGGTCCATGATGTGAGGAAATGTGATCCAGGACAGGCCATAGAGATCGAAAGCAAAATGCACCGCACTGGGTAACTAGATCTTCAACCTTACATTCGGAGATCATACTATTTGAGGCCAGTAGAAAACAGAAGAGAACGACTGCAGTTCGTAGCATTTTGGAAATTGTGCGAACAGTATGATTAAACACGACGCGGTCAAGTTTTAAGAGATTTTTCAACTAATCTCGCCTGGCTCTGAAAGGCCTATTTTATACCTTTCTTGGTACCTACGAACCTTTATTATCAATTCATATGAACTGAGATAGCCCCGCTTCCTCCTATAAAATTGATAATTATCAAATGAATTTGCAGTCCAGACTTAGCATTATCAGTCGCGACATTTAATAAAATAATTATAATTTTAAATGTACTTTTGTTTCTATATTTATTTTTAATAATATTTTGGTAATGTATGTATAAGCCTTTTAAACTAATTCTAATTTTTTGATAACAGTGTTGAACCTTAAACTCATTTATATTATGTCAATTTTGTATTTAATGGTTATAAATCATCATAAATCATAGATAATCCTAATTCAAGTATTGCTTTTGGCAAACTAACACAAAATAACATAAAGAATTTTTATAATTGGTTTTATTTGTTGTTGGATATAAAAAGGATTATTTTCTACTGGTTTCTTATTCAAATTTTTATTTGTTTTTAGCATTTTTATACTTGAAATTTTTGACTAACTTAGGCAATTTCAACTTTTTTTAGCTATTTATAGCTATTATCTGGCTAACGATTGTAACCATCCCTGGCGGGGTCCAGTGTGACCATTAACCGCGAACGACGTCGGTAATTTTCGGAGCTGTCAAGTGACGTATGGTGCTGTCGTGGCGTTCAGAGTCGTTTCAGAGAGAAAGAAAGTGCCAGGCCGACGAGTTAGATAGCTGATAAGTTCCATTTCATCTATTGATTCCTCAATAAAAACCACCTTAAAACCCGATCAAGATGTCCCATCAACTGTTTGCCATTTGCCTGATTGCCGCAGTCTGCGCGTCTGGAGTCTATGGAAGCTGCAAGGCCACCGTGAGCTCTTTCAGCACACAGGATGCCACCATTCTGACCCAGCTGGCCCATGTGGGTGAGTTCTCGCTGCAGTGCAGTGGATCGGCTCCTGCCAGTCTATTCGCCGAGTTCCCTTGCGGCAAGGTGGTTCCAGTGGCCAAAGTGGGCGACGACAAGTACCAGGTGAGCTTAGTGTACTTCACTACATATTTTGTATGTATAAAACTTGTACCGTACTAGGTGAGCTGGGTGGAGGACATCAAGCAGGGCAGCAGCGGCAATGTTCAGCTGCGTCTCTTTGACGAGGATGGCTATGCCAATGTGCGCAAGGCCCAGCGTGATGGCGACAAGGTTTCCTCCGTAAAATCTCTGCTCGACATTTCCGTGCCCACCAAGAGCGCCTACAAGGGTCCATGGATTAAGGCCGAGCTGTTAGCCGCTTTCTTGGTAGGTGGATTTGCCTACTTTGCCTTCACCACCAAGGGCAAGGTGCAGTCCTAAGAGCAGATGCCATCGTCATCGATTCCTTGAATGAAATTCATTCGCACTAAAATCATGTAGCATCAAATTGGCCGGGTCCCAGAGATTTTTCCACATTTTGTACACCTAAGCATCGGATCACCCGCCGCCCAAGAATAAACAGATCGAAAAACCAAACGATAGAAGCTATTTGAGATTAATTTAAGTTTAATTTAGAGATAACTTGTACGAATATGCTTAAACCTGTCCCGTGGATGGGGGCACACCGTTCATGGTCGCCTCCTCGTCCGAGGAGATGTCGATCATGCTCTCCACACGCGAAGGCGACATCACATACACAAAGTGCTCCGTGGAGCCCTCGGGACCGACTGGCGGCGGGAGTATGACCACGGAACCATCCTGGGGCGGTGGTGGCGGAGTATCTATACTGCAATACTTGAGATTCCCGGCACCACCTCCGCCCGAATCATCTGGCGGTGGTGCTCCGCCATTGCAGTCAAAGTTCTCCAACTCTAGCTCCAAATCACTGACGATCCGCATGCATCGCATTTTCGCGAGCGATTGAAACTTCATGGGCATGGCACGCACCTGGCGCGCCAGACTCAAGAAGAACAGGGTATTGGCGTCCAGTTCCCGGTTGGCCTGCAGCACGGCGGACACATCCCAATCGCTGGGGAAACGCGGATCGCAGATTTTACGCGTTTTAGTGGGCGACGCTGCTTGCTGTTGTTGAATTTGTGGCATCTGTATCGCTTGTTGAGGCTGCATTTGTCCGGAATTACCCCCCGAACAGCTAAGATTTATTGCTGTTGTTTGCGGCGAAGGTTGAACCCTTCGCACCTTAGAGGCTGGTGGCGCTGGAGGCGGCGGTGGAGGTGTGGGATTGCCAATGGGCAAATTAACGCCTGGACAGCTGCCATTCAACCGATTGGCATTCTGTACTTGGTTAGCGAGATTTTGGAACAATCCCAAAGGTGCTCCAGCTGCCGCCGCAGCTGTCAGCTCCTTCTTGAAGTTATCCGCTGCTGCAAAGAGATGCGGTTCGATGATCAGGCAGCCCACATTGCTGTTGGCCCCACTTCCGGAGCTACAACCCGGTGGCGTGATCGTAGGTGGTAATGGCAGTCCAGCAGCTACTGCAGCCGCCTTGAGCGTAGCCAGCGGGAACATTTGCTGGGCCAAGCCGCCCACACCCAAGCCCATGGGTAGATGGTTGGCCAACGAGGCCAAAGCACTAGCATTGGCCTTGCTAACAGCAGCAGCTGCGGCAGCGGCTGAGGTTGCGGGTGCGATGGGCAGGGGCAGAACTACGGCGGAATTGCAGCCACTGGTGGCAGGTGGAGTCATTGCATTGAGTGGAGCCACTGCAGCACAGTTAAGGCTTCCGGTGGCACTGCCATTGCTGTTACTATTGTGAATTTGCGGTCCGGAAGCGCCTACTCCACCTGCTCCACCCAAATTACTACCAGGGGAGATCATATTTGGGGGCGTGGCTACGCCCAAACTTGACGTTAAGGCGGGCGCCGAAGTGCTGCTCAATGCAGTCGTATAAGTATTAACCGTATGTGTCCCAATGGAAGAACTACCGGCAGATGCAGTGGCAATGGTGATTTTCAGTTCCTCTTCGCCTCCATTGCTAGCCGCCTTGGCCAAAACCTGGTAACCAAAATCGCACTCTGTGTCGTCCTCGTCATTGGATTTTCCATTTCCATTAGCAGAGTTTCTACAAGGATGTTTGAGAAAAAGTTCACTTCAAGTTATCATATCGATGTCCGTGTTATATTAAAGAGTACTTACCTTCCTGGTCCCTGGAAGGGTTTCAGGAAGTCCATGTGATCTGCATGTGCCCAGTACTGGTATTTCTTTGAGGTCTTCGTGCCTACGCGAAACGAGCGGAGATACTTCGTATAACTGTCCCTTAGATTTTTCCATTTTCGCTTGGAGGCCTCTGGAAAAAAATAAACAAATGTGATTTCAAAAATAATATACTTTAAATATGTAGAAGTTTTTATACTTAATAAATGCACCCCTACGTTAAATAATTAATAATTGCTACAAAATTCAAAGCTAGAAGATAAATTAAAATTTAAAATTGGCGGGAGTGTGACCATCCGTCCTTATAAGCAAACCAAATGCGTTTCCAGAAAAGTAAGCTTCCACATTAATGATCGTTGAATTCATTCCTATTCTGAAAATCACGCGATCTGCAAGCTCAGTTTGTGAACGAAAATCAGCAACAAAAAACGCAAATTTCGTATTTAAATTGCAAAACAAGAAGTAGTGCTGGTGTCAATAAACTAATACAAAAGTAAGTCATTATTAAAAATTATAATTCTTGTTATTCCCCGAATATAATGTGACTTTATATATGTACATACATATGTACTGAATATGAATGATGTATAATGCGTAGAACAATTATTAAAAACAGTTTTCGGCAAAATTCTAGGAAATGCTTAACACTTTATTAAAATGAATCTCTTAACAAAAGTAAAAGTTAAAGTTACCGGCTATGCAATATTAAGAAATGAAAGATTTTCACGAGAGCAAGTGATAAACAGAGGCCCTAATACAGGGTGATCAATTTGGCAAAAAAAATATTCATTATAAACTATTTTTTATTGGTAATAAATCAATTTAAAATTTTTAAGTGAAATAAATTTTATTTAATTTGAGGTGCAGCACAGGTGGTTGGTTGTTTTGGTCCAAACTTTGAATCTGGCAATGCTGCACGCAATGTTTTTGTTTTGAAAAGCTCCCGCCTGCCGACTCCCACTGCCACCCCCTCCCTGACAGCCCACCCTCTCTCTCACTTTGCGTGCCTTTCTCGCTCTCTATCAGCATCAGAGAGCGCGCAGTTTTCGCTCTTCAACTGTTTTTGTTTGTTTTTTCTGCGTGCCAGTGTGTTTTCCTTTTTATTATTTTTTTGTTTCTGCTTCTCGCTGCAATTTGCCGACCGCACTCCAACACACACATATGTAACTTTTCTATATACATACATACATATATATGGATGTATATGTACCACCAGCGTACGAAAAATATCAGGCCGGGCGGTTTGAGTTTGGCCGCTTTCAGGTACATATACATACACACATAGGTGGTACATATGCGGTACAGAAGTGTGCGCGGGTTCTACGTAATTCAATTTCCTGCGCCTCCTTTTTTTTTGAGTGTGGTTTCGAGTTGGTCAGAGGGGGTGGTACTAAAAAACTGGTCGGTGGGGGGAGGTTAAGATGCTCTAGCATTATTACCTACCAACTGAAAGACCTATCTCATCGGCGATTTGCGTCCACACCTTCAGCTTCACTTCGACGTTCTTGTAATCCGGATTGTGATTGTTATACACCACATCGTACTTCTTGACGATCTCGATGAAATCGGAGGTGTTATCTGACGTAGTTGAAGATTCGCTGATTGCGCGCGCCACTTTCACATCCTTCATGCTAACCGGGGGCTTTTACTAACGGTTATTGCTAGCTCCTTATTTTTCTATACGATTGCGCCTCCTTGCTAACAGTCCGCAAAACGACACCGAGAGAGAGATAGGAGAGCTGGAGAGCAAGAGCGGGCAACGAGAGAGCGAGCGCTAAAATCGGAATCTGCCAACCGTCCGACTATCCGACTACCGTTCTGTGTGCGACCGCTCCGGCAAACGTTGGACACTTGAATGAAACGACGACGACGACGACGATGACGACGCCGCCGCCGAGAGCTGCATGCACACACAAGTACGCTCCCCACTCCACTTCTTCCCCTTTCCGCACCGCCCCTGCCATGCCCTGCCTTTTCACCGCCCCGCACTGCCCCGCGACCTCCCTCACACCTCCCGCCGCGCGCGCACACTCACATACACACACATACAAGCATAGACAGCCCGAACCAACAACAAGAACAACAACAAAAGCGGAGCCCCAACAGCGAACGTTGTTGGAGGACGTGTAAAGAAGAACAAGAACAAGCTGGCAAGCTCATCATGACGAAAAAACGATGAGGGCGACGGGGAAGGAAAGGAAAGGGGAGAGGGCGACATGGGCGTTCGCACCGCTTCAGCGTTAACCGCCCACCAGGCAAAAGCATCAACAACAACAAAAACCAACCAGAGGGCTTAGTTGCACTAGTGTTTTATATGTACGTACCTACATATGTATATATACACACATATAAACTTATATATAAGTATATATGTATCTATGTGTTGGATACAAAAACCAAGCGCGACAAAATTGCGATGCTGCCCGCACTTCTTCGGCAGGCAAAATCTGCTGCTTAAATGCATTTTAAAATGCAGCAAAATAAACTGTTGATTATCACGTGCCATCGCCAAGTCAAGTTCAAGGTCATAGCTTAAGCTAAAGAAATATCGAAAGGATATCATATTAATGGAAATATAAGAAGAGAGAAAGGTTCCAGTTAGAAATGGAGAGAGTGATCCTTAGCTTAGCCCTATAAGTTTGGCGGAAGAGAGCTTAATTTTACCGCTAGGATTGCACTTGTTAAGAGAGATAGTGATTGTGTTTAAGAAGTGAAGAGAGGGTTAAAGTGATTTTAAGAAAGAGGTGATGAAGAGGAGGTGAACAGGATAAGCAAAACACTAGAGTGGGCGAGCCAGCCCATGGGCGTATATGGGGTACACCCTACGAAATATTAAAACTTGTATTATTTTATTTATCAACTATAAGCACCGCAATTACCTTTAAATAAATTTCGTATTAATGTTAAAATTATATTAAAACATTTAAAAGGGAACTGTTGTACAACCTCCCTGCTGCCCCTTCTTGATCCGCTTCTGGTTCAGCCAAGTGGCTCCATCGATCCGTCTCTTTCTGTTAGCGTGCCCTCCCCCCTCATCTACGTCTTCTTCATCTTTGGTTGCTGCTGCGACTCTGGTTTTGTTGTTGCGAACCTACGACCAGTTAACTTACCTACCGCTTTGGCTCCTTCCTAACTAACACACACATACACATACTTACGCTGGCGAATATTTAGCCAGGCGACGTCGTGTGTGTGTGTGTGTGTTTGTGAGCTTTGGCTGCGTGTGTACGTTTGTATCTCTTCAGCTTGTGCGGGTTTTTTGTTGCTTTTATTATAAGTATTTTTTCGCTTTTCTCTCGTCTCGCCTCGCCTCTCGTCTCCATACCACTACCTCTGCCTCCTCCCCTTTTTGCCTCTCTGCCCGCCCCCACTCGCACTCGCAGCAGCGACGTCTCTGCTTCCCCGTCCCTCTCACTCTTTTGGCACAAGTCCTGGCGGCCGGCTCTTGCTCTCACCCCTCCCTCTACCTTAACACCGCCACTGCTGAACCTCTGCAGCACTCTCGGTCTTCCCCTCCCTCTGGCACCCACAGCTCCCGGTTTGCCAGTTCCGAACATCATCATCATTGCCAACGCCAACATCATCATCATCTTCATCATCATTATCATCAACAGCCAGCCCCCAAACAGCAGGAAAAGCAACAACAACAAAGGCAACGGCAACAGCAGCAGCAGCAATTCGTAGAATGGAAAGGGGGCTGAGAGGTGGGATGAGTGGTGGGGGTGGGAAGGCGGGCGGGTAGTGGGTCGCTGGGCGTTTTGGCGTTCGACGTCGAAGGCCTGGCTGTCTGTGTGTATGAATGTGTGTGGGCCGTTCGTTGTCTGTATGTTTGTGAGTGTGTTTGGATGTATGTATGTATATATGTCCGTTTGCTGCTGCTGTGTGTAGCTGTGCCGCAAAAAGAGAGTGGGACAGAAGAGCGGGGGGAGGGCAGTGGTGCTGTTGCCTGGAAGGGGGCGAGCTATGGGCTATGGTCTATGCCAGCAAGCTGGAACGGAGCACAGTGGGTGGAACGGGTGGCGTAGAGCGGGGGAGAGCGGCCTACCGCCGCTGGTAAAGTTGTCTTGTTGTTGTAGCTGCCGTTGCTGTGTTGTTGCCTTTCGTAAATCGATAAACGATGTCCGGACTGCGGAGTAGGCGAACGCTTTGCGTGTGCACATATGTACGTATGTACATTTATATAGTCGTATATATATATTTATATCCGGACGCCTATATATACAAAACCATATAAAATATACATATGTATACACAAGCATTGGTATGCGTGTACATTATGTAGACGATTTTTATATAAATGGCGCCTAACGGAGTTTTGATGCAATCTGCAACCAATACATATTTACTTACTTCTACACCGCCCCCGGATTTGACCCCCCCAGGAACTATTTTGTATTTTGTGTTGACCCAATCATTTGGCATATTTGCAATCTTTGATTAAATCGCCAATTAAAGTTTGCTCAGAGCTCAACTTAGAAGATTTTACTAGTAAATCAACCATTTAGAAAACATGCTCAAACTTTCGCTATCATCGATGCGCTTAAGAATAATTCTTAGTGCTAGAACTAACAAGAATCCGTACTACTTAAGCACATATATAGTCCCCGTTACTTTAACAAAAGCACAATTACAGCTCACCAATTTCAGACTCATATGCTTTAATTCTGATAAAACTAAGAAATTCGACTGAAAAAAATTATATAAATAGGCATACAACAGTAAAGATTTAAACGACTTAAATTTGAATTTACTAAGTGTTATATATAACAAACACAAAAAGTTCAAATAATATACCTATACCCATATAGACCTAATGTTTTGATAATAGTTATATCCAATAATTTAAGTATCCTCATTTATTATTATTTACACAATGTTTTTAAATTCGAAAAATGGCTTGTTTACTAAAAAGTTTAGATTATCTTGACTTAAGTCAAAATTTTTGTTATGTTAGATCTTTAATATAAATGAATTTTGTATATTTAAGGATATTCCTGTTATCCAAACTTGAATTCAGAGAAGGAAAAATGAGTTCCACCTTTGAACAACATTTAAATGAGATTGTCAGTGAACTTTGGGAACCACCGAACCATAGAGATGTCTACATCGTAAGAGATTTTGTTATGAATATATTGAAGAGTAATAAAGTGCTGACCTCCACATGCTCGTTAAAAATGGTAGATTTTGGTAAGTGATATGGCATTAACTTTACCTTTAGATATATATATGTAAATTTAATTCTTTGTAGGCAGCAGGCCTTTGGGAATTCATACTTCTGAAAGCAATTTCAATGTAATGGTTCTTTTAAAGTTTCCCTACATCGAAGATATATTGGTGCGCCCGGATCAACATCGTCCTGGTATGGTGCACTTGGACTTCAGTCGTGTACCATTCAATGACTTTACGGACGTGCTACTTGATAAGCGCTATTACCTCAAGCGCAATGCGGTACACAATATGATGGAGGTTCTCCTAGAGAATGTACATGGTTGCCAATTCTGGGGCAACAGAGATTATTACAAGCTACAATACAGCCGCTGTGGCGATGTGCACATCATTACTGCAAAGTCAAGAAACCATGTATTATCCATTGATTTTATGCCAGCAATTGACATCTACTACGATGGATTTTACTGGGAGGCGGTACCTAAGTGGGCGCCAGGGCCGAAACGCTCGGACAAATGCACCTTTATGATTAGCGCGATTGAAGAGGAGATATTTCGCTTCAAACAGGGCGGTGAAAATATCATAAATGCTGTGGTGTTGCTGAAGGCAATGTGCGAGTCCAAAAACTTGCCAAAAGTTTGCAACTATCATTTAGTTTCCACGGCAATCGGTCTAATCTCTACTGAATATTATCGTAATTTATCATTGCAATATGTCTTTCTATATGTAGGTATTTCATTAATTAAAATATTAAGTTTCTTTTATTAAACCTTTATTTAAAATGGGTTAAAACAAACTGTTGTGCGTTTGATCGTAAATTAATAATTTCAAACAGCTATGAAATTTCTATGAGATCTAGGTTAACAAAATAGTTTATAAATCTGAATTCAAAAATTATAAATTAGGTAAAAGGATATATAAATCATGAAGAAGAATATTTATAGAATTTTTAAAGCAACCGATTTTATTTTCCAGCTACTTGAAGATTTGGCCGATGCTTTTGATAAAGATGACCTCTCATACTTCTGTTATGAGGATCTGGATCTAATACCGGACTTTAATACAATCGAGCTTAACGAGTATGCAAATGCTTTGAACGACGCTTACATGACCCTTAAAACTTATCCTGACCAAGATAGACTTTCTTATGGCCGTTGCAGCAGTCACTTTTTGGCGATTTTTCACGACTAAGATTGTTAGTTCTAAAACAATTTGTTTTTAATATGTTTAATGGTAATCCCTTGCGACGAAATGAAGCAAAGAAAATTAAGTTTTTATATCGAAAATGTTATATTGCCTATGTTATTTTATAATGTTGCATTTAAAATTTAAATACAGGTTAAACTGCTAATAATATGAATTTAAGCAGACGAAACTTTTGTTATGTACCAAACTGAAATGAGACTGTACTGAAATCCAAACATATATATAATTTCCATTAAACTTAAGCTATTACCAAATCATTAAAGTATTTGATTTATATTGGTTAAAGTGTTTGAAAAGCGAGAATTTTTCACTAATCCATATGAGTAATGGGACCCATTGGTCCAACAATATCTACATCCTTGCCCGAAGCCAGTTGGCGGTCGTTGATCTGCTGCTGCTGGAAAAGTAGCTGCACTAGGATAATCACATAGTTTGCCATGCCGTTGTACACCTGTCGGGATAAGTCCATATGAAAAGAATAAGGATGGTCTAAGCTTCGGTCAGGTGATAACCTACCAGGTAAATGGTGGAGACATTGAGTTTTATTGTTGTGCCCACCATTGCCGCCTGTCGATTGTGCATGCGCCAGTGTTGGAGGTCCTCGGTCTGCCGGAGTGCCACATCATGGCCGGGAAAGTATTTCGAATAGCGGCTTAACAAATGCATACAGTTGCGTTTCTGGAGAGGAAGCGGATGCATTCTTTCTATGTTCAAGGTAAGATTCTACCCACCTCTCGCTGCAGCAGGTATCCGTATGTGCTGGTTATGATCACTTTGTAGGTGTGTATGGTCACGTGAAGCAGGGTAAAGGTGTACTCAAGATCCCATGGCTCTCTGTTAAGCAACTTTTGGCAGATGACGTAGACGAAACAGGTCATGATTGTAAAGTCGTAGAAGATACCTGCAGCTGCGGCGAAACCATATACTCCATTCAACTCCGTCAGAAAATAAGAGCAGCGCTTGGACATATTGAAAAGATATGTTATCTTCTCGTGTACCTCTGGATCTCCATCGGATTGATAAAGTTGCAGAACAAGCTGTTGTACCAGCCGCAGACGTACCCGCAGAAAGTCCATTATTCCTATGTGAACAAATCCAACCAATCCCACGGAACTGGTCAGCAAAGTATAGGTAACGGCCATCAGCAAAGTGGATGGTATGCCGCAGGTGCAACGCGCCGTATCGAAGATAAGTGAGATGGAGAAGGAGAAAAAGCAAAAGCCCACGATCACAGTGCCATACCAATATTTTAACCGAGATCGTTGATAACTCCACTGAACATGAGGGAAAACTTCAAGGATACCCTCATCGAATTCCTGCATGCTGACTAGGAGTTTAAGGTGTCGGCTCCTCTTTATATCTAGCGACAGACAAAATTCCAAATAAGTTATTGAGCAGCTGAGGCACTCCCATGTAAAAATCGCCTTGACCAGCGGACTAAGGTGTCCAAACATGGCAGCTGCCATTTCGGTATCCTTCAGCTTAGTCATCACACTACCCAGAAAGCCGGTAACCATGAAGAGACGCGCCAACAAGGCATAGCCCACAGTCCATCTGTTTGACACAGATCCTCCACGGCCAGAACTTCTCACTCGGATCGTGGTTAATCCCCAGTAAAACATCAGGCCAAACAAATTTCCGTAGCAATAAACAAATCCATCATTGCGCTCCATTTTCAACTCTAAGAAATTGGAATTTGGACTGGCCAGTGCCGTACAGAGCTATTTATTCCCGCGCAGGGGTAATTAAATATTGATTACACATAGATATGATCGGACTAATTGAATACATCGTTTTGACCGCCTCTACATGTCTGGTTGTTACACACATCGAAAGTCTTCTTTACACAAACGTAAACTGTCGTGCTTTACTGCGGGAATTCGAATTGGCGGTGGTATTGTTGGCGGAGCTGTTCGAGTTTGGTGCACTGCGTCGTAGCGCCTTCTGCAGGACATGTGCGTCCGCTGGTTCGATGCGCTTGTAGTACTGCTCCTTGGTATCGACAATCTCGAAACCGAATTTCTTATAGAACTCGATGGCTCCGTCGTTGTTGATTTGCACGTGCCTAAAATAGTTAAACGAAGTGAATTATTATCTTAATCAGGAAAAAACAGAGAATTATATTGTTACAGAAAAATGCTGTCAAAGTTTCCATCCTTCTCCGCGAAGTTCATGATGTGCTCAAACATAACTGTTCCGATGCCCAACCGGCGGTATGGGGACAGGCATCCCAGGGTCATGATGTATAGACGCCTCTGGTTCTCAGTGGTATCGATACGACAGCAGACGGCGCCCACAACAATGTCGTTGTAGTAGGCCAATTTGGCCAGTTCTCCGGCTTCCAAAACGTCTACGTAGAACTTGTCATTGTAGGAAACCGGAAAGACAACGGTGTTGAGCTTCTTCAGCTGCTTGATATTGTGCGGCGTCACATCGCCCAGTTCGATGCTGTTTCTACAAGCGGGAAAGAGAGATGGACAAATGGCATTTTAGGTTATGATTCCGGAGCAACTACTGCAGTCACAACCCATCGGTTGGCAGCCAAGGATCATTTCTCACCTGGTCATGATGTTTTTACAATTTTTTAATAATTTACCAACGCGCCTTGCGCCTAAAAATTCTAATAGAAAAATGTGTTTTAAGCGCCACAGCTGATCTGATTGGCCAGGTTGCTGGCCGCTGGTTATTGTTATCGATTGCTGGTGCCGGCTTCAGAGGAGACCAAACAGCTATTTTATAGGAAACAAGCAATCAGTTTGTTTCAGTTTGAAGTCTTTAAAGTAGCTTACTTTAAATTTATGATAATCAAAATATTTATATTTATATATGAGGCTTAAGCTGGGGTCATTTTAAGATGAAATGGTGCTTTCAAGGTATCACCGATTTCATTATATTTTACATTACCTTTTAAATACCTACATTATCTACTTGATATCGATAATCGAAATTTGACACAAGTAAGCAAACGCAGTTTTGAGAAATACCCTAATGGGTTTCTGTGGTAAAAAAAACAAACAGCGGCTAGTTAACTTCTTTTCGACACAGTTCAACATATCTGAGCACCCAAATGAATCCAAATATGAACATGATGCCCATGTCGGGACCGCAGATGATGCAGGTGATGCAGTCCTCGCCCTCTGGACCTCCTGTGCCCGTTCAACATCAGCAACAACAACAGCCGCAGCCGCTGCAACAACAGCAGCAGGCCGAAAAACTGGACAACATCTCTAGAGTAAAGAGTTTGTTAGGACCGCTGCGGGAATCCATGTTCCTAACTATCCGTTCGAGTGCCTTCACTTTGCAACAGAACAATCTGGCGGACAACTTGAAAAGAGACACAGGAGCCCACCATGTTCCTCGATTTGACAAACACTTGGAGGATTTCTATGCATGCTGCGACCAGATCGAGATACACTTAAAGACGGCGATGCAGTGCCTTCAGCAGCAGAACTCTTCGAATCACTATCTTCCAGGCCCGGTGACGCCCATGCGGATGGAAACCTTTATGCCGGATAACACCGGTCCCATTCCTTATCCCACATACTTGAACACCGTCAGGGTTCACGTACAATCAGCCAAGGATATTCACGATACTCTCATTAGCGCTGCCCAAAACATTTCACAGGCTGATTGATAGTTATAGTGGTATTAGGTCTTATTATTTTCCAAGATTAGACTTAAGTAATAAAAATTCTACGAAATAGGAAATTGTTTCTTTAAGAAAAATATTTTGGGAAAATTTGTGGTGTGACCATAATACAGATTACAGGCAAAAACATAAATGTAATATTTGTATACATAGTGTAGTGTAATATACTTTATGTTAAGCCAAGATTTACCTTAAATCTTTATGTATCTATCATTCTTTTGTGTTTTCCAAATTTCTTAAAATGTAACCATAAGCTATAAAGCGCAGTAAGAACACGCTGCAGCAGTTGACGTTACTGCGTTGCTAGTGGGAACAGACTAAAAAACTTTCGATAGGCAAGAGTCGGACGTGTCACAATTAGAACGCAAAAGCAAAACACAGCGGTGCCGCTCATTTATTTACAAGCAGAGAAGTGGTAAGTCCACCAATTCATGTAAACTATTGATAAATAGTTTATAGTTTTCTTTCCCTAACCAATAGAATTATTAACCTAAGAAAATGGCAGATGAACAACCCAATCTTGTGGCTGGACACCCACCTGCATGTAAGTGCACTTCCATGAGTGTGTATGTGTGTGTGCAGGCATCTTTTGTCTTTTCTTTTTGACATCAACTAAATCCAATAAGAAATCTACGAATTGCTTTGTTGGCAATTAATAATACGCCCAATCCTATCAATTGCCACAATATCTACGGCCTTATCAGTATCTTAACCTGTTTCGGCCAACGCTGATAAGTAAACAAACAACCACACACACGCACACTCACAAAGTCATTGCTTCCAAAAATATATTCTTAACTTTGTGCTGACGTCAGATGCATATTGACATTTTATTTTCAATACCCTTTGCATAGATTGTTATTATTTTGATCAATCGTTTGTATTTAGATATTGCCGATATTTATATTTTATATTTTGATAATAATAATGGCTTGTGGCGTAAAGTACATATATTGATATATATATTTTTTTAATTTTAGTGAAGGCAGGTGGTATGCGAATTGTGCAGCACAAGGCGCCCACAGCTGAGCGTGCGCCCAAGGATGCCGAGGATTGCACTGGACTGACAGTGAGTTCGGGTCATTAATTAAAAAAAAAATAAATTTACATCAATTTACCCATAGCAACCTATTGCGGTGAACTCGGGTTCTGTGAGCGGTGCACCCGTTAAGGGCAACACGGACTTTACGCCCGCATCTGCCCAGGTGGCCCACTCGCCCAAGCCACCGGCTGCAGTGCAGCAAAAGCCCCAGATCCACATCCAGCAGCCACGCAAGTGATGATGAAGGATTCCGGTCGGCAAAACTATTATCATTATCCTAACTTTTTGATCTTTTGTTGAAATTCCATAAGTCCTCAATGGTATTGAAGTCGCCTGTGAAAGCGATATTAACTTTATATGCATTTGCTATTGCATTCCATAAATGAAAAATGCTGATTCTCTGAGTTAATATTTTGTAATAAACTATATCCCTTTTTTATATAATTGTCAAGATTTTGATTTGCGAGTTGGTAAGTTGATAAGGTATGTTTCTAATCTATTGCATATCATTATGATATCTCTAGTTATCTTAACTGTTCGCAAAATTATCCGAAATTGGCTGTAAATGCCCTTATAATTCCCAAGTGCTTTTTCTTTAAAGCCTCTGTATAAATAAAGAAGTTTGTATCATTGTTAAGTGCCCCACTGAGCTTCGGTGGTCCGGGGTGCGGACTTCAAATCCGTAGTTGATTAGCGTCGAAGTGGTTCGATTCCACCTGGGGGGCGAATGAATGATAGGATTCCGATTCATTTTGTTTTTAAACATGCTTTTTATTATCCAGTAAAAAAACGCGATTATATGGCATTGGCTGCCTTGACAATCCAGGGTCTTAGGATGGCCACATCGGCGTAGACACCGGGATAGTTATCGTCAGCACACCGATAACCCCAAGATACAATGCCCACCAGCTGGCTATTGGCCACCAAAGGACCTCCAGAGTCGCCTGTACAGGCATCCGCGTCACTGCTAGCGGCACAAATAGTTTCTTCTCCCACAAAGTCATAGCCATAGCCAAACTTTTGCGAGGCACATTCTCCACGATCGATGATTTGTAGTTGGGCTTTCTGAAGGGTATCGGCAAAGGCTCCATTCTCCATATAACCCCAACCCGTGACAGTGGCCGTCGAACCACCCACTGGACTCTTGCTGGCCAGATTGATTGGTCTAGTGGAGAGACTGAAGGTAAGTGGAGTTGATAGGCGGAGAACAGCAATGTCGTAGTGCAGGAAAGTGGAGTCAAACTGCTCGTGGACTTTGTACGCCGCCACGGGAACCAATGTACCACCGTAGTTGTGATTTTGTGCTCCCACGCGGACCTTCATCAAGGTTACGGACTTCTCATACAGACAGTGTCCAGCTGTGATTACGATCTCCTTGCTGTAGATTACACCTCCGCACTCGTGACGTGCACTTATCTGGATGGACACCTGCCAGGGTGCGTTCCGAATCACCTGTTCACTTCCGCCCACAATTCGTCCGTTGGTCTCCACATCTGCAGCTGCGCCGAGGAGCAAGAAGACCAGGACAGTAACCGCTAAACCGTAAGCAGACATTCTGAAAGCCAAGTACAAACTGCCCGTATCTGTCCATGAAACCCCTTCATGGCGGCGTTCTTAGCAGGGTTGTAAAAGTTAATCGCCGGCTAATAGGATCTTATCGCTGTTATTGATACTCGCAAGTGAATTTGGTGAGAGCTCTACATGTAGTCCGTTTCTCTTGCTCGACGACCAAAACCGGTTACCCAGGCAACCTTTGTCAAACAAATTCATTTTCCTATACGAAAAACCCAAGCCAGCATTTATAATATTGAAAACCATTATGGATGATTGGAAGATAACGCCAGAGGAGCTTCTTCGTCTGCGAGAGAGCTGTTTGCAGTGCATCCGGAATGGCCAACTATACGAGCTGCGCAATGATGCCAAACTGAGAGCTGTTTATAGCACCCAAACCTATGAGGAATTCAAGTGAGTAGCAAAGAACCCAAAGCACACATTCTAAAACTCATGCCCTCAGAGACATAGTGGATGCCGCACATCTTCGTCCAGTGACCAAAAGGGACAAATCCAATGCACAGACAAGGAACAGGCTGTGGAACTCAGCTGCTCGTGATTGATTGCTTGATTGATTGATAGATTTCCCAATAAAATGTACAGCTCAAAGTTATAATCGGAAAATTCTCTTTATTTCGCAAAGATCTTAGGCGTTGCTGATCACCCAGGAGCGGAGAGCAGCGACATCGGCATAAACACCGGGGTAGTTGGCGTAAGCGCAACCGTATCCCCAGGAGACAACACCAACAAGAACTCCACCGGAGACCAATGGGCCACCAGAGTCACCCTGGCAGGCATCCTTGCCGCTAGCAGCAGCGCAGATCATGGTGCTCTTGATCTCGCTACCATATCCATAAGTGGAGGAAGCGCACACAGACTGGCTGACGATGTTCACGTTGACGTACTGCAACTGGGAGGGGATGGAGCTGGAACCGTAAGACTGGGTACCCCAGCCGGAGACGGAGGCGGCAGCGCCGTTAGCGGGGTTGGAGCTAGCCAGGCTGATGGACTTGATGGTGGAGCTGAAGGTCAGAGCGCTGGCTAGCTTAATGATGGCAATATCGTTGACCATGGTGTTGGAGTTGTATCCCTCGTGGTTCTTGAAGGAGGACACACTGACCAAAGTACCGCCGGAGCTCCAGTAGGTGGAACCAGCACGGACCTTCAAGACGGAGGCGGAAACAGACTGCAGGCAGTGAGCGGCGGTCACGATGATGTTGGAGGAGTAGATGGATCCACCGCAGGAGTGGCTACCACTGCGCTGCAGAGAGATCTGCCAGGGGAAGCTGCTGATGGTGGTAGCAGTACCGCCGACGATGCGGCCATCCAGCTGGGGCAGGAGTCCCTCGGGGACGGTGCCAGCCAAGGCGCAGGCAACAGCAGACAACAAGATCACGAACTTCAGCATGGTGCGAATCCAATGAGTTGCCTCCTCAAATGGTCGCCCCTTTTATACGGGGTTCCTATCTCTCCGCTGCGCATTAATCAGAATTTTCAATTATTATTATCACTTGCGGGCCAGGAAAACCCAAAATAAGTCCGTTGAAGTGACCGATAGATATTTTCGAACTGATAGATCGCGAATAATTCATATAATGATATGAAAATTAATACGCAATCGTGGGGCACGCTTCTACATAGAGATTCCACAATAGGTTCACAGAACGTTCAGTAGCGTCCACTTCCAACAAAGTCTTAGATTAAATAGTTCAACGTTAAAGCGAAGTTGAGTTTGAAAATACATTTTAGACTTCCGAAATCAAAGGAGTACGTTTGTGGGACAAATTCAGAATAACTAATAATAATATTAATATTAATAATTTCCTCCTTAAAAATTCATAAATTAGATTTGAACCTGTGCCTAAGTCAATCGAGCCATATTGGACGATTTGATTTATATAATATTTAAATAAATATTTTATATTGTAGTTAACACTTTATGGGGTATCATTAGGTCGAGACACGCATGATTAATACTGGTCTTTAGGATATTGAAGTGCTGTCATCACGAGTTTTTTTCCTGTTAGACCTGTAAAGAAAAAGATAGTACCAAACTTGTCAACCCTATTTGTTAGTATCTGAATAATATAACTATTCATTGCATGCAGAGAAGTGTCAGGCCTTTTTCTCTGATTTCTAGATTAGCCAAAAACGACGATTCTCATTATACCTATGTGGTATAGGTAAAAATTAGTAAAAAAAAGTTCAAAGGCCAGCAACTGAAAGGCAAACCTGTTTTAAATAAGCTTAACTGTTTATATATTATATATATATATATAAATACATTATTATAGCATTAAAAAATTCCTTTGTACTCATAATCTTTAAAAGATTTTGAAATTAAACGTAATAAGTTCAACTTTTTATAAAGGATACCGTCACAAATATTCGTTAGCAGTTTGCGGAAAAATTAAATTTGCCCTTCTCAGAATTTAACAAAGTCAAAATGAATGACAAATATCCAAAACAATATTCCTTATCAATCAAATCAGTCTAGAATTTTAGACTGGAAATGGTTCATTTACCTTTTTAGCATAACCTTATGCCTGAACCTCATATAAAATGGCAACATAGGCCAAAAAATAGAAACTAAACCGTAAGACTTCTTCTTCTTCTTCTTGTTTCTAAAATCACTATTCACATTTAAATTTTTTTTCAATTCTGATTTGTTTTTGTGATTATCAACCGTAATACTTTGGAATGGAGGAATATCTTTCGGTCACTTCAACAGACTTATTTTGGATTTTCCTGGCCCGCAAGTGATAATAATAATTGAAAGTTCTGATTAATGCGCAGCGGAGAGATAGGAATCCCGTATAAAAGGGGCGACCATTTGAGGAGGCAACTCATTGGATTCGCACCATGCTGAAGTTCGTGATCTTGTTGTCTGCTGTTGCCTGCGCCTTGGCTGGCACCGTCCCCGAGGGACTCCTGCCCCAGCTGGATGGCCGCATCGTCGGCGGTACTGCTACCACCATCAGCAGCTTCCCCTGGCAGATCTCTCTGCAGCGCAGTGGTAGCCACTCCTGCGGTGGATCCATCTACTCCTCCAACATCATCGTGACCGCCGCTCACTGCCTGCAGTCTGTTTCCGCCTCCGTCTTGAAGGTCCGTGCTGGTTCCACCTACTGGAGCTCCGGCGGTACTTTGGTCAGTGTGTCCTCCTTCAAGAACCACGAGGGATACAACTCCAACACCATGGTCAACGATATTGCCATCATTAAGCTAGCCAGCGCTCTGACCTTCAGCTCCACCATCAAGTCCATCAGCCTGGCTAGCTCCAACCCCGCTAACGGCGCTGCCGCCTCCGTCTCCGGCTGGGGTACCCAGTCTTACGGTTCCAGCTCCATCCCCTCCCAGTTGCAGTACGTCAACGTGAACATCGTCAGCCAGTCTGTGTGCGCTTCCTCCACTTATGGATATGGTAGCGAGATCAAGAGCACCATGATCTGCGCTGCTGCTAGCGGCAAGGATGCCTGCCAGGGTGACTCTGGTGGCCCATTGGTCTCCGGTGGAGTTCTTGTTGGTGTTGTCTCCTGGGGATACGGTTGCGCTTACGCCAACTACCCCGGTGTTTATGCCGATGTCGCTGCTCTCCGCTCCTGGGTGATCAGCAACGCCTAAGATCTTTGCGAAATAAAACGAATTTGAAGAATATAAACTTTTTGCCTTTATTATTATGATTTTCGTACATCAAGATCAGCAATATAGACCAGTTTTGCATAAGATGGTGATGCCTATACGGACAGAAATGGGTATTACAGGAATGTGAGCATAAAAGAAAAAACGACAAGATTTATTTTTGCGATTTGATCAATTTTAAACATTAAAAAATCAAAATGATTCCGGGATAAATACAAAAGACAAACTCATTGATTTTTTTAATATTTTAGGAATGGTGTTCTCTCAAAATAAGAAATCCGTTAATCCTTGTAAATTTTATTTTTTTCCACTGGTGACCAAATTATGATTTTAAACCATGTTTAGCAACTGATTTCCCGATTTTCGATCAAAAAAGTCCTACTTTTAATAGTGAGATTGACGAAAATGATCAGAATATGGAACTAGTTGAATTCATTATTGAATTTCTAACCGTATGGCATTCCTCAGTGGATTATGTTAGAAAGCCAAAAAAGTGCTTCTTTTTTGAAATCATCCGGAAAGTAATGGGGGCAGTTATACTCGTAACCCATTTTTCGGCTAATGCATTATAATCTTTTACTCTATGATTAAATGATATAACTGAACTAAACTCTTATATAAAAAAAAAACACTAAAAATATAGTTTAAAAAAAACAAAATATCAGTTTGTGTACAAAAATGATTTATTAGGAAAAGTGTTTAAGCGTTGTTGACCACCCAAGAGCGGAGGTCGGCCACGCTGGCGTAGACACCGGGGTAGTTGCTAGCAGCACATCCATATCCCCAGGAGACGACACCGACCTGGACTCCACCGGAGACCAGTGGGCCACCGGAGTCTCCCTGGCAAGAGTCCTTGCCGCTGGCAGCAGCGCAGATCATAGAGCTCTTGATCTGGCTTCCGTAGCTGTAGCTCGAAGAAGCGCATTTGCTTTGGCTAACGATGTTCACATTGACGTATTGCAGCTGGGTGGGAATGGAGCTGGAGCCAGAGGACTGGGTGCCCCATCCGGAGACGGAGGCGGCAGCGCCGTTAGCGGGGTTGGAGCTAGCCAGACCGATGGACTTGATTGTAGAGCTGAAGCTCAGGGCGCTTGCCAGCTTAATGATGGCAATATCGTTGACCATGGTGTTGGCATTGTAACCTTCGTGATTCTTGAAGGAGGACACCTTGACGACGGTGCCGCCCGAGCTCCAGTAGCTGGATCCAGCACGGATCTGCAAGGAGGAGGCGGACACAGACTGCAGACAGTGAGCGGCGGTCACGATCACCTTGGAGGAGTAGATGGATCCACCGCAGGAGTGGCTACCACTGCGCTGCAGAGAGATCTGCCAGGGGAAGCTGCTGATGGTGGTAGCAGTACCGCCGACGATGCGGCCATCTAGCTGGGGCAGGAGACCCTCTGGGATGGTGCCACCCAGGGCGCAGGCAACGGCCGACAAGAGGATCACGAACTTCAACATGGTGGTGATCGATTGAATACCCATGGAATCGAAAAGTGTGCTTTTATAGGGGTCGCTATCTCGGGCACCGTTTAATCAATTGGGAAGTGAGATCCCTCACAGTCAAGGTGGATAACGGCGTCGAGTGGCCGGTGGATGATAAGCTGATGTTTTCTAAGTATTGCTGGTCATATCAGTGGAGAAAGTGACGCAGCAGCTATGCTGTCAATCAAATAGAGATATTCTCGTGTGGGGTTGTATATAAGGGGTCTTGATCTGGGGATCAGCATACAAGCGATCAAAATGTTGAAATTCGTGGTACTTCTTTCTGTTGTGGCCTGCGCCGTGGCCGGCACCATTCCTGATGGTCTGCTGCCTCAGTTGGATGGACGCATTGTCGGTGGCTACGAGACTAGCATCGAGGATCATCCCTACCAGGTGTCCCTGCAGCGCTCTGGATCCCACTTCTGTGGTGGATCGATCTACTCCCACGACATTGTGATCACCGCCGCTCATTGCCTGCAGTCGATTGAGGCTAAGGATCTGAAGGTCCGTGTGGGCAGCACCTACTGGCGCTCCGGCGGCAGCGTTCACTCCGTCCGTGCCTTCCGCAACCACGAGGGCTACAACTCCCGCACCATGGTCAACGACATTGCCATCATCCGTATTGAGTCCGATTTGAGCTTCCGTTCCACCATCCGCGCGATCAGCATCGCTGACTCCAATCCTCGTGAGGGCGCCATCGCCGTGGTTTCCGGATGGGGCACTACCGAGTCCGGTGGTTCCACCATTCCCGATCACCTGCTTGCCGTTGACTTGGAAATAGTGGAATATTCGCGTTGCCGTTCCAGCGAATTCGGCTACGGCAGGAAGATTAAGGACACCATGATCTGCGCCTACTCCGCTCACAAGGACGCCTGCCAGGGTGACTCTGGTGGCCCTCTGGTCTCTGGAAACCGTCTTGTTGGTGTTGTTTCCTGGGGCTATGGATGCGGTGATGTTAGGTACCCCGGTGTCTACGCCGATGTTGCCCACTTCCACGAGTGGATCGAGAGGACCGCCGATGAGGTATAAAATCAGACAAACACTTGAAATAAATCGCAATTGAATCAACTTTGGTATCTCTCTCCCTTTTTTGGCCCAATTGCGTCGCAGGTGTCGGCCCTCAAAACTAAAAGTCAGATAAGAGCCACCAACGGGGGGTGTATAAAAGCTTAGACTGGCGGCATGTAACCAAGCATTAGCTAGCAACGCTCACCATGCTGAAGATCGTGATCCTGTTGTCCGCCGTGGCCTGCGCCCTGGGTGGCACCATCCCCGAAGGTCTCCTGCCCCAGTTGGATGGTCGTATTGTCGGCGGTTCTGCTACCACCATCAGCAGCTTCCCCTGGCAGATCTCTCTGCAGCGCAGTGGTAGCCACTCCTGCGGTGGATCCATCTACTCCGCCAACATCATTGTGACCGCCGCTCACTGCCTGCAATCCGTGTCCACCTCTGTCCTGCAGGTCCGTGCTGGATCCACCTACTGGAGCTCTGGCGGCACCGCCGTCAAGGTTGCCTCGTTCCGCAACCATGAGGGTTACAATGCCAACACCATGGTCAACGACATTGCTGTGATCCGACTGAGCTCTTCGCTTAGCTTCAGCTCCAACATCAAGGCCATTAGCCTCGCTTCCTACAACCCGGCTAACGGAGCATCCGCTGCTGTTTCCGGCTGGGGCACTCAGTCCTCTGGATCCAGCTCCATCCCCTCTCAGTTGCAGTACGTCAACGTGAACATCGTCAGCCAGTCTCAGTGCGCTTCCTCCACTTACGGATATGGTAGCCAGATCAGGAGCACCATGATCTGCGCTGCTGCCAGCGGCAAGGATGCCTGCCAGGGTGACTCTGGTGGCCCATTGGTCTCCGGTGGAGTTCTTGTTGGTGTCGTCTCCTGGGGATACGGTTGCGCTTACTCCAACTACCCCGGTGTTTATGCCGATGTTGCTGTCCTCCGCACCTGGGTGATCAGCACTGCCAACAGCATTTAAGGGGAATAACCTTTGAGTTGGACGCGTTGAATTTCTTCAATAAAATTTTGCAATATAAAACATAATATTTTTTAAATGGTGGGAAACATCTTTGGTTTTTATATTATTATTGTATAAGCTATAGCGGTACGGACTAAGTTTTAGTTTCCCATAATTTTTAATGATATCGGTGGGATCTGCCACGGGGAGGAGGAGGAAATTCAATTCCGTCGCTATCGATGTCTCGCATTGGGCAGTAGAAGATTGTTAAAACTGGGTTCTAAGTTCTTAGAAGACATCTGGGATTCCTTCGGCCGTTTCGGCCGCTTGGGCTCTATCTTCCCGAAACTTATAGAACAGGTCAGGGAGGAACTTAAAGTTCACAAAAGCAGTTCAGTTAGCTCCTCCAAAAGATAGGAAAGTTATTTTCACACAAAGTAAGCCTTTGGAAAAGTTCGAAGACTTTTAAAATCTTATAACGTGTACATCCTATTACACCTTACGTTTAATTAAAAAGATAACCAACAAAAAAAAAATAGTTTTTAAGGTTACTGACGTCACAGGTCTTATCTTTTGTAGGGTTCACGGGTATTCACATAAGATAATTCGACGCGCCTTCTGCGATTTCCATTGATTTCAAAGGTCTCAAGTGGCTGAGGGTAAACATTTGGCCAGGAGCGATGTATCTAATCAGGTTGGAGTGCATCGCGTGGCCACATTTCCACTCCATCTTCCATTGATAAGTTGAGTGATGGTCTGGACAGCTGTGGCAAGATTAATTAGTCACGAAATAAGAGTGTTGATAAGATTTCACAGATTCGGGCATTGGAAGACTTACGTTTAACTGATACATGACTAGTGAAATCTTAACTTGTGAAAAAGAAACGATTCGATGGTGGTTATTTCCAAAATATTTTTGAATCAAATGCAACAACAGTTGCAAATAAATAAACAATTTGCTATTTGTAATCTTATAATGCCAAATTGATAATGTTGTTTATATAAGAGTTTGGTTATCAATTTAATTTTAAGGTGACAGAAATTTGCGGTTGATATTCGCCATTCTACTGGCAGATCGATGATTGCCAGCGGCTATAGACACCCATTACTTTGAGAGGTATTTCCAGTGCGACACTACCTTGTTGATTTGCGTATGTTAATGGGCCATTAAAAATATAACCCAATTTTGGGAAATCCGTGTCATAAGAACCACCTTTTCTAGCCCGGAACTGTAGTAAAAAATAATTTATTTTCATGCGAAATTTCCACCTCATTGAAGCCAAGGAGTGCCTTGCGTAACACTCACTGATTGGGAAGCCCAAAGAACGTCGTTTGACGATGAGCAATCTGTATATATAACGGATATTCTAATACTGAAAAAGGCATTTCCTAAACTGTAAAGATGGGATATACCCATCTATCATTTATATTTATATGACAATGCAGTTGTACAACAAACCTAGTTCTAGGATCATAATACTTATCGTAGTGGCAAAGGCTTATTGGTGCCATCTCTTAGCTTGTAAATTTCTATTTAATAAAGGTGTGTCTTTTTTAAAGGCCCACTTAATCACTTAGGCACTGAGAACAACAAGGTCAAAATATGACGACGGCCAATCTATATCTAATAACACCCGTTTAAGTGCCGACTTCCGAGTTTTGACTGGTGCTCCACTTTTCGGGCGCTTTCTTTGATTGATAGTACTGTTCGATTGATAAGAACCAAGCTGTCTGGTTTGTTACCTTCTAGTGCAGGGTATGCTAATTCCTCGGATCAAGAGATCGACCGATACTGTCAGTTGCCCACTCGAGGGTCAAATTCCGTTCACTCAATCACTAAACTCCCGCCTGATGGAAAGTTATAAATATTGGTCGTGGCTCCTTGATTGTTCAGTGTTTTACCAGAATGCAGGGATTAGTGGTTCTTTTAGTTTGCCTAGCTGTGGGTTCTGCTTGTGCCGGATCGGTTGGTGTGTCCAATGCCGATCCTTTCGGTCGTGAAGGACGCATTGTGGGCGGCGTGGATACCACAATCCAAGCTCATCCCTACCAGGTTTCCTTGCAGACCAAGAGTGGTTCCCATTTCTGTGGTGGAAGTATCATCGCTCCCAAATTTATAGTAACGGCTGCCCATTGCCTTCAGAGCAAGAAGGCCTCCAAGGTGTTCGTGCGTGTAGGATCCACGCTCTACAATGAGGGTGGAAGGGTGGTGGCTGTCGAGGATCTCATTTACAATGAGAAATATAGCTCGAAGACCATGGAGTACGATGTGGGCGTACTAAAGTTGGCTGAAGAAGTCGAGGAGAGCGATGACATTCGTTACATTGAACTGGCCAAGGTAACTCCGCCCACTGGAACAACCGCTGTGGTCACCGGTTGGGGTTCCAAGTGCTACTTCTGGTGCATGACTCTGCCTAAGGTACTCCAGGAGGTTTACGTTGATATTGTGGACTGGAAGACCTGTGCATCGTCTGAGTACAATTATGGTGAAATCATCTACGACACTATGGTTTGTGCCTATGAAAAGAAGAAGGATGCCTGCCAGGGTGACTCCGGTGGTCCTCTGGCGGTCGGTAACACTCTGGTGGGTATCGTATCCTGGGGCTATGGCTGTGCTTCAAATTTGCTGCCTGGAGTTTATGCCGATGTTCCCTCTTTAAGAGAATGGATCGAGTATACAATCGAAACTTTGTAGATAATTCAAATAAATTATACTGACTGAGCAAGCATACTTTTGGGGATTATACGAAAAGTAGAAGAATATTGAATTTCAATTTGAGTTGTTATAAAACAATTTAAAAGTTTTTAATTTGACTTTGGGATATCAAATGTTATTTATTTCGTAGAAATAGTGCATATTTTTGGGAATTTAAGAACTTCTAGAGCTTTGGGAAGCAATTTTAAATGCATTAGAAAAAAAAAGCTTTTTTTATTGCAAAAGCTTCACAATGCGTATACGCACCTTTGTCTTGCGGTACGTAAACAATTTTATTTGTATTTCAGACATAGAAATTAAAGATTCAGAAGAGAGTTTAAAATTAAACACATTAAGGTCAAGCTTCGCTTATTCTTAATGTGAGTTAATTAGCAATTAAGTACTTGATCAAACCGATCATACTTGATTAGGTTTAATTAATTGATTATCATAGCAAGGAGATGCTTTTATTCTTAGCCACTTATTTTCTTTTTAAGCTTACGACAAAACAAATTCCAGAGAACAGCTACTGCTTTCGGATGGCCCTCTTATCGGTGTTAGACCGAAAGCAATTTATTGACCAATTTGCGATATGATCGAAAGCTTCTCGTTAGATTGGAACAAGCAAAAATATCCGATTTAGTCACTCATCGAACAACGAAATGAACAAAGTTGTTTTACGGATTTTTGCCGCCCTTTTGCTACTGGGAATTTCAGCAGCGGCGGATCAACCAGATGGCCGAATCGTTGGTGGAGCAGATACATCCACTTACTTTACCAAATATGTGGTCCAGCTGCGCAGGCGCAGTTCTTCGAGTAGTGCCTATGCCCAAACCTGTGGTGGAAGCATCTTGGACGACGTAACCATAGCAACGGCTGCTCATTGTGTCTACAATCGCCTGGCAGAGAACTTCTTGGTGGTGGCCGGAGATGATAACCTTGGTGGCATGAATGGCGTGGTGGTCCGTGTGGCTAAGTTCATTATCCACGAACAGTACAACGCCTCAAATACGGATAACGACATTGCTCTAGTGATTGTCGATCCTCCCCTACCTTTGGCTACCTATACTACCATGGAAGCCATTCAAATTGCCTCAGCCGAGCCAGCTGTGGGTGTCCAGGCCACTGTCAGTGGTTGGGGTTACACCAAGGAGGAAGGTTTGTCCTCCTATCAGCTGCAGCAGGTTACAGTACCCGTTGTGGATTCTGCCAAATGCCAGGAAGCCTATTACTGGCGACCCATCAGTGATGGTATGCTCTGTGCTGGACTTCAGGACGGTGGAAGGGATGCCTGTCAGGGAGACTCCGGAGGACCACTGGTGGTTGCTAACAAGCTAGCTGGCATCGTTTCCTGGGGAGAAGGATGTGCGCGTCCCAACTATCCAGGCGTATATGCAAATGTTGCCTATTTTGCAGATTGGATAGCCAAACAGCGAGCTTCGAATGATGTATAAAAAATGAGATAAGAATAAATAAAAGCTTAAATATTTTTACTATACTGAAAACCAGACATTTCCTTATTGCTATTTCTACTAACATTCTTCGTTTTGCGATCTTATATAACCGATCAAATAAACTGCAGTTATCGAATCATATAAAATATTGGCGATAAAATTTTTTATGGGAATAGTGGCTATCAGGTACAAACTTCAGTTATTTTAAATATCAGCAATTATCCGAATATTTTAAAAAGTAAATTTCTTGAACAAATTTTTCTGAAATTTAAAAATTTCTTCCGGAAAAAACAGCTGAAATTTTATAAAAATTAATGTTCAAAATTTGCTTTGATTTAGATTGAAAAAGTTAAAAGAAATTATAACAAACACTTAAAACATTTCTTTTTCAGTTCTCATTAATATAACAAATGTACAAAAAACTAAGTCCAAAAAATACAAAAAAACAATCACAATTATGTTGTCCAGTCTTATAGTAGACCATAAAGCCTAATCGCTGGTAGTTACCAGTGACCGTGCATATCCAGAATAAAATTTATGGTCTATATATTCAGGGTGGCGTTAGATAAGCCGTGCAGTTGCTGTCCAAAAAGTTGTAGTCCTCAGTTCTTAGTCTTGCGTTCCTCTGCAAACATGTCTCGCTCTTGGCTGGTGTGCCTTTTGGCCTTTCTCGTCTGCGTGGTGGCCTTCACTCAAGGTCTTCCTCTGCAGGAGGATCTGAATGAGAAGAACGTGCCTGATGGACGCATTGTGGGTGGCTATGTAACGGATATAGCCCAGGTGCCCTACCAGATTTCTCTGCGTTACAAGGGCATCACCACGCCAGAGAACGCCTTTCGTCATCGCTGCGGTGGTTCCATTTACTCCGAAAATATAATCATAACAGCGGCGCACTGCATCATTGGAACGGTGGCTAGTCAGTACAAGGTGGTGGCGGGAACAAATCATCAGACTGGCACGGATGGCGTCATTACCAATGTTAAGGAGATCATCATGCACGAGGGATACTTCGCGGAAGCCGCCTATGACAATGACATTGCCATTCTCGTTGTGGATCCCCCATTGCCTCTCAATAACTTCACCATCAAGGCTATTAAGTTGGCATCGGAACAACCACTTGAGGGAGCTATTAGCAAGATCAGCGGATGGGGAACCACTTCACCCGGCGGTTACTCCTCATATTATCTTCTTGCCGTCGATGTACCGATCGTGAGCCATGAGGACTGTAATAGCGACTACGAGAACTTCGGCGATGAGAACTATTGGATCACACCATCGATGTTGTGTGCCGGAAAGAGAGGAGTTGGCGGCGCTGATGCCTGTCAGGGAGACTCTGGAGGTCCGTTGGTGGTGCGAGATGAGCTGCACGGTGTCGTGTCGTGGGGCAACAGTTGCGCCCTGGCCACTCATCCCGGCGTCTATGCCAATGTGGCTAACCTTAGGCCCTGGATCGATGCCCGTTTGGCAGAGCTCCAACTATAATTATTTCAACATCCCATATTTCCTAAATAAAATGGCTTTTGGCAGCCACGTGCCATGGGAACTTCCAAATCTTACCGTTTATTGTATAATTTTTTCCCAGACGTAATCGGCCTAAACATAGATTAGATCAACCTTGGATTGACTGATTGAGATTAACAGTTTTCCAAGAAATCGAAATGGTTTAATGTGAATTTAACAAACCCCGAAAAGTATGCAATATTTCTACTCACAAAAAGAGCAGAGTGTTGGGTCTTAGAGTGGACCAAAGTTCAAGAACAATCTTATTTGTGGGAAATTCTTTACTCTAAAAATAATTTATGGAACTATAAATGGTTGGTGTGCTGATTATAATCCAACGGAAGTTTGTGAAAATGTAACATTATTTTTTATTTAAATATAAAACAGTCTGAAGCTCTTAAGAACTTTCTGTAAAATAGCTTAAGAGCAATCTAATACACACTCCAAGGAAACCTAAAGATCAACGTAAAAAAAGCCCACCAATAAAGTGGCAATCGGCTCTGGAATGACATTATCTTGGTCGGACCCTGTGTTCACACTGCTATCAGAAGTTATCTCGAGCACCCACCATTAACTTAATCGATTTGGTCATTGAATGCCGCCTGGTAAGGTGAAAACTGGCCAGTTCGATAGGAACCACACGCCCGTTCAAATCAAAGGATCATGTGCATCCCGCTGCTGCTGCTGGCCATAGGATTCTCCTCCATATTATCTATCTCAGCCCAACCGGAGGCCAGGATAATCAATGGCACTTCAGTGGATATAGCCCGTCATCCGTATCTTGTGTCCCTTCGCTATCGGCGGGGTGAAGATTCTAGCTACAAGCATGAATGTGCCGGTGTCATTATCTCGGAGCAGGCAGTACTGACCAGTGCCCAGTGTCTTTATGGTCTACCCGAGGGCACTAAGCTTCTAGCAGTGGCTGGAGCAAATACCCGCAGTGGTTGCGATGGATTCGTTTACCCCGTAGCCAATTGGACTTATCATCAGAACTACGATCCCATCACAGTTGATAATGATATTGGTGTCCTCCAGTTGGACACACCCCTGAACCTCACACACTTTGGAATTAGCTCGATTGCTATCCGTCCAGAGCGTCCGGCTGTTGGTCGTTTGGCAACCGTTGCCGGATGGGGCTATCGGGAGGAATGGGGCCCCTCCAGCTACACCCTGGAGCAGACACAAGTTCCGGTGGTGAGCTCTGAGCAGTGCACTGAAATCTACGGAACGGGTGAGGTCACCGACCGGATGATCTGTGCAGGTTTTGTGGCCGAAGGAGGCAGTGATGCCTGTCAAGGAGACACTGGTGGACCCTTGGTTATCGATGGGCAGCTGGTTGGTCTAGTGTCCTGGGGACGCGGATGTGCCCGACCCAACTACCCCACCGTCTATTGTTACGTGGCCAGTTTAGTGGATTGGATCGAAGAAACCATTGCAGCTGCCGGAGCGAAATAAACATTGGCATTTCCACGGCAATCGATACGCTATCTTCAAGTGGCTACCGCCCGGATAGAGCTACCTAATTCAATAATAAAACCGTAATCAAACATACAAAATACAATGTTATTAACTGTATTGGTTATCTCCTTATGTAATTTTGGAGGTATTTAGCAAAGCTACAGAATGTTTGGATATGTTTTCCGGACTTTACTTTACAGGAAGTCAATTTTGCCTACAAACTCGTTTTCCTCAACGGTCTTGATAATCCAATCGCGAACATCGGGAACGGAGGCATAAACTCCGGGGTATTTTTCACGGGCACAGCCCGTTCCCCACGAGACAATGCCTAGGAGTGTGTTGTTGTAGACCAAAGGACCTCCAGAATCTCCCTGGCAGGCATCCTTTCCGCCGCCGGTGACTCCAGCACAGAGCATGCGACTGGTCAGCATAATGGAATAGGCACTCTTGCACTGTGTGTTTTCCACCATATTTACGCTCACCTCCTGGAGAACGTCGGATAGGTAACCATCTTCAGTTGTGGTTCCCCAACCTGTCACAGTTACGGGTGTATCGTGCTCAGGACGCTCCTTGGCCAACTCGATGGGTTGCACTGCTTCGTTGAATTCAAACTCTCCATCCAAAATCAATATGGCCGCATCGTAGTCGTTGTTTAATTTGCGGTAGTTTGGATGAATGATGAACTTACGAACAGCCAGCTGCTGTTGAGGACCCGTAGGATACCAGATGTTTGAGGAGCCAGCCACAATGGTAAGGTTTTCCGGACCCGACAACGTGTTCACACAATGGGCAGCGCTAATTATTTGGTTATTTCTGTAAATGGAGCCTCCGCATCGGTGATTTCCATTATATCTCATCGAGATCTGATGCGGATAGAAGGTGATGTTCGTATCCAGTCCTCCGACAATGCGTCCATCGAGCTGAGGTAAAGTAACCTCGTCGTTACGGTTAATGGGATCTGCCAGGGAGCAGGCCACTCCGAGCACCAGAAACACGACCAAAATCCGTGACATTTTCAAGCAACTGAACACTAAAGTAAGGCTATGCGTAGATTTATATAGTAACCTTATCTACCGACTGTAGATTGCGCTTGGATTGACCATTACTCGTTAATCTGACGAATCTAACGATAGTTGTCGTAATCGAGCAAAAGACATCGACCATAAGCTGGTCATAAATCTTTACCAAAAATTTCATCAGGGCTTTTCCCCGTCTTTGGTTTCTTTTCTTCCCAATGACCTTGCAAGTTTCTTGTATAAATCAATGAACTTATCATTAAATATCTCGCTTTTCCCATTTCAAAAGCATTTAATTGTAGTAGCTTTCACTTACTATCTCTTTCTAAGAATATAGATAAGTTATGACATGCTGGGGGATCAATTAAATGGGTTACCCAAAAGTAGGCTACATTAAAATGTGTTCTTATAAAATATGTTTCTCTATAAAAAAAACGATTCTTTAATTTACTCTAACATAAATCGATGTTTTATTATGAGAACTTAAGTTTAAGTTTACACTGAGACTAAAACTAAGATTGCACATTTCCGGCCCAAGACTGCTGATATTTATCACAATACGCATCCGTTACGATACTACACGTTATAATATGATGATTGATTGCACTTAGATTTCTTAGGGCTTGGGTTCGTGATTCCGTTGGTACCTGCACTTTGCGTATTGTATGCAGTTCCCAATGGTTTCCGTTAACTAAATACTAAAGATTATCAACTAGCTTAGATCTATCAAAATTGCACCTTGTGGTTTGGCAAGAATCTCCGAGTTATTATTGCACTGATTGTTGTTATTGCGTTACTTAGCCTTAAAATGTAAGTCTTTCGTCTGCTTTCGATATTGCACGTCCCTAGAAACTAGTTATCTTTTAGGCGTTACTTATTCTAACTCTTTCTAATCATCTTGTAGAGCACCGAGTGCGTTTCTATACTCTCCGCTCCGGACTCCCACATATCCTCAGCGTTGGTCTCCTCGTCCGTTTCCGAGGATCCACAACAGGTGCTCCGTCCGCGTCCATTTTCATCCGAGGAATAGGATGACATTGTGGTTGTGCTACCCCGAACATTTCGCTCCTGCGAATTCGTTTGGGAATGAGAACGAGTTAGGGTTTTATCGGAGTCTGCGTCGCTGAGGTCACCAGGCACAACGGCCATATTTTCCGGCGATCGACGACTGTGACCCGGAGAGACCATGTGCTCGAGATCTTCGAAACGATTATCGCTTTCCTCCTCGTTGTCTTCGATGGTGTCCACCCGAATGATCTGCCCTCGTCCAGACAGCATCTTAAAGTTGTACCGATCATAGACATTCCGCTTGTACAACTCCGTGGAGTCGGTGCTCATGTAGCCACTGTCCAGTTGCCCAAAACGCTGCTCGTAATACGTCTGGCTACCAGGCTGTCCCATTCCACCGGACTGAGCTGCATCCTCGATGATAGTAGCAATGCCGTCCTCCTCCAAGAATCCGGCTGCGTTTTTGCTGCCGTAAGTTGGCGCTGGACTTTGGCTGGGACTGAACTTATTGGCCGCCATGGTCACAAACTTACGCCACGCGTTCTTTAAATCCTTGGCCTTCTTGGCACGATCCTTCAATCCAATGGCAATCTGCATTCCAGCTGTGAGCTGGGCTTGTTCGATCTCACAGCGATAGACGGTTTGAACGTTTCCGCCGGAACTAGCACTCCCGGAACTACTAGCCGCCCGCTGAGGATAGGCTATACCCACGGGCACACCGGCATTACGATACATCTCCTTGGTTCGCTCCGACAGATGACCGCTGCTCCGATTGGAACGGGAACTTATGGACAATGCATCAAACTGGGCGAGGTCCATCTCCTTTAAGTTCTTATTGCTGCTGTTGAAATCCGCCTCGGGGGCAACGTCCTTTGGGGAATCCTGTCCACCTTTCGAGGTCTCCTCCCTCTGACTCTTCCGCCGTTTTAGATACTTGGTCAGACTATAATCATTGCGCAGGCTGTTGATCTTCTTGTTGTACATCTCTTCGTAGTCCTCTTCCGGTGATTTACCAATGACTTTGGGAGTCCTGGAACACTTTTTGTGAGTTCTTTCTTCAGTGGTTGCCGATATAGCACTGGACATGGTGTTGTTGCAGGAGTTCTCAAATTCCGAGATCCCGGTCACCTCGGTTATTTCACTGTGCAGGCTGTAGGCATCCTCCTCGGGAGGCTGATGCTCCGTTGAGCTTGGAGGAGGTGGTGGCAGTGGTCGTTTACTTTGCACCAGTGGTGGGCAGTAATGTTGGTTGGACTTTGGTCGAGGAGGTGGGGGTTTATCCGCTGGCTTGGGTGATGAAATCGTAATGGTGGTTTTATTAATTTTTGTGACATCCACAACTGAGTGAGTGGGAGAGGTCTCCATGAGACGCTGGCGGCGGGAGTGTTTCGCCTCGAGGGTTAAGATCCGTCCCTCTTCCTCTGGAGTCTGTGATACCTTCTTCTCGTATTTGCTGTTCTCCTGGGCGATCAACGGTGATTCGTAGATCTCTCTCAGGTTCCTAAACGAGTTACTGGATCGCAGGATAAAGGATGCGGTCCTTGGCTTGATGGCCTGACTGGGAGCAGGACTCAGCTGCCTACTCAAATCTGGCAATGAGTTGATCTGACTGAAGTCCGAATCGATTTGCTTGTGCCCATCCCAAGCTGAAATGTCGCAAAAGCTCTGTTTCTTGGGCTTGCGATCCAGGGTATCCGGTTCGAATTGATCGCTATCCGTGCGCTCCAGGTCGGAAGGGGGCTCATGCTCCACCTCGATGGTCATACTTCCCCGAAAGGGTGTGTCGTATTTAATCCTTGCTGCCGCTTCCTTTTGTCTTTGCTGCTGACCAGGATGTTGATGCTGATGCTTGGCAGCCAGACGCTTCTTCATCTCGCCCTCCTTACGAAATCCGTCCATGCGATCGTACACAGTGTGACTGATTTCCATCTCCTCCTCAAGTGGAAGGGCTGTGCTCAAACTTGGACTCAGTTGGGAACTCACATCGGATGACGGTGAACTGGAGGAGTGGGAACTCTTGCGTTTGCTCGGCTCCAGACGTTCCAGGCTATCAGTCTCATAGTCTACTATGAGATATTGCGGGGATTTCCTTCTGTAAATCGGTGAATCTGGTTGGAATTGTTTCAGGGACTTGCGACTCAGGGAGCTATAGTCCGGAGTGGGTACTGATGGAATGCTACTCTGTGTGCTACTATAGATGTCTTTAATCCGCTTCTCTATGGTGCTGTCATAATCCGGCGTTGGAATATGAGCTGCATATTCCCGTTTCAAGGAATCGTATAAGATGTCCGCCGGCTTCATATTCCTCAGCATGTTATAGTGCTGCCGATCGAAGGAGGTGAGCGAGGTGGGAGTGGAATTGGCGGCGGCAAACTGATCTAGAACCTCACTACGCTTCCTCAGAGACTTGGAGCGACTGGAGGCACTACGCAACGAGGCCGCCGGAGAATCGGCCAGCATGAACTTGGGATTATTGTAGATCTCCCCGCCCGTCTCGGCAAATCCGTAGACATTAGCAGCCACGGAAAAGGCAGAAAAGCCGTCATAGGTATTGCCCACAGTTGACTTGGGCTTGGGTGACTGTTCTGGACTGTTCTTTCCGGGACTCCGGCTGGAATGGGAACTTGGAGTTGGTGCTGGTGAAGAGGTCTTCGCTAGAACTTCTTCCGTTTTAACTTTCTGCATAGGAGGCGGTGGTGGCCGTTCCTTGGGTGCAGTTATCTCTTTCCTCAGGGAGCCCTTATTAGGAGACCCAGATGGCTTCTTTGGAGTCGGTGGACCAGGTCTGTCGAGGCTCTTCTGAGCCGGTGCTCCATCTGAGTTGGGTACACTTTGTAACCACTGTTCGATGCTATTTCGCTTGTCGCCCATTCCCTTGCCCGCTAGACTCTGCTGCAGGGGAATGTTGTACATGGTGGGTGAACTGGAACTGGACTCCGGATGCAGCTCCTCGGGAATAATGTTCAACGACGGTTGGTAGCGCTTTGAGGCCATCTTGTACTTGGCAATGGCGATGACCTCCCGGATCTTTTGCAGAAACTCAATGGCAGCTTGAGGCGGCTCCTGAAAAGGGGTAAAAGTTCTAGTTCTAGCTATAATCTTGGTGGACTGGACTTACCGCCAATAAATGAGGCTCGAAATAAGCCGGATTGAAGTAGAGCTTCTTGCGTACATTTCCACTGACCATGGCACGCAGGTTTTCCAGCTTTTCCTCACTCATGAGCTCATCAATTACGGCCACATTTTCAGCGGGCAGACATTCGTTATCCTGCAGAAAGTCATCCACATCCATTGCGGCATTATCCGCTCCACCTGTAGGTTTTGGTGACTTACTTAGCTGTGGATGCACCAGCACAGATGTCTGAAAAGAATAAATTTTGATCTTCCTTTGACAAAGATAAAAAAAACAACCCACCTTGATCTTCTCTTCCATTTCGCATTCAGAATTCGAGTTGGAAATATCGCTGGCAAACCCTGAATTGTGCTCCCTTTCACTTAATTGGGGAAAATGTTGCAGTAAGGGATTATTTTTAACAATACCCATGTCCTCTTTTAGGCTACCAATGCTGGTGCGTGTATTGGACTCATTCCCATTACCCATACCCATGCTATTGGAGGAGTATATACTCCCTACCCGGCTGAAGGGTGCTCCGTATGTGACTTGATCGTTCTTGGGGTAATTTATATCATTGGTCAGGTTATCAAGGGAATGTCGAGAGTTGTGCTGTTTTCGCTTTTTCATGTAAAGGTATAGAAACACTGAGGCCACATAGATGAGGCCCAAGAGCAGGCTGCAAATCCCAATAACCACATATTCCCGCATGGTCATGCCATCGGATGTGGAGGCCAAAGTTGTGGAGTTGGCTGGCTGAAAGAAGACCTCAGGAACGTCTGTAAAAATGGGTTAGGAGTTAATTTTTTTAATTTCTTAATTAGTTTTCTTTTTTAGTATTAGTAGACTTACTGTGTGCATATTTCACGGGACTACCATTCACCCGGAAGGCCACACATGGTGAGTGAACATTTCTGGGTGGCATGAGCGGTTCACCCTTGTTGTGACTGCTGGCATTCATTGCCACCGTCATGTCCCGGCACACCAAATGCACCACAATTAGGCGTCCCTGCATTTTCTGACGAAGATCAGCTTCACCCTGCCACAAGAGGAAGCTGCGCCCCTCATCGCGGAACAAGCGAAATGGATAGTCGGTGTCTATGGGATTACGAAGATCCGACCAGCCATTGGCACCCAAATACTGGGCTCCGGTTACAGCGCAAACGGGTGTGTGAATGCCTAATATAAAAATAAATTAGGTAAATAAATATATGTTAAATATTTTAGCTAAGTTAGGTATATAGAAATGGCAATATATCTTGGCAAAAATCACTATTTATCTGCTTTGTTAATAAAAAATCTACAATATGGATTTTTATCAAAACCAGTATTAGAAAACCAGTACACAATTTGTTTCACCTGTGACTTGACATGCTAAAATTATAACCTAAACTTCGCAAATAATACTTTTTACTAACTAAATGGTCAGAAAATGTTACGAAAGACGGACATTTAGCAAACCAGTTTGTTTTAAAAACTTAAAAAAAAACCAGTAAAGTCTTAACTACTTCCACGATTTTACAAATTAAAAGTTAGTTATAAGAAATTAGAAAAAAGAGAATGAGAAATTACTTACTGGCAAAGCTGATCTCCCTGCTGGGATAGATGATCTGACCCCGGAGCGGCAGGAAGACTAAGGGTATCTTTTCCGAGGAGGAACCACTCACGAAGGGCGACAGGGAGCACTCTGTAACAATGGTTGGAGAAATGGGAAACGATTAGGCTGGGGTTGGGAAGGTTGTGGGAAAGTACACTCAAATGACTGCGATAACGATCGACGCTTATCAATTTACGGAGTCGGAATCGGAATCGGAATAGTGAAACTACATATTTGTACGCTGTTGTTTTCCCGGCCAGCCCAGCTCTTACTTTTGGGCCCAACTTAATGTCCGATGCCAATTCCAATTCCAAGTCAGATTCCAAGCTTGAGTTAGACCCCGAAAATGGCAGCGGTCTGAGATTGTTTATGTTGGCAGACGACGGACGGGCGAAAGTTTCCTTTCATTCATTAGCAGCGGGGAAACAGCGATTTGTTCAATAATAATAACATTTTTTCCCTCTTTGCGTCACGTTTCGTTTTCATTCTGCAGCCCTGCACAATTTCAGTGGCTCTTATTACAGCATTTCTTTCATTCGGCTGGGCTTTTTCTTCATTTTTTTTTGCAGTTGGGCAACCATTGTGCTCGGATATGACAAAACAATGGATGGATGGATGGAAGGTGTCTCACATGTGGGAGCGACTCCCACCGCGAAATGGAGCAGCAAACAATTTGGCTTGGAATTAGTGGAAGGCTTCCGCAATGCACACTCACCGTGAATGTCGTCCACACAGATTCCCAGGTCCTCGCGATAGGCCCGCTGATAGGGAAGACATCGACAGGTGCATCCGGTATCGCCACTCGTATCTCGATTCTCCATTTGGCCACGACCCTTTTGCATTTTAAGACGGCGGGTCAAGAGCTCCATTTGACCGCCGGTCATAGACGAGGTCGCTGGATTGAGTCCATCTATGGATTGGGGAAGATTCTCTTAGATTATGACAGGCACTCACATATTAACCATGTTAATCTGTTGCTTACCGTTGCCTTGACCGCTTCCACCGCCGGGCTGACGCACCAGCGATGCTGTGCCGCTCGAGAGTCCGATGCAGGTGTCCGCATTGCAGGCGCTGCTCAAGCCTGCGTAGAGAAAACATTAAGATGGATTGAGTCGGGACTTCACAACATCTTCAGCCGATTGACGGCTAATCAGACGTGCTGGACCGGACCGGACCGTACCGGACCGGACCAGGCCGGGCCGGGCCAAGGCAAGCCTTACTGGCAAAATTAATGCTGCTGTCAGCGGATCAGCCACGAAAAAACGGCCGCATCATGCAGCCAAAGATGCCACATGCCAAGGTAACTGGACAATGACAGTGACACTGGCACTGCATTTGGAAAGATACTCAAGGCTTTTGGTACTTCCACTAAAGGCGGGATGGGATAACTACAGTCTAAAAATGCTTTAAAGAAGTTTCTCAAATTGCTGCTTCTACATATTGATTGCTTGATTGATTTTTTAACAAAGCTCCTTGCTCTTTGAAAATAAATTCGCACTTCGTTCTTTTTAAATATATTGAAACCTTTTCAAGTTTAAGTCCAAGCTAAGATTAATCACTTACTAATTGAATTAGAGAGTATTTATAGCCTCGTAAAACGAAATTTAAATACCTTTCTAGTACTAAACGCCTACTCTGAGTGGTGGTGATATGTGGGATGACTTTAATGGGATTTACCGAGCAGGTGTAAATTAGTTACTGAATCATTGAAGGCACTCCCCCATTTTTCCACCATTATATTTCACCTGTTTCCAAAGTGTTTAACTCACCGCTCGTATGGAAGGTATCGCCGTCGTGCTGTCGAGTCAGATTGATGAGTTGTCCGTTGGTCTGCTGCAGTTCCTCCAACAGCAGGCTGGCCGGCATCAGTGGCTCACCGCCGAGAGCTTCATGGGGATAGTGACTCCTCACCCTCGGATGGGTGGGCGGTCGGGGTGCCGAAGTGGGCGTGACTGGCGGGTGGTGGGCGTTGAAAGTGAGCAGAAGGAGCAGCGGTAAGGATTGGAGCCGCATCTTAACAGCAACATAGCTGGTTAAGAACGCACTCTGGGGGATTCAACGGTGCAGCTGCCACTATAGAGAGTATAGAGTATAGAGTAAAGAGTTTAGAGTACTAATTAATTAAAAAGAAATCCAAATTTGTAAGTTAGAAAAACGAACGAAACCAACTAGCTAGAAGTTGACATTCTTTGGGTCTACAGTTAATGAGGCAGAAATTGTTTTAGTCCGTTTTGCTGGAAATGGAGCAACATCTACATCTACAAGCCAGTTGGTGCTAGTTTGCCGCCGGCTAACGGACAACATTTAAACAAATGTTGCAATTAAAACTCGTTCTGGTGGCAAGTGTATACTTATTGGTTGGGACAAGCAGAGGTGCTGGCATAATGCTGCACTGGATCAAGTGCGTCGCAGTGGGAAAACTGTATTTCTCTGTTGCTGCTGACTATGCTGCGTTTACCGTTACCAAAAAGCCCGCTGCTGCACTTGGCTTAGAACACCCCGTTTATACCGCTAATCAGTTGCACTTTAGCAGCTGCTTTCGGCCAGGCCAATTTACATAAATATTTCACACAAACTCAACAACACACACACACAAGAAGCTAAGAAAAGCACAGAAAAATTATTGGGGACTCCTAACTGTTCATATCTACGAGTTCTAGTGATCTCAGTAGAAGACTGGCTTGTTTTTTTGGCTCTTCAAATGAAGAACAAAAGAGACGGGTGCGTTGGGTTAGTGGTATATTATCTAGAGCCATAATGTGCGCGCGAATGAATGAGAGAAGAAAGCGATAAAAAGCAACAGTTGCGGCCTAATTTGAAAGTAAAATTTCTTTACAAAACGCAGTAGAACACAGCAATGAAAAAAGGAAAAAAACACACACAGGCATACATCTACTAAAGTTCGTTGGCTAAGTCTTTTGATTGACCAGTCACCAGTCACCAGCCAGCGATACCATCATAATCACCATCCATCTACATCGGAATCCACAAACTCCGTCCCCATCTATCACTCCGAACTTGCTGTACAGTTATGGCATTTAAAAATAACAACAATATCATTTCTATTATTTCTCTTTCTTTTCGATTTGTTTACGACTTTGCCTTAGTTATTCGGTTTTGGTTTGATTTTGGGTTGTCTAGTTTCGGTTTTTTGGTTTGCTTGGCTTGTCTGCATTTTCGAAACGAATTTAATGGCAGTAATGACCTGCTTTTTTTGGTTTTCCAACTGCAACATCAGCAAAAGTCACAGACCAATACCAACTGAAACTGATGCGATTTTGATGATGCTGGGAAAAAGTCTTAAAAAAAAATAAAAAGAGGAAAACTGTTCTGAGATCTGTTATACCTATCTGTATGTGGTTTTGCAGTCTCTCCAGTTTTTATCTCCATGGGGCACCTGTGCAGGGTCTTGACTCTTGCGCACTCGACTAAACTCAATTAACAGGTAATTGAACCCAACTGCATAAATTAGCCATATTCCATCTATTCCATCTCATTTCAGCCCATTGCAGCCCATCATCCGCCGCCATGTACGCGATCATTAATTATTGGGCAACACGAAAGAGCGTGTGCGCATTGTTCTAAGTCTGTGCATAAATTTAACCATAATAAACATGTGGCTGTGGGCCAAGCAGTTAGCCTGATCGACCCGAAACATACCCCGGAAATGCTGGGCTTGTCCACCGGAGCATTAAGTAATGTAGATCACCTGGCTTTTGGGTGTGCTTTAAGTTAATATAGAACCAAATGGGATTGGTCTGCAGGTAGTTTTTAAAATTAGAAGGGATTTTGGGAGTTTAAAGTTCATGAAGTTTTGTAGAGGAATAGTAAGTTTAACTTTGACCAAGACACTTATCATCTGAGATTATTTTAAGATTAAAATTATAGTTTGATAAAATGTTTACATTAGATTTATATTTTTTCCCAGTTTAGTTAAGACATCTTGTAAAATTAAATATTAAGTCATTCAACTTTAAAGTCATTTCTTTGCAGACTAAAGGCCTAAATTGGAGAAGCCAAAAACTCACATTTGTTTGATTTAACTGCTATTAAGTTAAAAATAACCCTTCCAAAAAGGTTTACTAATAACCCATCGAAATCATAAAACATCTTTCTCCATTTTAATTGCGAGCTTTCTAAATCGAAATATAAATAACTTTCAATCTGAGCAAACAATCATTATCATTTGATTTGTTTTTATGTCTTTAAATTCTTCTTATTTTCTTACTAAAAACCCTTAATATCAACCAGTTGATCATACCCAGCCAAAACCCATGTGCTCTACAAGGGGTATTGAAATTACCACAACGCATTCTAACCTGGCCATTGCAATTCACATGAACATGCACCGACCATGGAGCTGGAGTTTGGAGTTGGCTGCATCTCCGGGCACCAGATGACGGGCCCCATTGTCTGGCCGGAGCAGCAGCACCAGCAGCAGCAGCAGCGGCTATACTTCCGACTACCCATGGACGTCGACGTCACACTCGGCGTACTTTTAACACTTAGAACACGCCACTCACTAGTGCAGCAGGAAGGCAGCAGCGAAAAGGCAGAAAAGCAGAAAACTCTGGAGCATCATCATAATCATCCCATATCCCAGCCTAATAACAAATTTCAAATTTATTCCGCTGTTATTTTTATTATTTTTCGTATTAGCGGCTACTGGGCCCGGTCTCTAGTCTTCTGTCCATTGTGTGGCCAGAGGAGCGCATCATTTGCTCGCCGCCTTAATGTGCTTTAATATGTACTTAGGCTCGCCAACTTAGGGCCAAGTTAGTTGGCTGGCCAACGGTTTCGGCCAGTTGTTAAAACCGTATTACGACAGTGCAATGCCCGGTGTTTTGGTTTGGTTTGTTTTTTTTTTTTTTTGGAGTTTTTGTTGTTATTTTCCAGCACAATTACTTTCTCCCAAAAAACGAACCAAAAATAAAAAAGATTTTCAATTTGGGAGAGTGCCCATGCCCAGTGACCTAAACTCAATTGGCAATGGTCTGATTAACAACCCAAGCCAAGGGCGCAACAAGCCCTTTTCCCAAGCCAACAAAATCTAAGCCTAATCTCTGAATTTCCCAGTTTTTTCCGTTTATTTTTTTTAGTACTCACAGCAGAGCCCGATTTTAGTTGGTGAATAAATTAACACCTTCGGCCGTTAATTTTTGCAGACAAGGCACAGCCAGGATTGCTTTTCGCACATAAACTTAAGCGTTTTCTTTTTTCGGCTTCAACTTGGTTAACTTCACTTTGCATCTGCTGGCATTTTCACACATTTCTACGGCAGCATTTTATGCACGTTTTTCAGCATTTTTGAAACATCTTCATCTCGTGCCACACAAACACACACAACGAAACGACACAAAAACAATCTGAGTCGCGTTAACTGTTATTGTTTTTTTAGAAAATTCGTTTCGTTTCGGTTTCTTTTGTTTTTCCACTTTTTTGAACCGCAAAGAAAGCGAAGACAGCGGCGTCGGCGGCGGCGGCTTTTCTTCGCAAATTGTGTTTTTCTATGGTTGGGATTTTTTGGGGGGATTTTCTTTTTTAGATTTTTTATTTCAAACCGCTAAGACGTCTATCAAGGTCGCCGTCGGTGGAGCGACTGCCAAAGCAATCGCAGCTCAAAGAAACCAAAGCCAAAGCCAAAGCCCGAGGAAAAGATCTGGAGAGAGAGGCGGTATGCTCTTAAACGAGTTTTCTTTTTTAGCTTTACGCTCTTATATCTCGAAAGTATAAGTTCAGTCCGTGTGTGTTTTGACAAATTGTACAACCGAACAACCAACTGCTGGCTATAACAGTGTGTTGTGATGTGTGAAGGCGAAGATCTCTAAACTGCAGACTAATTAACAAAGACTGGGACAGGTTCTCTGCATCGAAATGACAGGAATACCCCCAGTACCGTTCCAAGATTCACGCTCCAGTTTGATAAAAGCTTTCGACCAAGAAAAAAAATACGTCATTTGTCATTGGTTCAACTCAATTTATGACAATTTACCCGCTTTAGTTGCGCTCGAGTGCAGCTGCACTTCATGGGATCTGCAGTTGAGAAGATCTCAAGTTTGGTTGGATCTGTAAGATCTGCAAGATCCGGAGATCCGTGCTGGGAGAACAAGTGAAAACTTTCGAAAAGTTCCACGGCAGGTGGAGTTATGGGGCTGCCTCGAATTACACAGCCAATCTGTTTGACATAAGCGAGTTATAACATATATAGTAAGGCGTTCGGGCCAGCAAGCCAAAAAGACAATTACCGCAAACTGGTTTCAATTAAAAACAGTTAAGCAGTGGCACACAAAAATACTAAAAAAAAAACTTAAATAGAAATTTATAGAAATATTGGCATCTCCTTTTGCCGGCACTGCGTACGTGCAGTTTCCCAGTTGGAGACTGCAAAGCTATATAGTCTTCAGTCTACAGTTAACAGTCTTCACAGTCTACACAGTCTTCGTCTTCATTCCCATCGCGTCTGGCCAATAATTATACTTTAGTTGGCGACGCCGCTGCAACTATTTGCTTTGGCTGCATTTACAGTTTTGGTTTTTTTGTGCCGCTAAAGTTGCCGCCCGTCATTTAGAAAGTTTTAGTTTGGTAGATCTCCATCTAATGATACCCAGCGTCCCGCCTTCTTGCAGCTACTACTCCACATTATCGGCCACATTCAGTTCTCGAAAAATGGGCCTTCGATTCGCTTTATTTATACTTTTATGACTGAGTCTATCTATGTCGATCGGCTTTTTATGATGCTCAATGTTCGAATTTGTATTTGTGTGTCAGTCGGAGATTTGAATCTCTGGAATCTCTGGATCACTGGGTCTGGTCTGGTGGAGTCCTCCTCCCGGCTCTTATCTATCCGAATGGAATAAATTTGTGGTCGATTTAGCATTGCGTTACCTACACACAATTGCCCGCGTATCTGTTTGCCATTTACCCATGCATGATCCATAAATCTTTAACTGTAAAAAGAAGCTAGCTCCGACTGCAGCTTCAGCTTCAGCTTCAGGTCCAGGTCCAGGTCCCGGTTTAAGTCCACATCCACGTCCACATCCTCGTCCCATGTCCATGTCCATGTCGAGGTCCAACTTATGCAAACTTTGGGCACACGTCGCTGGATGGCCGGCGGCTGCGGTGAGTCGTCTGATCTGCTGCTGCTGCTGGAAAACTGGGAAACCAGTCCATGTCTGGGATGTGTACACTGGGATGAAATGATATCAAGAAGATTAAAATTTGCCTTAAAGTATATATTGTGGGTATACAAAAGATATATGTAAAGATATATAAGAGAAAATGATTTTAATCATACTTAAGGTCTGGATCTTACAGTAATATTAATAATAATCATTTTAAAGTCTTGTTAAAATAAAATAACTTTTATAACTTTTACAATCACTTTTCTCCGTGCATCGGGATCGTAAAATGCTCCCCTTGTGTCCGCCACCTTTGATTCCCCAGCTTTCCTCCTCATCATGGCTTGTTATTGATACGCTCGTGGCGGAGTGGAGTGTGCGGTGCCTCCGGCTGAGCTAAACAAACTTGCAATTGTATTCATAAATAACGATTGAGAAATGTGTTCTTTTTTTCCAAGTCTGCGGTCGCGCACTTATTACCAATTGCTTCTGCAATAAACATGAAAATGCGCTCATTGAACTTGGTCCACATCGAATCCCGAGTCCATAACGGTTAATAGAGGATGCGAGTGTCCATCCCGCTCCGGGGTTGGTAATTATTGGAGCCATGTACTAGGCAAATAGCTCTGTAACTTTGGCATTTGGAATTTGGGGAAATGGAGAGGAAAGTGGAGTTATTTTAAATTAATATTCTTCATCCCTCAAAGTTGACAAATTTTCTAACTAAAGTTTATATATTCTATAACTTTATCTATTTTCATCTTAAAATCAGACATAAAATATGGAATTTGTGATTACCTCCCTGTTTCCTATAAGGAAAGGCACCTTGTCAACTTCTTTCTAAAAGTTGCCTGACAAGAATTTAATTTCCTGCCTTGCAATTAATTAAATGCACATCACGTTGCTTATTTATTAATTTAAACACAATTATTGAGTTCTTACCCGCCATAATGTTTAATTGGCACTAAAAATCAAGTGTCAAACCATATAGATAGTAGCTACCGTTTACGCAATGTCTTTTTAATTTCCCCTCAACTTTAATGGCTGCAATAGAAATAATTGGATAGCCATGCTTAGTAGAGTCATTAAAAAAGTTAAAACTCACTTCTAGGATATACAGATAAGTGAGAAATTTGATTACCAAGACGCCAGAACTTCACAAAACAGGTGTCAATCGGAGATAGTTCCGTTTAAAACAGTGATAATTTTTACGACTTTCGGTGATCAGATTGTATAATTAAAATCCTGGCAGGAGGCGAAGTCATTACCAAGAATCCCCATTGCGTGTTGTTGGTTATGGATGTGATTTTGATGGCTTGTTGGCAAAGTGGCGTATGACAGCGCAATGGGGGTTGCGTGTTTATCCTGACCAAGGTGCATCGAATAGCTCCATTACCCTTCAGGCCTTGGGAAGCCAAGTCTGGAGTCTGGAGTTCCGGAGACTATCCATCCATCGACAATGGCTGATTGACAGACAACAAGCCAAATGCATTTCAATTAAACGCTAACCGCTACGAATATTTCCATTTCTGGGTGAGTTACTGATACGTTTTGTGTGTTGTTTGTGTTTTTGTGTGTCTGGTCAGGTGTGCTATGATCTGAGCTGGGTTTTCGTGACCAAAGCAAACCAATCCAATGCAATTCGAAACGAACCGAACCCAAACCCGTAGGAGAACAATTCCAGAACAGCGGTCAACTCATCAGTATGCTGTATAAATTAGAGCATCAAACGGCGCTTTGCCAACTCGGAACTGGTCTATACTGTTACTGTTGCTGCAGCACCACTATCCACTATCCGCCGTCCACCATCCAGTAACCCCATCCACAATTCAACTATTCAACTGTGGATGAGGTGGTGCATGTGGTTGCAAACGCTTCTGGCTTGAATCGGGAATGGGATGAGATGGGTTGGGATGGCATAGGATGGTATGGTATGGGATGGAAGTTCAATGACGAGGCGCAGAGTCATCGACGCAACTTGTGCACATATTGTTGCAAAATTGATATCAATTTGTTTTAATGGCTGACCCATTATGGTACCATTATATGGTTAGTCCGTGGGTTATAATAAAACACACTTTATTACGAGCATTAGAGGCGACGGGCGTCAGGCCAACAACTGTGGGGCTATTGACTTGTATTCCCTGGACTCTGGGAGTCTAATCCCCAGATTGATTCCAATGGCCTTGCTAAATGGCCATGTCCAGCCATCAGACGGTGGCATTAGCATGTTAGCATGGAAACGGATGTCCAGTCAGGCCATCATAGACACCAGAACCAGTATCGGCACCTCCAACCAACCCACGGGATTATGACGGAAAGTGTGCTGGCGAAATTTGAATAGCTCGAACTGGATATATACTGTGTCCGTTTCTGGTTATACACTCGTATATCGATGTCTCTGCGGGGTTCCCCGGAGGGATCCTGATTAAGACATAACTCATTGTCCAGTGTTTACCTATGCAGATGTGGTCCATGGATGTGTGATATGCTACAGGAAGTTTATGAGCCAAGTTGATTGAACCTAACTCATGGCAACTATTTGGTTCGTTGGGTGGAGTGAGATGAGCACTTTGCGTTGATCATGTTTTGCTATACGCTTCAAAAATTGTGAATAAACAGAATTCGTACTGAATTCACCATTTATGCGATATATATTATACATTGTTCTTAATGATGCTGATGATCTAATGGGGCAGCCGAGTCACGCGAACCCAAAGTTGGGTTCATTGAACGTTGTACGGGTATAGAGTGACCGATAGGTCCAACAAACTATATCAAACTATATCAATTCGAAATCGATCGAACTAGTGCGAGTTGCAGCACATGTTCTCAATGAAATCATTTAAGGAAATCTACTTCGTGGGCGGTCCCAGCAATTGCAATGGCTTATAAACATTGTAATTAGACCCTTGAGGCCTCGAACTATAAAAGGAGCTTGCCGACAGCCTGTAGGCACAGTTTATACTTTTTGCAATGGTCGACTCCGGTTATCAATCAAATCTCAGCCTATTGCGGGAATTCCTGGATGAATACCGTTCGGTTATGAGGCAGGAAACTCCTGGTCCCATCCCACGCCTGGCTTTTAACTATGTTCGCGCCTGCTTGAGGTCTGTGTTGGTCACATCATCCATCACTTTTTTTAATCATCATTATCCAATTTATGGCTTTGGTTTGCCCACAGTTTGCTGGGCCAGTATCCCAACAAGAAGTTGGCTAGTTTGTCTCTGTACCGATGGATCAACTTGTTCATAATGTGCAATGTGTTGAACGCTTTCTGTACCATGGTCTTGGCCCTGCCGGAGTCCAAGAACGTGATCGATATGGGCGAAGACCTGGTGTGGATTTCAGGGGTAAGACTTTATGATGCACCCACTCCGAGATCGGAAAAACTAATAGTTCTCTGTGCCTGACAGATGGGTTTGGTTTTCATCAAGATATTCTACATGCATTTGCGGTGCGACGAGATCGATGACATTATTTGGGATTTTGACTACTACAATCGGGAACTGAGGCCTCACCATACCGATGAGGAGGTCTTCGGCTGGCAGAGGCTATGCTATTTGATAGAATCGAGTCTATATATAAATTGCTTTTTTCTGGTCAACTTCTTTAACGCTGCTATTTGCCTGCAGCCCTTGTTGGGTGAGGGAAAGTTACCCTTTCACTCTATTTGGCCCTTTCAATGGCATCGCCTGGATCTGCACCCGTATATGTTTTGGTTTCTGTACATCTGGCTCGCTGCCACCTCGCAGCATAACCTATTGAGCATCTTAATGGTTGACATGTTCGGCATTTCAACGTTCTTGCAAACGGCTTTGAATCTCAAGCTGCTGTGCATCGAAATGAAGAAGCTGGGCGAGATGAGGGTCAGTGATGCCAGGTTCCATGAGGAGTTTTGTCGTGTGGTTCGCTTCCACCAGCACATTATCAAGTAAGTTTGGTGTTGTGTTTTACCAATAATATCGACTATATTTGGCAGGCAAGTGGAGAAAGCCAATAGAGCTTTTAATGGCGCCTTCAATGCCCAGATGATGGCCAGTTTTTCACTTATTTCCATATCCGCTTTCGAGACCATGGTTGCAGCTGCTGTCGATCCTAAAATGGCCGCCAAGTCTGTGCTCCTCATGGTGGTGGCATTCACCCAGTTGTCACTTTGGTGCGTCTCGGGCACTTTGGTTTATACTCAGGTAGGATTAGATATCACTCATTAATGAACCCGAACTAAATTCATGACTAAATTGTATCACAATTCAAATCAAAACTTATTTATTTATAAGCTTAATCCCTATTTTACTATGTCTAACAGTCTTTAGAAGTTGCCCAGGCTGCTTTCGATATAGATGATTGGCACACCAAGGCCCTTACCATCCAGAGGGACATATCATTTGTGATTTTACGAGCCCAGAAGCCACTAATATATGTGGCCGAACCCTTTCTGCCCTTTACTCTGGGAACATATATGCTGGTAAGGATCTTCTAATCTACTAAATACTTTATCATATTCACCCACACTTTTCAGGTCCTGAAGAATTGCTATCGTTTGCTGGCCCTGATGCAAGAATCAATGTAGTTTAGTTTAGTTTAATGTTTGTGAAAATAAAAGTTGGACTTTTTCTGGGCATTTGCATGGCTCGTTTAGGTTGTAGCCGCGCCCAGTGACACTCGAACACAACAATGGAGGCGGCCCACGCACACCCAGCGGCGACAGGTTCAACCCAGCTGCAAAATGCAGAGGAGGATGCAGTGCCTCTTTAGCCAGCCTCGAACTTATTCAGACGTGACACGCATTGTCATGATCTGACCCAACGCCAGACAATGAAGAGCGGTGATCGTTTAGTATTTGGTATTTAGCATTTGGAGTTGTTGGACTTGGACCAGCAGATGCTGCTCCATGCCCTTCACACACAAGTGGGAAAGTCGCCCATGTCCATGAAACGTTGACCGACCAAAATGTCATTATGTGCCATGTGCACATTCGGCCAGAACGAAAAGCTCCACCACTCTTAAAAACTCCAACAACACACCCAATTCCCGGGTGCGTGTTCTAGTGCACTGAGAGAAATATGTATCTGTGATCGAAGGTGACTTAATAGTAGGAAAAGACTTCTCAGCTTAACAAGGAAGACCAAAAATTGTACATTTTGTTAGCTGATCAGATGGGTAGCTGATCAGTTACCACTTATCTTACTTAGCACCACAACTTTATTGAAATATTTTCTCTCTATGTACCGGCGACTCCCCAATTTGGAGGATGGATTGGGTGGTTGGTTAGCTATTCGGCGGGGGAGGTGGTCTTTTGTCAACCTGGGTTTGCTCGCCGCACTGATTAACATTTGAATGGCAATCCACATACGAGCATTTAGAACATTGTGCCCATGGCTCTTTGTTGCTGTCTCCACATCTAATTAATTCCCCTTTTCGACCATTGTTGCCATGGAGTTGGTGCCGCTGCCCCCGCTAATGATAATCGCATTGGCAATCGCGATGGTAATGGTAATCGTAATGGTCCAACCACCGATCCAACTGCAGACCAGCAATGAAGTTAGGTTCTCGAATTCAGTTTGTCGCGCCATATTCTAACGATCGGTCGGGTTCGGTCCCCAATAAACTATTTGTAAACATAATCGTTTCAGTTTAAAGTCTCATTAAACGGATATCCTTGCGGCAATAAACGGTATTTAAATTAACTAGAGTGTTTGTGACCCTCAAATACTGGTTATAGTTAACAAGTGTTTTAATGAGTTGAATTTAAAGAGCTGATGTTAACTTCCTTAATCATCAGAAGGATACTCATTTCCAAGGACAATAAGTATAGACAAATATGCAATAAAGGAGTGAAAGTGCCATGTCAGCATCCTTATATGTAGGCTTTAGTGAAACCAATCCAAGGATCATCAAGGACCTGTCCCTAGAATCTCCTTTTTAATGAAAGTGCTATCGATCAGTCCTTTTGGGATCTTTCAAGATCTTTCTTTAATAGAATAACTAAGGATATTTACTATGTCATATATGATATATACCTATGACCCGTTAAACCCTAAGACCCATAGTAACTCCTCCCTACTAGTATATCTCCCCTTTAAAGTCCTACACCCCGTCATGCCAAATTTCACAATTCCAGAAAAAGCTTTTAGAATTTCAAAGCGACACTTTCCAAGTACAGCCACCACTTGAGGTCAATAGCTAACGTTTTCCAAAAAACTCCCTGGCTTTTGTGGTGCTTTGGCTGGGCGGAGAGCATAAAGAGTTGAGTGGACAATAAGCCGGAAGCGACATCCGGAGTTGCGGATCGATATGAGTCGAGCGACACGTAGCTTGGCTAGATTTTCGTTTAATGATCCAAATTCACGTTACGCATTGTGCACATTATGGCGGCAGAAAAGCAGAAATATATTTAACTATTCATGTGATTTTCCCCATTTTCCAACCCTCCCTCCCCCACACACTCTTCTCGAAGCGGGGAAATTTTATACCTATTGAGGTCGCATATTTCATGTCATTTTGTTAGCCAATGAACTAATTAGATCATGTCGGATAAACCAACGCGACTAACTATGACTTCTGATTCCAGCTAAACATCACGCAATATATAGTTTTACTTCCGAAAAGCCAACAGGTTGCGGCTAATAATGCCGCGATCAAGCTAGGAATCACCTTTGGAAGTTATTTTAAATTTTAACATTATTGGATCATACAGAATGAGACCTAGAAAGGGATTACATCTGCTGCTGACGGCGTTAGTGGTTAGTCTAAGTCTCAGTGAAATTAATGGTGAGTTTGTGAGAACTCTTCTCAATCTTTACTATACCCATCCCATATCTACTGTATAAAATGATCCATCTAATTGCAATACCTTAAGTTTTTATAGCCTTGTAATATTATAATATTGTATGCTATGTCTAGGTCAAACCACCTGCAAGAACGGCCTAGGCCGGGTGCTTTATGAAAGATTGCCAAACCAGCAACTACAGGGCTACGATGACGATGTGGTGAGGGACACGGCGCCACCATTCCGAGTGCTGGAAAAATGCCAGGACTTGTGTCTACGTGATCGTTCTGGCTCAAACAACCTGGTGCGCACCTGCACCAGCTTTGACTTCCAACCAGGCAGTCGAATCACCTCCTTCGGTGGAAACTCTGAATATGAAGAGTCCCTGTGTTATTTGACCTCCGAACAGGCGGGACCCGAGGGTATAGGAAGCCTAATGCTAGTGCCCAATAGTGTTCACTTTAACGAGATATGTTTGACTTGTAAGAGTTTAAGAAACAAAAATGGAAAACCATATGTTATTTAAATATTTTCCAAAAACCCATAGCCAGTCGACCGGAGAGAGAGTGCCCTAGTAGAAGGTATGTCTTCGAAAGGCATCCCCGAAAGAAACTGAAACTGCCCATAAGCGATATCAAGGAGATAACGGCTGCTAATCGATCGGATTGTGAGGATAAGTGCCTGAATGAGTTCTCCTTTGTTTGTCGATCGGCCAACTTTGATTCGACCATGCGATCATGTACACTGAGCAGATTCACCCGGCGCACTCATCCCGAACTGATGGAAGACGATCCCAACTCTGATTATCTGGAGAACACCTGCCTAAATGGTGAGTCTAGATTATAGTCGGAATGTGCCTGATTTTACCCCATTAACCATTGATTAGCCGAGAGACGATGCGATGGCCTGGCCGTTTTTGTCAAGGAGGAGAACAAACGTCTGGGTGGCCCGTTCGAGGTGGACATATTCAATAACATGACGCTGGAGGAGTGCCAGACCATGTGCCTGCGGGCCGAGAAGTAAGTCATATGCATAATAGCTCTATTTCAGCACCATTTGAACTAATTGCATACATCGCAATCCCACAGATACTTCTGCCGTTCCGTGGAGTTTGACGATCAGAGCAAACAGTGTATCCTCTCCGAGGAAGACTCCATCTCGCAGAAGGATGACATTAGCATCAGCTCCAGTCCCACACACCATTTCTATGATCTCGTGTGCCTTGATAATCGTAAGTGGCTACCGTAAAGACGATCTCGTGTGAGAGACGAGAAAAGTCAACACCGACAACAAGATTATAGTGGTGCATCCCATCACAACGGTTGCATCCACTTCCATTTCCCCAACCATCTTCAACTTCCACGTCTATGTTATGTTGTATTCCCGTTGCAGAACGAGCCAACGATTATCCAGATAACTCAGTCACCTCGCACCTCTTCTCTAGCGGCCGGCGGCCAGATACAGCATTCCAGCGGTACCGCAACTCCAGGCTGGGCGGCGAGTTTCACTCGGAGATCACGGGCCGTTCGCTTAGCGAGTGCCTGGACGAATGTCTTCGCCAGACGAGCTTCCAATGCAGGTGCGTTTTCTTCTTCGGACTTTGCCGTTGCCAATCTTGTTTTTGATACTCTTGCATAAAGTACTCTTCTTGGTAGATCTTGATCTTTATATAAAACCCTTTGTATATTGAATTTTTATGAAGTCGATTGTATTTTTCAATAAGAAACCAAGAAGCTTTTGCAGTTAATATCTTGATGTACAAAACGAATAACTATACAAGGGATATGATTTTAATTACTATTATAAGTATCAGCTGTAACTACTCTAAGTTCTTCAGGGTATACCCATCTTCGTCATTCATAGCCATACCACCTTTCTGGTTCTCCTACTGCCTCACTAACCCAACCACTCTATCCTCTCGCAAATTGCAGGTCTGCTGTGTACAGCGATCGTTTTCGTACTTGTCGCCTGAGTCGGTACAATCAAAAGGACGGCATGCGCATTATATACGATGCTGATTATGATTACTACGAGAATCTAATGTGTAAGTGGTTAGAGGAGGTGCTAATAGCGGGCCAGTAATCCCTGACTTTGCTGCTGGTTCTTTTGGCTGGCTCTCTTCTATCTTGCAGTGAATGTTGTGGGCGGTGGCGCCGATGGCGATGGTGGTGGGCACAGTGGCAGCAACGATGGCAAGCGACCCGGAGATCAGTCGGGCAGCAACTGGAGACAGCCTAATAAGCACGACGATCGCTATGGGTCGGGTGGGTCAACTGGCGGTAGTGGATCGCACGGCGGGACGGGTTCTGGTGGCTCAAGATTGCCGCCAGGTGAAGGCGTTGACTATGGCAGGCCATACGATCGTTATCCGGACTTTGCGGGCAATGAATATGGTAGATAGTTTATGATCTCTAAATTTACGTTTCATACTCCATTTAATCCTCCTCAGATCGTAATCCTTATGGCGGAGATCGTGATAGAGATCGCTATCCCCCAGATCGTTATGGCTCCAGGTATCCATCTGGAGGCGATGGAATGGGCTATAACAGACCCTATGATCGTTTTCCTGATGATTATGGTGAGTTGATCTCCTTTCTTTAGCAGCTCAATAACACTTAATGTCACCACTTGAAACTAAGATATCACTTCATTCTAATTCTACTGACAACTAATTCACTAACCCCCACGTCAGATCGGTACCCAGCGGGAGCGGGTGTCAATGGCGATAGAGACCGCAATCGGGAAAGGGATCGGGATCGTTACCCAATGACTGGCGACAGAGATCGTTATCCAGGCGCTGGTGATAGAGATCGGTATCCAGGTACTGGCGATAGAGATCGTTATCCAGGCGATAGAGATAGGGACCGCTATCCGGACCCTTATCCACCGGAGCGTTATGCAGACAGATATGGAGATCGACGTTATCCGGACAGGGAAAGAGATCGTGATAGGTTGCCCTATCGGCCACTACCATATCCCGGTATCAATGACAACAGTCTGGCCAGTGATCTGCCGCACACACGTCCTTATCCCACTGACGATGATGCCCCCTTCCGACCGTACGGATATGGAGGAGGTCGCTACGGAGAAAACAGATATGACAGTAGATATCCCCCTCGTTTTCCACCTAGCCGCGAACGAGATCCGGTGGGAGGATACACAGGCAGAGATGCTCCCGACAGCATTTTCCCAGATAGACGCTACAGGCCTTCGTCCATGGACTCTCCCAGATATCCCTATTTACCAGATTCCCGAGGGCCACCGGGAAGATACGATGATATCGTACATAGTGCTAGAAGACCAGAACCTGATTCGGCCAAGAGATATCCCCCAGCGCCTATTGCTCCAACGGGCAGTGCCAGCAAGTATGCCTCCACTCCAAATCGATTTCCGGTAGGTAACGATCGTTATCCCATTGACATCTATAAATATGGCAATCGTCCGGGACCCAATGATATTGGCAGACGACCGGGTAAGTAATGCGGGACGGGACTAACCAACTACCAACTTGTAACCCGTAACCCATTTGGTGGAAAGTTAAGATGGAAAGAGATCGATGTTAATAAGTATATCCACCTAGGCCTAGAACGTCCACCACCTCCTTTCTATGATTACGACTATGAAGAGCGCTACGGTGATAGATACGGACCCTATGATCGTGAGTACGACGGTCCGCCGGGAAGAAGACCACCAAGTGGTGGACCCTATGGGCGGTACGATAGTCCCTTTAATCGTCCCTATGGTGGTAATGGCCTAGATGATCGTCCCCTTCCATTGCCCGGCTTGGGTCTATCTCATCCTCCCACCCCCTATGGAGGAGGAAGTCACGTAGGTGTCGGCGTGGGTGTCAACTCGGGTCCCCCTCGACCTCCAATCACCCGGTGCGAGGAGAGCGACAATTTTAAGCAAATAGCCGCCAGGCACAAGATGCGTCGCCACTTTGTCCGACGAGCTCTGATCGTTCCGAGCCTCATCCAATGCGAGAGGGAGTGCATCGAGAGTCGGGACTTCGTGTGCCGCAGCTTTAACTACAGGTGGGTGCGGATGGCATATTAGATACAAGATAAGCGGTACACGAGAAGCTACAAATTCACAATGTAAATTTCAATTTGCAGAGACTCGGCTGCCTCCAGCTATGAGGACAGAGATAGGGATCGGGATCGCGAGTCGCCAAACTGTGAGCTAAGCGACAGAGACTCGCGAGAGCTGGATATCCATGATCCGGGCACCTTCGACGCCTCCAACTATGATTTCTATGAGCGTAGCATTGGACGTAGTGATGGCGAGTGTATGGACGGTGGGTGGAGATCTTTTTGAAATGTAAATTTATCTTATTGGAATAAAATGTATTCGCCGAATTATCTGATTTAGTCACGCAAACGTGTAACGAGGAGGGCATGGAGTTCACCATCCGCACTCCGGAGGGCTTCTTGGGACGTATATACACCTATGGATTCTACGATCGCTGCTTTTTCCGTGGAAACGGTGGCACTGTCAACGTACTGAGACTAAGCGGACCCCAGGGATATCCAGACTGTGGCACCCAGCGAGTGAGTAACTAAGACTTAAATATATAAATCTAAATTACGAAATCTATAACAATTATTCATTATACTTGTAGTATGGTGACACGTTGACTAATATAGTGGTAGTCCAGTTCTCGGACAATGTGCAGACCAGCAGGGATAAGCGCTACAATCTTACCTGTATCTTCAGGGGTCCAGGAGAGGCGGTAGTCAGCTCTGGCTATATAGGAGCTGGGTAACAAGGATATTCCACTTACCATTATAATCTTCTAGTTCAACAGTTCCTTTTCCAGATCTGGCAGTCCTATTCCCATTGAGTACCTACCAGCCGAGAACACGCTAAGTTCCAAGGTGCGCCTAAGTATCCTATATCAAGGCAGACCCACTACCACTATAGCTGTGGGTGATCCCCTGACCTTCCGGCTGGAGGCTCAAGATGGTTACAACCATGTAACGGACATATTTGCCACCAACGTGGTAGCCAGAGATCCTTATTCCGGACGCAGTATCCAATTGATTGATCGCTTTGGATGCCCAGTAGATCCATTTGTATTCCCCGAATTGGACAAACTGCGCGATGGCGACACTTTAGAGGCCCGCTTTAATGCCTTTAAGATACCCGAATCCAACTTCTTGGTCTTTGAGGCCACCGTTAGGTCCTGTCGCGAAGGCTGCCAGCCAGCATATTGTCCTGGACCAGCGGGTCGTCAGGAGCCTTCCTTTGGCCGTCGGCGAAGATCGTTAAACACCACCGAAGTACCCGAACCGGAGGCACTGGCTCTGGAGGGCAACAGCCAACTGGAGGCTTCAGCGTCAGATGAAGTCACTGTGGTAAATAGCACCACAGTGAGTGCTACATTGGGGCAGGCTCCTGGAAATGAGACCCAATTGGGTGATAAGACCAAAGAGACCGAAGAACCTGAGCAAGTTCGGGAAATGATAGAGGTGAGTAGATGTTAGGGTTAAGGGGCTAGTCAGCATAAGTTAATTCGATTCGATAAAGGTCTTTGAATCCCGCGAGGAAATCGAGAAGGAATCATATCCACGCAAATTGGTAGCCCCAGTGGAAACCGTCTGCATGACTCCGGCCGAGTACCATGGTCTAATCACAGCTATTATCCTGCTAATGATCTTGCTGTTCAGCATCACGCTTGTGGCGGGATTGGGATACAGGTAGGGATAACTGGATAACTGGTTAAAGATCAATGCTAATTGGCGCCTTTCTCAGACGATACTGGAAATCCATATCTAAGAATCGACTCGTGGACAGGCACTCGCCAATTCACTCGCTCGGACACTCCCATTCCTCCATACGCACCCATGAACGCTTTACAGAGATCGGACATATGCCCAACCTGACTGGAGGAGGAGGAGGAGGAGGCGGCGGTGGTGGAGGAGGAGGAACGGGGGGCGGAGCCAATCAGAGCGCATCGAATCGGGCCTCAAACGCTTTTCGCACCAACATGTCCATGTTCGGCGGCTCATTACACAAGACATTTGCCACGGGGTGAGGAAAGGCAATCCGCCAGTCGAGTCGCCAAGCGTCCAACCGGTCCACTTATGGGGTGTTTAATGTCTTTACAGAAACTTGGCGCGCATGTGCCAGCTGCCAGTGATAAATCCCATGCGCTCGACCAACCACACTAGCCACCAGTTCGAGGATCCCAGCGAGCCCATCTACACGGATCCCTCGCTCTTCGAGCGTTCCAGGCAAGTGGTGGGCCACAATATATCTGATTCGCAAAACAAATCTCCGACCATCGTTCGCAACTGTAAATATGTTCGCCTTTATTCCGATTTGTCTAACCGACACGTCACTACTACAAGGGTCTGCAGATGCAGAGGCCCACCTTGTTGCAAATTCCATCCCGTCCTCCGGCTATTTGGCAGTTGGTACTGCACCAATCTCCTTGCATCTGGCATACGTTAGAAAACGTGGGCATCTCACCTGTAACTAAACGAGAAGTTAACTCCCAAGTTAGGCACAATCGACCATTTAAATCACACTTACTTGCAAAAGCACTGGCTAAACAGACTAACAAAATAACCAGACAGAGGCGTAGGCAGTGCATGCTGATGAGTTGTCAGATTCAGACTAAAATGATGGGAAAGGCGATAAGCCGTATAAGTCAAGTGAATTTTGATTTCATCACTCGCCGTTTCTCTCTTTAAATATTTTAAATAATATTAAGCTCACCGATAACGGCTTTTTGTTTTTCGTTTACAGATCGTTGCGAAGTCTGACCATGGTAGCAGAGTCGGAAGACAATCAGGAGGTCTGAGGTCCAGAATTCCATCCTCCTGTGATTAGTTGTAAATAAGCTAAAAGGTTCTAAACTCCAGTTAATCAAAGACAATCCAAAAAGTATCCACACGCGATATAATCTATACGCTAGCTAAATGCGTGGGACCAATGAATATTCGGTGGTCCATCAAGTAGCCTAAGAAGTGCACCACTGACCAGTATCCAAATATTATGATCTTATGCTATTTAATATAGTTTATCTAAGCCTAACAACAGAAAACACAATTATTCTCTATACCAGCTAAGATATGAAATGCAATAAAGCCTAAACTTATCCGTATCACAGCCGACTTTCGTTCTGCCCAGAGGAATGCAAAAGCGGTCATTAATCAGCATACAAGATGATGCAGAGATGCAGTGGCACATTGAGCGGATTCGCCATTTGAGGGTTAACGAGCTAGGCCAATTGCCAGTTTCAGTGGCAGTTTCCGTTGCAGACAGTAGCCAGCGGGGCTTTGTGGTTAAAGCTGAGGTCCACTCTCGGGAAAATCATAGGCTCGGTCAGAGGCCGCCCATAAATCAAGCAACAGGCTACTGAACGTAACGTGAAAATGAACCTCCGCACCTTAGTAGGTCGCGAAGATTTACATTAGGAACTCTTTCGGTGAAAGTAATTAGGATAATTTTCTATGACTTATAAAGACATCGCAATACACATTTCCGTTGCGTACAGTTTAATTAACACTTTCTAAATAAATTTAAACCATTCATTACATACTTAATGCGTACATACATATATAAATTAATTCAGATACAGAATCTCATTTGGGCCATCCTTATTGCTGGTCTTGACTAGCACAGTTTGAAAAGTGTCCGGAAGGACAGCTTTGCAAATGCCTTTGTGGTGGGATTTTGGACCAATGCGACTCAATAATCTAGATAAACCATTTCATATCTAACAACTAACATAAGTTATGGATTATAAATTACAATATTTACAGAAACTTAATAGCTAGCCCTTTAATCGTCGAAGAAGAGTATTTCTAGTATTCGCTTTTGTGCACTTTTCTTCCGTTCCTTATTCATCTTAAGCAGCTCCGAGGTGACCAATTCTCCCAGAAGATGCTCCGACAATCGTTGCACGCCCGGATGATTGGGCGGCGGCTGGAATTTCCCGAAGTTTGAGGGATGCGAACTGCTGGCCTGGTGTGGAAGTTGCTGATATAACTGGAAAAGGAAGTCCGTGTTCGACGGAAACATATTCTGGTGCTGTTGCTGCTGCTGATTGCTATGGCTATTATTGCCGCTGGTATTGTTGCTCCCAATATTACTGCTAGTGTTATTCCCATTACCATTGCCACGCTGCATGTTCATCGAATTGCTATAGTGATTCTCCTGCTGCATCAAAACCTGCGGCTCCATCAAATCATGGCTATTGTCATCGGAATCGTCATCGGAGTCATTACCGAAGTGACTGCCATTGCTGCTGATCTGGTTGTGGGCACTGCCATTGAGCTGGACACGGGGTTTCTTCATATGGAAATTGCTGGATGCAGAAGAGTCCAAATCATCGCCCTTGGGGTTGTAGACGTGTGACTGTTGCATCTGTAGGTTGGAACTGTTGCTAATGGAACCGCCTGCGGCACTAGAAGAGGAATGTACTACCGGAAGCTGCTGACCAGATGCCGGCGACTGTTGCTGCGATTGTTGCTGCTGTTGTTGTTGTTGTTGTTGATGCTGCTGCTGTGGATTATGGGTGCCCGCTCCCATTCCTTGCAGTGGCGACGACAGCGGCGATTTCATCGAAGACGAGGTGGAGGTCAGGCTACCAGCACTGTTCTGGGTTCCGTTCACGCCTACAGAGCTATCCTTGTACTGGTCCTGATATCCCTGCGAGGAGTCGGCCATTACAGCTGCCACGGCCGCAGCCTGCTGCTGCATTTGTGATTGTGATATGTGCTGCAGCTGCTGTGAAGCAACGGCTGCTGCGAAGTCCCTAAACACCTGATCCGCCTCGATCTTAACCTGGCCATTGACGTTTTCCAAAGCGGAAGCAGCGGCGGTACTTAGGGCACTCATGGCATGCTGCTGATCCGGCTGGTGGTAGTGGTGACTCTGACCCGAGCTGCCGAACTGGGTCACATTCTTCATAGAGCCATTCGACTTATCTACTTGGTATTCGTTGTAGCTAGAGCTGTTGGCAGATTGTGGAGATGTTAGGAAGTTCGGCACATGACGGTAGGACTTTCGCGGTTGGATGTGCTGGTCCAGAAACTTCATCTTTTCTAGGTAAGGACGCGACAGGTGTTCGTAGACAGGGGGATCACCCTGTTTTCGCTGGGAGACATACCGCTCGCGTAGATACTTCCACCGCTTCTTACACGTATCCACTGTAAAGAATGACAATATTTAGCAACAAGGTCTAACCAGAGGAGCTCCAATTCCTCACCGTCAGTGCGCAGCTTCATCGCAATCAGCTGCCAGGCTTCGTCCTTCGTCTCGTATTTGCCGCCATTGGCGCCACCGTTCAGATAGTACTTCTGCCGGTTATAGATCACCCCATGCTGCGCCACCTCGTCAATTAGCTGCTCATCCATCATTTTAGTTTAATTCGAGTTTTTAGCTGCCAATTTGCTTTGGTGTATGTCAGGTCATTTCCAACACTGGCACGAATGCAGCAGCGCGGTGTGGCCAAGTGTAGCCATTTCAGCGTATTACATTATATTTTATATTTTATAAATAAATACCTTTTTATTAACAAATTTTAACAGATAGAAATACTACTTATATTTATTTACCATCTCAATATTTCAAGATTTCTTTTCCAAATATATGTCTCAAAATTAAATAACCTCATCAAATCTAAAAATTCGAAAATATTTTAGCTATAAAAATAGTAGCTGAAAAACCATTATTTTAAATATAAGAAGTATATTCTCACGAGTCCATAATCGGTCACACTGTCAGTTTTGTACCCAAAGTTGAATTGTCGTTTTCGAGGAGCAGCCGATAGTTGTGAATAAAAATGTTTAAACTTGTCCGTATGCTCGTGCCGCAGCAGCGGATCCTTGCTAGCCCACTAAGGCTGCAGCGTCTGATATCCACCAGTGATAAGGTCAAGTCAGAGCCCGTTCTCAAGTCCATGGACACAATTGGCGGTCTGCCCACAGAACTAGTCAACGAACAAAAGTTGAAGAAAACGAGCAGGTAATCAATCTACCGGTTTTCGCACTTGACCTTTGCCTGTTTGTTTTGTTTACGTTTCGACCGGTATGGTATGCATGTATCGAATGCCTGATTTGGGCGTGATTTCGAATGTGGAATTTCGGATCTTCTCGGTTTCATGTGGGAGAGAAAGTTTGTAATGTACCTACTTATGCAGTCACGTAGACCAGATATACATGTGTGTATGCTCCTATATTAGTTCTGCACTCTATTGTTCTCCACTTTGTTTTGTCCACAGAACCTTATCAACGCTACAAAATCATTCGGTTCCCATTGCCGCTCGCGTCACAGTGTCGAAAGATGAAAGTCGCGACTTTATGGCCGTGTTTCCAGGTGAGCTACGTTTATTTATGCCAATTATCATGCTAATTCTAATGCTGAGTCTATTCCGTTTTAAAGATCTTGTGCGTGACATCACCACCGTGACGAAGACGTATAATTGCAATGATGCGGCCAAGTGGTTCGCTCAGGTCCTGCAGTACAATGTGCCCAGGGGCAAGAAGAACCGGGGGATCCTCACAGTACTTACATATAAGAATTTAGTTCCCGCCCAGGATCTAACGCCTGAGAATATAAAACTCGCGCAGTATCTAGGTTGGTGTGTAGAAATGGTAATGGAAATGGAAATGGTAGTAACTAAGAAGTTCCTTTACTAACAAAAACTCGTCCATCAGCTCCAAAGCTTTTTTATCATTTCTGACGACGTGATGGACAACAGCACAACGAGGCGCGGTCAACTTTGCTGGCACAAGGTGGAGGGCGTTGGGATGACAGCCATCAACGATGCCTTAATGATCGAGAACGCCATGTATGCAATTCTTAAAAAGCATTTTAGCCACTTAGATTGCTACGTGGCACTAATGGAGCTGTTCCACGAAATCACATACATCACAACCTGCGGACAATCTTTGGATCAGTTGAACTCAAACCGCTGTGTCTCAGAATTCACCATGGAAAACTATAAAGCAATTGTGGAAAACAAGACTGCGTATTACTCCTTTTACCTGCCATTTGCCATTGCTTTACACTTGGCTGGGTGCGTTAGCTGACTTCTTTTCTTAACTCCCAGGTAGTAACCAAATTTTCTATTCTTTAGCTATAAGGACGCTGAGGCATTCCGTCAGTCAAAGACCATTTTGCTAGAAATGGGAAACTTTTTCCAGGTACAAGACGATTTTCTTGACTGCTTTGGTAACCCGGAAGTGACCGGTAAAATTGGTACCGATATTCAAGACAACAAGTGTTCGTGGCTGGCAGTGGTGGCCCTGCAACGAGCTAACGTTGAACAGAAACAAATCATGGTCGATTGTTATGGCAAAGAAGGTAAAATTATCTCAACCGCAAATCCCCATTTATTCTTAACATATTAAATTACTCGCAGACCCAGCAAAAGTGGAACGAGTTAAGGAGCTGTACAAGGAACTTGGACTGCCATCTACGTATGCCACTTTCGAGGAGGAATCTTATAACATGATTAAAACGCACATACAACAAACCTCTCGTGGGGTGCCTCACCAAACCTTCCTGCAAATTCTCAACAAAATCTACCAACGTGACTCCTAAATTACTAATTGCGTCTTTACTTTTTTAGTACGTTTTTTTAAATATGTCATAGTTTTATCATTCACGGGGATGAACTGTTACCATGGGCCCATCAATTACAACTGAAATTAAATTTTTACTATACATAACTACAGTGTTCTTTGTTTAATCGTCTGTAAAATCAAAAGGTGCAAAAGCTTTTCGGAAATCCTCAACGTACGCCACTTCTTCATCCTTGTCAAGAAGGCAATCTTTCCAGTTGACTTTCTCATCACAATTTAGTAGATTCTCCGAGCAGAACACATCCCTGGAATGAATCGATTTTTATAGAAATTGGTGGTACAAAATTAGTAGTTAACAAACCTGGCAAAATGAATGGGAAAATGTTTCATTTGGCGCGTGATAAGAGTACTGTCGTCGGGCAGCTCGGCAAGGAAATAAGGACCCATTTCTGGTAGCATTTTCTCGGAATCCAAAACTGGCAGAGTCTCAAACTCCAGATTGAATTCCTCCGCCTTATCCTACAAGATAGGAATTATATAAATGCATTTAATTACATGATTGGTTTTAATGATTACCTCAAAGCTATGTTTTATTTTCCAGGCGTAGCCTTCTTCAAAGGCAAGCACATTAATCTGCAAGTGAACAGACTTGTAATGTCGCTCAGTAAAGCAAACAACTTTTCCCAAGGTTTTAAAGAACTTTCGTAAAGCTGACTTGAACTTATCCAGCTCCTCCCAATCATCTGAACTGAGTTGAGCAGCACAGGGCACATGCTTTGTGGATAATATCATGACGTGATACTTGTTTATGGGTCCTTTAGCGAGAGCCAGGTAAAAGCGTTCACCTACAGTGATAATAAGATGTTTTTCCACATCGGGTGATGATAAACAGAACCAGCATTTATCTATAACGAAAAAAGAGTATTAAAGATGCATCTACTTAAATACCATATTTAACAAACCTTGCTCAATCTGAGGTATTCTAGGACGCTTATCCTTTCTGTTATTATCACCGTTTTGTCGTTTACGGTTGCCACTATTCATCTCAAAGAAATACTGTCTATTTTCGGACTAAAAGAAAGAAGGTTCATAATAAGTAAGGTCTCTAATAGAAATTAGGATACTTACAGAATCGTTTTTGGTGATGGTTTCGCCCAAATCTAAACCTATAAAAGGACATGGTATTTCGTTGGTAGTCTTCTGAACTAGATCGAGTAGACGTGATTTGTCCACTGGCTTCAGACTAAGTGCATAAATGTACTTGGCTTTTTCGGCATTTCCCACATCTGCGAGTGAAATAAAGCGAGTGCACAGCTCAAACTGAGTGGTTTCATCTTTCGGCATACGAAAAGGTGCACTTTCGTAGTGGGTTCCATTGATGGCACAGAAGTGATACCTCGGTTTGATCTCCCGACAGAGAAATGATATCAACTTCGAAGCTGTGACCTAAAGTAAAGAATTGCTATTTCACATAGTAAAGGAAACTATAATGAAAAGCTCACGTTTTCCTTCTCCTTCATTCCATATGGCCATTGTGAAGTGAGCAGCACGTCCACTCCTCTGTATTCTGTAGAACAGTTCTTGGATACCAAACAGGAGTTCCTGACGGCTATAACATCGGCTTTACTGAATTCGTGTTCTGACCTAGAGGTGTCTGCTGAGCCAGGCGCCTCCGAACCACTTAAATATGCTATCTTAACTCCACTGCTTAATGTGTAGACTCCACGTCTGCCGAGATATGTGAGGTTGGTGCAGATTTCACCATCAGACAAATTCTCAAAGTATTTTCCGTGCTCCTTTTGGTTGGGTCCCAGAATATAGGTGGGAACGGTGACTGAGGATACATAGAGCTTTTATTGTTTGTTACAGGTTTATATCTTATTTTACTTACTATGTTTAAATCCATTTTTGTAGGCAATCAGCTCCTCGTTTTGCTTGTCCTCACCAAAAAAGTCGCCTACACAGCACAGGATCTCAAAGGGTCCCGCCTTTTTATTGACTTGCTCCACACGTTGGAACAGTTGCTTGAAGCGACCCCTTACATCGCCCACGACTAATCTATTTACCAAAAATAAACATTTAATAAATAAGTTTATTTCGCGGTGTTCTTACTCACATTTTAGTACCCGCGTCCATTGTTATCGATAGGTGAGCTAGAAATTATCAATCGGATAGACTAGTTACCACTACGTGCTGCCAACTTGACGAATTAATATGGCGCAAGAATTCAATAATTAGATTGATGTAACTTTTTAATATGACACCTTAAGTTAAGTTCTTACAAAATTAAAATGTTCTTTTAATCACAGTAAAATACAAAAATTATCATATTTACAACTCGCTTTAAACACCATGACACACTTTGAAGTGAAAATGTCAGCTACATATTTTTTGGCAATTGATGTTTAATTGACCGAGGAACGTTCTAAACTTATATAACGAACTATAACCTTACTGCAATGTCAATGGCCCAAAACATAACATTATTTATGACATTGGCCCCAAATAGCAGCAGATTGCAACAATGAACTTTTGCTGGGCTTTTCTGGTCATGCGTGGCTGGCACAATTAAGTGGTTATTACTCTTTTCGTTCCAATAGATGTGTTGCTGCGTGAGGGATATAAAATGGGCCTTACTGCTTCATATTCCTATCAGTCATATTAGTCACTCAATCGCAGTAATGTCGCCTAGTCTGGTTTTTGTGATCTTAGTTCTCCTGGGTCTAAATACTTATCAAGTGTTTAGCCAAACAACCATTGATTGTCAAAGGCCGCCTCAGCTTGTGGTTTGTATTTATAACAATTTATAGAATGTTATTTTAAAAAATTTCCTTATATATTTCTAGGATCCCGCACTTTGCTGCAGAGATGGAGGCCGCGACCAAGTGGCCGAGCAGTGCGCCCAGCGGATTTTAGGTACAGCAAATGGACAGAAACCAGGTGGTCCTCCATCACTGGAAACAGCTGCGGTAAGTAATCTTTATTTCACTTTTATATGACAGTAATGTATAAGTTTATCCATCACTCAGTGCCTTGCTGAATGCATCCTCACATCATCCAAGTACATAGAGGAACCCCAAAAGCTAAACTTGGCCAACATACGCAGTGATCTCTCGGCCAAGTTCTCCAACGATAGTGCCTATGTGGATGCAATGACGATGGCTTACTCTAAGTGCGAGCCCCAATCGCAGCGCAGATTGGCAATGATCCAACAACAACAGTCGCAGCAGCAACAACAAAGATGTAGTCCCTTCTCCGCCATCGTGCTCGGTTGCACCTATATGGAATACTTTAAGAACTGTCCAGATCATCGGTGGACGCAAAATGCCCAGTGCGCCCTGGCCAAAGCCTATGTCACGCAGTGCGGATTGGGAGCTTAGCTAGTAGGTAGGAAACTTATAAATAAGATTTAAATATAAAAGAAAAATCAAGAAACATTATATATTGGGAGATCATATTACATAAACCATTATTTTAAATCTTATATAATAACTAACGATTGAAAAGTAGTTAAATATGCCTTTTAAAAGTGAGTTAATCGCCAAGAGGGTTTCGATTTTAATTTTTTTATATGTCTTTTTCCGGATCTTTTGAGTCAGTTATTTAATTTGACCAGATTCCAACCGGGGTTTACTTAATAACGAAATGCAGTCACACTAATGAAGTTATCGATGTATCGGTAAAATATACATTTAAGTGTGACAATCGCAGCTTCCTCTTCCCTCAGACGTTTTTTTCGTAATTGTTGAGATAAAGTCGCAAGTGAAACGTGCTAATTCTAGTGCAGACACTGCCCAAGTGCTCTTTTTTAAAGACAATCTTGAATTATTCCAAAATGGTTGACCTCACCGACGCCGGTTCGCCGTTCCAGCAATCCATTCCCGACTTTGCCTTTTACGTGCCGGCTGTTGTTGTTTTTACCCTGGCAGGTGAGTTCTGGATGACCCCTCCGAATGTGTTATGTTTGTACCACCATTTAGACCCCCGCCCCTCCCAAATTTTACGCATGTTAAATATGTATGTATGTATATATAGCCTGGCCGAAATCCCGGCGAATTGGGTCAAAAGACTTTCACCAAGCGAGCAACTCAATTGAATGTTTGGCCTCGGCCTAACTCCCATTTTTACCACAGCTGTTGGATGTGCCGTTTGTGTTTGGTTTTTCGTTCTTATCTGTTTTGGTTTGAAATATAGATTAGTTTCGGATTGTGATTTTGGCAACTTGACTTACGTGTTCTATCTGCCGCTCATAATGTTCCATTCCGGTTTTCTTGCGTACGTAGCCAAAAGTTTATGGTCTTTGAGAGCGATAAGGGCAACCTGATAAGGAATCGACCTGCCACCATTCATTAGTCCACGTAGTACAGTCAAACATCATCTTAGAAACATCTTCTTTAAACTATGTTATAATTATCTTTCTTTAACAATTTCTGCATTATTAACTTAAGAATTCCTATAACATTTTCATTACATCGACGAATGAAGAACGACTTTAAATGACCACTGATATGTATAGTGAAGGGATTGTAGATATAAAACCATAATATTATTTACCAAAAATAATCACAAAATTGCGAAAAATATTATATGCCTTGTTACTTTGTAGTTGTCTCTCGTGGGTGGGCGTCTAACTTGGGTATCGTCTTTATGTGTGTCCGGCACTGATTAGAGGGTTCTCCCTTATCGCATGCTACATATACATATATTCTCAGCAACTTCTTGGGACTACCTTTGAGAATATGCTGACGAAGGCAGATGTCGAACCGAAAAGCGCAGCGAAAATTCAACTAGTGGACATATCTGAGAATAATGAAATATAAGCGACTGATTACACACGAGTGGCAGTTTATTTTCGTATTGACTTTAATATACATTTTAGAGAGTGTTCATTCAGTCCCACCGAACAGCAGAAGCCGGAGCACGTAAGCACCGGCGATCTAGCGCCAAAATTAAGAGATATTTAAAAGTCTGTGTGCTGGGGGGAATAATTAAATAAAATTTTTTTTGATTTGTAAAATATTTTAAATTAAAATCGTTATTTTCACTGCATGCCGCGTGTCAAGCTTGTGTTACAGATAATCTAAGACCGTAGTACTAAAATCTATTCTCGTATCAGATTAGTTTCTTTTTTGCCACGTTGTTTGTTTCTGTGATTTTGTTTGCCCCCAGTAGCATGCTAGATATCCAGAGACTAGAACCGTAAACCATGATTTCCTATATGTACCACCCATTCAGACGCGAACCGCTAAAGGCGAGAGCCCATAAAACACAGCCCGTAAACTAGAACTGAAAACTAAGATTAGATCATGGCTGAGGATCCGGTGAACCAGCAGGCGTTTGCTGAAGACGTGGCAGCTGCCGCCGCTGCCGGAGGACCCGCTGGTTTTGCTGGTCCCGAGCCAGGACATCCCGACTTTAAGATGCCCAGTCCCGAGGAGATATGGAAGCTGGTCGAGGGCATGGAGGGCATTTCGGACGATGAGCGGGCTGAGCTCCGCGAAAACATTTTTAATCCGAAGCCACCGTCGCCGGAAGATTTTATGCGCCAGTATGGACATCCGGGCCACAGTTCCCGGGAATACCTGGTGTTCTTCGTGATGCTGGCCCTCATACTAATTGTTTTCGGTAAGCGTCCTCCGGAACATGCCAATGCCGTTTAACCCTTATCGGGCGTGATATCCGCACCTACTTGGATTTCTGGGGGAAAGGGGGCGATAAGGTTTTAGGAGGAGGCCCTGCCAAAGCACTCACACTCACGAGCCTCGACTAGAATGTTTGCTTCGTTTATAGGCGTTCGATTTTCGATAAGATAACCAACGGTGAGCGTAGGATCCAACACAGATACAGCTAATACCAAAAAAAAAAAAAGAGTAGTACTTGTCAGAGACTCATGCCGGCCAGAAGTTGACACCTAGACCCTTTAGGAAAATTCAGCAACATGAGCTTGTCAGGATCCGATGAGCTCGGCGTTATCGAGCAGCTGAAAAAATCCGTGGAGACGATAGTGGCCAAAACGGGTCCCAGCAGCAAATTCTCACAGGATCTTGTCAAACGGATTGGCGAGATGCAGAGCAAACTGGAATCGCTAGCCGAAACGGATCGGCATGTGTTTCTTGCGGAAATGAAAGACAAGTTTCAGGAGACGATAGGACGGATCGAGCAGCGAATAGTGCAACATGCCCATATAGCGCAGACCTATTCTAGTTCAATAGTGTCAGCAGTGATCTTTCTCCTCGTCTCGATATTCGGTCTCAGTTACCTTGATTTTATGTTATAACTTATCAACTAATTGGTATTTCCTTCTTCATATTACAGCTCTGTTCGGCTATAAGTTGTACAAATCGCTGACGGAGAAGGAGCTCAAGAAGCAGGAGAAGCTAAAGAACAAGCAGCAGAAAAAGGCTAAGAAATCAAATTAAGCAAGGATAAGATGGAGACGAGGATATCCTTAACGTAGTGCTTTGCGGCCCTGAGACCTTCCATCCTGTTAATCAATACAATCGCCCTGTAAATGACTAAATCATAAACCAGTAAACGTAATAAAATAAACAGTACCCCGGTAACTCTTTTAAATGCCACGGTAATTGTGTTGTTACGAGGAGTCGAATTAATTGCCATTAAAGTACGACATCAGGAAATGCAAATCGGTGTCGTGACCGAACTTGTTGCTGCCGTCTAGGTAATCCTGGCCTCCGTTGCCATGGGAAACCCGGTCGTTTTGTCGAAGAGCCTCCTGTCAGGAAGCTATTAATAGTCAGATTCAGTTTCCAGTTACCCAGTTAAGCAGCACACCCGGAGGCATCAACTCAACAACCTTTTTTCGAATATATAAAACATGTCGTATTCAAGCCGTAAGTAGAGCTTTGACCATGAGTTCCTACTTACCATCGCTGTGCTAATCAGGATTTGGTTTCGACTTCCATTTGCCGGACGAGGGATGGTGTTATCCGAGGAACGACATGCACTTTATCCGCAGCGCGGAGTGGGTGCCCGTGGAGAAGGCTGGCGTGGGTCGTTCTTTTGCCAATCCCAATGGCGTGATCTATCCCCGGGTAGTTGGCATGATTCCTCGCTACGGAGGCCATGTTCCGGGAAATAAGTTTCGGGTGGGCAACACCTACGGCCGTTCCACTATAGATGCCAAGCGTCATCTGGCTCTCAACCACGATTGAAGACCAGATTCTTCGATTACTAATAACCTAGTTCACGGATAGCCAATGAAATTTTCTGTGTTACGCTTAGAAAAGCACCCAAAATAAATCGTATACTGTAGAACTGTCGATCTGAAAATCTTGGTTTGGATAATGACATGTTGAAATAAAATTATTCACATATTAAATGTTTTAGGGAAGTTTATGACTTTATTGTATTTTATTTAAAATTAAGAATTTTTTTATGATCCTAAAAAATATTTTAATGTATACATTTCAAAACAGTAAATTTATTTATTTACAATAATAATTGATAAAATAATATTTTCATATAAACGGAAGAAATAAAATGCGAGAAATATTACTTTTCGTGTGTGAAATTTTGAAATGTTATGCGTAAATTTCACAATGCTTTCAAGTACCTTTTAAGTTGAATTCAAGGTAATTTTTCTTTAAGAAGCCCAAAAAGACAAATAAATCCAAAGACAAACAGTGTTACCAAGACGCGAAATGTGTTAAATACATTATTTATGTCTAATTTTAAATGGTATTTTGGGAACCACAAGCAACAGATTCACAGATAAGAGTAAATAACAGATCATCATTAACAAACAAATTTCTAATGGTGGTTATTTAGAAATCCGATTGAATATTTATGAAATCCAGGAATCGACAAGTTTCTAACCAGCATTCCGCCACAAATATAATCCAAAGAGTAGGCAAATGATTAGCAATGGGCATAAGCTTACTTAACATCTGGAGACGTGGCCTCCACACAAGTTCCGCCCGGTTGCAGATGATCCAGGGCTCTACGCCCACCAAGCGAATATGTATAGTGGGCGCCGGACCCGCCGGCTTCTATGCCGCCCAACTAATCCTGAAGCAACTGGATGATTGCGTAGTGGACGTAGTCGAGAAACTGCCTGTTCCCTTTGGACTGGTGCGGTAAGCAGAACTAGCTTTTACGAGGCGGTGCTGTTGGTACCCAAGCCGAATCCAAAGAGTGGACCCACAATAGATCGAAAGATGCCACTAAAGTAGGCTAAAATAGCAAGGGGATTTTGTAATCTTAAAGAATTCAAGGCTTGTAACGTACCTCCCACTTGATCAAGGCTCCACAAAGGATTGGCTGCAGTCAGGGCCGGACTTATGATTACTAACAGACATACAATGATTGTTGCAACACCTAGCACCTGCATCTTGGAAGCCAAACTGTTACTCCCTCCCCAAGACTCAATTGCTTATATTCGCACATGGTTGCGTGTGCACGGCATTTCATTGCACTTATCGACTAACGACTTGTCCCATTATGCAAATCACACATTACAGCTTTGGCGTTGCACCCGATCATCCGGAGGTCAAGAACGTAATCAACACCTTTACCAAGACCGCCGACCATCCGCGTTTGCGTTATTTTGGCAACATATCGCTGGGCATGGATGTGAGTCTGCAGGAGCTGAGAAATCGTTACCACGCCGTGCTCCTTACCTACGGAGCGGATAAGGATCGACAATTGGAGCTGGAAAACGAACAGCAGGGTAATGTAATATCTGCCCGGAAATTTGTAGCTTGGTATAATGGATTGCCGGGTGCGGAGAACCTGGCTCCCGATCTCAGTGGTCGCGATGTCACGATTGTTGGTCAGGGCAACGTCGCTGTAGATGTGGCCAGGATGCTCCTTAGTCCACTGGATGCCCTAAAAGTAAGTGCATTTTATTAAGCAAAGCAAATAATAATTGTTACTATTCCCACAGACCACTGACACAACGGAGTATGCCTTGGAAGCCCTATCTCGAAGTCAAGTAGAGCGAGTGCATCTAGTGGGAAGACGTGGTCCCCTGCAGGCCGCCTTTACCATTAAGGAGCTCCGGGAGATGCTCAAACTTCCAAATGTGGAAACTCGCTGGCGAACTGATGATTTTTCAGGTAAGAGACAATATTTCTTCTAGGTTTTTACTGTCTAAAGAAGTCCCATATTTAAGGCATTGATCTCCAGTTGGATAAACTACAGCGACCACGCAAGAGACTCACCGAACTGATGCTCAAGAGTTTAAAGGAGCAGGGCAGGTCCTCTGGCTCCAAACAGTTCCTTCCCATATTCCTGCGAGCTCCAAAGGCTATAAACCCTGGGGAAATGGAGTTTTCTGTCACGGAACTTCAGCAGGAATCAGCTGTGGCTACAAGTTCCACGGAGCGTCTTCCTTCGCATCTAATCCTACGCAGCATTGGTTACAAATCCAGTTGCGTGGATTCAGGAATCAACTTTGACAATCGACGCGGTCGAGTTCACAACATTGACGGTCGCGTTCTCAAGAATGATGATTCGGGAAAAGTAGATCCTGGACTCTATGTGGCCGGTTGGCTAGGAACAGGACCCACTGGCGTGATTGTGACCACCATGAATGGCGCTTTTGCAGTGGCCAAAAGCATTTGTGATGATATAACCACGAAAATTGTGGACACCACTTCAATGAAACCGGGATACGACACAGTTGGCAAAAGAGTAGTTTCATGGGATGGTTGGCGACGTATTAACGAATTTGAGTGTGAGGTGGGTAAGTCCAAGGGAAAGCCCCGTGAGAAGATCGTTAGCATAGAGAATATGCTGCAAGTGGCGGGTGTCTGATGCCAGGATTCCATGGGTTTTGGTCGACAATAGTGTTTTTAGAACCATTTTAGATAACTTTTATTTATCTGTCATTTGTAGCCTTTGTTTTTCATTGTATATATAAAAACCTTAAATAAAACACATGAAAATCTCTTAATTATTGTTTCTAAATTATTTGTGAAAGTTAAATTATAGTTAGTAAAATGGACCACGCTATAACGCCGGAGCCGCATTTGGTGCCAGGGTAAGAAAGCTTTACTTTTGTATCCTTATTGTTTTGATATATCATTATTGCGATGTCCACAGGTACACAGGTCATTGTGCTCAGAATCGGGACAGAGTGGGTCGAACCTATGGTCGTCAGACACACAAGTTACTTATAGATCCCTGTATTTACCATGCCCCGGAACTGATTGTAGCACCTATTCATGCCAAGCATGGGCTTAAAGATTACCCCACAGCGCAAGAGCTGAAGATACTGCGCACTCGTGAGCAGCTAGTGGACTCCGTTTACAGACATCCAATTATACCAGGATACGCTGGCTTTGTGCCAAATATAGTGAGTCAAATTGGAAAGCGTTACGTGGCCGCCGCATCCGCAGGTGTGGCTCGTCACGAGACCCTGATGGAGTGGTACCGCTGCGAGAATCGGACGCTTAGGCACCGGGACCTGCTGGAAAGTGGGAACGGTTTGTTTGAAAGAAAAATCAACGAGAGGCTGCTGCCACAGTCCTACTACCGCTCCCCTTTAATTCCGGTCACCGGAGTATCCAAGGGTATCAAGGACGAGGTCTGTCCTCCTAGGGCCGAGAAGCTTTGCTACAGCAAGTTCACATCGCCGCATTTCCTTGAGGACGAGGATGCAGACAAATTTATTATTAATGGATACGCCGGACATATCCCCATGTCTGTTACACGTTTCGGGGAGTCCAACAAGGTTCTTACCAACCGGGCGCTCTGCAGCTTCTCGGATTATATGTACAAGCAAAAACGAGATAAGTGGTGTTGTGGCCAGGACCTAAGCCGGCCGGCCATAACATGTCCACCTGTTGGGCACTTTGTAGTCTATCATACCGACAACGGAATGATTCCCAATTATGCGGGTCACGTTCCTGGGGAGACTTACAAGTTTGGACGGACGTACGCGAAGACCACCTATGATGCCAAGCGGTGGCTGGAGGTGCACAAGAATCTCACCGTGCTCCCGGAGGTGGCCAACCTGGATTACGCCTACTAACGAACTCAATGTAAGGGTATTCCCCTCTGGATCGTTTTTAAAATGTAACGCTTTCGCAGAGCCTTGCCACTCCGCAGCGGTTATTGGAGCATTTATTGTCTATGTATTACATGGTCACATTGGCGATTGTTGTGATGTATCGATACAACAACAACATCCCCAGCTTTCTATCTACGTCGTTTGTTGCAGCAAATAAATAAGTTTTAATTATTTGTGCACCTCTAAAATGTACGAATTGTGGCTAATGCCGTGATCAACTGCAGTGCAGTGCCTCCTATGATCGGCACAAATGTAAATTCGGTCGTTCGGGCAGTATAAAAGGACTAAAGTGTCCACAAAACGCCAAACGAAAAAATCTTAAGAATCGAATTCGAACAATTCAAACACACACACGTAGTGCCGCACCGTTCACACACCGCTGTGCAGTACAGTACCGCAGTGCGTGCGAGCGAAACAACCGGTGTCTTCTCAGATAACATACATTTGTGTACCTACCTCTCTTCCAAGTGGTGAGTTGAATGCCGATTATGCACCCTGCACGCGTCGGGCCGAGCATTGTATGCAATAAGTTAAATGCACTGCCGCAAACAGGCCGAAACAGGAAACATCCTAGAAAAACATACACCCTATCTAAACAGATCCATATCCAGACCCCCATCTCTAAATATTTTTCAACTAAGATTTATGGCGGGAACTTGAACGGAGTGTGCGCACAGGTCACTAACAAGTCGGTGCGACCCCAACTGCGGTCGACTTGTTTATTAAGAGCGAACAAACGAATAAAAATAAAAACAAAAAAATATATATGTAATTTGTTGTAGCAGGTGAGATTTACGACTGTATGTTGGGTTCGGAGAGGAGAGAACTCTTCGTATTGAGAACGGGGGCGAATAGGAAACCGTGAAAAACCGCCAAAATGGGTTGAGTTCTTTTTGCATCGATTTTCCCGGCCGGAAGGAGAAAATTTAAAAAATTCGAATGTAACGGCTGGAAAAATGATATAAAAACGAAATCTTTCTTTTAATAATGGTATAACCAATATACAGGTGAAATTCTCTTAATCAATCCCACAAAACTAGAAAACAATTTTTGTAAATGCAGTGCCCATAAACTGTTCTATACTGATTATATCGAATTCCATAACTGGAACATTCTTAAAATGAATTGTTTTTTTTTTTAAGTTCTAGTAAGTGAAATTTTAACAGCAATAGCAATAAGCAATAAGGCAATGATAAAAACAGTGTAAATCAAGTATTAACGTTTGTACTCTTTTTTTCAATTGCAGAAGAGTGAGTGGAGTGATGAGCGAATCTCTGTCTTCTCAAGTGGAGGAGACCAAGGTGTCCGATGAAGATGGCGTAAAAGAGAAAGCTGAAGTATCTACTGTTAAAGGTACGGCGGGATCGGCCATGGAAGTACAAACAGAAGATATTGGTGGACAACAGCAAATGCAGAGTGACCCGGGGGATAAGGATAAGTCAGCCACGGTGGATATAAACACTCTCACTCCCTCCACGCCCTCGCAAACACCCCCACAATTGCTGGCCGCCGAAACTGCCACATCGGGAACCACGGCAGTCATACCGGAAAACATCTTGTCGCCGCCCAAATCAGAAACCCAAACGGATGAAACCAACACGGCAACATCAACGTCCTGCTCCCCGGCCTCCGAGGGTCAGCGATCCCCTGCGGCAGAGCAACAGTCAACGGCACCTCAACCGCCACAGGAGCAGGCACAACCCATAGCGGCGGTCAATGGCTCCATACCAAAGTCGGGAAAGCCTCTTTCTACAACGCTTAGCGGCAAAAAGCCGAGTAAAGCAGCCACTACATCCCCTCGCGCCTCCAGATCCCGCAAACCCAAGACGTTACCCATGTACGAAAGCGAAATTAGCGACAATAAAATGGGTATCAAGCTGTGCATCAAGAAATCCGATGCCGGAGATGGCGCACCTGCTGGTGCCACATCTCCGCCTGTTGCAGTTCCCGCAGTCTCAAAACCGGTGCGCAAGCGCGTCCGCAAACCAAAGCAACAGGACAGCGATGAGGCGGAATATGAGCCGCGAAAGAAAAAAGGTGGAGGAAGCGGTGGAGAAAAGAAGGTTTCAACGTGTTCGGATGCCGATGCGGCTGCCGAGCCTATCGGGCAGAGTGTCTGGGCCCAAAAGTTGCCAGAGGAAGTTCTCTTTAGGGTTAGAATAAAATCAACTTACCATAAATATGAATTGCTAATTCAAATGTAATATTTTTACAGATCTTTGAGCACGCTGTGGACACTCAGGGTTGTTTGCCCACCCTGTTTCGCCTCGGCAGAGTATGCTCACTATGGCGACAGGTTTCCCTAAGGCCCACACTATGGCGCACCATGGATCTTACCACATGGGTGAAAGAGAAGTATCGCACTGAACTGAAGCTCAAGTGGTTTGTGGACAACCGCTGCAGTGCCTGTACAGAGCTGAATGTTTGTAAGTTGAATATAGAAACTTCGAAACTATCACTTATTTCGAAAATTTCCTTCTTTAGCCAATTGGAAAATTGCAGACATAAATTGCTTCCTTTCCAAGTTGTCCAGCGGTTGTCCGAATCTTGCTGGCATTACATTGTCTGGCTGGAAAGGTTTCACATCGGATCATCTGACGTATTTGGTGGATAACATGCACAAGTTGCAGCGCTTAGACTTAAGTTCCATCAATGTAAGTTTTGGCGTATAGTTAAAACCTATTTCTTATGTTAATTTGTATCGCATAGGTTGAGATGAATGCCAGCAAGAGCGCTGTGGGTGTCAACTCCCTGTGCAATGCATTACAGACAATGGGCAGTCGTCTTACGCATCTCTACTTGGCGCACAATCGTCTGGCGGGAATACCGCAAATTGTCGGAATTCTTTCGGTGAGTAGTGTAGTCTTACATCTCATTTATTTTGAGTTATTTGACTTCTGTTGCTTGTTACAGACGCACTGTCCGAATCTAACGTTATTGGATCTCTCGAACGTGACCACTCAGGCCACATCTCACGGTGTACTCCACATTGAGAAATTGCAGCGTGGCTGCCAAAAGCTAAAAGTCTTGCGGGTGACAAACTCCCACATAACGCCGAGCACGGCATCAATGCAGGAAATTGTAAGGCGGTTGACCACATATTTTGTGAATAACTTACAAAAACAAGCATTTTCAGATGGACTCTCCCGGCTTTCCAGATCTGGAAGAACTGTCTGTGGCTGCCTTAACAGATGAATCGCGCATCATTAGCGACGATCACCTGCAACGCATCCTGAAGAGCAGTTCCAAGCTGAAGCTACTTGACGTGCGTAACTGCACACGTCTAACACACGAGAGCCTTATCCGCCTACCAGCATGGGATATCAAGCATTTATTCCTGTCAGGTTGTTCAGTTACCCGGGATATGGGGTGAGTTTTATTATTTACTATATTAAAAAAATGCAACTTAGTCACAAGTTTATCAAACGTAGATCTGGACTGGAACTTATTGCATCCAAATGGGCGCACAGTCTCATAGAACTAGATTTAGCTTGGGCAAATATGCAACAGCCCATAGATAATGCCCTTCGTGCCCTCGCTGAAAAGGGCAGGGAGTCCCCCATGGCGTGAGTATATAATGAAAAATGTTTAGCATTGTGCGCTCATAAAACACTCTTTACGCGTTCCTTGCAGTCATTTAAATTTGTGCGGCTCGTCCGTTTCCGATGAGGCGGTGAAGGAAATACTGACGAATTGTCGAAAGATGAGCTCCATAAACCTGGCATCGTGCCGTGGGCTACCGCGTGGTGTCAAACGTCTGATGCAAGGACCACAGGAGCTGGGTGAACTGCGAGAAGTTCTGGGGGTGCAGCTGAAGAACAGCAGTGGGAGCAACTAATCCAGTCAGTGGGCGAGTCCACACATCGGTTTTATTGTTGATCAGGCGGGCCAAGTTTAAATGTAATTTAAATTGTTGCATCCCTCTTTGCGCTAAAGGCCTTAAGCGCTTTGTTGATTTTGTAATGTAGTCCGCAAACATATTGCAATATTTGCATATTTGCAATCGCTTGCATCTTCCAATAATGCTTATCTTGTTTATAGGCCCTAGAGTGTAATTATTATTGTACTAGATTAGTATTCTCTGCACAGCGGCAGCAGCGAGTCCCTCCCCTTTTCTGGAGGTTCCCGCATTATATGCAGAGCAACCTTTTGTAAATGCAATATGTATTCATAATTTAGTTGATTCGAATTTTTTGCAGCGCGAAAATCATTATTTTTCGAGGACAACGTTTGCAACGATTTTCAATGATTTTTTTTAATATATATGATATACATATATATATATATATTTACTGATTAATTGTTAGTTAAGTCCGACCATTGAGCGTTTGTAAAGTATGTATACAAGAATTTAAAATAAGTTTAAAGTGTATGATTCGCAATACAAAAACCATATATTTACGGTAAAGTAGTCGTCAATTCGAAGTCGCTAAGGCAATTTGTAGAATGTTTTAACCCGATAGAAATGTACATATTGGCGTTAGAGAAACTTTCCGAATGGATGTTTTTATAAACAAAATAACCATTAATAAAGGTAAAGCATATACCACACATACATAACATAAATTAAAACAATTCAATTGTTAAGCATTATTAGCAGTTAAGAGACGGCAATTAAAGGTACATTTAATTTAAAATAAACGCAAACATTTTCAATCTACGCCCTGTATAATCTCTTTAGAGCAATAGCACACCGATTAATCGGGTTTATTGTATAATTTTATTCAAATATGCGGGAGATAATATTGCATTACGAGCTATGTACGGCCAAGACAGCAATTACAGTACGAACCCGGTTTGGGTTCGGATACTTCAGTTCCATCGATTAGATCATCTAGTTCTTCTGCAGCTTGTCCACGTCCTGAATGTAATCGGTGCCGACCTTGACGATGGCGGCTCCTGTTCCCAGTCCTGCCAGGGTCGCCAGCAGGGCGTTATCTTGCGGCAATGCGGACTTGATTAGCGCCCAGGCCAGAACGGATCCCATAGAGAACAGGGTGGCTCCCAAAAGGGCGTAAGCTCCCCGCTTGTTGTTCTTCACGTCTTTTAAGTGGGGTCTGCCGTAGATGTAGAAGGCACTGCCCACTACCGCCGAGATTAAAAAGACGTTTGTCAGGTCCTTTTTAGGCAGGATCTTGGGTACGATCTGGGGGTTCATAACATTCACCGCTAGGGCTCCGTAGCTCACTATTCCGTGCAGCGGTATGTAGTAGTTGAACACATTCTCCCGGGTGAAGGGCTTTAGGCCCACTTTGTCGCATATGCTGCAGGCATCGTTGGACTGTGTGCTGGCCATTATATTCGGTCAAAATGCAATTAAATCTTCAGATCCCGGTTTGGTGGGGTCGATGAGTCGTCTTCTTCTTCTTGTTATGTAAAAAAACAGGGTTGCCAGGACGCGGTAGAGCTAAAAATAATACCGGGTCTTCGCGGTCACTTGAGGGATATCAATTACTTAGGATATATTGGGTATTGTAGAGCTTTAAATTCTTTTGGTGTGTCAAACAAAGTTTGTAGTATATTTTAAATATTTGTATACAATTTTTCAGAAAGGCTGATGGTGTCAGTTGGAACCTGTTTTTAGTTTTAAAATCGTAATTGAATCCTCATACCGTTGCAAACGCGCATTTTTTGAAAAGTCTTAAGCTTTGTATTCGAGCCAACGATTTTTTAAAGCACCGACGTAGTGAAAGGTACGAAATTACTTCGTTGATTTTTATGAAATGGTAGAGTGGCAAAATAATTAGAAGGTAAAAAACTGTTCTGAATATTTGGTATGCATTGTTATTGTAATCTTGCTTTGAAATGACCAGAGGCAATATTCTAAAAAAAAAATATTTCACATATAAAAAAAAAATTACTTTTTGGTTCCGGAATTAGTCGAAGTTTTGAACAGAAAATGTCAACTCTGTTGAACAGCCGGCACAGTGTGGAATATCAGGTGGCAACACCAGCCGGCGGAGGATAGTGAGTGGAAGAGGGACAGAGAAGTGGGAGGACCGAATGGGGAGAGACAGAGAGCGAAATAGGTGCGAAAATTTTGTAGTTGGCTGGAAATTCCTAAATTTCGATTCGCAAAAAGTAAATATCATCTGCCGCAAAGGAAACCTCGATAAATGTGCGAGTCCCGCGAGCAAAGAATAGCCAACACCAGCTCTTGAAGCACTCCAGGTTAGAGATATCGCCGAACACCACAGTGCATCATATCCGTGGTCGACATGTTGACGCACAAAACTTGTCAGGCACGTAAGAAAATGCAGGTGAGTGCGCCAATTGGAAACGGGCAGTAGAGAAACGAAGGCTGAAACCCAAACTAATTCAATTAAACCACCGGACGACAGGTTTCCTTTGTGATACGGGATGCCGAGGAGAAACAGCACCGGAATGGCGTCAATGCACTGCAGCTGGACGCCAATAACGGAAAATTGTACTCCGCCGGGCGTGACGCCATTATCCGGGTATGGAACACACGTACAGAATCCAGTGAAAAGTACATACAGTCGATGGAGCACCACAACGACTGGGTCAATGACATAGTGCTCTGTTGCAACGGGCGGAACTGTGAGTTGCTTCAAAGATCAGGTTATACATTCAACTTTTATCAAATCTTTCGGATATTTAGTAATAAGCGCCAGCTGTGATACCACGGTAAAGGTATGGAACGCCCAGAAGGGCTTCTGCATGTCCACCCTGCGCACACATCGCGACTATGTACAAGCCCTGGCCTACGCCAAGGATCGGGAGCAGGTGGCTAGCGCCGGACTGGACAAAGCCATCTTCCTGTGGGACGTGAACACACTAACTGCACTCACAGCCAGCAATAACACGGTGACCACTTCTAGTCTGACAGGGTCCAAGGACTCCATCTACAGCTTGGCCATGAATCCCTCGGGCACCGTTATTGTGAGCGGATCCACGGAAAATATACTGCGTATCTGGGATCCCCGAACCTGTATGCGCAGCATGAAACTCCGTGGCCACACGGAGAATGTGCGTTGCCTGGTGGTATCACCCGATGGCAACCAAGTGGTTTCCGGCAGTTCCGACGGTACTATCAAGGTGTGGAACCTGGGTCAGCAGCGCTGTGTTCAAACCATCCATGTTCATAAGGAGGGTGTTTGGTCGCTGCTGATGAGCGAGAACTTCCAATACATCATCTCAGGCAGCCGTGATCGCAACATAATTGTGACCGAGATGCGGAATCCCAGCAACAAGACCCTGGTTTGCGAGGAACAGGCGCCGGTCCTTAGTCTGGGCTATAACATCGACAAGACTGGGGTGTGGGCCACCACATGGAACTCGGATATTCGATGCTGGAAGCTGCCTATGTACGACAGGTGCACGATGAACTCTTCGGGCGGCATGGATGCTCAGTGGACACAGGGCGGAACTGAGGTGGCCTGCATTAAAGGAGGGGCAGCCATTAAGGAGTGTACGGTACTGAACGACAAGCGTTATATAATAACCAAGGATTCACAGGATCAGGTCGTGGTTTACGACGTACTGAGAGTTGTCAAAAAAGAGCAATTAGGGGCTGTTGACTACGAGGCGGAGGTAAAAAAGCGCAACAAGCAGGTTTACATTCCAAACTGGTTCACTGTTGATCTCAAAACCGGAGTAAGTTACAGGGCAGTTATTGCTTAAGATCGTTAACTTAAAATGTAATCCTCTGCAGATGCCAACGATTGTGCTGGGTCAGGAGGAAGTGGATTGTTTCTCAGCGTGGGTATCTATTGAAGCTGGACTGCCGGAATGTGTCGATCCCACAACAGAGATTAAGGTTACTACCTAACAGAATAATTTTTTACTGAATTTCCTTAAAAGAAATGCTCTGCCTTTAGATCAATTATGGAAAACTACTGTTAGAGGCCTTGCTCGAGTACTGGACACCACCGCATAGCCTACCACCAAACGAAATGGAACCCGACATGCACGGCAACGGCTACTTCCAAGTGCCCAAACACACGCCAGTCATCTTTAGGTATGACACTGATATATTCATATCTGAACCATTACTAATTACATAAATTTCTCACTAAACTAAACAGCGAAGTGGGGGGGCGTACTGTTTGCCGACTTTTAGTTCGCGATGCAGCCGGCGATAGCGAGAGCACATTGCTCCACGAGACGGCGCCACAGTGGGTGACCGAAGTGGTGATCGAGAAGAACATTCCCAAGTTCCTCAAAATACCGTTCTTCCTACAGCCTCATCCTCTAATGACCAAGCCAGAGCGAACGAAGAAGGTATGCATCTACGACAAAATAACTTTTTTTTTATATCTTTAACCTTTTTAATATACAATTATTTAGGATCGTCTGGTGGCTAATGAATTTATCCAGTGTCGCAAGGTCTGCGAGCATGTGCTGGAGAAGGTACTAAATGCGGAGACTACTCCAAGTGGTGCCAACGCTAACAATTCCCTGCAGAATAGCCAGAGTGATGCGAATTCGGAGGGATCGCAATTGCCAGCAGAGGAGCGAATTGAACTGTGGTGCAATGATGTGGTAAGATGATAAAAATATCTCCCTAGAAGCCTTTACTTATGTAGACGTCTTTTAAGGTTGTGGACCCCAACATGGACCTGCGTACAGTACGTCACTTTATATGGAAACAGTCTACCGATCTTACGTTTCAGTACAAAACCAAGCAGAATTTCAACTACGATGGTAAATAAGAGAGCCCACGCATAGATCAACACAAGAACACCCTACACAAACACAACGCATACTTGATTTCTGCAACTGAGATTGCCTAACCGAGAGTTGTTCATATATATCCGCCCCATAGGTTCGATTGGGGATAGCCTGGAACGCGTGGCTCGCAAGTATTGAACGTTGGCATGTGATCTCCCGCCTAACCGAAACAGTAACGATGCATTGACGAATGAGATCGAGATTAAGCAGATCGATTAACAATTTGTATGTATTTATGCAATGTATTTTGGTTAACCTTTGTCTCGTCTCGTCCCGTGGACAAAAACATTCAAGGAGAATCTGTACGAACATTTACTTTACACATTTAAAAGTGCACCCGAGTGCTTCTGTTTGTTTACAACTCGTTAGGATTATATATGTACTTCAGATTCAGACTTATAACAATTAAGCTTGCGACACACACGTAGATAAGCATTGCAAGGGAATAACTACAGACATACCATTAAAATGTATTTGCATCTGAAGCATCCAGACCTAGAGGACTGCTCATATATGTATGTAATATTCACACTTGTTTCACATTAGGTTTATACATAATTATATACATAGAACATAAGTATAAGTAATCTGTTAAAAATACAAAAAATCAATGCAAAGGCCGTAGTCCAACCTGTAAAACGCTATATGCAAGCCAATTTGTACATAAGTAATAAGTGAATAACGAAAACCAGGATGAAAATCAATTAAAGTTATTAAATTATTTGGAAATCAAGCCTGGCTCTCAATCCCTACGATAGTTTCCCCCATTCTCTAAGAACTAAAAGTGCTATTCTAACGACGACGCCTTGTGCCGGCAACTCGGGAATAGGACTCGATGCAGGTCAACAGGCTAAGGAGCTGCTGCTTCAGCGTTGAGGGTATATGATAGCCGTGGATGATCCTTCTTGGCGCGTTGCTTGTCCGTATTAGCCAGCGAGCCACCAGCCAGAGGCAGTTCTCGCGCAGCGATCTCATAGGAAAGTGTATCAAAATCTCGCTACGCACGTCGACCAGCTGATCCGGACTCTGTTGGTTCTTTGGCACGCGCACCCGGATTGGCTGAAATATTCGCTGTGAACGTACGTGCATTCGTTCGCCCGTGTAGTAGTCCCGGAACAACCAGCTGTGTGTAGTGAACGTGTTCACCCTGATCTCTTCAAAGGGCTTGAGGGTGACGTACATGTTTTCCCGGTCCCTCTCGCACACCCAGTACAAATCCAGAGTGCGATATGTTGTGTTTGCGAACAGCACATACACCTCTACCTTCCTCTGACCAGCACCACCCACCAGCTGCTGGCCATCGCGGTTGTTCTGCGCTATTTGGAGCGCCATCTCCAGGAGGGTGCTAAGCCGATCTGCGATTGCTGCCAAATCAATTTTCGTTGCTTTTACTCGCACAGGTTCAAGGAATTGAATCAAAATACAAGAAGCTAACAACAAGTATAGACAAAATTCACTCCTTATCAGTTATGGTAACATTTTTATAGCTGCCAGACATTCCCTTCGGCCACACTTTCGATGTCCGGTCTATCGATAACAGACCGTACAGCTGATCTCCTTCCATCTCTAGCTAAGGAGTAAACAAAAAAGAAACACCCAGAAATAACAAAAATATGGCATTTTGCATAGCAGTAATCGGCAAGGATGTAAGTTAAATTCCATTCCATTCTGCATATGATTTATAACATGACAAACTCTTAAAGAATGCGCCATTGTATTTAACAACTGCTGATATGGAGCAGGAACTGGATTTGCAATATCACGTACACGCCGCTTTGGACGTCGTTGAAGAAAAATGCTTAATTGGCAAGGGAGCTCCGGAGTCCAAAGAACTTTATCTAGGACTGCTCTACTCCACAGAGAACCACAAAATGTGCGCGGATCTATCCCTACCTCATGTAATATTAAGTTTAAAGGTTGATTTCATTTTAGCTACGGCTTTGTAACAAACACTAGGGTAAAATTCATAGTGGTCATAGATTCCAGCAATGTTGCTCTACGAGAAAACGAGGTGCGAGCGGTATGTATCTAATCAAAAACCTACATAAGTAACTCCAGATCAATATCTTCCAGATCTTTCGAAATCTCCACTTGCTCTATACAGATGCCATCTGCGATCCCTTCTACATTCCCGGCGAATCCCTGACTTCCAAGTAAGGAGGCACTTATACAAATAATTATTTAAGAACTTATTTATTCAACAACCACCATAATCATGTGCAGGAAATTTGATCGCGCTGTCCAGAAACTGATGAGCGGCAATGCCTAGCTGTAGATTAAAACTGAACGAACAATAAAGCGAATTGTTTATCACAGACCTGTGTTTATTCAGGAGAGATGTCAAGGTGGCCTGGCCAAGTGCGCGCCCGAAGCTAGATTCAAATATAGATACGCACTAGAGATACCTAAACCGGTCGCTGGCTGTTTGACCACAGCCGAAAATTATGCTAATTCGACATATTTGATGAAAATAATTCGAGAATTAATTATATCTTTACAATGTGTCTGCTAGTTGACACATACTTAGTTAATGTCTTCGCGTCGAACTCGTCTTCCGTCTGTTATGGGCTTTGTTATGGGGTCTACCGTGATCTTCATCTGAACGGCAATAGCGAGGCACAAATAAACATGTATTTTGTCTTATCTTATGCATAATTAATGAAATTAAATCCTACGCGTCACTTGATATGAACTTGGGCGCCACCGGTAGAGTCAAATGAAGCATCAGTATCATATAAAAAGCCGGCTAAACTTCCAATTCGATATCAGTAAGCCTTCTCAAGTCTTTCAACAAACAACATGAAGTTCCTCGTAAGTGGCTTTATCACAAAGAGGTCCTTAAGGAATTCTAATTGATTGATTTTTTGGATTCCTCGTAGATTGCTTTCGCCTGCCTATTGGCCGTCGCTGTTGCCAACGAAGATGCCGAAGTCATCACTAACAAACAGGAAGTGAACGTTGACAGCTTTAAATATGCTTCGAAGCTTAGTAACTCCGCAGATGTCGAGCAGTATGGTAACCTCAATGGTGAAGAGTGGGTGGTAAAGGGCAAGCATGGGTGGACCTCTCCCGAGGGTCAGCAAGTGGAATACAACTATATCGCCGATGCCAACGGCTACCAGGTGCTCTCCGCCAACCCTCCTCTGCCTACTCCACCCCCAATCCCAGAGGCCATCAAGCGCGCTATTGAGTGGATCAAGGCCCACCCTTCCAAGGATGCATGAATAAATATAAATAAACGTGTTGAAAATTATTTTCCAAGAGTATTTATTCTACTTCAATAGGATCAAAGCCTTACTTATACATTAAAATATTCAAAGGTACCTCATTAACGGAGGGAAACAAATTTGCCTTTTAGTAAAGGTCAGCCAGACAGACGAATAATATTAGTATTTAAATATTATCAATTAATTATCGATTTCGATTTCGTTTTAAAATCGGGAAATTTCATGTGTTCGCATACTTCAAGATAGGTGAATTCCACCCATTTAACACAAGGATCGCAGTTTATATTTTACCTTTTTTCTTAAAACTAAAGTATTTTTCACCAAGATGTTATTTAAAATAAAAATACTTGGTTTCTTAACTCTCGAAAGCAATGGCATAGATAAATATACCAAAGAAGAAAATAAATATTTTTTTTTGCATTTAATTCTATAATAGTATATTTTAACTTAGAATATAAATATTAATATTAATTAATATTCATAATTAAATACGGCTTACGATATTTAATACGGGTTACGGTTAATACGGCCTCTAATGAAGATCGAGCTTAATGAAACATAAATTTAAAATCTTTGCATATTTTATTTATGGTTCTTCCAACCTTGATCTTGATAACTAAAAATTATCCATTGCTTCTTGAAAATATTATATTACAATTTTTTTTTTCTGTGTGGAGACATTTAGCAAAGCCCTATCTCGTCACGTGATCGCAATGGGATAATCAGGCTCTTTGTTGTCATAATTTCCGATGCAAATGTTACGCTTTCGGTCTTTGAAAGTGATGCGACCATTTAAGTTGTGCGATGCAGAAGATTATGTCGCTGCAATTATGACGACGGGCAAAAGGCAAAGTGAATGCCATCGTAAATTACGTGGTGCAATCAGGGGCAAAAGTAGCTGTAACCAACGTAACTAAAGTGGTCGATCCGCCGCGACGATCAAGGCTAGACCTCGTCGCCTCGCACAAATGTCAAAATAACATTGAAAAGCTTGCGCTCCGTTTAACAATTTGCCGCCAAATCCGTTGATTCTGAATCGCATTCAGATTCTGATTTGGATTCTGGGTCGTTGAGGCTAATCGGTCTGGAAGCGCAACGTGAAAACCCCGACAGACTGCAAGCGATGAAAACTGTTGGTTATATGATATTTTATTTATTGTGGAACTCGGATAAGAAGCTGTATGTTTAACATGAGTAACTTATAAGTTTATATGTTTAATAAGGCTGCGCGACAATATGTGGTGACGTCTTCAAAAGCAGATACAAGAAGAAGGAATACATAAGAAAATATCGCATAAAGCAATAAAAAGGGTAGCTTAAGAGTGACCAAAGTTTGTATATCGATTGTTGCCCGACAAATCATATTTCAACACTCCTTCTCAACAATCATATACTTTATACATATTAATAACAATTCATTTCATTAATACATTTTACATGTTTGTTCTTTTGCAAGTTTTTAGTTAACACATCTGAGACCATATCATTAGTACTTATATACTTAACATCTATTTCATTTTTAGTATATAACTCTCGTACATGATGAAACTTAATATCAATATGTTTACTACGTTTATGCAAAATCGGATTCTTAGCTAAACATTGTGCGCTTTGATTATCGCAATACAACAAAACGGACTTGGTTTCTAAGAAACCCATTTCATACAATAGTTTCTTCAGATATATCGCCTCTCTAGCTGCCGTGGATAAGGCAATGTACTCGGCTTCGGTGCTGCTAAGTGCCACCGAACTTTGCTTTTGGATTCCCACGAAATTGCCCCGCCAGCAGCAATGAAGACGTACCCGCTATACGATTTGCGATCTGTAGTATCGTTAGCCCAGTCAGCGTCCACGTATCCATGTATCTCCTTTCCAGTAGCCTGATAGTGAAGCTTCATGTTAGCCGTGCCTTTAAGATATCTCAGCACGCGCTTTGCCGAAACTTCATGCTCCTTGTGAGGATTGGCGTTGCGCTGCGCCAGTTTCACTACCGAGTGTAGTATGTCTGGCCTAGTTGTTATAGCCAAATACATCAGGGTGCCTATTAACGATTGATAGCCTTTCTCGTCAATGGCCTTGCATTTGGCGTCATCACATTTGACTTGATGACCCGCCTCCAGTGGTGTAGCTACAGGTTTGCATGTTGACATGCCCCAGGCATGAAGCATCTGCTCGACATACTGCTTATGGCCGATAGCTATGCTGCCAGTTTCGCCATCGCGCTCAACTTCGATGCCCAAAAAGTGATTGAGCTGGCCGCCATCCACAACATCAAACTTATTAGCGATTGATGCTTTGATGCCCAAAAGTTCATCTTTATTTGAGCTGGCAAGTAAAAGATCGTCAACATAAACTGCTATTATATTTATACTACCTTGTCCATTGCGTACATATACGCACGGCTCGCTGACACACGGTGTAAAACCAAGTTTTTTCAATACTGCGTCGAGCTTAGTATTCCATTCTCTGCCGCTTTGTTTAAGCCCGTACAGAGACTTCTTTAGCTTTAGGACCTTCTCGGGAAACTCTTCGCTTACGAACCCATCTGGTTGCCGCATGTACACGTCCTCCGATAGCTCGCTGTTCAAGTAAGCAGTAGATACGTCCATCTGATGCAAATGCAGCTTCTTCTCAACCGCCAATGCCATGATCATTCTAACGGACGGGTATCTGACCACAGGTGAGAATGTTTCCCAGAAGTCAACACCATAGCGCTGAGCACATCCTTTGGCAACTAGTCTTGACTTAAAGCGCTCTACATAGCCTTCCTTGTCAACCTTTACGCCAAATACCCACTTGCAGCCTATAGCCCTTTTATCTTGTGGCAGATCCACTAGATCCCACGTGTTATTGGCCTCTAGCGCATCCATCTCCTTCTGAATCGATGCTGACCATTCCTGCTTCATTCCTGACTGATTAACCTCACCCAAATTTGCTGGAATGTGTATATCCTCTGCCTTCAGCATATTCAGACAGTTGTATTGCTTACGTGGTCGCCCCGGCTTGCCAGTTTTAACGAGTCTTGGACGCCCTGGTCCACGGGTTTCAGATACAGCAGGCTGCTCTGCCTCATCGCTGATAGCACTCTCGTATTCATCACTGTTCTGATCATCTCCTGTGTCCAAGTCATCCTCTCCGACGTCCAAATCATCCTCTGCCTGAAGCTGCTCATCATTGTTGTCTTGTGCCTGCTGATTATCTGCTACAAAATCATCAAACAATGCCATTTCCATTTTATCGCTTGGAGATCCACCTACATTATTTTCCATGAAAATAACATCTCTGCTTTCAATAACTTTCCTTGATTTAGGACAAAACAAACGATATGCTTTTGCCGTTGCTGAATAGCCAATCATAACGTATTCATTACCTTTTTGGCTAAACTTCTTTTTATGGGCTTTATTCAATACGATTGCCTTTGAGCCAAAAACCTTGAGGTGCGACACATACGGTTTCTTGCCAACCCACGCCTCATATGGTGTCATGTTGCACAACGCTTTTGTTTCTGACCTATTGCGCAGATATGCTGCAGTCTGTACTGCCTCAGCCCACAGGCTCTCATCTGCGCTTGAATGAATCAACATACTCCTGGCCATTTCTACCAGAGTGCGATTTGCTCTTTCGGCAACTCCATTTTGCTGTGGAGTATAGGGTACTGTCAGCTGTCTTACTATACCGTTTTCAGTAAGAAATTGTCCAAATGCGTGGCTCACGTACTCGCGCCCGTTATCGCTTCGAATTGCTTTTACTTTCTTTCCGCGTTGTTTTTCTGCAAACACAACATAGTCTTTGAATGCGCTTAGTATTTCATCACGAGATTTTAAAAAATAAACAGCTGTATAACGCGAGTGATCGTCAATGAACGTTGCAAAATAACGCGCACCCCCGACAGACGGTTTGTTCATTGGTCCACATATGTCCGAATGAATCAAATTCAACACTTCTTCTGAACGACTTTCAGATTTCTTTGGAAATGGTTTCACACTAATTTTACTTTTGGCGCAAGTCTCACACGCATTGCTGTTTGAGTCAATTTTTGTATTAACTGTTTTTAAACCATTCACCATTCCACCACTCGCCATTTTAGTTAAACTGACAAATTTATATGGCCAAAACGATAATGCCATTTCCACATTGCACTGCTGTTTGTATTAGAATACATACACTGCTTCATTTTTATGTCAATCATAAACAAGTCACCATATCTGCACGCTTTCAATATGTCCACATTTTGTTTATCCCTAATCACTGCTTTGTGGTTATCAAAAATGACTTTATATCCATTTTCAACTGCTTTAGCCACCGATATAAAGTTTGTCTGTAACTCTTTTTGCATACAACACATTTTCAGTTCTATTGTGAAACTTTTTACACTAACACACACAGTGCCAATGCCATCGGCCAACACAAAATTGGCGCCAGCAAAAAATATTTTTCTTTGTGCTCTCTCATTTCTACGAACCACGACTTATCACAACACATGTGTACAGTCGCGCCACTGTCCAGACACCACATTGATTTGCTCAAATTGTCAGTTTTCTTCACATTCGCCAGAATAGCAAGGGCTCTCTTCTTCTCAGTGCTTGTGTCTTTGTCATTTTTTAATTCTTCTTTGCACTGAGCTATAAAATGACCTTCGCGTCCGCACCTATAGCACTTCTTTTTCTTTTTTGTATTACCCTTTTGGTATACATTCTTCGCGCGCGACATAAATGCTTGCTGCACACTGCTGTCCGCAACTTCACTTTTCACTTGTTGTCTCTGTCCTTCTTCAATAATTTTTATTTTCAAGTCAGATAAGGACGGCAACATTTCTCGCGTCTCGATTGCCACAACGAAATTTTCAAATGATTTGCCTAAGCCGGTTAGCAACAAAATTGTAAGCATGTCTTCACTTATGTTCATTCCTATTTCGTTTAACTTTTCCACTATGTCCGAGAATTCACTTATATAGCTTTGCACACTTGTACTTTCTAGCAAGCTCATTCGCAGCAATCTTTTAAACAATGCTATTTTTCTAGCTGGTCCGCGCGGCTGGTACACACTCATTAATTTCTCCCATGCCTCTTTTGACGACGTGCAATTCTTTATGAAGTTAATTTGCGACGACTTTACACCCAGCAATATGCTTGCTAATGCCTTTTCGTCCCGTGTATCAAACAATGCGTTTTGTTCTTGGCTATCCCCTTCATTTTTCACAGTTCTCCCGCACACAATTGGCCACAGATCACTTTGCACCAGAATGCTTTTCATCTGTACCGACCATACCGCGTAATTTTCCTCATCCAACTTTTCGATGGAACATAACCCGTGTCCACTCATGTTCATTAATTTTTTTCGCAATCACACACAGTAATTTAAATTAATGTCACAGTTTTTTATCCACACGAGCCCTGGGCCCATAACCTGTTGGTTATATGATATTTTATTTATTGTGGAACTCGGATAAGAAGCTGTATGTTTAACATGAGTAACTTATAAGTTTATATGTTTAATAAGGCTGCGCGACAATATGTGGTGACGTCTTCAAAAGCAGATACAAGAAGAAGGAATACATAAGAAAATATCGCATAAAGCAATAAAAGGGTAGCTTAAGAGTGACCAAAGTTTGTATATCGATTGTTGCCCGACAAATCATATTTCAACAAAAACAAATTTCAACGATGATGGATTGAGATGCTGAGAGGGTGACGTCGAGATGCCAACATGCTGTCACTGGATTGTATCGGAAAAACACTGGCGGAAAAATTATTGCTAACGTGTAAAAAGTCAATTCACATGTAAAAGAACTTTATATGTTTTAAATTTAATTTGCAACACGGTAAAAAATCTAAAAATGCCCATATAGAGAAATATGGAAAATCCTTATTCTTTATAAATGAAATCTCAAAGTGTCAAATTCACAATTTGTTCGCTATTATTACTCACTGAGAAGTTTTTCCCATAACACTCAATTTGGTTACCAAGCTATTATTCATAAAATGTTTAAATTAAGTTCCTAAACTGTCTTCCAACTGTAGAAAGATATTTAATATTAAGATAACATTTCTCCGCTAATGGTGGCAGGTTTCGAAAATTCACAGATTTTTTGCGGCGCCAAGGATTCTTTTGTCCAAGTCAGCTGTTGGCCATTACTAATACCTGGCATTTTGAGATATGCCTCTCATATATTACTTGCTAATAAATTAATAAGAACATAAACAAATGGTCAATATGTCATAGTGACGTCAACTTTTTGGCGGCTGCTATGGCTGGCGCTGTCATAATTCGTAAACAACATTTGGTTTCCTCAATTTTCCCAATATTCCATACTCACAAACGAAGACGAATACAATGTTCCACAAAAATGTGTGCCACACAAATAGCAATATTATTAAAATGTATAAATCAATTTGCATATCATGGCTGGCATTAAACAAAGCGAAAATTAATATTGTGGCTGATTTAAATGTGAATATATATGTGTATATAGTAGGCGTTTAGGAAGCAGAATCGCAAAAGACAATATTCGAATCGTTTATAAAAATGTTTTAACACGTTGTTCGTTTAATATTTTCCTGTGTTTGTGTGGAATGATTCCATCCTCTTAATTAATGTCGATTTTTTAATTGCTCGTTAATTTGGTCGAGTTATAAAATGATTTTATGGGGACCGCCACCTCGGCGATTGATTCATAAAGCGTGTCACTGCTGTGCATTAGAAAATGTGATCAGATTTGCTCCAATTATGAGGGGGATATCTGATACATATTTAAATGATCACCACTTAGGCGTACACTGAAGGAAATCTGACCATTGAACTTGGGTCACTTTCAGTTTCATCTGGCATTCGACTGAGTCAAAGTTTAAAATATTCAAATAAAAAGCGAAACCGAAAAGTTAAAGCCGTAGAACAGGGTTGGTTTTTAGTTTCTGGCATGGATTTGTAGTTATTTAATTGGCAAAAAAAAAAACAAAGACCAGTATCCGTCTGAAAAGTCTAAAAAAGAGATGTTTATTTAAATCAGGTAATTTAAGACATTTTTATCGTCATTAAGCGTGTATAATTTTAACAGATGGTGACAGCGCATTTGGAACTGGTTTATCATCAGTCTGAGATAAAATCATTCCATTGGTAGTAATATTATTATAGGGACTTTTTCCGCAGTGATGCTTAAAAATAGTCATTGTTAAGCTTAGCAAACCACTACAATATCGTATTGGGTGGGTGGATGTGGATCGTTTGCTCTTGGTGGTGGTGCCATTGGTGGCATTGTTGGTGTTGCTTTCTGGTGGCCAGGCACAGTAAAATCGGCATTGCTCGATGGTTTTACAGTGCTTTTCGTATTTTCCTTTCTTTTTTTTCTTCACTCCACGAAAAAATTAGAAACACATTTTAAGATTTTCCACGGATTTGTGTGTGCGTTGAGTTCTTTTGTTTATTTTCCCTGGTTTTATTTTCGAAATGCTGCTGAAAACCATAAATTAGCTTGTTACTTTTGGAATGCCTGTGCGATGTGTGTGGGTGTGCTCTGTTCTTGGGGATCTCGAGAGCTGTACGAAGAAGTGGGGAACTGATTCAGTCGTTAGCGGTGATCGATCTGGTGAACAACTAGCACAGGATTTAACATGGATATTCTTGTGAGTGGAGCTGGATTAAAGAAAACCTTAAGGATAACCAATCTTACTTGGAGATAATCATCATTGCTTTAAAAAAACCAAAAAAATTAACTTTTAAAATAATATCAATACCAAAAATAACTATATAATTCCAAGTAATATTACTTTTATAGGATTTTTCTTGTTTTTCGTTTATCAAATCTGTTTAAGTGATAATATAAAATACCTTAAAAAAATATTAAAGTCACTTCTAAAATTGAAAAACATCACATAGAATTTATCATTAAAAACTATTCCAAAATATCTCTTTAGGACGATGACCTGACCCCCGAGCAGATTGCCGTTCTGCAGAAGGCATTCAACAGCTTCGATCACCAGAAGACCGGCAGTATCCCCACTGAAATGGTGGCCGATATCCTGCGTCTTATGGGTCAGCCCTTCGACAGGCAGATCCTTGACGAGCTGATCGATGAGGTTGATGAGGACAGTAAGTACTAGAAGATCTTTTTACTAGTTTCCCAGCTTATTCCTGATCGTTTTACAGAATCTGGTCGCTTGGAGTTCGAGGAGTTCGTCCAGTTGGCTGCCAAGTTCATCGTGGAGGAGGATGACGAAGCCATGCAGAAGGAGCTGCGCGAAGCCTTCCGCCTGTACGATAAGCAGGGCAATGGCTACATTCCCACCTCCTGCCTGAAGGAGATCCTTAAGGAGTTGGACGACCAGCTGACCGAACAGGAACTTGACATCATGATTGAGGAAATCGATTCCGACGGCTCTGGCACCGTTGATTTTGATGGTAAGTGCGCGGACCAATTAGCCGCCGTCAGTCGGGCGATAAAAATCTTAAATTCTCTGGCCAGTTGCCAAGGTATTTTCCACACAAATTATATCAATTTGTTGGGTGCTGCCCTCTCTCCGGGTTCCCCATATACACCTAACGAGAGGAGCCGCCCTTGTGGTGGTTTTATTTATAGATCTTTAGATCTTTACACAGAAAAGAGAAGATCATTTTGCTCTAGATTTTAAGGGGTCTTATCTGCCAGTGGTTTAGAAAACGAAATACACTTTTAATTGTTCCATTTAAAAATATTGCTGATCATTGAAAAAGTGTTTAGGTAAGAAGTAAAGACATTTTTGTGGAGATTTTTTGATGTTTACGAAATTTTTAGTTGTATTGATTAGATCGGTAATTGCATATACAGAACGGGTTTTTGTTTCTTTAAACGTATTTTTTTTATTCATTTTCTAACCAAAGGTATAGACAAATATTTTCATAGTTTGACAGGTGTTAGAGCTTTGACCTTTGGCCTTATAGTAGGGCTATTTATTAAATATAGCTGATAATAGTAGTTCTTATGACTGATATTAAAATTGTATACAGGTTTATCATTCAATTAATTGTTCTACTTATTTTTATCCATTTACAGAATTCATGGAGATGATGACTGGCGAGTAAGCATTTTGGACCCATCTTATCATATTAATGTCTACCCACACAACAACCGAGGCTTGAATAAACGTTTTGTATTTGATTTCTACGATTGAGTAATCATAATTACGCTATAAATAATTCGCGTGTTCAGGAACTGCTAGAGTAGAAAAACCCAAAGCGCGGCAAACATTCTATGGCTGCAGTGCATCTGCATCCGAGTTGAGTCATCTTAATTGCCACCCTCTGGCTTTCGGATTATTATTTTTCGATGTTTGTGCAATGAGCTCCGCTAGGGGGCGTAGCCCTCTGCTCATTTGTGTGTTAATTTGGCAAGGCCACAAGACGTATGAGTGATGCATGTTGCGCATACGCAGCGTGGCCAGTTGTATATAGATCTTAACTGTCATGTTTTCTATTGTTTTTGTTTCTTGAAACGACGGCTGTTGGCACGCACAGTGTAAATTCCTTTTGCCACATGGCTGGCGTTCTGGTCCGCACAGCTGTGACCATCCCAAGCAGAATAAAAACCCACTGACAACCTGCAAGATTTTTGCCTTTCCAAACAGTTGGCTGGCAAATGTCAATGAGCATTCTCCTTGTTGCCAAAAGATGTCAAGCATTTACGCTAAACTTGGCCGCCGAGACATGCAGTGAGTTTTCCCAAAAAACATCGAAAAGAAGCAACTGCCCTTTCTGAAAAAGTTAACAAAAGGAGACGGGGCTGAAGCTGGGGCTGGGGCAGATGGATTTTTGGATGTTGCCACCAAGTGGAGCAACTTGTTTTGCGCAATTTGAAGTCTTTCGGCCGGAGGGTGTCGATATTAGTGGTATTTATTACCGCTTTGAATCCAGTTTTGCTGTTTTTCCCAATCATTAGGTGAAAGGTCAAAGACTGGACGCCCTGTGAAAGAGCCAAAGAGTCAAACTGTTAGTCAGATTTATTGACATCCGCCTGGGCAGACTTCTCAATATGCGATTCTTGACACCAAGCGCATTAAAATGGTTTCCCAAACGTGCAATTCAATGGAGATGAAGCTGAATGATGATGATGCGCTCGAGCGTTGAGAGTTTCGATTGGATTCCAATTTACGAGCACCACCAGTAGTTCAGCTTGCTAATTTTTACCCACTAACCGAGGAGAGATGTGGCTGAGAGCGTTTGTTTAACAAGACAAGGTACATTGAGTAAACGAGATGCCGCCGTTGAGACAATAGTCGAACCTATGCACCACCTCCACCTCCCTTTTTCGTGCAATTGTTTTTTTTTTTTTTTGTTTTTGTTGCTTTGCCTCAGCTGGGGGAACACAGCTACATCCACATCCAGCACCACCACAGCTGCACACGATTGCAATAAATGCCATAAAGTATCAAAATCTCAGCACTCGCTCAGCACCAAGCGGCTAGCTCCGGCTTCAGGCTGAGACTCAGATTCAGATGCAGCTACAGCAACAGCTTTAGCGTTTTGGTTCATTCCATTCCATTTGATTGCATTTGGCGCCAAACCAAGTATAAAAGCTGGAGAACCTGGGCTGCGATCGGCACACAAGTACCGTGACATTCGAGGAGCCACAACACGCGGTGGCACTGCAGTATTCGTGCAACAAAAGGACTCACGTGGATTACCTTAATTTAGTGGATAAATTGCGTTGAAAGGGCTTGGGTGACAAGGATTTGTCTAAGAGTCAAGGATTCTTTACTGCCTTTGACTGGGATTATACAAAAGAAAGTTTGAAGAAATGGCTCTTAAGTGGGTAAGTTCAGTGAGAGATAAAAGAAAAGTGTCTGGCTTAGATCTAAGTACGTTTGGTAAACTTGACTAGGAGAAATTAGAGATGTCTGTACTAAAATTGATTAAATAAATCCTTTATTTAAATTATGTTTAAATTTCAATTTGGAAATGGATTTTATGTACATACATATGTCCTGAGATTCTACTATATACTCGGAGAAGATTTGTTTTCTCCATTTTGCCTGTATTTCCTTGTTAAAATTTATTTAGTACAGGATTTTGGTTATTGGTTTGGTTATTTAGCTTTTTAAGGTGTTAAAAATAATATTATGTTTAAGTAGAGAACTAAAATTTTTCACAAAAGGAACGAAGTAAAAGAAGAGTAAAGGCTTTCTGGAACCAAGTAAAAATATAAAGAAAATCGTTCTTTTAAATACAAAAAAACGAGAGAGCAAACCAATATTCATAACAACATAGTAACCCTGGAGATATTATGGAATACTTATAAAGATTGATCTAGTTAGAGTTTTTATTTAAAAGGGATTCTTATATGATAGTTGATACATAAATTCAAATTAACTTGGTACTTGTCTTTCACAAGTCACTTTTCTTATTCTTAGCAAAAGAAAACGTTAAAAAAAAAGTAATTAAGCAGCGTAAATCCCAATCTCGACTTGTCATCTCTCTTGGCTTGCAATTAAAAAAAGAACCAGCTGTAGACAATAGACTTAAGGAATGCCCGCTCTTCGAGTGTTAAATTGGCAAAGGATTTCCCCATAGCACTAAGCATATCCGATTGTCTTGGAAAGATCAAGTGATCCCCCGCGTAAAACGCATAAATTAGCAGGCCATTTGCAATCGGAGATGGCGGATGGCACGCAAAGTTGCCCAAGATGGATCGGTCGTGGCCGACCCGCCCCCAAAGCAGATCATCAAAATGGAAGCAGTGGCGACCCAATTGGCAGCCCATTTGCAATTACCGCAATTATATTTGCTGGTTGCGAAACCCTGTCGAAGATGTCTGCTAGGTGGTCACGAACTCCAAACAGACTCTTCTCTCTCACAGTGTCTTCAAGATACTATTCCGGCCCAAGGGGCAGGCGTTGGTTATACGGTTGCATGTGCCACAGCCGCGCCAGATGAGTCAATGTGGCAAATGTCAGAATTTCCACAATATTACATTATTATATTCCACGGCAGCAGCGACAAGTGAGCTCATCATCGCACCAATCGATGGAGCTGTTATGTTTATTGGCCAAATGGAATCCGTAAACGGTTTAAACTTCAACTTGACACTCGCTGGTCGCTGGAGGAGCTTCAGTCGATCCGTTTACTTAACCTTCCCAGCTGGCAATTCTTCGTTCACACGCTGCTGTTGCTGCATCTTGAGACGTCTTCTGTCTAACAAGAAGTCCATAAATATCAGAGTTCGCCTCAGGCTGCGACAACTCCAGCCGATGATGAGCTCGATAGTCCACGTTGCATTTGCAGCCTTAATGGGCGACGATCGGATGTAACAATGGAAAACGTGAGCGGATCGGATTGCGACGCTCTGTCAATGGGCGAATGTTTCATTGATGAAATGGCCGACATTTGGCCACACTCTTGACCCCGATTGAGGTCTCAAAGCGGGGTCAGGTTACTTACTTGGTTACAGATCTGTAAGAGGTGTAGAATAGTAGAGTGAAAGTTAGTCATTGCTTAGATCAAGGTTCTGCCTTTCAGTTAACATTTTAAAACAAGTTACGATTTAGTTGCAAAATAATAGTTTTTTAAATCATAAACTTTAGGTCGTTAAATTTATGTTTATTATAAACAATTACTAAGACCTAAAAGTTTAATATAGCTTAAACATTCATGAAAAGTTTTGCTTATTCACATTTTTGCATTTAAATATCAAAATATACAAATTTATCATAAAACCCATTAGTTATTATAGAAACTCCAACATCACGTCTAGTACAAACAATTACTAAATTATAAATTAAGTAATGATAATAAAAGATCTCCCATACATAAAAACTATTAAGACATCTTCCATAAAAATGGTCAATTGACAAAATTTAATTATTATTAAGAAAAGAATGTTAATAGGTTCTAAAAAATCAATTAAAATCCAAGACAATACTCGTGTTATATACTCAGCATCTGGAGTTTCTTAACTCATTTAAATTATATTTGAATACCCATTTTTATGGAGGCTATTAAAAATTTAATTTATTAATTTTAACATAACAATGTGTTAACACATTTAATGATCTTCTAAGATTTATGAACGAGGCTTAAATTGATTACCCACAGATATAAAAACCAAATTAGCCACCCCCTGTTATTTTTTATTTGAATTTATTTTGCAATCATATAAGTTAACCTACCAAAGTGATGCTCCAGGTCAAATTCGAGGCGTGCATCTCGATGGCAAATGCTGGATTCGCATGAACTTTCCATGTGGCTTGCATATATTTTGAGAGCTCACCCAGACAATCCCCCCTTTTTCCAGGCTCTGGTGATCACGACGTTGGCGCTTGCCCAAGCAGCCAAGCTGGATAACAAATACCTGCCACCACCTGCAAGTGCTGCCAGTGCGGGTGGCAGTCCAGGGGCAGGGCTCCAGGGACCAGGAGGTGGCTTCGGCGGCGGTGGAGGACCTGGTGGCGGCGGCGGCGGTGGTGGTGGTTTTGGGGGTGGAAACAACGGATTGGGTGGCTTCGCAAACGGAAGACCCATCGCACCTGGCGGTGGTGGTGGTGGCGGTCCACCTGCTCCACGTCCCAGTTCACCGGGTGGTGCTCCTCCAGCATCAGGCCCACCAATTCCCATCCTTTCATTTGTCAACGAGAACGATGGCGATGGCAACTATCGCTTCAGTTACGAGACCGGAAATGGCATCAAAGCACAGGAGGAGGGCACAGTCAAGAACAAAGGATCCCAGAATGAAATTCCATCCGTGATGGGATCCTACTCCTACACAAATCCGGAGGGTGAACTTGTTGAGATCATGTACACGGCAGATGAGAATGGTTTTGTGCCCTCGGGCAATGCCCTGCCTACTCCACCACCCATTCCGGAAGCGATAGCCAAGTCTCTGGCGGCTCAGGGTATTTCTGTGCTGCCCGGCGGTGGTTATAGTGGAGGTCCAGGAGCAGGTGCAGGTGGCGGCGGAGGCGGTGGCTCAGGATATGGTGGCGGATCTGGATTTGGAGGTGGTGCTGGCGGAGGTTCCGGTGGAGGTGGCGGAGCAGGTGGTGGCGGCGGATATGGGGCAGGTAAGGAAGTATGAACATTTCCTAAATTAGATATGGTTTTAAAAATATTTCTGTTTTAGGAGGCGGCGGTGGTCGCGGCGGAGGACCTGGTGGACCAGGTGAGTTAACCATTTTTGGTTTTCCGATTTCTCGATTAAAAAGAAGAAAAAATTTAAAATAAAACAAATTTTGTTATTTGAAGGTGCCCCTGGAGGAGGTGGATTTGGAGGTCAAGGTAATAGGTACAAACTATATTCATACTGCAGATTAAGAACTTATTTCTTTAGGAGGTGGTGGCGGCTATGGAGGAGCAGGTGGCGGAGCTGGTAGAGGAGGTTCTCCTGGAGGTCCTGGTGCGCCAGGCGGAGGAGGATATGGTGGAGCGGGTGGAGCTGGAGGAGCCGGCGGCGGATATGGCGGCGGCGGCGATCGCGGAGGAGGTCCAGGAGCTCCCGGTAAGTAAATAATTTGATTTCTATGATATTGGAAATAAAATTTCACATATTTTTAGGATCACCAGGAGCAGGAGGATTTGGTGGTGCTGGTGGAGCTGGCGGAGCAGGCGGTGGTTATGGAGGTGGTGGCGGCGGTGGCCGCGGAGGCGGTGGTGCACCTGGAGCCCCCGGTAAGTCATAAATGGACTCCAATTTAAACAAAGGAACAGATAATAATTAATTATAAAACTTTACCAACAATACTATGCAGGATCTCCAGGCGGAGGAGGCTTCGGAGGTCAAGGTTAGTGATCTCCCTGTATTTAACGATTTAGAATTTAAAATGTACATTTTTTTAAGGAGGTGGTGCTGGTTACGGAGGCGTCGGAGGTCGTGGTGGAGCTCCAGGCGGACCCGGACGCCCAGGTAAGTGATTAATTTCATCCTTTCTGAATTAAATTATTGGTTAACTGCTAAATTGTAAATTATTCATCACTTAATCATCAGAAAATTGTAATTATTTTTCTGTAAAGAGAAATATCTAATCAAAATAATTGCAAAAATAACAAATTTTGTATTCACAGGTGCGCCAGGTGGAGGCGGATTTGGAGGTCAAGGTAAGAGATCTCAACTTAATAAATACTTCAGGCTAAGAACATATTTTTCGTAGGAGGTGGTGGCGGTTATGGAGGAGGCGGCGGAGCTGGTCGAGGCGGTTCTCCAGGAGGTCCCGGTGCGCCAGGCGGAGGCGGATTTGGTGGTGCAGGAGGAGCTGGTGGTGCTGGTGGCGGTTACGGAGGCGGCGGCGGTCGCGGTGGTAGTGGAGCGCCAGGAGGGGGAGGCTTTGGAGGTCAAGGTTCGAGATTTTGATATTTTTCTTTACTTGGAATATAAAACATTTTTTACAGGAGGTGGAGGCGGATTCGGTGGAGGCGCAGGTCGTGGAGGTGCTCCAGGAGCTCCAGGTGAGTAAATATTTTGGTTTCCTTAAAAAACAATTTTAAAAACAATTTATTTGTGGTTGCAGGATCTCCAGGCGGAGGAGGATTTGGTGGTCAAGGTAAGTTTACTTTTCATATTGTAAACTTTAAATTAAACGAAATCATTCAAATCTTAGGAGGTGCTGGTGGATTTGGAGGTGCAGGCGGTCGCGGAGGTGCTGGCGGAGCACCCGGAGGTCCAGGTAAGTAGTTTTTCTAAATTTTTCAATTTTTTTTTATAATTTATTATCTGATACTATAAATTTATACAGTTATTTAAAGTGAGATATTTTATATCATTTTTTAACCTTCATATTTCATGTTTTCAGGATCTCCAGGCGGACCCGGTTATGGCGGCGGTGCAGGTGGCCCAGGTAATAAAGATTTACATTTTAATCATAAACCGACCACTAGAGTTGTTTAGTTGCACATTTTAATGCGGCTCTTAAAGTATAATTAGTAACATTAACATCAAACGAATGCGATCTTCATGAGAAAATTTGAAAAAAGCATGCAATCCCAAAGTGTAAGCATAGAGTTCATGAGACAAGCGCGATTCCCACGGATTTCAAGCTGGATTAACAATTTTTTTGAGAAAAAAGCTTTGTCAGCTGCCTTACCCACGATCTACAAATGATCTTAAATAAATAATACATTTTGACTTGAAAGCGGTCCTTTTGAAGTCATTCATAAATTATTTCAAAAGTTTTTAGTAAAGTAAAAAAGTATTTTAATAATTTTATTATTATTTTCAGGAGGTGGTGGAGCTCCAGGACGTCCAGGTGCACCGGGTTCTCCAGGACTGCCCGGTGGCAACCAGTATGTTCCACCCCCAGCTGGTGGCGGTGCACCAGGCTCGCCAGGCAGGCCAGGATCAGGATCGCCCGGCGCAGGATCGCAATATATCCCACCTCCACCGGGAGTGCCGGGTGGTGGACGCGGTAATGGAGAGTTCAATCCTCAGACAGGCTATAGCTATTAATGCAAAAATGCAATCCCAAAATGCCAATCAAATCTCTCAAATCGAAGAAATGTCATTCTAATGCAGGCTGCCCTCAATGTTCTTTCACTAAAATTATTAATTTATTTATCTAAGCTTCCACCCCCCTCGTTCTCTTTTGTGACAATGTGTGTGTGCAACTATCGAAATAAATGAATCTTGAAAACTTGAAACAAATATCTTATTAAAATATCCAAGGGAATGCCATTGAAACAAAGACATTGACTTTTCAGGTGCATGTATTTCATGCCTTGAGTTGCGACTACATGTTAAGACTAACTAATCGTTTCAATTACATTAGTTTTATCCATTATTTCTTTGGGGACTTCTTGAAACGTCTGCCATACTGGTTATAGCCATAGGGATCAACGAGGTTATTGGGTCTGCCCCTCAATTGCTGGGTGATCAGGGCCTGTTGCTGCTGCTCATTTTGTTGCTCTTTCTGTTGTTGCTGCTGCTGTTGTTGCTGTTGCTGCTGCTGTTGCTGGTTGAGATTCTGTTGCTGTTGTGCCTTTTGCGCTGTTAGATTACTACCAAAAGATTGCTGGCCAAATTGTCCGGCATATTGGCCGGGTAAATTACCGGAATGCAGTTGATTAAAAGGCTGATTTGGCTGATATTGCCCGGAGTTTGGTTGCTGTTGCTGTTGCTGGAAATTGCGTTGCTGTTGTTGTTGCTGCTGCTGTTGCAGCGGAGTCAACGGCTGTTGTCCGGGAATCTGAGGACGAAAGGGGGCATTGGGCAGGGGTGGCGGCAGTTGACGGAAGGGTGTCTGATATGGATTTAAATTGGGATTGAGTAAGCCCTGTTGGTAAGGTTGAGCACCCGTGAAATATTGCGGTGAAGCTGGTATCCCCGTACCCTCCGCACGGAATCCGTTCTCGTCGGCTATGTAGCGCACTGTTATGGAAGTGCCCTCTGGTGAGGTGTACGAGTAGGAGCCCTGAATCACCTGTTCGTTGGAAATAAAAGTTATTTAGATGTTAATACAAAACAGCAACTAAAAGTATGCTATGTGTTTTTAAAAGGTTATTAGACATACGCCGAAAAGAGTGCAACTAAATTTGTTTATCATTCCTAAAATATCTTTCCAAAATATGTTAGATCTTCTATTAAGGTGCTTAGCTATGGTCATGAAAATCAATCTATCTAAAAATGAGACTTCGGCCTTAGGCTATTAATTTTAATTTCGATTAAATCTGCAATTTAGGGCTTAAACATTGTTATTTAAGGATACTCTGCTTTCTTATCCCTAAAGTTGGAAGAATGCCCCAAAACCAAATCCCTATTCTGGAAAACCCACCTGTGCCTCGACACCCTCGCCGTATCCCAAGTTCTTAACATAACCCTGAGCCTGGGCTGTGGTTCCATCGGCCGATGAATATCCGTAGGAGAAGCTACCATCCAGATTGAGTTCGTTTTGGTAGGCAGTGATGGGTACGTAGTTCTGCTGTTGGTACTGATTATAGCGGGTATAGGGATTCTGGAGGGCAGCCCCAGTTAGCGGAGGAGCCAGTGGGTTCAAGGGATTTCGCTGTCCCGGGAATAGTCCTTGACCCTGAACGGGATTGGGTTGGCGGCGCTGGAAGGGATTGGCTTGCTGTTGCAACGGTTGTAAGGGAGGAACCTGCGGCCGTTGTCCTTGGAATCCAGTTCCCGGCAATTGAGCCTGGCTGACGGAGAACCAGAGGGTGGCTAGTAGACAGGCAACCCAGCGGAGATGCCGGAATCGAGGGGTACGGGGTCCAGACATTTAGGCTGTCACTGGGCGGGTGCCGTCGATCATAAATCTCGCGAACGGAGCACAAATTACACGCTCGATAAACCCGACGACGTCTCACTTATAGAGCTGGGAAACACTGCCAATTCTTTTCTTTTCAGAGATTCAATCGCGAACCGAAGCAAATCCGTTGCTGCCACTAGAGAAGTTACTGATCGAAAGTCGTGCCACGACTGCAAATGCGACTGCCACTGCCAGGCGTATTTATGCGGTTCTCGATCGGCGCGGAACAGGCCCTAAAGCTCAGCGTTATGGTCAGAACAATCGGCCACTTCCTGTGCCCTGGCTATCAGCTTCTGACTGCATCTCGATGGTAATCTCTGCGGGGCGGTCAGTGTAATTTATCTGCGTGTTAACAAGCCGCTGGGGTGGCAGCTTTATTGGTTTTTTATCGGCCATTGACAGAAGGACAAACGAATTTCGTTTGGCTTTGGCTTTGGCCTGGGCTGATTGATATCTTCATGGTGGGCCACGTTGCCAGTCTTCCGTGCACTTGTTTATGAGGCAGCCCCCATATGCAAATTCTAGACCTTTTTGCTCTAGCACTTGTCTTTGGCATCTGCCTCGAAGGCGTTTGCCTGAGTTATGTGCTGACAGCAGATACTACGCTAGCCACTCATTTTCCCTTGGTCAAGGTGGAAGTCGGACCTCAACCTGGTCTATAAACATCATTTGTCAAATGGTATGCGAGCAAGATATAGCTTATCCCCAGGATAGCTTGAGAGTTTTTTTGGGGCCTAAGGTGTTCCATTGTTACACGCTCCACTGGGGTTATTCATCAATCTCTCTCTGGGACTGTTCTGGGATTGCTCATGTCTAGGTGTGATGCGATCGCCATCACTCATTTATAACTGCCACTGCATCTGACAGATACATTTTCGTTTGTCATCTGTATGAGCTGCCATTAAAATTCGAACATGTCTTTTTCCGTGTTCAGTTGAAACTTTAATTGCTTATGCTAATTCTGGAAAGGTTTTTCATTTCAAAGGAAGGTCAATTTATGCAATGAGTTGATGGGTTAAAGTGTAATGCTTTTTTGATGGGGGATTTACGCAAAACCTACATAAGTTTTTTTTTGCTGAAAATATTAATCTTATTTTCAATTGGCAAGTAAATGCTGAGTCAAGTTAATTTGCCTGCCTTATTAATGTTCATATGCCCAAAAGATGGCAATGGTTTTTCCTCTATTAAATATGCAATCTCAGCCGAAAAGTATGCTACACGAACATTTTATGAGTTAGATAAAATCCACATTCGGCTTTCATAACAGACAAATGCGCTTCGATTAACTACGATTAAAAAAAAACAAATATTTATTATGCACAAAATTGTTAAAAAACAAAGGATTTATTATCTCTCAAATTCTGATTGGATTGCTATTTAAATATATATTTTTAAACAAGAAGACCAGTTGTGGGCTAAATATTTGAAAACCTTCAATGGCAGTAGTTAGTTTGTTTTTTGGCTAGCTCTTTGAAGTTCAAAATTGTTGTTTTTAATATAGAATAAATGGCGATATTACTAAACATTGAAACCTTCATTTATTGACTATAAATGAATTTATGAGCCGTAAATGTACAAAATTTAGTGAAAGTTTAAGTTATGGACAAGTTACAGTGTTCAGTGCAACTTTTTAACAGTCTGAGTTTTAGTATAAGCCTTATAAAAAAAATCAAATAATACATAAACAAAGTATTAAGGTAGCCAAGTCATCGTAATTAATAGATATAATATAAAATCCCATGATAAATCATTTGTTTACGGTGCCGAACATGTTTTGACCTAATAAGATGCTCGACTGTGAGTGTCAAATATTAATTATAAATATTTTTTGGCCCATATTGGCCAACAGTCGCATGATTGATTTGCCATTTGAATAATACGCGAAACTGGAGGAATAAATAAATACCAATAAAACAAAGCCAGCCAAAATGCGGGAAAACGAGCTGAAGATGTGGAGATGCGGGGAGTTTTGGCATAAAAATGGCTCGCCAAATTTATGCAGAAATGCGAGACACAACAAGCGCACAACACAATGTTGTCGGGCCGATGAGCAAACCGCATTAAAGTCAGGTCGGACACTCCTCCCACGACTCTGACTGCATCATGGGGCATTAGGCTTAAGGCTCTTGCCTCAAATCTCAAATCCACCTAAAATTCGGACAGCCAAGGCGGCAGTTATTAATAGACTACAGCCAGAAAGTTGCACCGCATCGCCTTCGTTTTTAGATGTTTCTTTTCATCTTTTTTTTTTTTTTTATTTTTGCAGAGTGGGCCTGACATTTTGCATTTGTGAATACCATTAGTTAGAAATTATGGCCGCCAGCGAGGCTAATTGATTCACTTTGTGGCAGTGCGTAGTGCGACTTCAAATGCAACTGCGAATGGGAATGCAATTGCAGATCGGTGGCTATGTCTTCAGGTTCCGGCTGGTAGATCTTGGCTAAAGGTTAACGTGTCGCAGCTCTAAATTATGACCTCGTTGTCATTGCGGCCGCTGCTACATTAATGAGTTTCCACTTCTGTGGCAGGCGCGTCAAATACCGATCGGCAAAGTAACACTAGGAGAAATGCTAGACAGGATTATCAGTTTCCAAAGTTCCTAAATAAGAAAAGGAGAGTAATTGTCCTAATTCTAGAGCTATGATAAGAGAATGACTGTAAGAAAGATTTCCATTTAGCCATTGGAAATTCCATAACTTCCAGTTTTAGCCAACTTTTATCTAAGTGTAAATTTGCAATATTACTGGATTTCGCGGGATTTAAGCCAACTTGCCGACTGGGGAGCCACCAAGAATCAATTTATTAACACGTTGCCGAAGAGCCTGGCCGTTTCTGGCAAGTGGAACTGGAAATTGGAACTGGGCGGGCCAAGGCAAATGCCAAAATGCAACTTCTGCCGCAGTAAGCTGCTGCTGCTGCTGTTGCTGCTATTGCAGTTGCGAAATTGCTGGAAATTATTATTGAATTCTTTTTGTTTTGCCGTTTTTTACTGTATGCTGTTTGCCATAAATGTTAGCCGCTTCTCAAAGCCCCCAAAGGTGCCCACCCACTGTAACAAAGTAACAAAGTCAAAGTAACTCTGCAAAGCTTTGGAATTTCCACTGAAGTCAGGTGGAGCAGTCAGCCGTTACCATTTCTGCACCTTTCGATTGTCACAACGCCATCCGCCATCGCCACCGCCGCCGCCGCTGCCAGTGCCAAATTGTGACAAATTTTATTAGTTGCTGCACCTCTCCCAGCAGAACCCACACGAATCACATATGTTTATGATGGTATCTGCATTGTAAACATGACAGTTAACCTGCTCCACACTTCTAAAAATGGCCATTTGAATTGCAAATCCAAGGGGTTGATAAACTCCTAGAGAACTGAAAGACTCGAACTGCTACTTTCTACTGACCTCAATAAAATGGCATCTCTGGCGTTGCATAATATTTTGTCTGGTGATCTAGAGAAGAAATGCCTAGCGTCTAACGGAGTGCTATAAAAAGCGCAGAATCTTTTCTACGCGCTTAGTATTAGCATAAATGATGTTCGCATTGGTAAGTAGTAGCCGGTAAGCTCATGAATAGCCAAACGTTAAGTGACTCCACATCTTTTTGGGAACTTCCAGTTATTGATCTTGACTTGCTGCCAACTGTGGAGTTGGCACGCTGAGAGTGCTGCCATTAAAGAACCGGTGCCAATCCTCCATTCGGTGGCCAAACAGCTGAACTCGGGTTCATATTTCTTTATGTACGAGGGCGCAGATGGCACTTATCGCGAGGAACTGGGCATTGTGAATTCAGATTCGAAGTCAACAGATGAGGATGACGATGATGGCGATCTGGAGGTGTCTGGTATTTACCGCTATATCGATGACGGTGGACAGGCTTTGGAAGTCAGCTATACTGCCGACAAGAATGGTTTTTTGCCCCATGTTAAATACATTTCCAAGGGGAAGACGATAAATAAAGCGCCATAGAGCCATTAACTTAGATGGGCACACATTCTTGAAAATGTTAGCCAGACAATTACCAAAGCCAAGCGCCGAGCAACGATCCAGGCGCGAATGCCCAGCTTTGGGCCATAAGGAGCGGCACACGGTTAAAAATTACATAGAAATAGTTCATTTTTAAATTATTAAACGTAAATAGATGATTATTTGTAGTACTCTTTGAGTAATTTTTAATAAATTTTAAGATTAAAGTAGCATTTTATAAAAAATAAGCTCTTAGTGGAAATCCTTTAATTTCTTATTAATAAGAAGAGATTTGCCAGTGCCTTAAGTCTAGCAGCTGTAACTGAAATCGCTTGCTCATCGCTGGGATATTTAATTTGCAGCAGATTTTGAAAATTAGTTAAGCTGTCAAAGTTATAAATTGTGGCAGCACCACAGATATTGCCCTTTTGCCGGAGATCTTCCAGCCAAATGCCGTTCGGTGCAGCGAAATGAATTTGTATTTATCACCGCAATGAAATGAACAGTGATCGTTAATATATATATCTACCCCCGGAACTACCGATGATTGGATTAATGGCCAAGTGATGTAAATTAAATTGCTGATGCACCCCCCCATTGAGATTCAGAATCTATCTATTTGTCAGCCAAAGATGTTCGATCGATAGTTATAGATAAATATAGATAGATAGATATATGCCTTGGGCTAGGGGGCTACACCCCAGTACAGATCATAATATAAATTGCATCAAAGCTGACATTTTACACATTTCTGGGATTGGTGTGATGCGGTGTGGATACTGTGGTGTAAAGTGTGAGGTGCGACTGATTAATCGCCTCACCTGGCGAGTGGGTGTGATGTTATGCCGTGTAAGTTATGCAGTTGCAGAGGCTGTTAATGTAGCCGCCGATCGGTGTCATCAATTGCCGGCGTCATCGCCTTGAAAACTGGCTCAGATCTCAACCAACATAGTGACACAATTTTCCGTAAAATCTCAGAGCTCTGTTAACTGACCCATCCGAGACCTTGACATTAAAAGCGAGACGATTTTTGGTGTTTGCGGACGTAACGTCCACATAAAACGGGATGCAAACATGTTTAGCATGTTTAAGCAAAAGAGCCGAAAGAGCTGGATGTGGCCGAAATACTGATGCAGGAGTGAGCCGCTATAAAAGCCAACTGGCCGATCTACTTTGTGTTCACACGCGCTTTAACTCTCGCTTTCTACGCTCCGCCAAGAAAAAAAAACGACGAAATGTTCAAAATCGTAAGTGGATTCAAGAAAGGATTGGTGACAATGAAAGAAGGAGATATATGGACGTAGAGTTTTAACAAACTTGAATATATCCTTTGGCTTCTCTATGTGAAAAGTGAACAAAAAAGGGTTGAGGATTGTCATTGATTCATTGCTTTTTGATGAACATTGAGGACTTAAAAGCGAAAGAGTGCTAATATCCTGATCTCCCACAGCTTCCTCTTCTCGTCCTGGCTGTGGTGGCCGCCACTTGCTATGCCCTTCCCGTGGAGTCCGAGCCCGAGCCTGTGCAAATCCTTAAGTCCGAGGTCAACAAAAAAGAGGATGGTGGCTATGACACCGTCTATGAAGGATCTGATGGAACTAAGCGCGTCGAAGAGGCTTTTGTCGTAGACAAAGGTACCGACGAGGAGGCTTTGGAGGTTAAGGGATCCTACAAGTACATCAATGACCTGGGCGAGGAGGTTGAGGTCTTCTACACGGCGGGAAAGAACGGATTCGTTCCATACGGTACAATTATTAATCCAGAAATCACAGCTGTGGCTGAGGCAGCCAAGGATTTGCCCAAGGCCGAGAAGGAGGAGAAGTTGTAAGAAGTATTTTGTGGAAGAGATCTCGTAAGATTAATGGAAAGAGCCAGCGTGTTGTTGCTGGGCAAGCAGACAAAATATACGACAAAGAAATTATGTTATAATCTTTGAGTTTTTATTTCTAATTTGCATAATTTGCACATTTTGAGTTCGTTTTACCGACGGAGATGCACTGAGAGAAATTGGTGGTAAATAAAACTTGTAGGTAAATAGGAAATCAAAATTAATTTTTGATATATATGCTGTATAGATTAATCCTACCTATTTTTGTATAAAATTTTCCCCAGTGCACTTGGTACATACCCTACTCCAAAGACCTTGAAAACCCGATCCAAACTTGGCACAGTATCAAAGTCTGGGACTTCGTATGATTAAGCACACGTTTGGCCACTTTGCGGTACAGTGAGGCCTGAGGCCATGGGTCCACAAATGAGACACCTGCTTCAATACATCATTACACGCTCAAACATCGTCCATTAGCTTTGATCAAAGACAAACGAAATGAAGACCTAACGAACAGGAAAGCATTAGAATGAAATTGGTCATTTAATGGGGTATAAATCATCTCCGGAATTTGCATATTTGATGGGTTACAAATCTCTTCAGTAGGTTGCTATACTCCATAAGCATGGATCACACCCTTCTCCAGAAGAACAAGAACCATTATGAAGAATACGTAGTAGGAAACCAGAAGGAAACCACAAGCTCGTCGCAGCTTGAAGTTTGTGGTGAGTGCAGAAAGCATGTTAAAGCCCATTCCGACCTCCAAGAAGATGCATACAGTCTCCCCGAAGGCACCTTCCGAAAGCTAATTGCAGATCTTATCTTAGTACTGAAAATCAGATCCTCCCGACTATTTACTCACGTGAACATTATCCGGCGCTGATACGAGTGTATGCACCACCAATGGCAGGGCCAGGAACACAAAGGATCCTGTAAATAAGAAGCTATATCTTCTTCTATATAAGAACTGATAGTTTCAAGTACCAAAAACAGGTGCTGAGAAGGTGGCCGTCAGGGCCATGCGAGGCCATCCCTGATAGGCCAAAGAGAGATTGGTCACCAGATCATTGCTACTAATTGCCCAGCAAATGGCCGTTGCCAGCGAGAACTCCTGGCTCACATACATAATGGTTCCCAATGTGAAAAACATGGCGTTTACCTCGGCGGTCAGGCAAAAGATCAGAAAGACGGTGGCCAGGAAACCCATGGGAGATGTGTACTGAAATAAACATTTTGGGAATCTGTTATTAAAACCAAATCATATATTTATGACATTCAGCAGTTATATATATTTAACTACGTGCTTAGATACACCTTTTTATGATCTAACCAGAAACTTACCCTAAAAAATCTGGGCGGGGTGTCGGTGCGCGTGAGGAAAAATATCAAGATAGACAGGGGCACCACGAAAATTAAGATGAACAAATAGATGTCAATGCCCGCTATTTTTTCAGCCGGAACTAGAAAAAAGTTCGTGAGATGAATGCCTTACATATCATAATGAAGATCTCACGTATTATGTAGGCTATGTAGGTGGGGACAATAATAACTTGCAGGCTATAGAGCAATTTGGACCATCCGTACAGAGGTTTCTCCATGTCAACGACTGGGATGAGTATTCGTAAGACCATATCGATGGGCTGTTTGGTCACTAGATATATCTTCACCATTAAGGTTCCCTTACGAAAACGTTCCAAGTCGAATTCGGCGACTGTGTTCCAGAATTGACGGAAAATAAGCTTATGACGACCGCCCTGACGAAGGGAATGACGATCTATTTCGTGACGTCTCAGCGGCAACTTTGTCTGTGGCTTCAGTTCCTCCAGTTGCAATACCTCACCAACCTCTAGGGCTCTGCGCTCCAGTTCTGGTTAAGACTTAAACTAGTTAAAAAGATTATAGTTTGCTCATTACTAACTATGTTACCCACTTTGAATGCGAGCCATTAGCAAATGCTGATCAATGACAGCCACAATGACATAGCCCACAAAGATACAGGCACCTGGTATAGCCATTAACCAGTTGATTCCGTTGCGTTTCTTGTGGATATAGTCCATATAGACAATATTGAGGAATAGGAAGCCAAAGTCACGCATGTAATAGTTTGGCTCTATATTGAAGGGCCTGGTCAGGATCACCAGGCCGGCGACAAAGATGTGCAGAAACATGGCCTGCGACATGCACGAGAGGAATGTGTATTTCGACATCTGCATTCTCGAGGCCATCGAAGTGAATAAATCTGGAGAACCATTAGCCAAGGCCATAACTGTCACCCCAGCCGTGCTCTCGTTCATCCGCAAGGAATCGGCTATCACCTTTAGAATTGGACAGAAGCTGGAAGGATTTATTTCACCTTATTATAAAGCTTGTGTTATATCTATTTAGACTCACTAATAGTTTATGGTAACCTGCATCATCCAGAATACGTAGATCGAAACTATGAGCATTCCCAGAACGATCCAGAATGCATTGAATCTGCTACGGATGTCCACTTTGCAGTAATGCCAAGTCAGGTAGTTGATCAATTTCATATTAGCCAGGCAATCTGCTGTGTTTTTCACAAAATGACATTGTTGTGTTACCGGCAAATCGTGAACCAAAGTACAAACTGTCTGTTCATGCATTTCAAGCTGGGCATTTACTTTCCTTAACTATTACTGCTTTTGAGGTGATTAAATAGGCTAAGGGTTTGAGATATTTAATATCTAAGCATTTTATTTCAAAATCGAGACAGTTTCCTATGATATTTCTATAAACAAAAAGTGATCAAGTTGCTGACTCAATAGAAAAGACTGCCGTTGCATAAAATCTGAAATTTCTCATTGAATTCTTAAACTTGATTAGATGACAGTAACCCAAAAATATTCTTTAATATGTGTTCCTAATGATCTATTTTTAGAGTTTACAATTAAGTAGTACAAAGGCCAGTTTTATCAGAGCCATAAAAATGTTTTTGCCAAAACAAAGCCTGGCTTAGAATCATTATATGATAAGTTGTTTACGAAAAGTGTTGTTTCTGGAAAGATTACTAATCAACAAAATATCTCAATTTGCTTTGTCTTCTTTCCCGCTTGATTATACAAATCGTTAATCTTTTCATATTCTTCAATAAAGTTCTATGCCAAGAACGTCAGATCGGTGAGATAATTTCTTGTTGTCGGCTCTCTGCTTAAATTAGCACTAACCATTGCGAAATTTATGATAAGTATTTATATGCAGCACGGAATCCGCAATTTCACATGCAGGTGCTGTCGCTCCATTTAAGAGATAGAAACGAAGCGGATTTCAGATATGGAATCTCTTTATTGCTAGCCAGTTAAATTAGATCGTACTTGGTTTTAAATTAAACAATACTTAGGTAGTCTAGAGTCTAGGAAAGCTTAGGCAGTCTTGGCAGTCTCCACCTTCTTCTCAACCTCAGCCTCAACGGCTGCCTTGATCTCCGCTTCGGGCTGAGCATCGAGAACGACCTGAACGGGCACCACCTGGGATTCGGCGGGCAAAGGCTCGGATTTCTCTACCACAACCGATTCCTTGGCCTCGACAGTCTCTTCCTTCTCAACCGGAGCGGCAACCTTCTCCACAGGAGCTGACTTCTTCTCCAGTTCCTGAGAGCGGGCTCGGCGATACTTGCGCTCCTCATCCTCGGAGATCTTTGGAAGATCAGCAGCAGACTTGGCCAGTTCGGTGATTTCTTTGGGAATGATGGTACCAATGGGCACAAATCCATTCTTTCCGGCGGTGTAGTGAACCTCTACAGTATTGCCATCGGCATCAACGTAGCTATACATTCCGGAGACTTCCAAGGTTTCATCATCGGTGCCGGCATTTTCGATCCTGCCCTGCTCCTGGCGAACGGACTGATCACCGCCCTCGTAACTGAAGTGGAAGGAGCCGTCGGGCTGCTTGTCCGTTTCGAATTTCAGCACAGGAATAATTTCTCGTTTCTCGGTGGTGGTGTCAACCTGGCCAATACTGGCGGCCAGAGATCCACTGGCCAGGGCCAATAAACAGATGGCAATCTTGAACATGGTTATTTCTATTATTTTAGGGTGAGAGTAGAGAGTGTGTTTGGTGCTTTCTAGGCGGGAACCGACGGACGACTTGGCTTACCACATCTTCCCTCCACTTTATATACCGGCGTTTAATGTGCGCAGCAGCCGCGAATTAGCATCTTTCAGTCTTTCATTACGCCATAACCAAAAAAAATATACAAAATATATCCAAAACAAAACGGAAAAAACACAAAAGAAATTCTATGGAAGCGAAGCAGAATGTGACTTAATAAAACACTCACAGCCGAGAGACAAGATTTGCATATGGTATTTATGATTCAGCGACTTGTTTTAAACGTACGACACCTTAAGAGAGGTCAAGTGATAAAGCCAATGATGAGGCACTGTAATGAGATCGGACTATACCAAATCGATTCCAGCAATCACAAAAAATCCCGTCCAAACAGGTTGATAATGATGTACGGAACACGTCATAAACTTGTTTCGCATTCGCTGGAAGTCAATCCATCACTTAAAGTGCCCAAAATACCTGGGCATACGAGTACAAGGGGGCCTCAGCCACTGATTGATTGCCAATGTTTAGGAAACTGCACTCGATTAGCATAGTATTCCACACGCTCGCAACCAGACAAAGGGGCATAAATTAAGATCTATATTTGATGTGCGCTTAAAACGAGTCTATATCGGATTCGAATCGCACGCGATCCATCAGTCATCAGTCATCACACGGGAAACTACTGAATGGCCACCATGAGTGTGTGCTGAAAAAGCAAAAAAACAACAGAAAAACATTAGCCAGGAGTGTGAGTAAGCCAATTGCAATGGGCTGTAAATTGTATGTCAAATGTGAAAAATGCACTAAGTCAGCGTTGCAACTCTTCCTCTCAGCCAAACAGCAATTTTGAAAAGCAGCGCGAAGGCCAAAGCAAAACGCGGGCAACCGCGAAATTGGCCAAGTAACATGGAAAACCATACGAAAAAAAAACTCAAAAAGAAAAGGGAAAACCAACGGGTAGCGGGAGTTGGCCAAAAATCTCGGGCGATGTTCATCATGTTCGTGATCATCTTGGCGGCTAAGCTGGATGGAGTTGGTTGCTTGGATTTTGGGCAGCAGTTATTGCTGTAATTTTTATGAATTGCAACTGACATTTCCTACACGCTGGAAAAGTTTAAAGTTTAAGTTGAGAAAAATTGACTTAGCCGGCCGGCAAAAGCAAAAAAAAAAAAATGAGGCAATGGGAGCGGGTAACTGGTGCAGGAGGGAGTGGCCATCGACCTGGTCAGCGAAATTGGCCCAAAAGGGCAGGCTCACCTGGGCTGAGCTGTTGGTGAAAACAAAGACAAATAATGCTCTTTAACGATGCATTGAAATGGACAAGTTGGCAACGCCCCGTCCCGCGGCTAATTCAAATGTCAGTTGGCATAGAGATTCCATCTCGATTCATTGGCAGGCATGTGGCCAAATGGCCAATTCATCAAAACGAAGCCAATTGCAACATCTGTAATCTTTTAATTAATATTTGACTTAACGAATTATTGCATCCAGTCGAGCATCCACATCCAGCGGGGGCACTAATCAAATGAAGTTCGCATTGCTAATTCACATAAATTACACTGCAGAGAACTGTAAGCTGCGAGCTGTAAGCTGTAAGCCGCATACGCGGCGTATGCGCAACGCCCATTTGCATTTAAAACTCGTTGCGCATACGCTACGTGGTGCACTGTAGCATCGACGGCAGCTCTTCCGATTCTGTTGCTGTCAAGCAGACAAACACTGTTTGTTTCGAGGTTCGCCTCTGCCGTCTCAGCCGTTTCTACCGCTCCAACCTGCCCTTCTAGCCGCTAAATCTGGGCTGCTGCACTGCATCTGGTTGCGGATGCTGGCGCTGCTTCTGTCGCTGCTCTGCTTCGAGCTGCAGTGAATGTGATTTCGGTATAAAAACGTTTGTGGCAACTGCAGTGAAGTCAAAGCACTTTTGACGAGCCTTCCAGCGCAGTTACCGCTATTAAGTCGCGAATTCGAAGTGAGTTAAAGTTCGAGTTGTGAATCCTTTAAGGATTAGGATCAAAAAACATAGAATTTAAACTTGGGAAAACTCTTTAATATAACTATGGACTCAAGTGAAGTTGGTCCTTCATAAAGGATATTCAAGAAACCTGCAAACTTTACTCTTGGAAAACCCATAGCTCAACCCAAGATCTTATATGGATAATTTTTCCCACGACCTTCATCATCATCATAACCATCATCATTTCGCAGAACTTTCAAATCGCAAAAAGCCAATCAGAGTATATCTGATACTAATTGCAAAGCAACGAGTTTGACATTCAAAGATAACGCCGCCGGCAACTCAATCGGGCACTAAACACTGAACACTGAACACCGCACCTCATCTGCGGTACTTACTTATGACTCTATTTAACCACCGTACCACATTTCGGTCCCCTGTCTTCTTTTTCGCCCACTAAAGGTCATGACGATCACCCACGCCTCCTTCGCAGCCGTTGTTTTGGCCCTCTGCTGCCTTAGTTTCATTCAGGCCCAGCCACAACGTGGACTTCCTCCACCACGAGGCAACTCCTTCGATGCGAATGCCGTGATACTGAAGCAGAACTTCGATCTGAATCCCGATGGCTCCTATCAGTACAAGTAAGTGGTGTATATATCCTTCTTATGTTTTATATCCTTTACAGATCTAACTTAAAAACCTTAAAAACTTAAACTTTTTGGGTTTGAAGATAAATTTTTGAAATTATTTACAAAACAAATATATTTTCTAAGTAAAAATCAGTTTACTACTAATCAAACATGCAATTACTGCACAGTAAGAGTTCAATACAGAATGGAAATCGAGGTAATGGTAATAAATTTTATAGACCTTTTTAGCTTAATGACTGCAGCTAATTAGATTTCAAGAGTGTTTTAAGTCTATAAATTAGTTTCAAAGTAGTTCACACGTAACTCGTTTTATCATAAGTGTTACATCTAAAACCTTAGTTCATTTTTAAGCCCGCTTTTAATTTCCTTTCAATCATTCCAGCTACGAGACAAGCAATGGAATCCGAGCTGATGAGGCTGGCTATTTGAAGAACCCGGGCAGCCAAATTGAGGCTCAGGTTAGTATGCTTTTCAGCGCAGTCTTCACTAAATCATAGCATAGTTTCAGGCATCACTAAAATTTATTATTTCTACACATCTCAGGTAATGCAGGGCTCTTACTCGTACACCGGACCCGATGGCGTCGTCTACACCATCACCTACATTGCTGATGAGAACGGATACCGTGCCGAAGGTGCCCATATACCCACTCCACCGCCAGTTCGCGCCGCCGCCGCTCCCGGAAGATTCTTCAAGTAATCCGCATCGTTTTCAAATCATGTTCTAATTCTTCATCGTTATGCTCAAGTTGGCAATCATATATCGCGGCGGGTCAGTTTTACAAACTGGCCAAAAAGTGAACCAGAGATAGACAGGAGAGAGATAGAGCAGCTGCTCGTCGGAGTTCCATTATCCCATCCACAAAAGATTTCCGTTTAACCTCCTGTCCACCCACCCCCCAAAAAATCATCCTTCCCTTCGTGCTTCATCTGTGCATTTCTACAGCCAATCCAATTTCTATTCTACATTCTACAATCTACAATCTACACTCTACACTCTACACTCTACTTAGTGTCTAACGAACTGTGTGTGAGATAAACATTTGTAAAATATGTAAATTCGATTGTTAAAATGTCGTACGGCAACGCATGCTCAGCAATAAAACAAAAATTGCACAAAAATCAATCTAATTCGTTGTTGTGTCTCTTAAGAGAATGACCTCAGCATTGTTATGTAAGACATCGCCGTGCGAACAATCTGAAAAGGGAGGATATAAAGTCAGTAAATGGATATTATATCTTGTAAGTCACTAGCTAGTATCACATTTATACCCACCGACGAGAAGGCCTCCATGTTAGCTTCGAAAAAGTATCCCGTGATACGGAATCCACGATGTGCCCTCATCATGCTAATCAGCAAGGACCGGCAGATCGAAGTCGAGGCTCCACCAGCTCCCAAGCTCTCATGCCAGGGACTATCATAGATGGCCCACTCGAAACTGGCACTCTCGGTCTTCAGATTCTCCCCACAATAGCAATAGATATAGGCCTGTATAATGATGGTGGCTATGAAAGAGGCATAGTACACGCCCTCTGTCTGGGCAAAGGTAATGGAAAATAGGTAACCCAACATGCAGAGTTGCAGAGATGAGATGAAAAATTGAGCGCATATGATGGGTTGATAGCACAAATTCAAATCACTGCACATATCCAAACTGGTCTGGTACAGGGCAAACACTTTGTTCAGAGTAGCCTGCGATTCCTTAAGACTGTCACCTCTAAATCTAACCACCTTGTACTGGGCAATCTTAAAGAAGGCACACAGGTTGCTGGTAAAGGAGCAAAAAATGGTATCCAAACTAACAGCAGGTAGAACCACTCCAGTCGAAGCAAAGGCACTCCATGTAAAGCTCATGGCGTAATTTCGAATGATGTGAATATCCCAGGGAAAACTATATAAATGAAACTTTAAATTGCGATTTTGGTATATATATTGTTACCTACAGACATGGAAAGGGCAGCTCTGGTTCGGCATGTCCTGCTAGCCAGTAACTGAGACCCATTCTCACAAAAGGTAGAACACTATTCAGTAGCCAGGCGAAAAAGAAACAGGTCCTGAACAGAGTGCACATCCGTTGATCCTGCTTATTTGCTGCATTCAGGATCTCGGCATACTCCTCACCTTGACCCGCCTCTTCGATTTAAATAGAAAAAGATAAAAAATGTTTATTAAAAAAAAATGACCACTCACCATTTTTCATTAGCAAACGAAATTTTTCAATGAGTCGCTTGAAGTCTCTACGTAAGTAGAGTATCATGCTAAACTTGAAAAGTCCCAGGATGGTAATCAATAAAGCCACCATGGCATCTGCCAGGAGCATTACGTTCTTCCAATTATGCAGCACAGCTGCCAAGATGAAGGGAAAGATGGCGGCTATACCAAAGACATTGATAGCCCTATAGGGACGCTTCCACATTTCTCGGTTCTCACTGAAGAGATCAAAGCCTAGAAGGGCGATGGTGCTCTTCTGTACTTGCAGGAAACTATCCATGTCGACTGGGATTAAGTTGGCCTCACACTAATGCAAATCTTTTTGGACTAGGGGTTTTAAGCCTTTTTACTGCACAAGGACATGAATACCGAGAAGGAAATGTGTCTTCAAATGAACAACCTTAGAATACTCTTACAGGCGCTTTAAGATATTAATATGTAAAAATTAAAAAGTGCTTAGTATTAAATATGGGCTTTGATCTTTTTAAATTAGACTTAGTAGATAGTTTTAAAGTAAATGATTAAGTACACGTTTCCAAACCCAATTTCAAAGATTGTTACAAACTCCTGACTATGGTCAAGATACCCCTAAAATGCTATAATGACAGGCCTAAACACCACCTACGATTGACACCTCTTCAGGCATACCAATTCTAAATCAAATTTTAATACTTTCAGGGTTCTTATTCACGCCTCATGGGTATGAGACCTTTTGTCGCGAGTTAAGTGATGGGTTTGGCTAGAGGCGTGGTTAGGGCTGGACTCCATTTCCCAAGTAAGAATGCTCTTTAAGGCAATTATCCTTAGGCTTAGCTAGTCTTACCCTTGGTATGGTTCCAGTAGGCAATGTCCAGAAGTTTGTTTACTTGGTCCTTGTTAGAGGCATCATCACCAGGTGCAGGACAATAATAAGATCTTGGACTACTAGACACATCTTGCTATCCAATCTATTTTTATACTATAACTTAATCAAGTACTTTAATGACTTTATGTATTAAAAGGTTACTGAAAACTCTTGGCTATGGTAAAAACACCCCTGAAATGCAGTAATAACAGGTTAAGTTCAAGCACCACTTCCGTTTGACACCTCTTTAGGCATACCAAATGAGAATCACAGTTTAATGCTTCAATGTTCTTTATTCACGCTTCACGACATCCCTGGGTGGGTGTCCTTTGGACGTGTGGCAAGTGGACGGTTTGGCCGGAGGTATGGTCAGCAATGTCAGCTCGACATCAGTCTATCGGCCCCAGCCGCCACCGCCCCATCCGCGGTGACCGCCACCCCAGCCGCCACCGCCCCATCCGCCGCGACCGCCACCCCAGCCGCCACCGCCCCACCCTCCATGGCGACCACCACCCCAGCCGCCGCCTCCCCATCCGCCACGACGACCACCCCAGCCGCCGCCCCATTGGCGAGCCTCTCGTGCTCCATCGTTGGCATGGTTGGCTCCCTGATCGGCGACGTCCAAAAGTCCGATCACCTGATCGTTGTTGGTGGCATCATCCAAGGCGTAGGAATAGGCCAGGCACAGGACACCAATGAGTGCCAGAAGTGTTAGACGCATCTTGCTTTCCGTTCGATTCGATTGATTGCTGGTGAAGATCTGAGTGCAACTGATGATTTGTGGACAAGATCGCAGGCCTTATATTCGAAGATCTCGCCACTCGACGTTCCTGTTCTCATACGCATCAATAAGTCGGGGTCTCTCCACTGCCCCTCATAGCTTCACCATCACCATATATACTACATATAGGTAGATGTACTATATACCTACCTGTCGGCAAGGTGTGATGGCTTAGGGGCTTTTTTGACCGGGTTCTGTTTTGCATCGTTATATTTCACCACAAAATTATTACACTCTTTGTGTCATTCGGTTTGTTCTTTTTTGGTCATTTTTTTTTTGTTTTGGATGTCATTACTGAAACGTTTCAAATTTAAATGTCTCATTTGCGAAAGTTGTCGGGATGCTGCTCCTAAGTGGTTTTATACATAGATCATTCGATTAGGACCCGCAGTCTGTCAACAATTGGGACCTGTTTAATTTTATGGGTTTTTACTTAACTGCAACTGGCAAGTAAAAGTTATAGCCTATACAAGACTAATTATAGTGTATTTAAACTTTCCACTTGTTAAGTAAATTGCAATTAATTCTAGGATGAGTAAGAGTGAAACTTCGACTAGTTCATCATTCTGAATGACCCCTTAAGTCTGACAAGAACATGACGGATTAAGCCTATAATTACCTGGTTAGGCCTAGAAAATATTAAAAAGTGGTAGCTGCTAAATGGAAAATAACTTATAAATCTCAAGTTACTAAACACCTACTTTAATCCAAATTACTAATACTTAATGATCTTATACACACTTTATTTATGTCAAACTTAATAAATCTCATTATCATATATATTAACAAGGATTCTTATGGTAATGAGCTTTCGATTGTTTAATGAATGTCAAGATCGACTTGTTTGATCTAGACTCTAAAAGGTAAACAACGGGGGATTTACGAGAACAAGCCATTGAACCTAGTTCGTCTATACAGGTTCCAGGCAAAATATCCCAAATGTTGTTTAATTTTCTCTTTCTTTTTTTTAAGTAAAAACAATCAGTTAACTGATTTGCTTAATTTGCTCGTGCGGAACGAACAAAAAATCGCGCCCACTGTTGTGTTTGGTTTTATTTTGTATATAAACTTGAGTTCCACCAAATAAATAAATTAATATTTCCGAAGCTTAAAAAGTTTTATAAGATTTAAGCTCTTTTAGTGGGGTATATATCTAGAAAGAGGGCTTGTCATGTCATACCCTTAGAAAGGTGTTAAAGCTTAAGTTTAATATGATGAAATAATGTTAATTTTGTATTTTGGAGATACATTTTTGCTAAATAATATTCTTGCGTGACGTCGTTGCTTCTAAATATGTTTATTTATTGGTTAAGATTTAATAAGTAAACTTAATTAATTATTATTATTTGTATATTTCTAAACACACCCACCATTTTTTAAGGGTATAAAAACGTTGGCTTGTCTCTCTTTTCTGTTAAAATATTTGAAGTAACTTTTGTGATCGATATTCCCAAAGTAGTGAAGAACAAAGTATCTATTGGTCTGTCAAAAACATAACAAACAATCTTAGATTACTCATACGAGAAATATAATCCATCATCTCCAGTTACTATAGACTTTGTTGGATAAGCTATAGATTGTTGTACGGAATGTTAAGAGCAGAATACTGTATATAGATTTTGTTTATACTTTTGCAGTGGGCAATAATATTCTGATCAGAGATGTGAAATCTGAACAAACTTAACATACTTTGCAGTTGATTAAGTTCTACTTGCTAATGGTTATTAGAATGCTTATAGCATGATATACTTATACCATATTAGCCACATATCCGCTTTTATACTTAAGCTCTATGATATATATAGGGTATCAAAGATTCATCTTCAAAATAACATGTTATTGGCTTAAGATCTGGTTTGTATTGACAATTTATTTTACGTATACGTAATTTTGTGGTTTTCGCAAAGATGAGACATAGCATTGAAGGTAATTTATTACCTGCTACTACCCCCGAAAACCTGAACTATGTTAGATAGAACATATGTTAGAAACTTTTATAAATTTTAAATTTCAAAACAAAAAACTCACAACATAACCTGAATATATTATTTTTTAATATTTTTTATTTACAAAATTACTGATCCGGTTCATTAAGGAATCACATATGTAATACCATCAGACTAGCGACCATAGTGTCCGTGTCCGTATCCATGACCGCCACCTCCGTGATGTCCATGAGCATGTCCGTAGTTGCCGCGTCCGTAATTGCCATAACCACGAGCCAGTCTAGCTCCACCTTCTGCGTGGTTTCCTCCATGATGGGCCACTCCTAGCAGGTCCTCCAGATGGTGTCCATTGTCACTTAGAGCCAAGGCATAGGCCAGGCACAGAAGGCCAATGATAGAAAGCAGGATCAGACGCATCTTCTAGATAGGATTCTTCAAAGATAGATTGTTTAGCTTGAGCTTGGTTCTTCGCTTTGAGCAACTGTGGATTCCAGAGCTCTAGCTGCGGTGTTTTATTCGGTCAACGATTCGCAGAAACGACTGGCATTCCCGTTTTTTGTTTACTATATTTAATATTCTTGTTTTCGGGGAATAGATTTAATGTTAAACATAAAATTCCAAAACGTAAACAATTCAAATGGCTTTGATTTTTTTGACTTGGCTATTAAAAAGCTCTTTTAAGCTTTGATTTTTGGTTAACTTGATTGGGCTTTGATTTGAAGTTGTAAGCTTTTGAAGAACTTAAACAAAAGTTGATAATTTTATGGTCGTAGCTTTATTTAAAAGTTGGTATAGATTTTTAAGAAGCCACTGTTTTAAGCTTGCTACCACCAATAGCTGCTGCTCCAGGGTCGGTATGAGATACTCCAATCCTTGCTCCAGCCTCCATTCCAACCTCCGCCCCATCCTCCATTCCAGCCTCCATTCCAGCCTCCATTCCAACCTCCACCCCATCCTCCAGATATCCAGCGAGCTGCTCGTTCCCCTCCTTTCGCCTCCTTACCACCCAAATCAGCCACATCTTCTAGGGTGGCATTAGTAGCAGGATCTTCGGTAACAGGATAGCCCAAAACCACTCCTAAAAGAGTTAATATTGCCACGAAAAAGATGAGCTGCATTTTTGCTATCCACCTGAAATGAAACTACTTCGTAAGTGATCTCCGCCAACACCTTTTATACCCACAAAATTTAGATCTTTGCCTACTAATTGAAATTTATTTACAAGTTTGGCACACAAAGTTTAGAAGCCCTGACCCAATGGTAATATTTTTAACATATAACCATAACATTTAGCACTATGTGCATGAAGAGTTACTTTACTAAGATCAGCTAAATATTAAGTAAGGAAATTAGTTCTACCCAATAAAATATTATATTTCTTACAAAGAAGAATAAACTTCTTCAGGGAAGAGTTTTAAACCCAATCCCAAAGGAATTTTCATTTTAACAAATAATAAAATATTTTATTTAAAATGATTTACATGGATAAACAATATGGTTAACAACGATTGAACTATTGACTTACATTGGTTAAACAGATATTAGTATAAATATTAAACATAATAATCTCTGTCTGGACATTCATTCGGCAAGTATCATCTTTTTCATAAGAATTTTTAACATATATTCTCATTATTTCAATGATAAGTGACAAAAATATAACGAAATTAGTTACATTTTTCAGTTACCGTAAATTGTAAATATTTGAAAAACTTATGGCCTTAACATGACCAAATTTTGCCTCTATTGAAAATACTTAACAAAATTTCAACAATTTAATAATAAATTTCCTATCTTAAAAGACACTTAATACTGAGTTAGCCCAGCAGACTGAGTAGACCACTCAGAGCTTGAGGGTTTGCTCCTGCACCTGTGGCACCGGCTGCACCACCCCCATTTGCCAGCAATGGGCGTAGACTACTGCCAAGTGCCTGACCCAAAATACCAGCTAACTGAGCTTGCTGAGCTGTAGTAAGCTGTGTGTTACCAATTCCAGCGGCAGCGCCTGCTCCAGCTCCAGTTCCCACACCAACTGCTGATGTTGCTGGAGTATAAGAGGGAGAGCTGGAGATACTAGCTGAGCTACCATAGCCTCCTCCATAAGAGGGATAACCAGCTGATGCTCCAGCTGAAATGGAACTATAATTTGGTCTGTAACCATAATACGGCTGAGGTCTCTGGTATCCACCATAGTTATAGTAGCTGGGTCGATAGTAGCTCTGGCCATAACCATAGCCCAAACCAGGATATCCATAGTTATAGCCATAACTGGGATACCCATATCCATATCCATAGTTGGGTCTATATCCATAGCTGGGATAGCTTCCACCGTAGTCCTGGGGATCCGATTGAGTGCCACCACCGCCAGCAGATGATGATCCAGGTCGAATGGGTGGTCCTACAGGCAAGGGAGCGTCGAAGAGTGGCCCTCCACCGCCAAGTAACAAAGGAGTCAGAAGACCCAGGGTCCTGCCCTGAGGACGATCCACTTTTGATTTACTCTTCTGACCAGAAACCATCAGAAACAGAAGGCTCAGCGGAGCCAAACGCGCGAGTAGAAACATTTCGTGACCGTCGAATGCGGATTAACGACTGAAGACCGACTGAAAAACCCAATAATATTTTATACCACAGAGTTCTTGAGTGAATTTCCAAATTGGTTTGCCAAAAACAAAAAAAAAAATAACCAGAAGACCTTCGGCATCATCAAAATGATGAACGCAGACCGAGCGGAACTTTGCAAATCTTGGCCAGAACGTCATCAACTGGTTGTTGGCGCCACGCCGCTTTCACACCCAGTTCGAGATCATTTGGCTTAACCCAAGTCTGCAGGCGAACCCACCCGACATTGACCTTGCCGAAAGTTGGCCAAATAAGTCCGAAATCTGTTTCACACCGTTAACTCGATCCCTCACTTCCGCAGGTTTTTTTTTTTCATTATAGTCGTCGATTTGGGTTTGTTGTTTCATTCATATCTTAAAAGGCCAACAACCGGGGGCGTTTTTACTATATTTGCTGGCCATAATAATAGAGATTGCCAATCGGCAAAGTTAATTAGCGAGGCTGAAAACCTATTCACGCCCGAGCAGATGCATTTCACTAGACATTCGCATGACAGATTCTGAATCATCTCCGACGTACGTGCTGTAAAAGAGCAAAGGTTCCCCAATTTTGATACTGTTTCCAGGGCTTTCGGGAGTGTTTCAAATTATAATATTCCCACTAATTGATAAGTGTTTCGCCAGACGTGGAAATCTTTGTATTTTAATTTGATTAAGTCTGGCTAGACATCTGTCAGTTAGTCAATCCGATTAGGCAATTAATAAACTCGTGTCTTCATTTAAATATTTTATAAAAAAAATGACAGCTATCTATTGGGATTAGGGTTTAACCTGGAATATTCAATTATTCTTAAAGTAATCTTTAGAATACACAGGTTTTATAAGAACTAGAATTTTATAATCACTTCAAAACGAATTTCAAACTATAATTCCATCTAAGTTTGCCATTAATCATAATAAAACTTTTTATGACAAACATAACTTGCATGACACTCCCTTAGTACGTTTATCATCCCTTCAACCGGTTTAACCCATTGCTATCATATACTACGATTGGTTTTCCTAAAATCGGTTACGTTTTTTCGTTTTCGTACGATCATCGGTATATCATCATATTACGCTTATTTTTGGAATGACTCCGGTATATCAAACGGTCAATAAACGGGTTTTACTTTCTCACTGAACCTTTTAGTATTTTCGCTTAGGCAATTAATGTGCTTCCCCTCGTCCATAAAAACATTAATACACCCATCAAAAGCCAGTAAAGTTAACTCGATTCTCTAACAGAATGCAGTTAATTAACTGCGCAAAATCTAACTTGGGTCAGTGATCAGTTAAGAGATGTTGACTGGTCTGCAGTCAAGCGTAAGGTGAGTAAATCCCCATTTTGGGGGCTGGTCTAAAAAAGGACAGGAGAACTACACAAAGAAAATGTTTTATTAACTTCTTATGATTAAAAATATTCAAAATTTATAAGTAAATTGTTATAATAAAAGTTCTTAAATCATTCAATTTTGAAATAATGAAGAAAAAATGTTTCAAAGACTTTGAGAAGTCATCGAATGTTATTAAAAGTCAAATATTTATCAGAGAAAAAAGTAGGAAAAGAAAGTACAAAATCTTTAACCTTATAATAAATTATTAAGAATATTTAATGGTAAATAATTCCCATTTTCTCTACTTCTTTTCTCTCAATGAATTTTAAAATTTGTTTCGATTTTTTTTCTAATTTCCAGAACAGTTTAGATTTTTGTTTTGAAATCAACAATTGACGACGCGTCTGGGATTTCCGTTGACCTCAAGTTTTGGTGAAATCATCAGCATCATATGATAATTGCCCTACGGCTGTAACTAATGATACTTGGATGGGATGTACGGGCAGCTATAGAGAACACCAGCTCTTCAAACGGGACCTCCCCGCCGTATTTGGCTATAAAAGTTACAAACCAATCTGATGGGATGGTAGAAAGTATTCGATTGTCCAGAATGAAACAGTTTCTAGTGTTTGCTCTCGTCTTGGTGGCGATGCTGGTCCTGATCAGCGGACATCCAGTGGAGGATCAAAAGATTACCCTAGAGGATGCTGAAGCACAACCTGGAGTTGATGATGGAACTGGAATAAGAGCTGCCCGTCACTTTGGTGGCGGCTTCCGACGCGGTGGATTCTGCTGCGGAGGTGGCGGTGGCTATGGACGAGGAGGATTCGGCGGTGGCGGCTTTGGTGGCTATCCAGGTGGAGGCTATGGTGGATATCCCGGCGGTGGCTACGGAGGAGGCAGTGCATCAGCCTCGGCCTCAGCCTCGGCCAGTTCCAGTTGGGGACGTTAATATTAATAATTTGCTTAACTTTAATTGAGACAAAAATAGAAAGAGATTTCGTAGCGAAAACAAAAACAAATGACTTTGTTTTTGGTTGAGAATTAAGAAGGGGTAGTAAGGGTGTAAGGGGCGTGGCAGATCGTTTACGCACGTAGTTGCAAATACTACGCAATCGAGTGGAACCGGTCTAGAAACGCTAATCAATGAATAAGTTCCAACCACGATCGAAGTATTCTATTTTTCCCACAGTTGAAAAATCTTCCGAATAGAAAGATTCCGCTAGTTCTAAGCCACTCAAATTAAAATAGCAAATCAAAAACCCATAAATATGTGGTTAATTTGTTGCGGTTTAGTTTGTTTTTGTTTATAACTTTTAATGCAATAATATTGCTAAGATTTGCGAAATGGTTGTACAGCCAAAATCTGGAATAATGTAACCTGTTTTCGAACCAAACACTAATTAAAAAGTAAATATCAAAAAAAAAAGAGCTAGTTCGAGTTATTTCCAGACATCTGGGAGTTGAGACAGGGTTTTTGTGGTTTTGCTTTGATTATTTTAATGCACCCCCGAAACCTTGCAATCGAGGTTTTTTTCCAGGGAAAATTACGCCCTTGTTCCTGGCACCAAAATTTCACCAGAGGAGTTGAACTCCAGTTGCCCATCTGATGATCTTATGATTCACGACTTTCAATTAGCAAAAGGCAAATATTTTCCATTCTCGGATTGGGGAATTCATTTCCTTGGTAACACAGGCACGCTGTTCATGTTGTCGTTGATTCATGTTTATTTCTAAGTTTTAGCTAGTCAATCTAATTAGCGCCTCCCCCAACAAGGCTATTTACAAAAACAAAACTCAAGAATTTACTTTGTTTTAGAAAATAAATATTTTATTGCATTCCCGAGTTGTTGGCAATTAGTTTTAGGAAGCTTTTGTTTATAATTATTAAATAAATAAATGAATGTTTCTAGGAATTATGATGTTCCCTGATATTATTAGATATATTAGAAGCGTGTGTCTTATTAAATTGTGGGCAGTCTAAAAATAACTCGAAATAAGTCCAAAAATAAATCCAAGCTCAAAGTGTTCAATCACGCTGTAGACTTACTTGACTGGCACTGCGGCTCACCGACCTTGTGGTTTTTCACTCCCAATGGAAGAAGAAAGAAGGGAAAACATGACAAGCCTATCTAAAGTTTACAGAAATATAAAAATTGTGGTTGGCAACAGCATATATATTGTAATACTTCTGTCAAGCTTTTGTTGTAAAAGAAAAAAGTTAGAAGATTTCTCCAAAGAACTTCAAGTTATAAGAACAGAAAACGACAGATCATATCACCAATATTCTTAGAACTTATAAAAGTACTTTGAACTTACTTTTATAGTGCTAAAAAATGTCAAGCTAACACGTCATAGATACAATACCAAGAACTGCCTAATTGATGACCAATTTGAGTGATCTTTCGAGGAGGCCAACTCCACCAATGAATCACTCGCCGCTGCCTACCGCAACAAAAAGTAAAAGTCGCGTAAACCGAAAACCGCAAAACTGAAGTAATGACTCCCCCAGATATGTTCAGCCCCCCAAATGACGTCAGAGAGTCGGGGAGTCGTGAGTTTGGAACCTGCCAAAAAGGCTGGATCACATTTGACGGAAATGTTGTGCGACATGATCCCTGCTAATTGAATCGAAAGATGCGCAGCAAATCAAATTAGTATCCCCACAATACTGTCACCACTGGGATCTGGCTGACTGGGCGACGCGGTCTGTCATAACAATTAGCGCGTTTTGGGAAAGATTCGCGACTATAAAAGCCAACGGCAGACGGCGGATAAGGCACAGAACCCCAAGGAACTCCAGCAGTAGTGGACATACCAAGTCAGCTAAAAACTCCAAAAATACAAATTCCATATTAAACCAAAAAAAACACAACTCATAAAAATGAAGTGCGCCATTGTCTTCGTTGTGATCTCCGTGATCTTCAGTTTGAGCCTGATCCAAGCAGCTCCCATCAATGAAAAAATCCAGGATCCAGGATTCGTTTCGGCCACGGATATTACAGGCGAACCAGTACGAACCAAGCGAGCCAGTGCGGATTATTACCAGGGCGATTACTTCATCTGCTACCCTAAGAGTGCAGTCTATGGAAAAAATGGATATGGCTTCAATCGCAGATCCTACGATTCGGATGACTATGCTCCACACTACCTCTCTGATGATCCTTTGGTCGTCCGCCAGGCTCGTGCTGATGCCAGACGTGCCGCCTACACTGACAGCTTTGGCAAATAAGTCAGCCTTTATTATATAGCGCATGATTACCAAAATGACATCTAAATATCTACAAAGTTAGGGAAATGCACAGGTCTAGCTTGTAACGTTGTACAAATATTATTTTTACTATTATTTATTGAAAAGAAATAAAATTATTATACAAAATATAAACAAAGTCTTTATTACTGAAAAATATGAGTGGCTGATATAGTGAACACCAATATCAAAATAAAAAGGATGAATGTAAAGACTTTTCTTTGAAAGTCGTTTTCTAAATATTTATTCGCGTTTTTAACTACCAATTAGCTTAAAAAATTCTATAAAGAACTAAAAATTATATAATTTATATTAACTTACTTATAAAAAATCCAGTTTTATTTACAAAAAGATTTATAAATGCCTATGATTTTTAAAAAAGGATAAGGAATATTCTCCCAAAGAAATAAATCAACAAACGAAATTTCCATTGCATACCTTTAGGCTGTGATTTCAAACTAACTCCCCAGACTCTTAATTTCATCTTCAGACCGTAACGCCCCCGCCTTACCCTACAGATATATAAGCTATATTTATATATATCCCCACAACTCAACGACTCATCTGGTGAGCAACGATTTTCTGCAAGGCGAACTCTGAGTTGTGCTGGGCCGCTGAGACATTTCGCACCTTATTTGCCTTGGGCATTAGGCTAAAAGTGTGAATTGTTTATAAAGAGATTACAAAACCGAAAGACAGGGCGCCTTCAGTGGGCCGCTGTGTTCGACTTTTGCCGCCATAAAAACATAAAAAAAGGCATCACTTTAAACGAAAAACCAAGGCGGATAATTGCAAAAGAAAGTTTTCACCATCGGCCTCGGCATAAAAGGGGATTTCGTCGAGCCGGAAGCAAACAGTCGCCCCCAGAGATTGCTACCGAAATGACCAAGTTTGTTGCAAAGAAAGCCGTCCTGCTGCTCTCCCTGCTCCTCCTGGGCAGCCTGGAAGCCAAGCCATTGGATAAGGAACAGGACCAGGATCAGCATGTACGAAAGGAACGCCAACTGAAGGTTACTGGCTCAACGGATCCTGATATGAAGATGGTGGCCAATGTGACTCCAGCTACGGCATCACAATCCATGACAATGGCCATGGGTGTCCCGATGAATCAGATGGCCCTCAGTTCAGTTGGCGGCCAGTTGGTTAGGTATCCCAACTATCCTGGTCTGATATATCCTGGCATTGCTCCGGCTCCGGGCCTAAATGGCATTCCCGGCGTTCAAACCAACATTGCCAACAACTATCCTTCGTATCCCGATCCCAATCTGCCTGGAGCAGCTCCTGGTCTCAACCCATTTGGACAGTTCGGCTATCCCGGTGTACCACCTATGTATGGCAACAATCTGATGTATCCCAATCCTCAACTGCCCAATGGATTTGTGCCCAATCCTGCTGTGGATAACTATCAGAACCTGAACAACATTGTCAACATGGCCAATGCTCAGGGATTGGGCGGCAGCAACACAGGACTCTATCCAGCACCTCAGGGATTCGGTGGTGCAAATTCGGGACTCTACCCAGCCCCTCAAGGATTTCCTGGAGTCAACCCGGGGCCATATCCAGCCGCTCAAATCAATATGCAGGGATTGTATCCATCACCCGGTGCCTTCCTGAATCCCATGGGAATGCAGGCCTATGCTCCTGGATTTTAAAGGGGTTTTTAAACTCTGTACTCTATAAGATAATTTATTTTATTTATTTTCAAAATACAAGAACATTTAAACAAAAGTTTTTAATCTGGTTTTTAAATATTTATTTTAAGAATTTGGTCTTGGTCTTTCTGGGAAATGTACTTACTAAGTTTCTGATTTTTTGCCTGCCTCTTCGCCAATTTCAAATGATTGGCATATGTCTGCAATAGGTTCAACCCCTTATAACCCAAAGACTAAACTCTTTTTAAGTTACCTCTAATTAAGCAGCAGGTGTCAAGTGCAAGGTTGGTAATTTAGCAGATTTAGCAAACGGGGCCAAAAGGACAAGTTTTGAAAGTGAAACGAACACGCTGATTCACACCCGCCGAGCCATTGAAAATGTTACCGATTTGTACCCTCCAGATAAAGATACCTTTTTTCCAGCACTGATTTACGATCCACAGTGATTTGTTGACCTGCACAATGCACAATTTATCTGAGTACCTGGGGTCATTGATAAGTTACGCAGGTAGTTCGGGTCGGTTCATATGTCTGGGTTAATCCGATAATGGTGTGTATTCAGCTGGGTATAAGAACCGCGGCACTGAGGTCAAGGATCAGCAGTCTAAAGTGAACCTTTGCACCATGAACTACTCAACGTTGAATCACATTCTGATGGTATTACCAGTCATCCTGTTACTTTTAATACACATATGTGAATCCAAGCCTTGGTGGCCCTCAAACGAAGCTGGCTACGATGCCAGTCTGGATCCCGTGGCCTGGTCGAGATCTTTCGTGCCGGATCAAATAAGAAAAACACGCTATAATGCCATACCAGAACCTAGAAGCAAACATCGCCATAGACAATCTTCTAATCTTTGGTACCAGAAACCCGTAAATACATATCCCAAAGTGTTTGGAAATGCCAAAAATTACAAGAGATTCCTGAGACGACGTCAGAAAATGGAGGCACGTCAGAGATACGCATACTGGAGGCAATAGACTCTCATCTTATATATACCCCCATACATAGGTGCTAAGCAAATCTTTATATATCTAATAATTAGCATAATAAACAAAAGACTTAAGACACAAAACGGCGGCTTTCTTTATTTTTAGCCTTTCAAGTCGCGCGTCAGCAAAATCCTGACCCGCTTCGATTAGCAGGAGTTCTAAACTAGTTCTCAAGCCTCAGAAAGGTGGAGCCATTATCTTGGCCAAAACAAACACAGACTAAGGTCAAAGCGATTACGTTTCAAGACCATCAACCTGGTAATCGCAATGGCAAACATGATGTAACTATAGTTAGGCCCAAGCTAAAGACCTGAGCAAACCCAACCAACATTTGCACACACTCACTCACTCGACAACCACCAAAAACCCATCCCAAAAGTCTAACAAAAATTTTGGATGAATGAAAGTACGAGTATATTTGGTCAAGATCGCAGATCGCAGATCGCAGCCGTTGCTGGGCCCAGCAACTATGTTGACACTGCGAATTAGCAACTCTTCGCACGAGCCCAAGACCCAGACCAGAAGTATATAAACCTAGTTGTCATGGCACTGGGTATTAAGTACTAATCCAGCCATCATCCATCAATCAGCTATCTCTAATCTGTTTGGAGTCCCTTTAAGTTGCATTAACATGAAGTTCCTCGCTCTGTGTCTCCTCGTCCTGATCGCCGTGATCTCCTGCTCTTGGGCCCTTCCCGTGGATCTGGATAATGGTGAACCACTGACTCTTCTCGAATTGGAAGTGGAACAGGATCCCCAAGTGGATGAACTGGAAGGCGAAAGAATTGTCCGCGGACTTGGAGGTCTAGGCGGACTCGGCGGCAAGTTTGGCGGCTTTGGAGGACTTGGTGGCCTGAAGGGCGGCTTCGGTGGCCTGGGACACGGCTTTGGCGGTGGATTTGGAGGACATGGCTTCGGTGGCGGCTTCGGAGGACTCGGCAGCTTCAAGAGCTTGTTCAACAAGAAGTTCCGCTAATTCAGCAGCTTAAACCCAAATTTTAATTTAAGAATTTACAAAATAAAACTTAGTTAAGTAAAGTTAAAAGTTTCCCGTTTGATATATGGGATTCAGGGCTCCATAGAACTGCAGCTCTGGTTCTGTAGTAGTGGTGGTAATGCCCATCCTGGTTTTAATAGTGGGAGGAGTGGGTGGTTTTGGCTGAAAGCGACTGAGAACTAGACGCACTTGACTAGTGAAACTTCGCCAGAGTTGAAAGGGTTTTGGAACTGAAAAAGGAAAATTAAAATATTTACAATTTTCTTTAATAAGATAACTCACATTACCTAAACTCTGAGGTGGTGCCACTTGTGGATCGAACTCCCGCTCATCGAGAGCTGTCACCACTGCCGCAATGATCCATACCCATAGCACCACCAGACGGAACATTTTTGGAGTCCAGCTGCGTGGCCCTCTTATAAACACCTCCAAACTTAACTTTCCCCCGATTGAATGAACTTGCATAACGTAAATAATTTTATTGCACCCGAATGGGGCAGTACAAAAGAAGTATCACAAAGTCTGCATATTCACATCCAAGTGGGATTGGTTAACCATAGAAGCCGCCGCCGTAGTAGCCACCACGTCCACGGTAACGAGTGCGGGTGACCACGCGAGTTCTTTGGAAGCCACCGCCGAAACCGCCGCCAAAGCCACCGCCATAGTAAGGTGGTGGTGGTGGTGGGCCAAAGAACGGTGGTGGTGGAGGTCCGAATGGTGGTGGTCCGAAGTACTGACGCACTTTCCTGACATTCTCATCTGCAGAATCCGCTTGGGCAGTTTCTCCTGCCTCCAACAGTTGTACGGCTCCAGGTTCGTCTTTTACTACTTCCACTTCCGCTTCCTCAGCTCTTACAAAATTACATAAGAGCAATACAGCAATGCTGAACAAGAATAATATCCGCTTGTGATCCATTTCGTAGTCGTATTCCTTCTCAAAACTTCATCAAATACTAAAATTCATCGCCCACCTGGGCTTTAATTTATAGCCAAACATTTGCCAAGAACCCCGAGCACCGAGCACCAGCTGGTGTCATAAACAAAGGAGGTTCATTGGCATTAGCTGATTGCCATTGACTGTCTTTTTTTTTTTTACATTTTTCGTCTAATTTCAATCTCAGCCAAGCAGCAAAGCCGCCGAGAATAATTATTGGCTCGAAGAAAAAAAAACCCAAAAAATTCGTATACACAAATACATTAGGTTGACCCAATCTTAATGTGTAGATAAAATGAAATATGATGCGGAAGTGTGAGCAACAGTGGTGCAAGATCTAGATCGATATGGATGGTGTAACTGAATATGGGATTTATAAAGATATCAAAAGGTGTTTCCTAAGAGAGATAAGTTGTTCTAAGCTGGGAAGGAGATTACAGAGAATAAGAGGCGGCTTCTTGGGGAATCTTTGGGAGTCTTTCATATCAACAAAGGAAACATTATCGGGATATCTTCTTTAAGCATTATATTATATATCAACATTTTTTATAGTTTTTTATCTCAGTTTGAAAGTCAGTTAGCACTTTTATGAATCACTAAAACATTAAGTTTTCCTAAGCATTTAACAAAGAAAGTTCAGACAAAATCTAAGCAAAAGTCATAACTATGAACTCTAACAAAACTGACTTAAAGAACTCCTATAAAAAGAAATCCCCCTTTAACGCTTACGAATTAGCCATTCCCATTAACCAATTGCTCTCCAAGCCAGCCAACTTGACCCACTGTAATCGCTTGATGGCTTGTTGTTTACCACTCAAAAAGCCCATCCGCTTCGCCTCGCGCGATATTCGACATATATACTATATATATATATATATATTTAAGCAAACAACGACGAGAGACTCTTCCAGAAATATCAAAAACGACCAAAAAGCAACAACCAGTTGAAAATGGAATATGCAAGCTCATCGAATTCGTTGATTCCCAAACACACTCGGCAAAATGAAACTCGATCTCGCCCAGTCGTTTTGTTTATTCATTGTTTACACTAGATTGGGTCTCGAGACACACTTAGAGTTATTCGGAAACATCTAGCCAAAGAAACCGCCTTTGAATTTGGCAAAACCCACAGCACCGCCAACAAAACCACCGCCTCCGACGCCACCAAGTCCACCTAATCCTCCACCGCCAATTGGGTAGCCTCCTCCAAGTCCATTATAGCCATAACCATAACTAGGAATCGTTTGTACCGTGGATATGCTGGAGACAACAGGAACAGTGGTGATTACGGGCACGGTGGATACGACAGGAACTGCTTGAATGGCAGGGGCTGCTACAATGGGTGCAGCTACTGCTCCTCCTCCAATGATGCCACCACCGACGATTCCGCCACCACCAAATCCTCCAATATGACGGGGTTTACGAATAATTTCCTGATTGCTGCTGGAGAGGATCGGTGTGGCGCTAACGACGGCGCACGCCAAGACGAGCAGGTAGACCGACTGCCACAACATGATGGGGTTAACTGTTTGGTCTGCCCCACTCCCAGCTGCTTATTTATGCAAATTAATTAGTGGCCACTGTTTGCACTTCCAATTGGCATAGATCGGGGCGCCCAGCTTCATAAGAAAAAACCCCAACAATCTCGAAGGCCTAAGCTCTGTTTTTTGGCGGTTCTAGTTGTGGAATCATGGTTTTGCCCATCATAGTTCACACCTCATCATCGTCATCACTTGTAGTCTGAAGGTCGCTGGCCTGGGCATTAAAAACCAGGTGACTCTGGGTAAGGTAACTCACATCGATATTGGACACCCAACCAAGATGAGGTGCGATCTGCAAGTGCAAGTTTTCCTGTTTTTCGTAATTAGCGTTTGGATGACTGAAGCTCATGCCCTAGGAGGAGGTGGTATCGGAGCTGTTGGAGGAGTAGGAGCTATTGGTGGTATAGGAGCCATTGGTGGAGTGGGTGGAATCGGAGGAGTTCAGCAAGTTCCCGTCGTACAGCAAGTTCCCGTTGTCCAGCAAGTTCCTATCGTACAACAGGTGCCCGTCATCCAGCAACAGCCACAAGCTCTTGGTCTCGCAGGAGGAGGTGGTTTCATTGGCGGCGGAATCGGAGGAGGTGCCGGCTTTGGACGCTACAAGGAAAGCTATCGAGTGAGAGCAAGGGGATTCGGTGGTGGCTACAGAGCCCGTTATGATAAGAAGTTTGGAGGAGGATTCGCTGGATTTGGAGCTGCTGCAGGAGCGGGGGCAGCGGGAGGCGGTCTGCTGGGATAAATAGTTAAAAATTATTTAGTTAAATTAACAATTATAATAAAAATAAAAAATTAAAACCTTTTACTTTCATTTATTTCATTATAAATAAATTTAATTTAATTTAAAAAATTTTCGTTTTTTATTCTGTTTCTCATATTTCTAAAGATATTTCAAATAATTTTGCAATAAACACCCTGTATTTCTTCCGCTCTGGACTTCTGCTGACCTGCGCATAATCCACCCCCAGCCAAAGTCCCCATGGCGCTCTGTGTTCTCCCACATTCTGGTTTCCCGCTCTCTGGTGGTGCATTCTGTCCCATTCATTTCCGTAGTCGCTCCACTTACCCAATCTCTCTCGCTCTTGGTCAGACATAATTCTCTCTCTTTACTAGCTTTTACTCTTAAGAAAAATACAACACTGGTTTAAAAAACGTTTTCAAATTATCTTATCTTAATTATCATGCTTTGGAAAACTAAAATATAAAATAATAAAAAAATAAAAATAAAATATCTTTTAAAAATCAAGTTTAAAATGTTGAGTTCCAACAAATAATATTTCAAAAATGGTTTCAAAAAGTTCATATTGTTTTTAAACTATCTTCTTAAACTAAGAGAGAGCTTAAGAGTTACGGCAAAAGCTCTTTGCATTAAGAGCTCAAAGAGATTCATAAGAGATTCGTGACATGGTCATCGTGGTCGCCTCGACGTACAAATGAATTCCTGAAATTAAACGTTGTTCTTTTCCCATCGTGTGCAGACGCTCTTGCTCCCGTTATTCGCCGTTCTGGGATTCCCGCTGGCGGACTCTGGTGGCCATCACCTTGATTATCCTTTTGTGGAATATGTGAAATCCTCGGAACTACCAAAAGGGTATCAGAAAAACAATAACGGTTAACTTAACTAGTGCGCAATATTAGTGGCCTAAAAATAGCTTAGGAAAATTATTTGTGAAAATAGCAGACATGCCGTGTTATTGTGCCTCTGTGTGTGCGTAAATGTCTGCGAGTGAAGTGGAAATTTAAAAATAAAACAACGCTGGGACTAAGTGAAATCCGTTAGTACCGTATTGGCCAACAGCCCAGAAAAACTCCAGGTGATAACCTCGATTTGAATGATTGTTCGCCTTTTCTTTTTTTTTTTTTTGCCATATTTTGTTGTTAATCAAATTCTCTGGGGAAAACTTTCAATACGCTCTCGGGGAAATCTCTTCTCTCTTTTTAATGCCAATGTCTCTTTTGTTCTTCTCTTAAGCCACCGCTATTTTCGGTATGACCAAATTGCCTTCTTGGTTTGTTTTAAAGAACTCAGTGCATTTACTTGAAGTTTTCAATTTCCCTTAGAAGGGGTTGTGGTGTTGCTGTCCTGGCACCTGCCTTATCTTTCAGCCACAAGGACCGCCTTTGTCTACCCACGCCACATCCATATTTTCAATTGACAGAAACCAGGCAACGTCATTATTTCTCTTTTCACCAGACCTCTTGGCCTGTCTCGATTTTTCTCAGCGTAATTAGTGTGATTGGGGCCAAAACTTGACTCGCTTTCTTGGCTTCTGCTTGTCATTTGCTTGATTGGCAGCAGTAATAGTTGCAAATGCAACAAGGCCTCAAAGGGAAAAGCCTTGGAACTATAGTAAAAGAAACCAAAAATATACTTTTCTGGGTGGAAAATGAATTGCTTAAATGACAATAGGTTAATTTTAAGTCCTTATATACATTTTTCATAATATTAGCATCTACTTTTCTTTTTTAAAGTATTTAAAATTTTATATTTTATTAGGCTTATTAGTATTCCATCCATAATTAATCCTTATAAAGGATTCGAAGATTTTATCTACAAACCCCCAAAAGAGGTTTAAGATTTAAAAGTAATTACAGTAAACTCTGCAACCTAACCCTTCAATACCACCAGCAATTTGTAATTCGAGTAAGAAAACATAAAAAGAAACATGTGCTCATACACGATGGTGGTAGTTTAACGAACGGTAGTTATCCTGTAGGTAAAATTGCACCACCCCGTGAGAAATAAAATACCCTGAAATGTGGCTGCAACCCTCGGATCCCACGCACTGACGTCGCTGCAACTCACCCTGAAAACTGTTTGTAGTTTCAGCCTTTTGCTGCTGGGTGGCTGTATGTGTACTGACGAGTATGTAGTTCAAGGTCGTTGGCCAACTTTTCGGAAAGTGGCCGCGGGCTGAGATGTATGTTGGTCTCATTACCACACTCATACTCATATGTATACAGAGAAGCTGAAACTCGAGACCCCTAGTGGCAAGTTGAAGGACATGAGAATGCCCCACTTGAGACGCTATTCTTGGGCTCCAAAAGTAACCACTCAGTTGACACTAATCACCAGCACCCACAACCACAAGATTTCATAGAAACGTGGCACTAATGAGCACCGGTCATGCAACGTGCCAAGGTGTTGGTGACCCCTGCAGAATATGGCACCTGGCCAAGTATTCTTCTTCCTTTTACCCAATCCTACAATATAGCAACAGGAGGAGCAGTCATTGAACATTTAATGGAGTGCAGATTGCAACTGAGGGCGCCTATATTCCGGGCCAATGGGCAGATGAAAGTGACCATAAATCCAAAGCCTGCTCTAATCAACTTGCCCCCTGGCTAGAAGCCAACAGCGAACGCCCCACTTGGCCAAGCTTAATGTCAGCTAATTGCATTGGCTCCGCTGGCCGGGAGCTCTTTAGACTTGGCGTCGTCAGTGGGGATCCCCTGTCTCTGAAAGTATCAGGTTCAATGGGGTGCAAACTGTTGTTATGGTAACTAGACAGTGGAGCTTCAATAGGTTGTGATATAATCAACGATTTTAAGTTCTTTAAAAACATTTTAATACATGAAATCTAACTCTGAAGTGAATATTATTATACTTCTCCTATAAAGCAGATTAATATACAACTAGAAATATTTTTCATAGATATTCTATATAGTGAGTCGCCTTATAGAGTACATCCTGTATGTTAAAATCCGTGACAAAGCTTTGGCAACATTTACCAGTGTTTGGTGTCCTTTGTGGCGAGTGACGCAAAAGAAGTCACTTCGTTGGGGGTGGGATTGGTTATGATGTTTATGGTTGTTGGGCAGTGGGTGGTGGTGGGCGGTGAGTGTCAGCCTTGGGCCTGGAATTATCATTCGGCTTTCGTCTGGCCCCGCTGGCCCCCTGTTGACATGTTTATGCGCAAATTTACCAAGTCTCTCTCTCCGTTTGTTGTTAAAGTCGCATATCGATTTTGTTAACTCGATTATAGGAACAGCGCCAAAGGATAAACTGTAAAGGATAAGCAAGGACAGTGACTCGTCGACGGTTGTGTGACATGCTAGCAGCAGTTATGGCATCGGACATCAACTGGGATCCAGGTTAAATAACTTACTAAGACTGTCAAAAATGATAAATTAATCTTTTATCAACTTTTTAGCTCTTTCCAAACTGATCAGCACGCTCAAGGAGTCAGAGAATCTGTCCAATGACCAGGAAATTGACTTCCTAAAAGGCTCTGCTGGAATCCAAGGAGCTAAATGCCCTTGTCAATGTCCACACCAAGGTGGCCAAGGTGGGTCGAGATGATCGACTGGCCCCTGTGCTTTCTACCTCCGCCCAGGTGTTGTATGAGGTCCTAGAGCAACTCTCCCAGCAGTGCCACCTGAATGATGATTGCAAAGAGGCCTTTCACCTACTCCAGGACTCTCATCTTCAGGTGAAAATTGTTTTTTATTATTAAAAGTAAGTTTTTTGATAACAATTTGTAACTTTCAGCACCTTCTATTCGCCCACGATGCCATTGCCCAGAAGGATTTCTATCCGCACCTGCCGGAGGCGCCTGTCGAAATGGATGAGGACGAGGAGACCATCAAGATTGTGCAGCTCGTTAAGAGCAACGAGCCTCTGGTAAGTTTTTATCCAGTGGGAGCATCGTTTTCCATTTCCATGCCCATCTCATCGCCGTGATCGCTGTTCTGTGCTGTCCATCGCTTTTCACTGTCCACTCTCGAAATTCATTTCCATCCCAAGACCGTGTCCTTAACTTTCATCGCCCTCCGACCTTCGCCTTTGCCAACTGCTCCTCTCTGCGCCTTCATTCATAATCGTACTTCTATTGTTATCGCCGTCATGTCAAACTCTTCCCAATGCTAATCAATTTTGTAAACTTTGCCTTTGTAAAAATCGAATGAAATCGAATCAATTTCTTGAATTCGCCCATAAAAAAAAAACATCAACAAAAATGCATTTGAAACCAAAAATATAAAAAATCAAAAAAAAAATGTATAAAAATAAAACACAGACAGGAGCACAGAGTGCGGAGCCAATTGTTGTAAGTAATCAAATGTCCATAGACGTAAAAAATGTCCACTGTAAAAAAACAGAAACCCTTTCGCCAAGCACTAAAAAAAAACAACAAAACAACAGCCAGGATGCTGTCCACACACACCAAGATACATGACATAAGATACATTACGTTGTCCCCATTCCGTTGTTGTCGTTGTTGTTGTCTTTGTCGTTGTGACACATCCATCAGATACACATACATCGAAAACATCGGAAACCGCACTTCACACAGATACACAGAAACACTCACAACACCACACGCACACATACGCACCATCTATTGAGTTTCTAGTTATATGTATTGCCTACTTTTAGGGTGCCACCATAAAAACAGACGAGGAGACGGGCAAGATAATCATTGCCAGAATTATGCACGGAGGAGCTGCAGATCGCTCTGGATTGATACACGTCGGTGACGAGGTTATCGAGGTCAACAACATCAACGTGGAGGGCAAGACTCCAGGCGATGTGCTCACTATACTGGTAAGTAAACCTGCAACACGATCAATAAAGTCAAAACTCTTATAAAATTTATAATTCCAGCAAAACTCTGAGGGTACTATTACCTTCAAGCTGGTTCCCGCGGACAACAAGGGCGCCCAGCGCGAGTCCAAAGTGCGGGTACGGGCCCATTTCGACTACAATCCCGATGTAGATCCTTATATACCGTGCAAAGAGGCTGGCTTGGCCTTCCAGCGCGGAGATGTTCTGCATATTGTGGCCCAGGACGATGCCTACTGGTGGCAAGCACGCAAGGAGCATGAACGCTCGGCGAGAGCTGGTTTGATTCCCAGTCGGGCGCTACAGGAACGCAGAATCCTTCACGACCGATCGCAGAAGGATGGCATTGATCTAGACTCAAAGCGTAAGCATCCCAGGTTGCCAGCTCATTGGGCCCATAACATACGCTCTCCATTTGCATGACTAAAATTGCTCTAATTTCATGATTCATCTTAATCCCGTCATCTAACCCCAATTGGCCCCATCCATCAACCAACCTAACATTGCCATCGCCAGCCGGATCATGCGCCTCACTCTGCACCACCCCACCTGGCTCCCCGCGTCTGCCGGCCAGCAGCAGCAGTTCCTCTTGCCGCCAGCCAAAGACTAAAAAGATCATGTATGATTTGACAGAGAATGATGACTTTGATCGCGAGCAGATCGCTACGTATGAGGAGGTGGCCAAGTTGTATCCCAGACCAGGAGTTTTTAGGCCCATAGTGCTCATCGGAGCTCCCGGAGTGGGTCGCAATGAACTGCGCCGGCGGCTGATAGCCAGGGATCCTGAGAAGTTCCGTAGCCCAGTTCCTTGTAAGTATGGATGAAGAGTAGGAAAAATGAAAGATATCTAACCGAAATCCTTTCTCTTTTGCAGACACCACCCGACCAATGCGAACTGGAGAAGTGGCTGGGCGAGAGTACATCTTCGTGCCACGCGAGAAAATGGACGCGGACATCGAGGCGGGCAAGTTCGTAGAGCATGGCGAGTACAAGGGCCATTTGTACGGAACCTCGTCGGAGAGTGTCAAGTCAATCGTGAATGCCGGATGCGTTTGTGTGCTGAGTCCGCATTACCAGGCGATCAAGACTCTGCGCACAGCCCAACTGAAACCGTTCCTCATCCATGTGAAACCACCAGAGTTGGATATCCTCAAGGCTACGCGAACGGAGGCCGGGGCAAAGTCCACCTTTGATGAGGCGAATGCCAGGAGTTTTACGGATGAAGAATTCGAGGATATGATTAAGTCAGCGGAACGAATTGATTTCCTGTACGGACATTTCTTCGACGTGGAACTGGTCAATGGCGAACTGGTCAATGCCTTTGAGCAGCTTGTGCAGAATGTGCAGCGTCTGGAGAACGAGCCAATATGGGCACCATCCATGTGGGTGCAGTAGATCGGATGCCAAATGTGGAGGAGCATTTCATGCAATTTGTTGAACAACACCAAAGTATTTTTGCCATACGAATTTAGCAATCTGCTAGAGAGAGAAAGAAAGAGAGAAACGGAGGAGAAGAGACACTATTAACCCGTAGGCGGTCCTGCTGGCCACTCCCGTCCGGCCTTAGTCCTTTTCACGACATGTACCTTTTTGCGTAACAGTGAAAACAAAGAAATGAATACAATAATAGTAAAAGAAAAAGAAAATAAATTATGGAGAAAGAAATTTAAACTCAAAAAAAAAAAAAACATCAGCTATCTTAAAATTACGATAAAAATTAAATTATAAAACTTGTTGTACAAAAATTTATTTGTGTTCAAAAATGGAGTAAATTATAAATGTATTTATTACACGTTGTTGAAATCAAAGTACAGAGTTAATACCCTTAACCCATGTAACCCAAAACGCTAACCGAATTGTATCTCAATTGTATATACACACACACACACACACTCACTCACTAACTAGAGCATATTGGATACAATGTGAAAATCTGTGTAAGATGTCTCTCATTTGGAAAACTGATTTCATCAAGAATGTAGTGACAAATTGTTGAAAACAAGTGAGAAATTAATAAAAACCTATTTTAAATGCGATTCTAGACTGTTGATAGGACATACATTAGACCTATTTAGGGTAGAGAAGACTTAAACACAGCTTTATTTGGGCAGCACACTTGTTGACATATTGACATGCTCATGTACATATATAAATATAATCTGTCACCTATGTTAACCTATGGCGTATATATGTATGTGTAAATTAGTAGCTTAGGCATATGAAGTCTATCCAGGATGTATTGTTCAGTTTTCTTGATTGTTTTTTCTTTACTTGATTTTGCTTGTAATGCGAAGACAAAGTTCTAATTTCACATCTTCCAGGTATCGCTGTTGTCTATATCACGATATCCCCCCCCGCCAACTTACAGCTAGAGTTGTGATTTCGTTCCCGAACGGGACGTGCTTAGTCCGTAGAATTGTGCCAAACGTCTGGCCTCGCGCCATCCTGCCTCAACTGCTCCATGGACCGTGGAGTAGTAGTGTTCACTAGAAGCCTCTCCTGCAAACTGTACGATAGGTCTATCGCAACGACTCTGCTGCCACAGCTCATCCTCCGCATCATTCTCTTTCTCTGGTGTTGTGGCCACCACAGTTAGAGGATAAGCCAACTCCCGTGCTCCAGTTCCCAGCTGCTCCGTGTCCATGGATCGATAGGAATATGATCCCCTGAAGTTGTCATTTGTATACCAAGCAGAGGTACGGAAGTTCGACGGCTCGGGGATTTTCCACTTAAGAAATCTTCGGAAGAGAGACATCACACCAGCTTGGACCTCATCCGCGGGCAGAGTTTCCATATGCCTGCCATTTTCATTGGTGATCCAGCCAGCCAGTATCCTGGGCTGATAGCTCACCCTGTAGAAGCCAAAGACATCTTCCAACCATGCCCGTGAGGTATCGCGGATATCATTCAGATCCTCCTCCCTCCAGAGCAGTGTAAAACCCGTCCAATCCTCTGGCCAAAAAGCCTCGGGAAACTCCACAAAGATCTTGTTGACCGTTCCAAAAGCCAAACCGTCGATTGCACGTTGTTTCTCCACAGGAAGCTGTGGCTCGAACAGCCGGAAGTGCTGATCCTTAAGAACTCCCAGTGATACGGTGACCACTACATGGTCGGCAATACAGGTGTCTCCATTGCTCAGTTGCAGCTCCACACGTCCATCGTTTCGGTTCCAGTTGATCTTCAGCACTCGAGTGGAGAGAAGTAATCGTTGCTCCAGAACTCCTTGCTCCACTTTCAACTCCCTAGAACGCATCAGGAGTTTCAGCAGCTCCACATAACCCTTGTCCTTCCAGTTCAGCAGGATGTCGCCCTCGCACTCCCAGTAGTCCAGGTAACCCCGCCCGGAAACCTGTTCCAGCGTATCCGAGGCTTCGACGGAGTTTTCGAATTTCTGATAATTAACAAAGAACTCCCTGGCCACCTCGGAATCTATGTCGGAGTTTTCTGGTCGCCGGAGAGTGTCGTAAAACTTATTGTTTAGATAGCTGCCCAAGGATCCGCTGCAGTGTCGCAGCTCCAACTGCCGGGTGACCAGGGAATCACCAACAATAGCTTTCAAACGACTGGCTATCTGGTCGGGAACCACATCTCCGTTGGACCTGACACACTCGTAGTTCTCATACACCGGACCCGTGGATTCCAAAAGCTCCTCATCATGTTTCCTGGTCAGTTCGTAGACAATATTATCCCTTTCGCCGTGACACCACTGGGCTCCCAGATCAATGACATTGTCCGCAAAAGGAATTGTGTGTATGCGACCACCTAGACGATCCTCAGCCTCCACGACAAGAACATTTTGGAAGCCCAATTCCAGGAGTTTGGTGGCACAGGCCACACCCGATGCTCCTGCTCCGATGACAACGATCTTGCGATCCAGATTCCGCTGTGCTCCACTCATTCCGGGTAACTGAATCTGTTTGGGAAATAAAGGGGTGACGGAGCCACCACCAGGAGAATCGCAAATTAAATAAAAAACACCATGAGTTTGAGGGTGGTGGGTTAGTGTGAGCAAGTGGGACGGTGACAATTGAGCATGCACTAAGAGAAATTACGTATACGTTCAGGAAACACATTTTATGTTAAGTCTCAAACTATTTTGGTTAAAAATTGCTAATCTGTTCCTATTTTAACACTTTGTTTATTTTGAGAATTTGCTTAATAAATTGCTAAACATTTATTTATTCGCAGTCACGCTTAAGTACTATGTTCTCAACAATTGATTTCAACTAACTGAACGTGATTTTTGCCATTTTGTATTTTTATGAAAAACTTGTATATATTAAACACTTTTAAAACCAAAAACAACAAACAAAATTGAACTTATCCTCGGAAAGATAAGCGAAATTGAAGCTTATTTAGGTCAAACTTTAATCACATTTTAAAAATTCCCCGGGAAATCCAAATTTCAAAGTGTATAATAATACAATTTGCTTTCAAATTTCCCAACCTGCTTTCCCTTTCACTTTCAAAAATAGCTTTGTAAATTGATTTCGCAACGACTGAATTACCTATTATATCAAAAGCAATATATAAGAAGTCTAAACATAAATAACATACATCTTAAAATCCTTATTGATGATTTAAAAAAACAATCTTAAGCTAAACAAATTTTCACTTATTTTCTTCCAGTGCACACTGGCACTGCCTTAGACGATTTGTTTATGGAATTGGTGCATTGCAATTCCAGGCACTTGAGTTTGTTCTCCGCGCCGCCCACTTTTCCGACCATAATAAAGATGTCATTTGATTAAAAACGTAACGGAGTGACCGCTCATCTGTTTCGATAACGAATTTCTTCCCGCAATTCCGACTTTTGATAAGAGTTTCGAAAAAGCTCCCCACACTTAAAAAAAAAGAAGGAAAACCCAGAGCAACACTTTCGACCAGAAGGAAAACACACGAGCACAAAGACAGGCATTCACAAATATATTCACTCGCTTCTGGCAACATGTATTTATTAATAGCCATAGTAGCCAAGGGAAAGTATGGGGAGGGAAAAGGTGGGCCATGAAATCCCAGAAGGAGTATCTAGCCAACCGGACCAGCTGGTTTTACCTGGAGTTCACTTGAAATCTGTTTTTTGTTGCCAGCAAGATTAAGTGGGAGGGAAATGGAAAGCGGCATCCACCTTCTGTCGTTTGGCATTGATTTTATATTTTTGGCCATAAAAAAATGTTCAAGGTTTTCCATTGACAAACAAAAAATACAAAAAGAAAATCAACCACAAACATTCGAGAGGAAATTTAACTTTAGGGGTGAGATAATGGATGGTTGATGCACTTGACAGGCTCACTCCCACTCACCAAAATAACTTCGAATAACCGTTTAGTCGAATTTATTCAACAATTGAACATTTCAACCGGAACTCTAACTAAGTATATAGTATATATACTTGCTGCTAGAAAAAACTCCAGCTCCGCGTAAAATGCAAACAACACTGAATGCCGAAAACCGAAAACATCACATGGAAACGTGCAGCACTGCCTTGTGCTTATGCTGTGACCAGGGGAGTAGTTCAGATTTATTTTGGGGGCTATGTTCTATGCCTTTTATGGGTATCCCCTCGACAACGCCTCTGGCACCCCTGCGCAGACTGTAAGCTTGCCAAAAGCTCTGGGCAAAAGCACCCAACACAGCTGAGTGAGTGGGTAAATCGAGTGGGTTGTCGAGTGGTTAGCGGCATTGAGAGAAAATGAGGAAGGGACCAGATCTCCCTTCAAGTGCACAGAGAAAAATTTGGTTATTAATTGAATTTTCAAGTAAAATATTCAATTTTCTTTTAGAAGAATTTGGGAGAAAAACTTTCCTAAACTCTTAATACATGTAAGTGAATTCCCTTCTCAACTTTCTTTTCAAAATATCGACCTTAATTTTCCTTATAAAAATCCTCAAAACTTATGACCAATTTAATACATATTTTATTCTCCGTGCACTTATTTAGTTTTCCTTTAGGTAACCCGTAAAAAGTTTATATCTTTAGCTTTAAATTATGATTTTAATTTTATATATTTTTATATTTACTCAACTGCATACAAGTTTTTGCTAGATTTGGTTAGAGGAATTTCCTAAGACTCTTCGTTAAATAACTCGTTTGATATTGGTAGGTCCATTTTATATATATATATATATTGTATTATATATATATGTAGATATATCCTTCGATGTATGTACAGGTCAGTTGCAGTATCCTTTGGCCAAAACGGGAATGACAGAACTCTGGAGCACTTGGTATATAAGTAGTTAGTTTATCTTTTATTACCCGCCTACATTGACTTTACATGATCATCTCTATCCGTAGCTTTGGAATTACATTATGTATATATATATATATTCAGTGGCTGGTAATAAATTTGGTTAAAATTTTCACGTGTATATACAGCAAGGGAGTTTACTTGGAATATGCTGATAATTCGTTTAAATAAACATTATTTGCGTTGCTTTTAAGGAACGGAATTCAAAAACCAAGCCAAGTCATAAATAAAACTAATTTACACTAAATATAACCGATTTCAAAAACACAACGAAAGCAATTACAAAATAATAAACAAAATTATCACAAACAATAACAGCCCGGATAGGATGAGAATGGCGGCCCACTGTCGTTTATCTGCGGGTAAAAATTGATAAAGTTAGTTATATATGCGTTATAATGGACGGAAGAAGTAAAGATTGAGTAATTTTCGATTGTTAATTACTAATCGTGATGACTAATTTAATTTCTTAAGCATTTGTCATATTTAAATGAAAGATCTTTTTAATTAGTAATCCTCAAACAAAAATTCCCTTCTTAATACCTCGAAAACCAAACCACTCACCATTATTCATATGCAAGACTTTGGCAACTTTCTTCATGGTCGTGTCCAGCTTGGACTCCGTGGTATCGAACTCGTTACCAAAGTCATCCAACATCACCGCCTGCTCATCGAGCTCGACGCCAATTTGTCGCGAGACCGTCTTCAGAGTGCCAATCGAATCACTGATCATGTCCAGCTGCTCATCCTGACCCTGGATCATGCGTTGCTGTATGGACACCGTTTCGCCCACATACCTATGACTTGGACTATCCATACCGCCGTGATGCGTCTGTCCATAATGACTGGGACTATCCAAGGCATTTTCCAGTTTGGAGTACTTAGTGCCACTATGGCGGGAAGCTGCTGCCGCTGCTGCTGACATGGTTCCAGCTATGGTATTGGCCACCGCTTGACTTCCACTATTGATCAGGGAATTGCCGTTGGGACACTCCACCAAATACGTACGATCGTTGTGCGGATGCTGATGGTATTCGTTTGAATTGGAATTCGAGTTGGGTATGGCAATGGAATGATTGTGATTGGGGCTATGGCGATCGTTATCGAGTAGAGGTTGGTGTGCGGTGATGTCTCTGTCCCGGCTACGGTTCAGGCTCATCTTATCCTTCATCTGCTTGACCTCATCGCGAGTGTTGTCGATGAAGTGGCGCCGGCTGGAGAGTTCACGGTTGTCGATTCGAAACTTGCTAGGGTTCTTCTCAACGATGCGTGTTAGTCGGAATGTTTAGGGTTAAGGAGAAAACCTTGGTTTAAGTTTATATAGTCGATTGGTCCGACTTAAAGATACCCAGTACTCGTGTGTAATAGCAAAAACTTCGTCTAAAAGTTAAAGTTTAACAGAGAAACTTTAAAAAACTTATCAAAGTACATAGGTATAACAATATAATTTAAAGAAGACCCCAAAAACGGACATTGAAAACTGATTCATCACCCTTTAAACCCTTTGAGTACTGGGTAACGAATTGATTTTCCAATGGATTGCTTTGAAAAAAGGATATTGATAGTGTCCTCGAGGTCCTCGAGATCCCACTCAATGCTTCGCAGCGAGTTACGCAGCTCAGTGGTAGTCCATTCAGCCTCCGTTCCGCCGTTCTCACCCAACTCCCGCCAACGCAGATAAAGGCCGCGGGTTTTGTTCAGAGCTTTGAATACCTCGCTATAGGAAATGAAAAAAAAAAGCAGAGGGATAAGTTAAGGGGAAATTCGAGTCAAGCTGCAGTTGCCATTAAACGAAATGTGGTGGAACCTACTCCTTGACTACGAAAAAGGGATCCTCCAGAGACATGCCGTGTTCTCTTCTTGACCCAAGCAGAAATTAACACTCCTAGCAGTTTTTCACCAGCGTGGCGCACTTGATGGTTATTTTCATGGATTTTTCCGGGCAAAAACCACCCCCAAAATCCAAAGGGGGATGTACGGAAAGTGCAAGTTGGTAATACCAAGGCAAACACTTTGGGGGTTACATCAAATATTAATCCAAAGTGGGACTGAATTTGATGTTTTCTATCTTTTTTAGCAGGAATTTCACAATCAACTGGGTTTTATCTTTTGGCCAGCAAGCAAAGTTTGCACAGCACGTTTATTGATTATTGCACTTGAGGTGCCGTGCCGCTTATCGCCCGATTTCTCTATAGATTCCGCCGATGGCCCAGAGAACACTGTCGTTATTCGCGCTCCGGAGGCTAAAACATATCCAAAGAACCATTGGCATTTGTTTACGCCGCTCTCGCGCCTGCGCATGGTCCACTTTTCTTCCAACCCCCAAAAATACAACCGTTATTCCAAAACAACCCGAAATATGGCCAAAAAGAAGGAATTCCACAACAAAAGTTGGCCAAAATGACAGCACTATTTTGATTCACTTGGCTCACCTGCTGTTCGTTGCCACCTCATTTAGCAAGCTTCGATCCAAGAACACGGTGACAGACTTTTAATTTAAGTACGCACGAGAGAATTTAGTACTATTTACTTTAAATAATTTGTTTTATTTTTGTTTTGCTGCCAACAAAATAAACCGTCAGACTTAGTATGACCTTATTGCGATGATGGATTTTTCTCAAATTTATTTTTGGTATATATCGGAAGCAATGAAAATCCGATATTTAACGGACTGCTTTTGTGGCAACTCTATTTTCAAAAATATGTTTTCGTTAAATTGAATGCCGAAGGTCTCCCAAAACCTTTAAAGTATGGCAAAAAGATCAATAAGAATATTACCTATACATTACTTTTTTAATACTAAAGAAAACAGAAACGAATATAAATTTTTAAGCTTTTTTTGATTTTATGACTAAGTATGGCCAAGTCAGACTCCTATACAGTATTTTCATAGTACGACTGTCACACCAACAACCGTTATCCGTTTTAGACCGCTGTCAAATAAGTTTGAAAAGTGCTTGGAAAATGTTGCAAAACGACGCGGTGCGAACTTTGCAATATGATAGTGAAATACGCGTGGCCCAGCAGCCAAGTCCCTCAGAACCAAGAGGTAAATTAGGGATATAGTTTTAGAAAAGCAAATCAAAACACTATGTGAATCACCCATGGACATTGGTAACTGACTTGTTACCAACTGATAAGCATTGCACCGGATTAATTATTATTGGTAGCGAGAGTGTGTGTCACAGTTCGACACAAATATGCGACTACAAGTTGGCTATATCTTATCGGCTAGCGTTTTGTTGTGGTCTGGTCTCCTCAAGTGTCTTTGTTTGGTACGATCGAATCGACCGATCATACAGTTTATAAAGCCGTACCCAAGAACTTATCTGTATCTTATAGTAACTTTTTTCCTATTCCAAGAAAAGTAATAAAATTTTGAGAAAGGAACCATTACCTTAGTTCATTATTCTCACTACACATTTAAAGAATTGGCAACATTCTATGCCCTACCTTTTGTTACCCCAATATAAACAGTATCGAAGATAATAATATGAATAAAAAGAATCAAGTGTTTTGATTTTTTTTAACTATATTCAAAGCAAAATATAGATAGCCGTTATCGGTGCTGAAAAGTTCAACCACCCTATTTATTTTAAAGTAATTCGATCATTTGGCAAAGTGGGATATATTTTTATTTAACGTATTTTAGCTTTTGAAACTTAATTATATTTTATAATATTCTTAACTATGATGGAATTTTAAATTTTTTGCAATGCTTACTTTCCTCCCTTTTATTTTAGTCTACGACTCCCACATTAGCATCACATCACAGCCTCGGCAAGAGGCTCCACGCATCCCACTTCCGGTGCCCATAGCCACGGTTACGGGCAGTAGGACCTTTATTCCTCTTTCCGGATATGATTGCCTGGCGGATCTGCCATCAGTGCACATTGAACAGACCTTTGAGCTCAATGAGGGTATATATAAAATCCTATTAGTATCCTAAATCTTTCAGTTAATATAAACATGTATTTCCGAAAGCTCTAACTGCTGTCTCCTCTGAGAATCGTTATGTGGTGCGATCTCCATTGGGTGATGCCATATTCGCGGCCAGCGAAAGTTCCACAGAGAAAAATCGACTAGTATGGGGAGCAGGGCGACCATTCCAAATGCACCTTCTTGACAAAACCCATCAGGAAGCTTTGGTTTTCCGTAAGAAACTAGCCTTAGGATCACTTTGCTGTCAGCCAAAAAGTCTAGAAATCTGGATTCCACCTGGTAATGTTCTGGGAAGAGTTGTGCAGTCACCAACACTGACACAGCCAGAGTTCTTCATAGAAGATGGAAACACTGGTCAGCCTGTGTTTTGTGTGGAAGGTCCTGCTAACTCAGGATTCTGCTGTTTCTGCCTGCCCAGGGAGTGTTACTTTAAGGTTAGTAATTTATTTGCATTTAAGGATAACGTAAGTTATATGTTCATCTCCCTGCAGATCCATTCTGGTGGCAATATGAGGGCTTCCATAGATCACAAATGGGTGACCAGCAAGTCACAGTATACCACAAATATTTACTTCAGTGATGTGAAGCTAACCGCCAAAGAGCGGGCCTTGATACTGGGATCAGCCTTTTTACTGGTAAGTACCTTCCAAATAAAAAATTTTTCCAGATTAATGTTAAACTATATTTTTTCTAGGAATATTTGTACTTCCAAACCCGCTTCTAACCAAAAACAACTTCAATAAACCTTGTATATTCACATTGATTTCTTTATTTTTTGTCATTTTTTTTTGTATAAGATTTTATGTTTGTTTGTGTTGTATTTTTTTTTCAGTTTTTTGATATATTTTACAATAATGTAATAGATCACTTCATTTTCTTGTTGTTTAACCACATACATACATTCAAATATATATAGATATACATATATATACATATATCTATGTGTATATATACGTTGCTGTAGCATTTGCCATAGCAGTTTGTACAATAATTTTCATTTATATCTATCAACTTTGTGTAGTTTGTTTGACTAACCTAACGCTTAATGCATATATGACAACATATTGATTATTTACAGTTAGCTATTCTTCATCATTTCGTTTCTCTTCTGTCAAATACAAAATTAAAACAAACAATTCAAAGAGTCTCGTGGTCTCGTCTCTCGTTTTAAAAATTAAAACAAAACTAAAACATAATTTTGCATTCACCATTTTCATTTGCTCCTCTTAACTTGGCGTGATAACAATTTGAAAATAAGGAAGAACTACGTGATTTTTAGATGATTCAATTTGGATTTGGACTTGGAAAACCAATATACTCAATGTGGGTGTTCTGGTTCTTTTCGTTTTTTTTTTTTTTTTGTGGGGTTCATTATTGGGCTATGCCTTATAAATAACACACTTCTCGGCTCTTTACATTTGTAGATAGACTCACAGCACTTCAGGAGTTTTTGCATTTATGCATTTCGAAAACAAATTATGGTTAATTAATGTATAATATACATATATATATATATACGTGTGCTTGCTGGTTGGCTTATAACTAGGGCTAGCTGATGACGATTCCTTAAACTAAATACTTAAGAGGCAGACCGAAATGATCTGCATGATGGGGGCGACTGCTATAAGATTCGTTTTTAGGCAGTAGTTCCCCTTAGAGTGTTCACACTGGAATAGCTGACTCGCTTATCTGGCTCTATCTAGCCTATCATTTGATTACGATACGCGATTAGCCCAATATTAGTTGGTGGGTCTTATAGGCTAGCTCCTAGAGTAAGTTGTGTGTGTGCCCAAATGCGATATGCTTAGACATTTGATATGCGCTCGTTGGAGGTGGTTTGGTCATGGCGTCGTCCCTCGCTCCTAGAATTATAGATGGCGTACTGACTGTTGTCTAGATGATAGACCGCCGGATACTGATAACCTCAGCTGGGCTGCAGCATGTACATATACTGTCAGTTACTGGCCGCTCCTGAAGCAGCCACGGGCACGGGCACGGGTACAGGCAGCTCCTGGCTAGATCGAGCTCGCTTCTCACCATTGTTTTCTGCCGGATTATCGCTCTCCTCGCCAGTGCTGCTAAAACTTCCTGGCAAACGACGCTTCAGGTTATGATTCAAGCCGTTGGTAACCGTTTCATCCTCGGACATGGAGCTCGCACGCTTGGGTGTGTTCCCAGCACTGTCATTGTCCAGCGAAGCTATAGCATTGGCAATAGCAACACTAAAGCCGTCTTCAGATGCACTATCCTGCGATACAGGACCAGTTCCATCCTGGGCCAGTTGCATCATGCCAGAGGGTGTGGTATAGCTACTCAATTTGCTTGGATCCTTCTCCAGCAGTTTCTGGGCCAGCAACTTCAGCGATATAAGCGAATTTTCACAGTCGCTTGTATCGATTTCTGTAAGACTTATCCCAGCACGTTCAATTTCGGCGAAAGTTCCAAATGGCAGCTTCTGCAGGCACTCCAGCTTCTGGACATGTGTCTTCGAACGCAGATGTTTAGCCAAATGGCCATGGATGCGGAAGGCGATCTTGCAGTCCGTGCACTCAAAAGGTCGTGGATTCGAGGTAGTTGGAACACCAAACGTGGACGTCATCATCACCTTGTTCTTGTGCGCCTCCGATCGCTCGTGTTTCTGCAGATGTCCCTGCGTGCGGAAGGATATACTGCAGGGTTCACATTTAAATTTGCGTTCCATGTAGTGAATGTTCATGTGCAGAGTTAGCTGATGTTGCCGCTGGAAAGTTTTGGCGCAGATGGTACACGTGGGACGTGCATCTCCAGCAATGGGAGCTGGTGGCACTCCTCTGCCGTAGGACACATGCTGGAGATCACTGCTCTTGCTGCTGGGCGTTGAGTTTTTAAAGCCATCTTCACCCACAATCACAGTACGCTGTGTGGGTTGACTTGAGTTGGCGTTAGATGAGGGTACCACAGGAATAGATGTTGATGTAGTTGCTGTCACAGCCACAGACACTGTTGGTTTTGGTGGGGGCGGATTTCCAAGTACTCCCTTGAAATCATTGGCATCCGGTTGCTGCACTGCAGCGGGCAGATTAGCATTATGTGGCTCGACAACTTTTGGCTTCTCCTGATCCGACTGCGCTTTGTTCTCCTCGCTCTCTTCCTCGGTTATCTTAGCGGGAATTGCCGCTGGAGTAACTGGAGTGACAGCAGGAGCAATGGTTGGCAACTCAACGGCTTCCGGAGTCTTAACCTCGTGGACTTCGATGCTAGGAACTTCATTAATGGTCATAACGGGCCGGCTGTTTGTGGTAAACAATGAACTACTGCTGATCACGGGGGACGCCGCAGTGTACAAAGTATTAATCAGATAGCTACGGCTAAACTGACTCTGCTTTATCTTGGCTTGGTGCAGCGCATGTTCCTTGATGTAGGTCTGCAGATGAACATCCTCACCCTCTGCCTCGTGCTTGGCCTGCTCCTCCATTTCAGCGGATATGCGAACCTTGTCTGACACTGAGATTAGAGTCTTCATGAAACCACTTTCGTTGCCAGAGCTGCCGAAAATAACATCGTGCATCTGCTGGGCTTGCGATTTGGGAAGATCCTGTATATGCGGTGGAATTGGTGAAGGGGATATGGCTGTCATGGAGCCGCGCGGCTTAGTAAGATCCATGGGTGCACTCTCCTCGCTGGCCACGCTTCGTTTTGGCTTGGACTCCTCTGGATTGGAATAATACTGTTCCTGCTTCTGGTAGTCGAACGGTGGCTTGGGCGACGTAAAAGAGCACACCAATCTCTTGGGTTGTGATCCGGAGGAACCAATGCTGTTTGCAGGACTGGCTGCCGGTAGTGGTGTATCCTGCATCTGTGGGTAAGGCGACACGCTCTGCGGAATTGGCGGCGTCATCGATAGCGAAAGAAGTCCCCTAGCAGCTTCGTGCTCTTTCAATCGGGACTTGGATTCATCCGTATCTGTGAAAAGATTTTAATGATTAAGAATACAGCCCAAAGATAATTATAAGAGGTCTGCTTACCGCTACTTTCCGATTCATTGTCACTGTAATCATCTGAATCGGACTCTCCAGCCATGGATGATGTGCGGCCTCCTGCCGAAGTGGACGATTGCTGGTCGAAGTCCATATCCACATCCAGGAACTCGCTGTCTGGTGGCATTGGTCCCGGATTGATGCCCAGTTCAATGCACTTCTTGAAGTGAGTTTTGGATTGCATGTGCTTGGTCAGGTTGCCCTTGGTCTTGAAACTGTGGAAAAAGGAGAAGAAGATTAATATATTTTCATTTGAGGTAGAGGAAATCTCCTTAACTAACCTGAAATTGCAGTGGCTGCATGTGAATGGTCGCACATCCGTGTGGGTGCGAATATGCTTCTTAAGCATCGATGGCTTCTTGCACCGAATGCCGCACTCAGAGCAAACATATCTTCCCCTTCCTCGGCCACGGATGTACGTGTAATCTTCGTGAGACTCATAGCCACCCACCAGGGGCTGTCCAGACGGACTTGTCTCCAGCTTTTTGGCCTGCGCCTCCTCATTGGCCTTGGCTGCAACATTCGCCTCGCTGAGAGCAGCCACCGTAACTGTTGGTGGGGTCTTCAATGGTCCTTGATAGAAGGCACTGCTGCTGGACGACGTCGAAGTGGATGACACAGTTTGCTGAGAGGCCACTAGATTATAGTTTAGTTTTCCTGTTCCAGCCATTGCAGTGGAGCTGCCATTTCCCAGCATCCGTTGACGTGAGTCATAGAGAGCCATTACTTGCTTTAGTTTGAATCCAAGTGGATGAGGCTGGTTTTCCTCGCACACTTGCCACACGCTATACATAGATAGTTTATGCATACCGGCAACATACGAAGGTTGCGGACAGTTCACCGTACAGTAAAACATCTTTGTGCTGCATTTGAGACCCAGATAGGTATAGGCATGTCCATTGAGATACAGTTGCACACAGGATTTGGACGGCCTGGGAGTCTCCGGCGAGATCAGCGGCAATGTATTCGCTGTAGGTGTAATGCCATGATGGCGTTTTGGAGTAAAGGTTCCAGGTTTAAGTGGCAGACTAGTGGGTCGCAAAAACTTCGATTTAGCAGATGTCGAAGAACTGGCAACAGGATTGGCTTCCTCTGTGGTGCTTCCAGCGGGAGTCTCCACGTGCAGTGGTGTTAGCGACGATTCTGCCTGTTTTCCAGCAATCACATTTTCCAAATTGAAGTGACGCCCTTCAGGTTCCGCAGTCTTCACATTATCAGCCATGCGAAGAAAGTTAAATGGTGCTTTCTTTGACGTCTCCTTGCTGTTCCATTGCAGAGCTTGCCGTTGAGCTGGAGTTGGTGGTTGTCGGCTGAATTCGCTTGGCACATTCTGAACTCCACCGAATGGCGACAAAGCCTTTAGTTCACCTACTCCTGCTCCCAAAAGAAGTGGACTCGGTTGCTTGCGATTCGGACTACGTCCTCGTCCTGAAGGAATTGGCAACTGGAGTTGTTGTGGTGGAGGTGGCAGTAGAGGCATTTGTGGCGTCAAACTACCCGGTCCTGGCATTCCAGGCACATGAGGTATTGGTGTAACTGGTGTGGTTTTATCCCCACCGCTCATCGGTGGCAGCGTTAAGGGATTGAAGGCAGTTATAGAATTAATGGGCGGAAACTGAAAGTGCTGCGGGCCAGAGCTAACGCCAAGCAGTCCACTACCAGTGGCCAGTGCCATCAGCTTGCGCTCCTTACTAGACGATCCCATCTCATTGTTGACTTTTACTGAAACGTCCTGGAAGCTTCCACCGGACAGCAACGGAGTACGAATCATCTTAGGACTGTTATCCAAGTCTGGGCACTCAGAAATGGGAATCATACTGCCGCCAGAGGAAGTGAATCTGCGCAGTCGCTCCTCTTTGGAGAACTGCATCTCCGGTACATTATTGCTGTTATTCTGGTTGTTGAAAAAGTTAAAGTTTGTCGTTGGCTGAGTAGAGGATGCCACCACCATGTCGTTGGTTTTGACACGCTTGGCGGGCTGAGCCTCCAAATCTCGCAAAGCAAATTGCCGATCCTCGTGCATTTTAGTTATAACCACAGAGTCTTGGGTCTTTCGGGGAGCATTTTGCTGAGCATAGTCCACTAGGGGCGTTTTACCCAACAACGGACCCGGCGATGGCAGTGGTGCATCTACAAATCGCAAAGCTTCAATCTGAGGAGCAGCAGCTGATATTTGTATAAGAACTGTGGGCGACGCTGACACAGGAGCTGATGCCGATGCAGTTACAGTGGGAGCTGTTACCGTAGATGTCCTCGCTGGGGTTTGTGCCGCACTGAGACGACTTAATACCAGACTACTCCTCTTGGTTTTCAGCTGCGACCAGGCCAACTTGGCCAGAGATAATGGATTCTTTGAGTTCGCCATGTGACTTTTCAGCTCCGGCAGACTTAACGAGATCGAATTGGAGCGGAAGGGAGAAGATGCCGGACTCATTGGCGCACTGGAGCTGGCATCCTGGCAGTAAGTACTGTTGTGCAGCTTCAGGTCATCCGCACTGCGGAATTCGCTCGCACAGATCGGACACGAGTAGACAGCATCATCACCCTCGCCAATTGGCACTGCCAATCCTCGAGCATTTAGCAGCAGATTCTTGATGATGGAGTTATTCACCTGGGCGGGTGGTGGTCCAGTTTTGGAGCTACCAGCCGGATTCCCTGATGTTGCAGGTGTCGTTGGTGCAGAACTGGTGGGCAAGGAACTAACAGGCACAGTTACCAGCGTTGGTTTAGGCTTCGCTGATAAGTTTAAAGGCATCACATGCCCTGCCGTTGCTGGTTGCTCAATTTTAGCCACTGGCGTTGCAGGATCTTGGCGATACTGCATCGTTTGCATGGGCAATGGAGAAGGCGGGGGTGGCAGTTGTGGCTGCTGCTTTACAGGCACCGCTGGCGCAACCTTATAATTGTTATTCCTTTTAACCAAGCCATTAGGAGGTTCCAGCTGTTGGTTTTCCTGCTGCTGTTGCATGTACGTATAGTAGGGCTGCTGCTCAAGTTGGATTAACTGCTGTTGTTGCTGCTGCAGTTGCTGTTGCTGAAGTTGCTGCTGCTGCTGCTTTTGAACGATAGCTTGTGCCAAATTCACTTTAGTCTCCCGCTCCGGCATCTGGGCATTCAAGTTGTGACTGTTGCTTGCAGGCAATGTCGACGGGTTGCTACCGTGTTGCGATGTATTGTTGCTGTTGGCATTGTTGAAGCTACGAGAACGACTCAGCTGCTTGGGGTACTTTTTCTGCAACAATATCTCCTTGTTCTCCACAATCGCTTCATTTTGAGAGATCAACTTGGAAATGTGCTCCTGTACTTTCGCCACATTCTGAAAAAATATTAGGCAATAGTTAGTTATATATTAAATACAAATCATTAGTTAAACACTCACAACTTGCTTGCCACCACTGGAGCTGGCAAAACTGCTGAGATTAGCGGCGGGCGTGGGAGTGGCAGGTGCTGTTGCTACATTGGAAACTTGGCTATTGGCTCGCACCAGCTGTGAATAATAAAAAATATAAATCAATTAGAAAAAATATTTTAATTACAAAAAAAAATAGTTCTTAACCAACCTGTTGAGGCGGCAGACTTGGAGGCTGTTGCATTGGTGGTGGCGCCTTTACCAAAGGCGAAAGTTGTTGTTGTTGCTGCTGCTGCTGCTGTTGCTGTTGCTGATGCTGCTGCTGAGCCAAATGAATTTGTTGCAGTTGAAATTGCTGAAGGACCAACGCATGCTGGTGAATGGCCGCCGCCGCTGCATCTTGATTGTAGTAGGGAGGCTGACCCAGGTAATAAACCCCACCAGGTGGCATGGCGGCCAACATAGATTGCTGGGCCAACAGGGATTGCTGTTGCTGTTGCTGCAACTGCAACTGGAGCTGATGCGAGTTAATATGATGCTTCATCTTCATCTGCGTGCTGGGCGACAGAGTTGGATGTGCCAGCGATGGCTGCTGCACCAAAGGCAGCTGAATGGATAGCTTTTGCTGGGCCAACTGATGTTGCTGCTGAATCTGCAACTGTTGTTGCTGCTGCTGTTGTTGTTCCTTGCTGCTGCCGGGTACATACAGGGCGGCGTTGTGAAACTTGGGTTTATATGGCTTGTAGTCGATCGACGAACGATGCTGGGCAGTGGCCGAGTGGAGATTTTCCGCTGTTGTAGGTGGCAATGTCCCAGCAGCCGGCGAGCCCAGCGGCAATTGTTGCATATGCTGTGGGAGCGGTGGCTGCTGAATGTATGCACTCTTGGCCGCAGACAATGTGGAAGGTGAGGGTGTGGGCGAATTCATTGGCTCATCGTAAGGCGATCCAGCGCGACTTGGCTGTAATGAATCAAAGGATTAGCCAATAAATCGATAGAAATCTCTTTTCATTGAACTTACCAATTCCGAACTACTGTTGCTTAGCTCTGCATCCTGATCGGACAATCCATCATCTGCATCGGCTGGCACTTCCAGGCCCCGAGCTCTGGCTGCATGCGATCTCGAGCGGCAATGTTTGTACAAATTGCTCTTCGTCTTAAAAGCAATGCCGCAGGTGTCGCACGGATACGGTCGCTCGTTGGTATGGGCTCGAATATGCTTCTCTAGCACCGAGGGTTTGGCACATATCAGATTGCAGTAAGTGCAAACGTAACGTCCGGGCTTTTCTCCTACAGGATTTGCCAGTGCTGCTGCTCCACCTGGGATTCCCGGACTAACCGTTGTTGGCTGTGTCATTTGCTGATGTTGGGCAAATGTTGCCGGTGAGAGTGTGGCATTCGCAGCATAGTTGCTATTACTGTTCGTGTTGCTATTACTGAGTGGTGTTCGCGTTCTTGCCGCCGCCTTGTATCCACTATTGCTGATGATGCTCTCCTCATGACCAATGGCATTGACATGATTGCTATTTACAAAATTGGCACTGAATTCATGTGTGGCTGCCTGGGGTGGCAGCTGCTGCGGCGACGGCTGATGTTGCTGCTGCACTTGCTGCTGTTGGGTCATCAGATGGTGATGACCATTGGCCAGCGGCGTTGGTGGCGGCGGTGAAAGCGAACTGTTTGAGGACAACGATGTGGTGCGAACGCCATCGCCACTTGGATGATGTGCCGCACCACCACCACCACCATTCGTCGCACCATTACCGGTCTCCACATCGGTGGTGCTAGCCAAACGTTTAAACTTCTTGTGCAGATAGCGTGAAATATTTGACCAATCCCCCAACGGAGCCTCATCGGTGGCGGGTGTGGCATTTACGGTGGTCTGTTGGCTATTGATAAGGATGCTTGCGTTGCTCATCGTGTTGGCCACATTCGGAGCCACTGGCTCCTGGTTGCTGCTGACTGCTGCCATCTGTTGTAGCGTCATTTTGCTATCACTTAGACTTGCTTTATCTCTACACTTAAATTCATAATTATTCTCACTAATACTATTATCACTGTGGTGGTTGTTGTTATTATTATTATTTGTATTGTTGTTATTGTTGTTGTTGATGATGTGGTTGGTGTTGTCAGCAGTCGGCAGCGGCAACTCACTTAGTTTATCTCTTGTACTTGTACTGGGTTTGCTGTTGTTGTTGCTGTTGATGTTGCTGCTAGTAACATCTGTTGCTGCTGCTGCTTTGGAGGCTGTTAATGTTGCCACTGTTGTAGTTTCGGTTGCTGATACCGCTTCTGTTGCAGCTGCTAATGCTACCGCTGCAGCAATGTTAGCCTTATTGGCTGTCCTCTGAGTGACTGTGGTTGCTATTGCAGTTTCCCGATATGTCCGCTTCTTGGTTGATGTTGCTGGTGTTGTAGTTGATGTTGCTGCTGCTGCCGCTGCTGCTGCTGCTGCTGTGGCACGTCGCGTATTGTTCACTTTATTGGTCTTGTACTGTTTGCCTGCGGTTTTGTAATGCTTGGCCGTTGTGGTTGTTGCATTTTCCATATTATTATCAAATTTATTACCCTGTGACGTATTTGCAGCGGGCTCATCTATAGCGAAACGAGACAGAAAAAAACAGAAAACCGAAATTAATTCAATGTATTTCGCATAATTTAATTTAAGTATAAATGCTAATTGATACATCCATGATAAGACCATTAACCATTGTTTCTGTTGAATATTTTAAATGATAAACTGGTACAAATTCAGCCAACAATGCGATGGGTTTAAACATGTCAACTGTTTTGCTTGAGACCAAGAACTTGGCAATGTTTCAAAGTCAATTAAATATTTTATTTCAGCTAATACACACGCTTTTGTTAACATCGCTTTGTCACGAAATTTTTTTTAAATAATTCAAGTGCACTTGCTGTTTGCCTTTGGGTTTCCCAAGACGTGGTTACCTCCCTCTCATTGCCCCCCCTCATATACTATACACTTTATTGCCAGCCACATTATCAGCTCTAATTGGGGCTCAATCTTATCAACCTCACAGCCGAGAATTCTAGATACTGAGCACGCTAATTCTCCCGAAGCGATCAATCCATCAGGTGAATCACAAAATTGGCAAATTCCTTTGCTCTATTGAAAATCAATTTCCCACTCTGTGAACGTGTCAACATCGATAACACAGCACAGTGGCAAAAATATATATATTTCCACGTATATATTTATATACCTTTTTGTCTTGTTTCTTTTTTATCAACTTTCTATTTTGAATTCCCCAACTTAGCTAGGGTTCAGGCCCCACCTGCTAAAAAACCAGACAGGCGACCACAAAAAAAAAAAAAAAAAAAGTAATACGAAAATCCAAGAAAAGTGACAAGTGAAGTGTAATGACTGGTGTCACTGGCGTTTCGCTTATTGTTGTTGGGGGCTTCCTTATCACAGCTCGTGCACACATGTGTGACAACAGTGCGTATCAGTATTATAAAACTGATGGCAGGAGATTACAAATGGGGATTATAAAGTGTTGCCAAATATGAAGTCAGAGAGAGAAAACTTGATAGTGATTATCAAATAAGTTTTTTAAAGCATATTTAGGTTTGTTTTATATTTCAAATAAAAAAATATGTTCGAGGGAAGAAGGAATTTATCTCAATTCTCTAAAGTACATTTAATATAAAAAAATGGATTATTTTAGATTTGAAAACCCATTAACCCTCTGTTTCTTCTGATAACCGTATTATAAAGTAAACACTGTCAAGTACTACTATTTTCGTGAGCCCCACTGTCTGCATATATTATATGACTCGGTCGTCGGGCGATTAGTAAGCTGGGACAGTTCTCAAATCACAATCGCACACAGACCAAACGAATGAACGAACCAAATGAAAAAAAAAAGCTCACTGGCAACCGAGTTGGGTCGCGTTAATTGACTCGACTGCGACTGTTTAGCATTCAGCGTTATTATTATACACATTATACGGCATTATGCGATCGCAGCGGCTCTCGTCGCTTCCCAATGTTTACTCAATTCGTTATCAGCATGGCATGGCTCTGGCTGCGGCTGCGACTATGGCTGCTGCTACGGCTGCTATAAGGCTTTCCAAGCCGTGCGACCGCAAAAAAAAAAATAATAAAAAATACATCGAATTGCCCAAAAGTTCCATTGATAATGCCAAGCTCTAAATGAGGTATATGTGTGCTATTCTTGATACGTGTGTTTGCCAGATTCATTATCATCAGTTATCAGTGGGGACTATCGTGCGACTGAGTCAGAAACAAAGCTCTACCGATAAGCGATCCCCATTGTAACTTAAGTGATTGGCAATTTGTGGGGCTGCAGACGCGTTGACGTCAGATATTCGATATATATGTATGTACGAGTAGTATGTATTTCATATATGGCTGTCAGATTGTCAACTTGTTGGGCAATTAAGTGGCATTCGTTGGCGATTAGCTGTTCGGGGATCCGAAATCCTAATTACATAATCACGTGTAGTAAATATGTGTGTACATACATACTATATGTATGTACACAACTTATTAATAAAACAAGTGAGTAGGTCAATTACAAGGCGCCAACTGCGCCACAATTGAAATATGTGTAGCGATTATAAGGAATGTGTTGCTGTTCCTGTTGTTGTTGCTTATAAAAATAAAAGTGGAACAACAAGAATAAGAATTTTGACTAAATAAGCCGAGTAAAGTTCAAAATATTATTGAAAAATAAATTCAAGATTCATATTCTGTTATTGATAATAGGATGGTGAAATTTTCCTAACAATTAACAATCATAAACCCTTCTAACTACTCAAAAGTATAAACTATTGAAGTTCAACTGTACATAATCACATACTAAACTAAATTATACAGTAAAATCTAGCAAAACTAAAGTCATCAAGAGTCACAACAATATAATAAAGTCAAGCGTGAATAAAGAAGATAAGCTAATCAGAAGGAGGAGCCTATAAAAACCCCAGCAATTAAAACCAGAACACTCATATGGTATGCCAGATATCAAAAGTACAAACAAAACGCAAAGTGCACTGTGACGTTTAGAGATCTGTACTTTACACCATATTATTGTTGTTAAGCCACGTAAATCCATTTTCCATGGTAAGGTACAACAAGTTAAGTAAATATTAATATGACATTTTCGTTATCACGAATTTTTGTTTAACGATTGGGGGGTTCTAATTACGCCTGTTTTCGCGCCCAGCATTTTGAGGCGTGAAAACGGCAAGTAAACGTGAAACACATGGGTAACGTATTTTTAATACACAAAACTGGAACTTTGCATTCGCATTTGCATTGGCATTTTCATTTGCATGCACATTTTTATTGAACCAAGCGAAATGCAATTGCCCCTGTGCAAAGTGCAATAAATAAGGCGCTATAGCAAATAATCAGACAGGGCTGGGTACACTACAAACAAAGTCATATTAATTAAACAAGAGGAAATTATATTGGAAAGGTAAACATTAGGTTGATGCTCAAAAGTTTGTGTGATTTATAGAGAAATATTAATTTATGTTCTCTAATCTAAAACCAACATACAAGAAATCTTAAAAAATATATATTTTAGATATCGATCATTGAGGTTATCAATATCAAAAGTTAATGTAGAAAAAATCATTTTTGGTTAAAGATTACATTTATTTACTCAGCTTTACGTACTTTATGGTTTTAGTACAAAGATTTATTATTCTTGTGTAGAAAAGCCCGTTTGTCGGTTGATAAGTTGTTGCAAAAAAAAAATTGAGCACACGCTATCGCCTACGTCACAAGCGTATTTCGCGATTGACGGAATGACTGACTGAATTCAAAATTATAAAATGAAAATAAAAGAAATATAAAAATAAAAAAAACACCTACACCAGCACAGATAAATAATGAAAAAATCAACGAGGTGCGGCAACGGCGCCACAAAGTCCACACATCTGTCTGACGGTCAGTCTGTCACTCTGTCATTCGGTCATTCCCTCATTCTCGCTGCATGACAACGACGTCATCGCAGTGCAAAAAGCACTAAGCACTAAGCACTCTCGCCCACTTGGCAATTGTTTATAATTTATTAGCAAGCAGCGTTTTACAGCGGTGGCAAAAATATATATGTACATATACATACGTATATACATACATATATAATACGTCAAATTCGCGGAAAAGATTCCAAAATTCCAGTGAATAACGAAAGGCCCGATAAAAGCGACGAAAAGCGAAAAAACGACAAACGGTAAAGAGAAACATACCCAAGCTTAATTGTGACCACACGCATTTTTCTGTCTATCCCGTTGATTTACATAGTTGTTGTTATTGTTGCTGCTACTGTTGTTGTTGCTTATTGGCGAAACGCAACAATTGAAATGCACAGCGAGAAAAATGATCTGGCGGCGCGAAAAGCAAGAAATCGAAAAGGCGACAATCGACGACGACAACCGACCGACGCGCATGAAACATTTAAGGCAACTAGACGAAGCGACCAGCGAAATTCATTCAGAGTGTGCTTTAGCGTGTGTTTGTGTGTGTTGTGTTGTGTGTGCGAAAAGAAAACGAAGAAGCGACCGAACAGGGCAAAAACAACAAGTAAGAAGTCTAAAGTCGAGATATTCGACTACGACGTACCCGTTAACAACATTGTAGGAGCTATAAAACCTAAAAAATTTCTTGACAATAAATAAATTCCTCATAGAATTAGGTAATCATGTGATCTTTTACATTAAAGAATTGAATTTGTGAAATATTAATAAGTTTTCTTCTTATTATTAATTTGATTTGCAGGACGAGTGTCTACTTCACATGTTTACCTTTCAATTTGGTTGTAAAACTATTTATAATCCTTATTCTAATTATACTCTATTTGATTTATTTTCAATAAACATGTACATATACCCCTCTTTTGGGTTACTGGGTGTTAAAAAGGCGCGACGTCAGCGCAGGGGCAGCAGAAAAAAGTACAATAATCAAATAATTGCGGCAGCTTTGCCGTCGCCCCCCGCACACAAACACACACACGCATGAGCTCTCAATCTGCTCGCACACAAATGTAATTGTCAATCAAAAGTAAGCACAGGGTCGCTGCTTCTTCTTATTTAGCTTTTGATTTTGCGGCAGCACTGAGAAATGATCAAATCAAGCAAAAATTAAGAAAAGAAAAATACATATAAAAAAAACAAAAAACAACAACAGGTGACGCGAAGTACGAAGCGAAATGAAACGAAACGAATCGAAATGAAAGACTGTCGCCAGCCAGTCAGACGTTGTTTTTGTTGTTTCCCCTATTGTTGATTACGTACGCCACACACTCACACACACTACTCACATGAACGGTCCGTAAAACACGCGCACGCATACAAACGAACGATCCATCGACGACCACATTCCCCCGCACAAATATGCGAAATTTTGCTGACTAAGGAAGGTCTGGGGAGCACCAGGCAACAACAAAAAAAAAAAAAAAAAAAGGCAAAAAGCACAGCGCGATAACAACAAAAGCATTTAAAAGCGTAGAAGCACAAAACGAAGCAACGGAAAAAGTGATAATAAAATAATAATTGCTACAGCGCACACCGATCGTCAGAGAGAGAGAAAGAGAGCAGGCCAGAGTTGCCATATTAGCTGAGAGAGACCCCATCAGCTGCCCCATCTCCATCCCCCTCCCACACATCCGATTTGTCATTTGTGTTCGAATTTGGCTATTTTAAAGATAAATATTTATATTTAATTATTATATGATTCTGTATGTTGGCTCTTTAATTGATTTGGCATTATTCATATATTCCTTTTATGATTGCTTAAATTTAGCTTTGCAAGTGGATATAGGATGATAACTATTCCTTTACGTTTATAAAAATAATAGACAAATAATCATTCTAATTATCAATACGTTTAATCCCTTTTACCTTTCAATCAAAAGAACATATTTGAAGAAAGAATGTTCTTTTGTTGATTAGAGTAGAATATAAAATGATAAAAAATGTATGATAATAGCTATTTAAAGCTAAGGCTGCCAGCACTGTTTGCCATGTGGCGACGAAGCCCCACAGCCTGTGTTCCCCCTCCTCGCCATTGCTCTTTCTCACTCACTCGTGAACATGACTAAGCCAAACAACTTGACAACACTGTCGGGGGAATTGCTGTTGTTGCTTTTGAGTCAATTCATAAGAAACGAGGAAACCCGCAGCCATATCGTTGTTGCTGCCGTATTTATATATATGTATGTATAAATGTTTTTGTATATAAATGTATTGGTGCGTTGGCATGAGCATGAATCAAGTTAAAAATTTTAATAATTTTGCCCGATGTTGTGGCTAAAAACGAGTTTGGCTTGTTGGGCTTGTGTATGGGTGTGTGTATTTGTATATTTGAGTGCGGCTACTTGTTTTCTTCATCATTCTGCCTCTTCTTCTTCTTTATGCTCCAGCTTGGACACTGCGATAATATTTTACACTAATACAAAGACGAACAGAAGAGCTTGATAAGCGCTTTATGTGCCATCTCTCTCGCTTTTAACGTATAATGGGTGGAAAGGGGAGCAGGGTTGGCTGTGACGTACCCGTGTCTCATTGTTATTGCTGTTGCCTACTCAGCCGTGGTGAAGTGTTATAGGAAATCAAATTAAGGCGATTAAAGAGCGAGTGCCTGCGCTCTCGAAAAGAAAGAGAGAAAGAGGATCGGTCTGTATGGCAGATAAGAGATGAATACTTGAATACCCTACAAGTAATTGATAGCCTACTCTACTGGCTATGGTTTTGTATGACTATGACTGTCTATCTTTAAGTGATGTATGATAAAAATTTCGAATATAATATTATATAAGTTAATATTAGGTAATGGAAAAAGATTATAATTATTACTATATAACATAGATGTTAATATAACCCCTTGAATAGTATTATGACCCCTAGGAACCTCTCTAGAAAGCATAGTGGTCAAGAATTGATAATACTAGGACAAAGACATCACACTTCTGTTCAGAACTTTGCCATTTTGCTGATAAGTTAGCAAGCAATTCTAGTCAAGTCAGTAAACAATATCTTTTATTTATTTACTTAGAAGGGGTTTCCAGTGCAGAGTATTGATATAAACAAATACAGTGCCAAACTGTTGATATATATTACGGGGAATTGCGAAAACAATTCCCCAAAAGTGGTCTGACGTTGGCATTTCTAACTAATCTAAAAGTACTTTTTCGTGAAATGGATTTCGTTTATTTAGGGGCTTATCAATCTGGTAGATGTTTGGATTCTTTTGTCAAAAGTGAAAGGTCAAGGTACGGTTTCTGTTTAATAGATAAGATATATATTTTAGGAAATATTTATTAGGTTTGGAATATCAAAGTATATAAGTCTCTTTGCAGGAGACCCAATTCTATCTTCCCCTTTCAAAATGAGTAAGCAATATTTTTGGCTAATTTGGCATCCAAGACTAAATTCTCGGCATATTATTATACGTTTTTCACATTAGCACGGAAATTCCCAAAATTTGTTTGACGTCAGCAGAAGAAATTTTGTAAAAATTTCTCGAGAGGAAAAATCATGTTCGGAATGATTTCCGATTGCCAAGGTCTTCTGGCTTTACATACATACATATATAGTACATATATAAGGAAAATCTGTATAAACAAAATTGACTTCTGGCACAGCGGTACAAAACCAAATCGAATACATTTTAAGACTTTTTCAAACCATCCGATATAGATTTATGGATTTCGTACTTAAAAATTTATGGCAATAATCAGGCGTTTAAATGGGGCAAAACCAAATTGTCGATTAAATAAATTTAAGTGTAAATTTAAGGTGTTGAAATCGAAATACCAAACACTTATTTGCCAGTTAAAAATCCATCGTTTCTATAGAAAGATAAGGAAATTATTAATAATTACTAATCCTTCTGAAAAACCAAACATATATTCGCGAATATTATTTATGATTATTGCCTTTGAACGCTATAAACATAAATATAAAATGAGTTCAAAGTAAAAATCAAATAAAAGCCACCTCCTCATTCCGTATTTTGGGTAAATCAGCAAAAGTTCAAATTAAATTCTTATAAATAAAGTAGGAATTCGTGGCCAAAAAGTGTTAAATAATTGCCAGGCGAACCAATTTTTTTATTTGTTTACACACAAAGCGAAACAAATGAAGAGCGGAGAGGAAAGTAGACGAAAAAAATCATTCGATAATTTTTGTTTATTTTTATTTTCGACGGTCTTTGAGTTTTTTTCGCTTTTGGCTGGCTGATAGAATTTGATTTTCTTGATTTTCCAATTTTGTTTTGGTGCCGCCGCCTCGCTAGAAATGTATTTTTAAATGCTCCAACTACGTAAGACGACATTCAAGTATTTTATTTTAGACAGTAGACGGTATAGAGCCAAATAGTCAGCTAGATGTCTATATATATATATATATAAATATATGTATATGTACGAGGTGTGTTCAAAAAGTAAGGTGACTCTTCAAATTTCGCGAATTTCAAATTTTTCGATTATCGATTTTTTTGTTTTGTTATATTGGTACACTCTTCCCTAACATCTGTACCAAGTTTCAATGGAACATCCTCTTTTGTTTGGTTGTGAGAGGCGTAAAGTTACAAGTTGTTTTGCGAGCTCGGCGATTTTTTGCTATCGAAAAATATGGATCAAAGGATTTGGATTTTTTGGCCAAAAACAACACCACAATAATGCCTCAGCCACCATATTCACCGGATTTGGCCCCATGTGACTTTTTCTTGTTCCCAAAACTGAAGATAATCGAAAAATTTGAAAAATTTGAAATTTGAAAAGTCACCTTACTTTTTGAACACACCTCGTATAACTTCTAAAAGGTTTCGATAATCGAAAAATTTGAAATTCGCGAAATTTGAAGAGTCACCTTACTTTTTGAACACACCTCGTATATATGCATCTGAGTCTATATACATATCTGCATAAATATTTTTAGTTGTGCCTCTATTGGCCTTTTGCGTTAGCACATTTTTGTTAAAAATTATTTATTTGTATTTGCTTTATGACAGACAAATGGAAATCTCGAATCAATTTCGATTATGCAACATTGCGCAGCAGTCCATAACGATCACAATTCATAATTTCGCCACCGATCGAATTAGAAATGTTGAGATATTCTTAAATATTTTGAATTTTTATGGCGCCCATAGAAGCAAAAGTTAATGAGAGATTTTCCCTCTAATATCACGTCGTATCTTTGGGTGGGGGGTTTAATTAAATTAAACTGTTTATAAATACTTCTTTGCTTGGCTGGCTACGAAAGGCCGCCAAAACAAACGATTTGAGAAAAGAATCTCCAAATCGTGCATTCGAGCGCAAACAAAAATGTTTCCGAGCGCCACAAAAGCCATCAAAATAAATTTTCACAAATTGTGTGCGTTGTTCTTTTTCTTAAATTTTTGTTTCTTTTTTTTTTTTTTGCTTGTCTTGGCGTTTTGGCATTTGAAGGACGGAAATACGTTGGCGGCGGCGGCGTTGTGAATTTTTGCATATTAGCAAAAAGTGAGCAAAAGAAATAGCCATAAATACAAAGTTTTTTTCTTTTGATAAATTCAAAGCGCTTACGTAGGCAGAGGTATTGGATTGATTCGATTCGAAATGAACCGATGAAATGTATGCATAGGCATGCGCAATGGGCGTGAAAAAATATGGTAACTGATTTCCAGACAAAAAGTATTTCGTATCTGTTAAATGTATCTGTAAGTGCGGAGTATCTGTTGCTCTGTGGCTGTGTTGTCAAGGTCATGACTGCTCTTTAGGGGTTGCCCAGCCGATAAACATGTGTCGTCATTCCCCAGGCACCAGGGCATTCCTCAAAACTCACACAGTGAGCCGCTCACACATACAGCTACAACACACAGCATTAAAGGCGGAACGTATTATAACTGTTGCATGTTTAATTGTTCGCAAAACACTTGAGAGCAGACCTAAGACCCTGAGAAATGTACAGTGAAACTTCGGCAAAGGGAAAGATCTTTTAGTTTGATACATTAAGATATGTTTGTTAAAAACTTTAGATTTGGTTTAAAATTATTTTAGAACCATTTATTTATAGAGAGCAACTCAATGAATTTGCAAGGAAAATTCGATTTTAAAGAAAATATGTTAACTTCTGTTTAATTTTTCACTTAAAGGTTCCACTGTAGCAAGAGGGATGGCGATATTCCATCTCAACGCCCCGTGGTGCAGTCTTAAGTGGATTTCCACCTTAAGTTGCATTTGTATTGATGTTGTTGCCCGTGCACGTTGCACATATTATAGCTGTTGTTGCCGCTGCTGGCGTGTCAATGACGTTGCAAGCCTTTTGTTTGTCTTTCTACCTAGCCAGGTATCCTGGCGCCGGCTTAATTTACGAAAAGGTAAAGGTAAAATGTGCAGGTAAAATGCCTCAAAGTAGTTCAAGTCCAATCAGCATGCTCTCTCGCTCTCGCTTTAAATACACACACATATACTGTATACCTCTACTTATACTAATGCACAGATTATCCACTCACCCGCACACGTTGTAGTTGTTGTAAAAACTAACACTAATCTGATAGATATTGCGGCCCGGCCGCGGGGTTGCCCAGATTTTAGTGTTTTTTTTTGTGTGTTGCTTCTTTCTATTGTATTCTTTAGAGGGGGATCTGTCTATCTCTCTTTCGACTTTTGTTTATTTTGAATTTTCACAGTTTTTCTTGGAATTCCTTGCTAACACTCTCTTACTCACTCGAACACGCACTGGCACTTTTTTTTTATTTATTTCTTTTTCGGAGAGAGACTTTGAATTTTGCACTTTGTTTCATATACTATTTTCGCTTTTGCATCGCTGCTAATTAGCATATTATGACATTCATTTCGCATGTAACCTTTTCCTTTTCTCTTCTTCTTCTCCTTTGCCTCTCTTGTGCGCTCTTTTTCGCGCTATGATCTAATTTGATTAATACAAAACTTGTTGTGGCGACTGCACTCGCACTTCTCGCCCACACACACTATTTTATTTTATATGTACAGACGTATGCAAAGCACTGACACTCGCGCGTATGTTCCGTTCTTTTGTGGTTTCTTTTTTGCCTTTTGTTTATGTTGCGTTGTTTATTCCGACTTGTTCGAATTCATCGTCGAAATATCATAGCCACGCCATTCCATTCCGCGCCGTACGGACCGAGCGAACAACCAAACCGAAAGACGAAAGATCGAAGAATGGCGGGCCGGGCCTCGAGTGTTTTTTTCGACGCCGGCAGCGACGCGGGCAGCGCAACAGGCAGCGACGCTTAGCCCTTGGGCGCCCGAGAGAGCAGTACATGTGTGTGTACGTAATGCAGGTGCCAACACTCTCTTATGATCTTCATTTAATAGATCTGACTTGTAATTTTGATTAATAGTTTTATTGTTTCCAACTTCCGGATGTTTTAAAAAAGTTGAGTTTAAAAATAAGTGGATTTATAAAGCAGTTAACAAATTTTCTAAATGATTTTAGATCAAAATTGTACATTTTCGTACAACTACTTAGATCGGTAATATAAGTTATTATTGATGTACAAAGCTATTAAGATTGTTTTCAATAACAATATAAAACAGCTTCAATTTATTAAAATCTCTTGACAATAACAGCAAATGTGATATGATATGTAAAATATACATAGCATTATTAAAGGTAAATTTAATAAGATAAAAAGTACATGCATCTCACAAGGGTTAATAGAACCGATCAACTGTTTCTCTCTGTCAAACATCATCGTGTGGGCAAATAGTTGTGCTTATTTTTGCACTGCACCCAAAAAATTAAATTTATTCTAGCAATTAGATATTCATGTTTGCTGGTTAGCATATTGTTTTTCATTTACATTATTGGGTTGCATCATTCAACGGTTGGTTGGTTGAGTTAGCCCCATAAATGCCTGAACCGCCCCTGGGCGAATGATTAACAATAACCGGCAAGAACAAGAACAACAAGAAGAGAAACAGAACACAACAAGAACAACAAGTGAACTGGCGTCGCCAAGTCGTCGGCGTCACTTTATGCGAGTGTGTGTGAGTGAGCGCGACTGTTGCGTCTCTGAATGTTCTTATGGCCCTGCCATCTCTTTCGGTCTAACGTGATTTTCGTGCTCCAGCAGACATATGGCGCTGTTGCGCTCTCTTTCCACGAAATGAGCAAAATCACTTTCCTCATCCTTCTCTCAACTGCTCTTTAGACGATTCCTCTTTTAATACCCTATACTAGGAAAGTATTTTAAGTCCAGGTCCATTATATAAAGGTTTCAAACCAAGAGAAAATGTTTAAATTTGTTGAACGGAAAGTGCTTTTATCTGTATAAGTTTTTAATTTGGATGAGTAAGATTTATAAGTGAAATTTACATTTATAACATCTGTTGATAAGGTCATTGGTAGAAGGTATCTGTAAGTCGACTGCCCCGTTTATAGCATTCTATTTGGTTTTTGTTGAATTACGCTGCGTATTTTTCTGCCGCGAGGGAAGCCCTCCCGCAAAATGTTCTATTGTTATTGTTGTACTTGTTTTTGTTAAATACAAAAAAAAAAAAAAACGAAATAAGGAGAAGAACGCGTAAAGTGAGCGCCGCCGCGTTCTTGGCTTATTAGATCAATTGCTTTTGCACTTTTTGCTGTTTTACTGTTGCGCTGCCGCTTTGTTGTGTTTATTTATACATTTTTATTCTATTTCCCCCCACTGTGCGCCATTTTCAGTGTACAGTTTTTTTATTTGCTAATTTCTAGTTAAAGTTTGTTTTTGGGTTGAGCAATCGCAAAACTTGCGGGACGCAATTGATTTTAGCTTACAAGGTGTCGCACTCAATTAACGGTATTTATTTTTGGAGTAGTTTTCCCAGCTGTTAATAAATATTAAGTAATTAAATGAGCCAAATAAATCAATATAAATTTTGATTTTATTGAAATCTTTCCCATCGAACTGTTCATGAAATCAGTTCGATTTGGATATTAATAGGTGACAGCCGTAAAAAGCGTTCCATAAATCACTTTCCCCGTTTTCACACCCATTAAAAATCGATCTCCGATAAGGCCAGCGAATTACCCATAGAGCTTGACAACAACAATGGTATCACAAAATACGAAAAATCCCCCGAAGTCTGAAACTTTCTGTGCCAAATTGAACGGAAGCGATTCGATAAGAACTATCAAACACACACACACACACGCGTATGCACTCTCAATATGGAAAATATGTACATCCATCTACATATTTATGCCATAGGAATAGTTTTCTATGTGTGCTCAGATGTACATTTATTTGGACAGTTGACGTACGATAACGTTCAACACTTGGGTCGCCGATGATATCATGAAGAAAGGTAAACAATCTAATCAATAAACACAATCAAGCGGGGACGAGTGGTACGCACTCATCTATTAGAGCAACACGTATGTACATATATACAGATATGTCTACATAGGCGGATATAAGTGTACACAGAGAGAAATTGTTACTAAAACTGCCATATCTATTACCTTTCAAATGTGAGAACAGAAACTGACTTTGAAATATTTTTAAATGACAATAAATTTTATTAAATTTAAAGATATTTGATAGCAGGAAGTTTTTTGATAAGTTTGATAAGATAATGATGGTTCTGATAATAAAAAATGATAATAAAAAACTGATTTTGGTTTCTATGGGAGGTCTTTATCTATGAGTATAAAATTTGAAACCATCATAAACCCTACAAATACCAGTCATTTCTCCAAGTGCATTGCCTACGAATATCCGTATCTGTGTAATACCAGTTGTTGGTACTCGTGGTCGAGCTCATACGATTAATCGAACAGGCGACGCTGCCACATGCACGCGACGATTGATTACAGCAATAAAACGTCTATCGCATCGATTGATTTAAAAATATAAACCCACACATACACATTGATACAAACACATGGTTAGCCATCCCAAATGATCGGCAATTGGGCTGCACGGCAACAATTAACCGGGCATCTGTATCTGAGTATCTGTGTGGCAAGTTTCTACGTATATGTATGTGTGAGTGGCGGGTATCTGCGAGTCTGGCAAACATAAATAGGCCCAAGTGGCCGGCCCCAAAAGTGCAGCAAAGGCAACAGTACCAATAATAACAACAACAACAACAACAACTACTACTATGAAGCGTACGTCGCCCCCGATGGGTTCTTACTCATTCACGCATTGGGTAATCGATACACTCGCAGACACACATGGAGAAACGCTGCTCAGCCGCCAAATGAAACCATTAAGCGCTACATAAAACATTCGTCGTCGAGGGAAGTCGGGGGTTATATGGGGTATCAACAATGGTAAGGGGGCAGGGGTTAGACATACGACGGGGTAGGGGCGACGCTGGAAACATTGCAACCAGAAGCTACGATCGCCAGTGCCGCCAAAGTGGCGACAATGTGACACAGAGAGAAATGTTTTTTTGGAAATAAATAAATTGATTTTTTTATTTATGTCTTTAAAATATTTTGGATATTGATTAAGAACTACGTTAATATGTTAAAAATTGTTAAAAATTCGTAGAATATTGCAAAAGTTGAATAATAAAGTGACTAAAGAGGTTAAAGATTTTCATCATTTTTCTTTCTCAGTGCACCTTTGGCTCCAAACTCCGGGGCAGACAGACAACGCAAACAATCAGAGAGCCGAGGCAGCAACAACACAACACAACACGGCGACGTGATCATGTCTGGGCCGTTCAGCCGTTCAACCGTTCAGCAAATGTTGGCGACGTCGCTGTCGCCGTTGCCATCGCCGTCGCCGTTCGGCGGCTCCAACTTTGTTATTATTACCGCTCGTGCACATGCCCCCAACTGCCCACGATTCGATGCGATGTTGCTGCTGTCCGCAAGAGCAAACAGGTTTGACCATTCACTTGAACTGCTTTTGGGAGTCGCCTTCGCTGGAGTAGGGGATGAGCTTGATGATAAAGAGAGGGAATAGAGGAGGAGATGGGGCTGCCGTCTTCGTCATCGACATTAAACGTAATCAATAGAGCGAACTTCTTTAATTGAGCATCGTCAACGTGCGAGAGACAAAAGCGAAGCGACAATCAAAACTAATTGAATGCACAGTGCAAAAAAAAAAGAACAACAAATGATGAAAGGAGGAGGATTGATTGGCTTTTGTGGAATTATTAGATCACTGGGGAAAAATATTGTAAGTTAAAAGATATTAAATATAAAATTTTTGAGGAAATTTGTTAAGATTTTGTAAGCTTTTGACTTTGAAATTGATTTTTATTAGTGATGAGATTCTTATTATTGAATAAAAATCATGAAAGGGATATTTGTAAAATATATAAGAATATCCATAATACAGCTTTAAATATTTGAAAAATTAACTATTTAAATTTACATTTTACACAACAAATAATGCTTGTTTTTTTGATATTTTAATCTAGTAGGGAATCCCTTTAATGTCAAGTTTATTTTTAACATTTTAAACTTTTTCTGAAGAGATTTTTAAATATGTATTTTAGTCACTTTAAAATTTAGAGACTTCTTAAATTGTATTTGTTTAATTATAAAAATATACAAACAAAGTGATTTAAAAAGCGATACAAAATGAATAAAATTATAAAAATATGTGTCTAAGTCAATTCAATTACCAAAAATCTATAAATACACAGGTAATTGCAGTTGCCACTTCAGTATATTTATGAAATCAATCACAAAAGTCCAATCTATTACTGTGCCGCATTAATAAGTATCTTAATCTAAACCGAATTTCCGTTTCACATATAATTACATGCCACCCAGCAACCAGGCTAATTACGCATTGCATAGTTATGGGCGTTATCGATTTTGGAAGCCGCTTAGAGACCAAATGGCCAGTTGAGCTGCAAAAGCCAACCTCTGTTCTAGAACGAGTCTAATGGGTTCGTCATGGGGAAACTCCAAAGCAGAGTTATGTTGACGGTTTGGGATTGGGAGTGCCTGACATTAAGAAGAATGCCGCAGTTGATCGATGGCTAAAGTCATTTATCAAGGTGTGTCTATTAATTCGTGTTAGCTTTAGCTAATTTTATGAAAATCAATTTGAAAGTGCGGTTAATTGTGTGTGAATTGCGTGAAAATCAATCATCAGTTGGTTCTCAACTTCTAATTTATAAAGATGTTTAGTTTTGGGTAATTAAAAGTTGATTTTTGAAAGATTTAAGCTTGAGTTTGCCTTTGTAATTTGGTCTACTAAAGTATAAATATTCCAGATTCCAGATATTATAGACATGACTTAATATAATCTATTAAGAAGTTTAATTTTTGGTAAAAAACTTAACATTCTTTGTTATTTGTATATTAAGACATCATTTAACAGCATCATTAATTTCAGTTTTAAAATTAAACAAAAACACAAACCATTCCAGAAAATACCATCATCAAGTAATCTATAAAAATTAAACAAAACACTTGTTTAAAGTGAAATAGAACACGGTTTCCACTGATTGCATGTATATAATATATTTTAGTATGAATTGATAACCTTTATAAATTTCTGTAAATTCAACAACACCATCGCCATCTGACCAGCTCGATCCGCACTATCAGTACGTGGCCTTTCCATTGAAAGGCTATCGCTGTCGATCCACAGTTTCTTAGTCAGACAGCCTGGTTGGCTATGATGATGATGGTGTTGCTGGTAGTGGTTGTGGAACTGGTGGATTCGTTTTGATTCAAAAGTGACTGACTGAATGCGTCAGCAATGAATAAATAAACGTAGACGCCCAGACCTTAGTCAACGGCCAACTACAAGTTTTTAACATTATATATAGACATATATATATCTAGTATAGTAAGGTATAGTACAAACACAGAAGTGACCGCTTAGAGCTTTGGGTGTTTGAGGCCGCTTAACTTGGCCATTATAGGATTGTCGATTGCTCATTTGTTGACACGCAACACTGGCTTTTGGCCGTTGGCAGTCAGAAAAAAAAAAAAAAAATAAAAACAGAAAACCTAGTATGAGTAACACATTGCTGGCTGAAAGGTGGAATAATCAGCTAAAACAGTCAGCCCAGTGCGGATTTCAGTTATTTTAGTTTGTTTGCCCAACCTCAACTATCCAATAACAACAATCTGAGAAGCCCCCAGGGGTACGGCAAACTATGAATCAAGTGGAATTTACATATACTAGTATATATGCGAAGTTCCCTCTGCTTTGTATTAACAGGTAACTGCAGTTACAGCTACATAAATGTGGCATTTCCTATGACTAAGTTTGAAGTGCAGGTTAAAATATGTGAAGTTCTTATTTAAATGGAAATATTCCTTATTAATATTTTCTATTAATCTGAACTTATATTTCTTCAATCTCTCTATTTTCCAGGATATTTTTTATTCGTTACTAAACATTTTCCCAGTTTTAAGCACACAAGTCGAGAGTCTATGCCTGTGGCTGACTGGCTGCTTCTCCGGCTGATTGGGAATCGCCAGTTTGGCGACTGGTCACAGATACAGATACACACTCTCAACAGCCAGAGATACAGATACAGATACAAAGATAGAGATAGAGATACTTTGGTACACATTCTTGCCGACGTACTTGTAGCGTCTATAAAATCGCTTTATATTAAGCACCGAGAGCAGTAAATAAAACGCAAAATGCGGCGATCGCAGACGAACGACGCCAACGAAAATATTCCTCGGAATGTACAGAATCTCCCGAGACTCTCTGATGGTGTCGCCCATACGCATATATCTATATATATATATATATGTATATATCTTTTTAAATCTGCATTCTGAATCTGAATCGGATTTTGTTGGCTGTAACTACTTGGGCTTTGTTGGCCTGTGTTTAGCCATTCTTTGGCCACATATCATGGCCGCATATTTGCATACGCCAGCAGCTGTTTATAGTCTCACATGTCAGCTAATTGAATTGGTTTAGCTCTGCTTTTCTACTTTTCTGCTGGCCCAGACATCACCGAGACAGCTTAATCACTTGCGTCAATGGATTTGCTGGCTGCTTACCTGGCCGTAACGAAATATATTTGTATATATATATATAAAGAGATATATATATAACCAGAACAGACGGAATGGCATCATTATGCCGAGCAGTAGATTTTCCCGGGTAAAACCCATAAAATCATCAATAGACCCTGTACAGGGAAGGGATATAATCAGGGCTTACACACTGGGCCACTTGACTTGACGCACTTAAGCCTGGCGCTAAGGCCAACAGACAGTAAAGGCCTAAATCCCCGTTGGTCAGGTCAGACTTTTCGGCTGGCAGCAATTAAAAATTGCTCAGAAGGAAATTCAAATTACACCCATCTACAGGGTCTTTGGGTAGCAGCAGGTAGTTCTGGAAAACTCAGGTTAGTTCTGGTGAAAATCCTTCTCGGCTTTTCTTTTTCCTTAACACATAAATGTATCTTTGATCTTGTAAATGGGATATGGTAGTTAAGATGCTGCTTAAGATACTTTTGGTTAGTTGATTTCTTTAGAAGTATTATGTTACTATTTATGTATCTGAACTTGATTTCCTACATTAATAGGTCAAAGTTCCTTTTCCTCATATTTAAGATACCAAAAAACCTTTCTTTTAATCTGGTTTAGCCAAGTTCTGAGCTACTTCAGTTACGTTATCGCAATGATATCATTATTATTCGGTATCTACGTCACGTTTAAGCTTATCGGAACGAAAGTGAAATGCGGCTGACTTCGGCAAAGTATCTATAATCGCATAATCTTCTCCGATACGCTTGCACACACACACACATTAAGATACTCAGATACTTTATTGCTGTTGATTTGTATATAAACGAGTGTATATATACTTATATAGGTGTGTGAACTCTGTTGTGAATCACGCCATTTGGCCTTATCAACCGAAGCTCTCATCGGCTCTATTTCATTATTTCATGCCTATGTACAGAGCCACGCACTTTATCAATATTGCTAAGCATTCGCTTATGTATCTGTGAGATTGCTTTGTGTGCTCGCTGTGCTCGATGTGCTCGGCGTGCTTGGTGTGCTTGGCACCCATAACAACAGTATTAAACGCCATTCGACATGAGTGGAAACCCATCTGCTTTCCCCACTCCGATTACCCATAGATAAACATTACTACTATTTCTCCTCTTCCTCTTTTTTTTGTTCTGGGAAACTTTGCTGATAGCCATATAGTCGCCTGAAGGTCATTGCTATATCTCCTGGAATATTTCACTATCGTTGATGTTATAGATTCGATTGAAAAGTAGAGTTTATAGCTGTTAACAGATTGCTAGCTGTTCTCTGAGTCATGGCAACAAAATTGCTTGAGTTATCAGAGGGAAAATGGAATACTAAATGGAGAACTAAAGCAGAGATAGGTTTATTTTAAGACTTGGTTAATCCCATGTCTCATTAAATTTAAATCACATTTAAGCATGAATAATACTTAAGAACTTGTATTGATTAAGAATGTATAATAAAACAAGAATAAAATGACTTAATCCCCTACTTGATGACCACTTTTCACTTTCTTATTATAAAAATGTCAACTCACCTTTAAGTTTTTCACGCGCCGTTTCCAAAGCACTCTTGCGTGAATTCACAGTAGATTCTAAAAATAAAAAATAAAACAAAAAATATTAGTATATATGCTCTACATATAGAATGTACATTGTACAATTTTCAAGTGCATTTTCAATGTTATATCTGAGACAAAGCTCGCCCACAAGAACAGCCGCTGGCATTTCACTTGTTGGTGACGTCAAAAACGAAGGCCAGGAAAATACCTAAGAGTACGGGAAAATCGAACCGAGGAAAGCACAACTAAGACACACACACATTTATACACTTCATAGTCAATAAAGTATTCAAATGGCGTGTGGGGGTGGGTGGTTGTATGGGTGGAAAAACCGAGAAGAAGCAGACCCAACTGTTGCCAATTTCCATCTGGGTAGGGGGGCGCGTGGAATATCCGAAATGGCGGCAGACGGAGGCCATCAAACCAAGCTGAAAAATTCATTTCCACCCAAAAAGAAAAAAAAAAAAAAAAATAGAAAATGTTTACAAGCCAATTTGGTTGCGCTCATTTGCTAATTTTAAAATAGAAGGAGGATTTTCTCATTTTCCGCGCGTACCGATATAATTTGAAATATTTGCCTAAATTTTCACCGCACAAAGTGAACGTGAAAAACGCATTGACGAGGTGGCTACAAAAATACCAAGCAATTTTCTTGCCAAAAATTGTGGCGAAATTCCCAATGAAGGCACTAAAAATACACCCAATGGGCGTATACAACAAACAAGCGTTTCCGATGAAAAATCGTTCAGATTCGTTTTTCTCAGCCAGCTGCTTTAGACTTTCGAATGACGCACTTTTCCGATTTGATAAGCAAGCGTAATGATGAGAACTGAAGTGGGGTGGGGAAATACTCAAAATGGGAAGTACATTAACAGGAAAGTGTATTTTTTTGATAAGAAAATGTTTAAAAATGTTTACAAATTATGCAAAAATATTCACAA